TCATCCTTCGATTCGTCATTAGAGGACGTCACGGAGCCGGAGGTTACCTTAGCCATCCTACATATAACCTGCATCGAGATCGGGGGATCTAGCCTGAAACTGGGACTGGTTAAGCTTAAGCTTATCTGGGTTTGTCCCGGATACTGTGACTGGGACTGGGACTGGTTCCTGCGTTGGATAACTCGGATCTTTCTGCTTTTATATCTTGATATACAGGAGGTACAGTAGAGATGCTCATGTTGCCACGAGATGATGCTATTTCTAGTATACTGGACACGTGACCATTCTGATATGATGATATCCGATGACTCCGCATGTCTACGAACATAATTTCGGTCTTCAGAAATTAGCGGACATTATGTTCTCAGGTTTGAAGGACGGCTGGATCTACCCCGCTCATCAGACCGTAGACTACGCTACAGACAAGCGGTAAATGTATACAAAAGTACCGTACCCTGGCCATAGGGCGGAGTCAACGACAGGGTTGATCTATTAAATGACGTGGCTAGCGTGGATAGTATTGTATTGCCGTTGTTGGTGGTAAACTGCGGTGTTTAAAATCGACAGACAATCCTTTCTGAATGGAGTGCATACGACGAGAACAAAGAGATGAAAATCTGTAGGATCGTCAGAGGTCCGAGAGTGAACCATGAGATCATAGCAATTTGATAATGGGATCGGCAGGGCTTGATGATGTAACCAAGGGACCGATGGGTCGACCATTATTTTGATTTCTAAGATCATAGCATGTCTGCCAGTATGCTATTACTATTACTTTTACAACATTATACTGCTCCATCTGCAGTAATCTGGATATATGATCCCATAGTTTGGATCGGCCATTCGGATATCCGGGTTTAACCATGACAGAAACTGTCAATGATGCCAGTCATTCTGACTAAGCATGGGGCAAGTGTTCGGGATAATGTCCGAAATTCGGGGAGAATTGCCTTATTGGAGTAATCCGTACAGCAGACTAATCCCAAAGCAGCCAAGGCCTAGCCCTTTCCATCAATCAAACTGTCCAAAGAAGTAAAAGGCGCGCCGAAGCCGAGCCGAGACATCCCGGTAGGGTTGAGCAATATGTACACGATTCTGTGCATAGCTTCTTCCACTGTAGAGACTAAGCCTTGTCATAGAGCTTCGATGGGTCTATATCTTGCGAGGAGTGCTTGGCAGGGTCAATTGTGTTTTGTCATATGTCATAGACAGCTAGTAGTAGTAGTAGTACTGTAATACGTAGTAGTAGAAGACCCAGGGTATAAGCAACCCCTCACGAGAGGGGAAGCAGCGGTCTGTGATAGCTAGCCTTACCAGCTTACATACTTGACTCATCTCTCACAGGGGTGTAGGGGTCTGTTCCTGTGAGGAGACAATCCCAGCGCCATGCTCATGCTCATGTTCGTTTCCGGTTCTTCTGCCGTCTTATCCCGTCCTTGTCATTATCAGCACATTTTTCCTTTTCCTTTTTACTTTTCCACTACTACGGAGGATGGATCTCCACATCCGACCCTTCCGTGAGCTTCCAGATCTGGTGACAAAGAAGAGTAATTTAGCCCACTGCGGCCATCGCCTCACACAGTCACCCCTTTAGGGTCCCCGATTTACCCATGGCAGGTCATATGGCGGTTATCCGAATTAGATAGCTTGCCCCTCATGGAAAACAAGCCGATGCAAGAGAAAAAAAAAAAAAGAAAAAAGAAATCTGTTTGACTCAACTGTGCTTTTAACTGCTTATAAATTCAAAGCGAGCCCCGCTCCTCTCAACCCGGGATGCTTGCCCGTCTGCGTAGGATGCCTCCATAATAATAGATATTCAGCATATCCCACCGGCTTTGAAACTCAGCTTCTCTTTTCCCCAGTCCGCTATCACCGCCACAACAATGATGGAAACACAGACCACAGCACCGGCGCTGGCGTCATCGCGCCAGTCCGGACGCAGCTCCGAGAGCAGTAGCTCCGTGGACGTCATTGCGCAAGAGAAGCAAAAGGTAGCAGCAGCAGCAGCATCATCAGCATCAGCGACCTCGACGGCAAGTAAAGACCGTCCGGACCTGCACAATTCAGCTTCCCCGAAGCGGTGGAAGACCTTCTGGGCCGCCTTCCGATACCTGCAGCACCTGACGCCCAAGCAGGTTGACGACTTCATGGCGTCATATGTCATCTATAACCTCGACTGGTCGGACGAGAAGCAGATGATCGAGACATTGGGGCCTAACTACCAGGAGAAAGTCGGCGACTGCCTCAAAGCGTACTACGGGGTGTTGAACCACCTGTGTGCGCTGGGCGACGTGGAGAAGATGTACATCCCGCCGTTCATGAGCAAGAAGGCGACCGTGCTGGAGAACCAGCTGCTGTACGAGGAGTCGATCGCCCGCGACATCGGGCTCGGACCCGGCGACAAGGTGTTGGATTTGGGTTGCGGCCGCGGGCGGGTGGCGGCGCACATGACGCAATTCTCCGGTGGTGCGCAGGTCACCGGCATCAACATCGACCCGAACCAGATCGCGCAGGCGCAAAAGTTTAACGACAAGCGCGGGTTCCAGAACAAGTTCGTCGTGCAGGATTTCAACTCGCTGCCGCTGCCGTTCGAGGACGAGAGCTTCGACGCCTTCTACCAGATCCAGGCCCTGAGTCTGTGCAAGGACCTCACGGCGCTCTTCCGCGAGATCTACCGCGTCGTCAAGCCCGGCGCAAAGATCTCCCTGCTGGACTGGGTCAGTCTGCCTGCGTACGACCCATCGAACCCGGAGCATGCGGAGCTCATGCGTCGCGTCAAGCCTCTCATCGGCGCAGTCGGCACCCCCACCCCGGAGATTCTCGAGCGGGCGCTCTCCGATGCCGGCTTCACGGTGTTGCGCTCGGACAATGCCAGCCTGGACGGGCTGCAGGCGCCGCTGATCGACACGGTCGACTTTTACTTCCGGTCCATGCGGCAGGTGATTCTCGGTTTGGTCAAGGTGCATGCGCTGCCGCACCACTTCAAGACTCTGATCAACCGGCTGTGTTTGGATGGTCAGGCGTTTGTCAAGATGGACCGCATGCGCCTCTGCAGTACAAGTTACCGCATCATTGCTCAAAAGCCGTCGCGGTGATCTAGTCCGTTCACCCCTTCACGACGAGCGCATTGGCAACAGTGGCCTCGCGGACAGGAGCCGCATCAAAGTCAACAGGTCTGCTGGCAGGATCAGACCACGCCACAAAAACCTCCTTTCTCCTTTCATGACAAACGAAAAATTCCATCGCGATAAATACGCGAAAGCCTAATCTAATTCAATTCTTATTTCCTTCGGTTCGATAGATCATGTCGAACAACGCAGATAACCGGCATTTGCAGGCAGCACGTGTCACGACTCACGGCCGAAGGATGCGGATGCGGCTGCGGAAATCAATGCGCGCCATGTCGAATCCTTTCGGTTTCGTTCTAGCTTAGTCTGAAGACCGTTGACACCGTGGTCAGTGTGTCTGAACCTAGCCACCACGTGCGTTGAGTGCCGGTTAGCCAGGTTCGCTCGGCTTTGGTCTAGGGGTACTCCGAAGTTTTAGGTGTTTTTTCTGACGCTGTAGCGTGGCCTATAGATTGCATTCGGGTTCCAAGCATATTCTGTGCGTTTTGTCCTGGTTTCATTCGATGTGGATAATCATTTAGTTCTTCTCATCTTGGCCTCCAGTTGGATACCCTGTAGAGTGGGAGTCTACGGGGTTGACTCTGTATATAGACATTTAATATATGATTGGTTAAAAGGATTCATATTGTGCCTGATACGTACTGACCTGAGGGATATCTACGAGAGTACTCCGTACTGGCAGGATCTCTGTCTCTCAACTTGCGCCTCTTCTTTCTGTTCTCAGCAGTAAATCCGACGCGGACCTGATCCACACCGAAGAAAACAAACTTAAAATTGTTTCTGGATCAATGATAATAATAAGAAGAATGGATCCATAGAAGCGCCAATTGATGGAAAATAAATTAATTCACTCCGCTGGGTACCTAACTACGCCTGTTATCTTAGGCGAAGAAAAGCAAACATGCGACCGCCTACCAGGATCAGGCTCCGTCGTCATTGCACAGGGACAGAGCTCTATCTAGCTTGAGCTTGGACTTTAAGGAATTCAATCATAATGTGATATCCGTGCAGACACGGGCCATCGAGGAGACATCTGAGTTAGGAAGATCGTGCCATGGCGCTTGTGGACGACCACGACTCAGGGCAGTTCACCAATAGTTGATTCTGAATCCATGGGTATGCCATGGTGATAGATATATTAAGTGCCAGGACACAGGACACAGCCGAGGAAGACTCAAAGGCAGAAATGCGCCATTGTCACGCCGTTCCAGAGGCTGACAATGGCCCCACCGGCTTATAAGCTTTTAACCGCAGCCATCCATTTGCGCACGTTGCGGATAACCCTGTCTGTTCTGATGGTTGATTCCCTGCACTTGGATGCATGCACCAGGCACTAAGTATGCACTTGCTGAGCAGCTCCACAAGACATCCGATCCAGTTGTCTGCTCCACGAGGGCTCAGTCTGTCTATCTATTTACTCATTCTTCCAGTAGTATTCTCTACGTCGTCTACTATTGACCATTTGACTACCTAACTGACTAGTTACCACCACTCTATTTAAGTTGTGGTCTTTCAAAATCCCCATCCGCCCTAAACTGGATCCCCATTTCCGTTATGGTCTCGGTCCAGTTCCCACCACCTTTGCGAACTCATGATTATCGGTCATAATTGAAGGCATAGGCATCATCCGAGCAGCCAGAAGAATGGGACTCCGATTCCCTGCGTCCATTTCAGCCCCATCGATCATATCTCGGAGATCAGCACGATCGCCACCCTCCCTCGTTGTTGTTCCACTGTTAGATCACTAGTGACCTATATCCATCGCTGAAGCTGTCACTTTGACGATCATATGCAGGTTCATCGTTTTATAACTGTATATTATCCCACCTTCTGGCAATTATATATGCGCATCGGCCGTCCCACACTGCGGCCATGAGCCATCATTCACTCTCCGTTTTCGATCACGACTGGCCTCTACCTCCTCTACCTCCCTCCCGACGCGAAAGCGCATTTTCCACCTCGACCTGTTCGTCCGGCTCAGCATCCGCAATCCTGGGTTCTCCGTCATCACCGTTCTGCCACACGCCCATCAGCCCCGCGACCTCGCCGGGGACGAGGTCGAGGGTCCCATCGCTGCATGATGATGTTACTCGCTTACAGCTCAGTCCGGCCGTGACGATGTACGTTCCTTGATTTGTGACACAGGGCCAATCTGTCAATCTGACTTGGTAATAGATCATTCGTGCGAAATAGCAAACTCTTCAAACTACGATATACCTACATCGACATCTGCAAGGATGCCACAGGCGCCCTGCGCGGTCTGGAGCTGGGGGCGGGATAGGGCAGAATTCGCCTTTTATCCATACCTGTAAGTTCGCTGCATTTATAGACAAGAAGCAAATCTCATGCAGACAGTCCACGGCACAAAACTCCCCGTGCCTCACCTCGAACACCCCAAACTTCGGGACGAACCCTCCCTCCGCATCTCCTTTCTGGAAGAGCAGACCGTGCAAAGCGCAAGCACGGTCTTTACCACCCAGCTCTCATATACCTTTGAAGACTGGCGGGGTTAGTACTTTGCCTCTTTTCCTCTGGGGTGATGCTGATGATACATGCAGACTGCGTGCAGTTCCAGGAGCTCATCCTGGCCGCAAAACTCGTTTTTATTGCCGGCATCGCCGAAGCAAAATCCAAGGGCCGTGGGGAGGAATGCATCAGCCAGAATCTACGGATCTTCCGCGGATACAACGGGAAACAGGTCATGCTGTTTTTCGCCAACTCGCAGCGCAAGGAGCTGAAGCGATATGTTTCGATCCCTGGTATGCTCTCCCTCTCAATCTTCACTTACTCTTATCTTATCTACGCAACTAAACTAACAGTGATAGTAAATTGCATCGAAACAGTGAATCCCGGCAAAAAAGCCGGTCGGCCCGTGGTGCTCGAGCTCCATCCAAACTTTGATATCCTATCGCAGATGAAATCACTGCACATCCAGTTCCTGGACGATCAGGGTATGTCATTTCTCCACTGTCATTGGGAGACCCGAGCTCACTAGCCGCAGATCGGAAAGCATTTTGCGCGTTTCTGACCAATCAGATGTTATGATTGTACCATATGCAGATACCTTATGGTCACCAGAGAGGATTTTCTGGTACCCTACTCCTAGGTCCCACGAGCTCGCAGCACAGGCACGGGCACAGGCACAGGCACAGGCACGAGGAGTGAGGATTACCAAGTACAGGTAATCGCCAAGGCCTGTGCAATGCTAGTGATTGGATATTGGGGTCACATTACTTAATTTCATATTATTTGCACGAGCACGGAGTTTAGGTCTTGGGATGTTTGGAATAAATACCCTGTTGTGCGTTTTGATAGAGTTTGGAAGATTATGGATGGGCCTTTTTCCCGGTGGGACAGTCGACGGAGGACCTTAGTCTTAGTCCTTGTCGTGCGGGAATTGAATTGACTTTTTGACTTTCCGATTTGCGCGTAGTAAGCGCAGACTGCGCAGTATTTTCCAATGCTCAGTAGTAATATGCTACCGTGAATTATTAAGGCAGTACAAAGGACCTAGTTCCCGATGAGCACCGACCGAATCCTTCGCACATTTCAATTAGATCCTACACGTGGAGTAGAATACAGAGTCATATATCCATGATATGGAGTGCATAGACAAGGCTATCTTCTCCGTACTGACTGTATCCCCACTCTCTGTATACCTAGAACCGCAGGAGTATTGTTATGTCATTGCCATGGTTCTAGACGCACCACAACGCCATGACATGTGCAACTGCAACAGAATAAACCTCCCGTAATGGTCCGGTCTCACTTATGCCAGGGACTCGTGTCCTCGTACTGAGACAGATAAAAGATATCTATCGGTTGATTTTACCCTCTCGTGCATACTGCGTCGTTAACGAAAGGAGGTGTCTCGTCTAAGTGACTTACCTGTCGTGACAGCGGTGATAAGTGGGGCTCAACGGGCCAGTGGTGAGACGGCATCACCGCACGTGCAGGCCTTGGGTCCTTAGGCCCCGGGAGCTTAGTGATATCGAGCACGGAGCGAGGCCAATAACGGCTGGATATGCTAACATGGTATTTCTCTGTCCAGGTCCTCTGGCGTGACTGCCCCGAAGATGTTCCTCGAGTCAGGGCAGGTCAGTGGCGCGTTGGTGGGATGACTGGGTAGGCTAGCTTAGCTAGAGCACATATTGCTTTTCTTTTCTTTTCTTTTCTTTTAGCGAGGCCAGAGCCGAACCCCTCAGGTGGTCAGTGGTCAGTGGTACTGCTAGTAGCCTCGCGGGCTAACTCTGCTGGCGGATTTCTCTTATCTAGCCCTGCATCTCTAGATCTGGGTGTACAGATCCATTGTGATTGTGATGTGATCATGTCGATCGATTAATCCATCATTTTTGCAATCAATATGGGCAAGATCAAGCGGTTGTATAAGACCGATCGGGCTCAGGATTTTGACCATGAGCAGGTATGTCTTATTTCATGTTCAGAGGCTGGTTGCAAGGCTGATTCTGATGGCTGATGTAGGACCGCCATGTCCGCATGCGCCAAATCTACGAGACGATCGATAGACAAGGATATCAATGGATTGTCGTGTTTGTTGCCGGTGTCGGCTTCTTTCTCGATGGATATACAGTAAGTGCTGCCAGTTGCGTGAAAAGACGAAGACTCAACTGTGGCAGCTCTTCGCGAGTAACATGGCCCTCCCCATGGTCAGCTACGTCTACTGGCAGAATAACCCCTCGTCCAAGAAACTCACCTACATCAACATCGCGACCCTGGCCGGCACGCTCTTCGGACAGGTCCTCTTTGGCTATCTGGCGGACCGCAACGGACGGAAGAAAATGTACGGGGTGGAGCTGATGCTGCTGATCACGTCGACGCTGGGTGTCGTCATGTCCTCGACTGGAGAGAATGGGAGCATGGATGTGTTTGCCTGGTTGGTCTGGTGGAGACTGGTGGTTGGAATTGGAGTCGGGGCGGATTATCCCCTCAGTGCCGTCATCACCTCGGAGTAGGTTACGCATTTGTTTGAAAAAAGATAAAGCTAACGGTGGTAGATTCGCTCCGGCTAAGCATCGCGCGCGGATGATGGCCACCGTCTTCTTCATGCAGCCGCTGGGTCAGATCGCGGGAAACATCGTCACCCTGATTGTGGTAGCCGTCAGCAAGAACCAGCAGCACGACGACCTCATCCGTACGTTTGATATTATGTGGCGGTGGGTGGTCGGAATTGGTGTCGTGCCCGGTGTGATCGCGACGCTGTTCCGAGTCGTCATCCCCGAAACGCCTCGCTTCCTGCTCGAGATCGAAGACGACCCCGTCAAGGCCGAGTTCGACGCCACCACCCTCTTCAACGAGACCCCGTCGCTGGACCCCGAGGACACCTGGAGGGACCTCCCCATGCCGGCCATGTCCGTCACGAGCCAGTGCTTCAGCGACGGCCGCTCGCCCTCGCAGACCGAGATCCTCCAGCCCGCCACCCTCAACTCGCACTGGCATCTGACCCGCAAGGACATCACCCAGTACTTCTGGACAGAAGGCAACTGGCGCACCCTCGTAGGCACCGCGCTGTCCTGGCTCCTGCTCGACTTTGGCTTCTACGGTATCGGACTCTCAAGCCCGCAGTTCCTGGCCAAAACGTGGGGATCCCTGAACATCCACGGCCGGGCGCCCGTGTGGAAAACCGACGACGACCCCAACGCCAACATCTTCGAAATGTTCATGAACAGCTCCATCCACGCGCTCGTCATCCTCAACATCGGCAGCTTCGTTGGCGGCCTGCTCATGATCCTCTGCAGCCACAAGATCGACCGCACCGCCTTGCAGAAGTACGGCTTCCTTGCCCTGGCGGCGCTCTTTATCGCCCTAGGCACAATGTTCATCACCGTCCACAAAGAAGGGCCTGTGGCGGTTATTCTATACATCATCGGACAGCTCTTGTTCAACTTTGGTAAGCATAAGCCCCCCCCCTCCCCGCTTAGATGCCTCAGAATGACGAGTCAGGCCCCAACGCAACAACATACATCATCCCCGCCGAAGTCTTCCCCACCCGCTACCGCGCCACCTGCCACGGCATCAGCGCCGGCGCCGGCAAGCTCGGCTCCATCCTCGTCCAGGTCTTCTCGTCATACTACAACTTCGGCACCGGACCCGGCAAGGAGCCCACCATCCGCCACGGCTGGATCCTGATCGTCTTCAGCGCATGCATGATCCTCGGCGCCGCCGTCACGCATTTCTGGATCCCGCCGGTCCAGCGTGACGCCGCGGGCAAAGGCCAGTTCTGGGGCGGGAGGCACGAGTCGCTGGAGACGCTGGCGTTGGGTCGGCTGGGGTGGAGGAGTCGGTATGCGGTTAAGCAGTCCGCGCGGCCGGCGCAGGTGTCGGCGTTTTCGTATGAGCTCCATTGATTTTTGGACAGCTTATACCTTCTTTTGTATATATTTCTTTTTTTCTTTTACCATACCAAAATATTCCGGTAGATAGATGGATAATAAACGGACATACATCTCAATCTGTCGGTATCTCAAATGAACGACGTTAGGAAATCCCGCTTCTCGGACTGGAGATATCAATTTATAGCTTATCCGGCCTGTACTCAGTCTGTTGTCGCTCGACTGGAGAGTCAAAGGAGGAAGTCGGGGGTGTTGTACAGTGTACAGGGTATACGACATCATCTGAAGAAGGACGGCATTGTGTAATTCCAGAGGAGCTAGTCTGTGAGGACCGGAAAGAGTCGACGGGTTCTAATGATGTCGTTAAGATGGCAGACTATGCATGCTGAATTGCTGCATTTGTACCCTGACCATAAGCCAGAACAAGCTGTCTGATGTTGTTAGTCTAGTGCTTTCGAATATCGAAATTGAGATGATGAATCAGTTGACCATGAAAAACAATCCAGAGATGAGTAGCTGGGAGAAAAAAATATCAAAAAGTGAGGGCTAAAACGAGAGTCGGAAAGGGAAAAAGAAGACTGCATCATCCGTGAATCGAACACGGGCCTCGTCGATGGCAACGACGAATTCTACCACTAGACCAATGATGCTAGTTATTATCAGATCTTTCCTTTAATGCACTATTTACTAAGCCAGGCAGAGTCTCTGATTGATATTTGATATTCGCAGGTTGGCGTGTCATATATTCCGTGTCAGGCGTTTCTTGACAAAACAGTGCCATTGACTCCCGCATACCCGCTGATCTGCCAAGTATGCATGGTTGTTGTTGTTACTAATACTATGCTGGACGACAACTGGTTTTCGCCCTTGCTCTAGCCCTATATCATGGTGTTAGACTGGACCGCATCAAACTTAATAACCCAAACTCACCATGAGCACATTTCGATGGATGGCTGTCTACTTGGAGATCAAGGACAGGTCAGTCATAGATCCATAGGAGCTCTAAGTTAGTCCAGGTGCCTGTAACCGACTGTCACCTCTAGTGATGTGACTTTACAAGACTACCTCTGCATCGTAGAAAGCCTGATCACAAAACAATTACAATCACTACACTATTGAAAAATGTTTAAGATACATCAGATCCCCGCGCACGCAAGCCAACGCCCTATGACTTAACATCAGATGTAGGAGCCACTTTAAAAGTATCATCGCTCATCTGCGTGACCATACAAAAATTATCTCCCGTGTCCGTGAAATCAACAGTCGCATCCTTAGACGTCGCCGCGGTGATCGTCCCAACATTCAAAGATGAATCGCTGGAAACGTAAAACACCGGCTGCTGCGGGGGGTTAAGGATGGCATAGGGCGTGTTCGGCTGGACCTCCCAGACGCAACTGGGGACAATCTGTCCTGAGCCCGGGGAGACGACCCCCAGGCCGCAAAACACGTGTGCTAAAGCCCCTGGTCAGTACAGCCTTCAAGCTGCGCTAGGATGGACGCTTACCAGCAGGATTCGTGTTATAGTTTTGTGTCACGATTCTTGCCCAGTTACCTACCGCGGTCGTATCTTGTGTGGGCGGGGGAAGTAAGGACTGTTGTTCTGGATGTTTACGCGTACCACCTCCGGGGGAGTTATAACTGTCGACTCTTGGATGCTGACGTTCACTCCGGAACCCAGGGGCTGATTGGGGCTGGTGCCGCAGACGACGGCAGTCGGCAAGTCGATGGTAAATGTGGCGGTATAGTTGTTTGCAATCGTCGCTGATTTCTGAGTGACGCACGCAAGAGGTGAATATCCAGAAGCCGGGAAGGGTCGGTAGAAGAGAGAGTAGACTTGGTTGTTTCTGCTGTTGTTAAGGACTTGAATAGTAAAGGACGACATCTTGGTTATCTGGGTACTTCAGTCCAATACGCGAACACTGGAACACTTAGCTGGGCATTGGGCATAAAGACTGCTCGATACACAGTTTAAATACGTCCTCCACCTAGCACCTTATGGGGAGCATGGAGTACACTTCTCCGGGGTTTGCAAACTATCATGAGGGAATTTTACTTCTCCAACGACATGCGTATCACGCGGTTGTAGACGTGATGATGAGACTCGGTCTAGACTGTGGAGGTTGTAGATCCCCATCTAGGTAGCGATTGATATGGTAGACCTTAGGAGAGACTGATCAGGTGCGGCAGTGGCATCCGATAACTGATACTGCGCCTGATGCGCCTTCCTTTCTTGATCCAAGCTGATTATCGTTGCTTGAAGCCTCAGAACGTAATCGATCTGGAGCCATGGCCTAGATCTCGACAATAAGGCAAACCTACGGTTATTGACGGGAAGCAGGATCCAGAGCAGGAGTGACTTTTTTGTCTCCCTTGCGCCCTAATTAAGAAAATTCGAGGCGGACAACAAGGAAAAGATGAATTACACTTCCTTTCGGATGCAGCATGAGGGAGAGGGAAACGTAGAGTATCTCGCTCCCTATTGACCAGCTGACAGTGACTAGCTTGGCCTGTATTGTCTTCTTTGGGAGGTAGGGCGCATACTGCGGTAGCCACATAGCAAGGCTTTCACTGAGCTTCAGAGTTGCAGCCTGGGCTCTCTCAAGTATCAAATCATGATATTTCTACGGCCAAACTAAACTATGTTCTTGATGCGAACCATGAGAACCATGAGTTCCATGGCTGATCAAAAGTCAGATTAGCATATGCACGCGTGTTGCTGGCCACTTGACCAGGGTTGTGAGAGTCAGTGCTAGATTGATGAGCAGATGCTGATGCGGTAAACAGCAGTCATCCTTTACCTTGAAGTGGCGGTTCGATCGATTTGAGTTGAGTACCAAACAATGGAATCCTGTGGCAACTCTTCATGACCAGATGATGATCTGTTTTCGTTCTGTGGTGCTTTCGGTGGCTTAGAGTGCAAGCATCATGCTTCTAGTGCTGCGTAGACGATGGCGTGGAGCATCATCGTAGCTCTAGATGCATTCGACGTTGAGGTCGTCGAGTATAAAATCAGCTTGAATGTCGCAAAGTTCCAGAATGCCCCGTACCAGAATACCTATAACAGAATAACTTGAATCTACTTGAGAAAAAACAACTCCACCAAAATGTCCACGACCTTCACTATCCAGGTGTACAACTACAGTGGCGCGCCACGCAACTATCTTCTCTTCCAGACTGTGCCCGTTCCCGATGGCCAGCCGGATATCTTTGCCAACGTCTACCAGTCATCTGGACAAATTTCGAGCGGTTATGACTCCCAGGTCACCTTCGAGATGACCGATGAGTTCTTTGCGGTGCTGGGAATGAACCCTACTCCGCTCGCCGACAAGGTCAAGGTCACCACGGGTTCCGCAGCGTCAGTCACCCTTTCTAGTGGTGAAACGCCCCCGGAGCAGCACGGCACCCTGTGTGTGTTGACCACCTCGAGCGGCGAGTATCCCAGTTGGCAGAACGTCAGTCAGACTCAGAAGACTGAGCCCAATGCCTTTTGCATCTCCTGCGATGGCACGTTCGAGTATCCCACGGAGAGTAGGTCCTCCTGCTGGTTTCCGTAAAAACTGGCAGTCCAGCTAATCTACAAAATACAGCCAATATCTTCATTGGTATGGGGGCTCGGGATCCTTCCACCCAGGGCATCATCCCGGTGGCAACCGTGCCCGCAAGTCCCAACTACGATTTCTACTTTCAGCCAATCGTCAAGTACTACATTGGCACTGGTGACTATGAGCCCGGAACCGTGGTCAACATCACGGAGATTGGACCAGTTTTGGAAGTGGACTTCACCCAACTACCCGGAACCACGGCCGTCTACACCCAGGGCCGGGACAATAATTACACCCCGGGTCCCCCGTCTGATAGCGAGGCTGCCAAAGGTCACAAGAAGAAGTAACTGACCGATTTGGGAAGTGTACCCCTTCAACCGGGGTACAAAGCATAGGGGCTCAACCGATATTCAACATATCCAAGGGAAGAACGGCAGAAGCCGGTTATGGAAGCTGCTCGCCATGGCTTTGATTGATTGCGTATCATGTAACACTCATTTAGTAGTTTCAATACTATGCTCATGGTTATCCTTAAACCAAGCAGTGACTCAGTACGGCACACTTGAAAATGTCCGAATTTTCAGGCAGGTGAATGGGCAGAAGCAAACACTCAAAGCACAGGATCAAAACTATCCAGGACATATACACGTCATGGACGATCATGATGTGCTCCATGCACTGTGAACTAAGCTATTAGGAAGTCAGAATATCACTCGTTTAAGCCAGGCCCAGCTCCCCCGGGGGCCAGTATAGCGAAGAAGCGAGCCGGGTAGCTGCACCGCGTGGGTTGGCCCTGTGCCTTGGGGCGAGATGCTTCTGTCAACCACGAAGTAGATACTTCTTGCCTCGGGTTTGATTTGAGCCCTATCTGGCTCAAACTTCTCCTGGACTGCAGTCAGTGCGGTAGAGTTGATGCTTGCAGGACAAGGGGAACCGTAGAAGTCAGGATTTGCGGTGGGGGATGATGGCTTTATGCTGGACAGGGCGTAGGGCTCAACACGGCCACCAGCCGAGACAAGGCGCAGGGCTGAGACATGCAGCAGCAAGAAATTTAGCGTGATATACTAAAATGTGCCACATTCAAAATGCACCAGAAAATGCATGATGCTTATATGCGATAAGCCTAGAGGTATATGACTAGTTAGTTATGGGGTCAGGCCCGTGGCGACGAGTGTCAATGTATTTGCTTAGTTTGGGTACACCAATGCTCCCTAGACCGGTTTGATAGGGTTATTGTAATTCTATTTTTATGGCTAGGTGTTCTCTAACATCGGTACTAGCATTCTCGATCTTCTGGTCACATTGTGTCAATTCATCGCATGAGTTTGCTCTTCTTGAATATCACCACACTTTAAAAATATGTTGCCCTTCGCGATGCGCACCAACGAGATAGTAAACAGACCTTAGATTCACCCAGGAATCGGAATAAACAGGTCTGATTCTCTGCATTTATAGCAATATCACAGTCTAAAGAATTTTGCTCCTGTCATATAAGAACTGAAGACAATCGTATGAGGAAATATACAATAGGTTCTCTCGGTGGATTCTTCAAGAGCAATTATATTCGCTCATATACTATTATTCAAGCTCATCGAATATCTACTAGCTCGCATAGCTCAGTTGGTAGAGCGCATGACTAGTAATCATGAGGTCAGCGGTTCAAATCCGCTTGTGAGCATTTCTTTTTGTGTTTTTAGGGAGTAGTCTCCTTTTTTGCTGGTTCTTTTCTCTCGCGCAACCCGCTTGATCCACTTTAAAGCGGGTGGATGTGGAACCCGTTCAAGATCGTCCGACGTGTTGTCTACCTAGTATCTATGACATGTCCAACCGCCAGAACCATGCCGTAAGCACACATAAAAATGCATAATGCCTCCGCAGGTAACCCCGCACGTACCCATCATATGAGCTGATTCTCAACACGTCTAGCTAGCTAGCTGTCATGGAAATGCTGCAATTGCTGTCCAGACATGTCCAATGCATACAGCATGACCAATTGGACATGTATTTCGATTGAATTGCGGGAACAAATTCAGCACATGCAGGTATCTCATGCAATGATCTCCACTGTATAGCACACCAGAACCAGGCTTCGTCCAATTGAACGGGCCAAGGACTGCTGTGATACAAATACGTGTCATCAGCCATCTAATGTCCTTTCAAGAGGTATTCGACATTGCCCAGGCAGCGTTGAAGCCTAGGGAGCGCGTGTTTCTGCCATTTTGGGGATTGACGTTACCCCGCAATTTCTGATTACTCACTGTCGATCTTAAGGTTCTTAAGGAGCAATTGCTCGAGACGACATTCATTGTCTCTTGTCAACTTCTCTTCCACCTGATATTGACAAAATGACTGTTCCCATCACTGATCTTCCCTCCAAGGATCGAATCGAACCAGGCTCCTTCAATGTCCCCGTGGGAAAGTTCCCCCAAACTGCATCCTCCACATCTGTCGATGCGGCCAAGGTCGCATCAGATGTGATTGATCGTTTGAATAATGCCATAAAGCAGAAAAACTACAAGGCCGTCTCAGATCTATTTCTTGAGGACGCCTACTGGCGGGACCATCTAGCGCTGTCGTGGGATTACCGAACCATCAAAGGCAGAGAGAAAATCGCCAAGTTGCTCGAGCATTCCGCACGGCTGGCCCAGATTGATATTGACCAGTCATCGCCCTTCCGTGCGCCCCATGTTGGCCCAATTGATGCGTTTGGTGAGGTTACAGGTGTGGAGTTCTTCACTACATTCGCAAACGATGTAGGGCATGGAAGGGGCGTGGTCCGCATGGCGGAGAAGGACGGCGTCTGGAAAATCTTCACTATCTTCACGACTCTCCAGGAGCTCAAGGGGCACGAGGAGGCTGTGAACACCCGTCGACCACTGGGTGTGCAGCACGGAGCGCAATTAGGCAGAAGAAACTGGCAGGATAGACGGACGTCCGACTTTGAATTCGAGGAAAAGAACCCGGTTGTCCTGGTCGTTGGTACGTCACCATCTCTCGACTGACGAGGCGTTGTACTGACTTGACAGGTGCCGGTCAATCTGGGCTCAGCGTCGCCGCTCGTCTCAAGATGCTCAGTGTCGACACGTTGGTCATTGACGAGGAGGACCGTATTGGAGACAACTGGCGGCGGAGATACCACCAGCTCGTGCTGCATGACCCCGTGTGGTTCGATCATATGCCGTACTTGCCCTTCCCTCCGAGTTGGCCGACATTCACGCCGAAGGACAAGATAGCCGAGTTCTTCGAAGCGTACGCTAAGCTTCTTGAACTCAACGTGTGGACGCGGACCAAGCTCAAATCGTCCTTGTGGAGTGATGATAAAAAGCAGTGGACCGTCGTGCTTGAAAGACGACGAGACGACGGCTCGGTCGAGAGCCGCACCCTTCATCCACGACATGTCATCCAAGCTACTGGCCATTCCGGAGAAAAGAGTCTACCCCGGTTCAAGGGGATGGAGTCTTTCAAGGGTGATCGTATTTGCCACAGCTCCGATTTTACCGAAGCAAATCCTGCGTCCAAGGGCAAGAAAGCCGTGGTCGTCGGATCAGGTAACTCTGGCCACGACATTGCGCAGGACTTTTACGAAAAGGGATACGACGTCACGATGGTGCAACGGAGCACAACATGTGTGATCTCATCCGAATCGATTGTCGAGATCGGGCTCAAGGGTCTCTACGAGGAAGGCGGCCCCCGACCGAAGACTCGGACCTGTACCTGTGGAGCATCCCCAGCGAGCTGTTCAAGGCGCAGCAGATCAAGTTGACTGTCGCTCAGAATCAACGCGATGCCGCGATCCTCCAAGCATTGGACAAGGCTGGTTTCAAGATCGACATGGGCTCGGACAACGCCGGTCTCCTGATGAAGTACCTGTCACGAGGCGGCGGCTACTACATCGACGTCGGCGGCAGCCAGCTCATCGTGGACGGCAAAATCAAGGTCAAACAGGGCCAGGAGATCACCGAGGTCCTTCCCCATGGACTTCAGTTCGCGGACGGCACGCAGCTGGAGGCCGACGAGATCGTCTTCGCGACCGGATACCAGAACATGAAGACGCAAGCGCGGACCATCTTCGGCGACGAGGTCGCCGATCGTATCGAAAGCGTCTGGGGATTCAACGAGGAAGGCGAGATGCGCACGATCTGGCGGAAGAGCGGCCATCCCGGATTCTGGTTCATGGGCGGGAACCTGGCTCTCTGCCGGTACTATTCGCGGTTGTTGGCCTTGCAGATCAAGGCCCTGGTGGAAGGTATCACCATCTATGGAGCGAAGTAGACGCATAGACTAAGTGGAAGACTGGAAAATTGCAGCTCAATATGACCGTCATAATCGTTAATTCTGCACTGGTTTCTCTATCTCAACTCAGCCACCCCTCCTGCGCTGCAACCCACACCCCCGTCGTCAGAACCATTGTATAAACAGCCGTCCTGAACTGCCCTCCGACAGTTCAGACTCATCCGTAGACGAGCCCACACATTCCCGAAGCCCCTCAAGCGGCAGCCGTTCCCAGCACCCAACCTCAAATCCCTTTTTCGTAAGCGACGCAACCCGCGCCCCCCGCCGCGTCTTCATATCCACAATGCCCAACACGAACCTTCCACTGTCCCCTCCGGCCCCAGGCGCCGGATCCGTCGACGACGAAGAGAACGACGTACTCCTTTTCTTCTCCCCCCGCCTCTTCCACTGCAGCACGTACTCCCGGTTGCCCTCGCCCTCCCGTCCCTGAAACCGATACCCACTACCGGTTGTCACACGCGCGGACCACGTGCGCCCTGTCAGCGGGAAATGCACCTCCGCCTCCGCCTGCCCCGGCCCCGGCTCCTCTTTTTTCGCTTTTGTTTTCTGTGCCGGTGGGTGGTAGATCACCCCGACGACAGCTTCATGGCTGGCATCTGCCTCTGCCTCTGAGCCTGAATTGTGATTGTGGTCATCACCAGATAACGAAGCGTATGCCTCGCTCTGGGTAATGTACATATCCCCCGCATGAAGCTTGGGAAGAGTCGCGCACGGCCGGGCCGCAAAGCGCGAAGGTTGCCAGACCTCGAGGACGGGGAGAGGCCGGGTGGATTTCGAAGAGAGGTGTTGGATTTGGAGGAGGAGTTTGGGGTGAGGCGGAGGCGTTGGCTGGCTTTTGGGGGTGGGTGGGCGAGGGGAAACACTGATTGTTCTTTCGAATGTTTGGTCTTATTCTGGTGCGGCGGGATGCTATCCTCGTTACTTCGTATTAGTAGTCTAATTCATATTTAACGCCATTTGGATTTGTGGTGCTCATACCTGGTTGCGCTCTCTGTATCGCTGTCGCTGCCGCTGGGGGCGGGAGAGATGGAGTCCATATTGTGTAGTTTGTGTAGACAGTCCAATGAACCAAATGTAAGCGCAAGAATAAAGGCTTGAGGTTAATATCTATATCTTTTAGTTGATTGATGAGCAGGTGCTGATGCTAAGCTTACTGCAAGAATGAATCCAAGTGCTTACGGCCTATTTATACATGAACCAAAGTAAGTAACACAGTCCAACGCAACATATTCCCTATGTGGAACAAATCGTATTCGTATCTAAGCTGTTGCTCAAAAACAGACAAACGGATACACGGTACACTATAGGCTAAGCTAACTAGACTAGAACCGCACCATTTAGAGACTGGCTGCTACGAGTACGAGCGGAACCAAACTTGGCAGTTGAAGGGGAACGGCGTCGGTCCATGCCGATCACCGAATTCTTCTGCCTGATTATGCTCCAGGATGATTCGTCTTTGAGGCAATCAAGCTTAAATTATTTTTGGCATCTTTTAATTAGTTGCCTCGGGAGTTCGACAGGCTGCGAGATTCATCACGGCCCAATCGAAAAAGTGGGTAAACGAGTACGAGCCCGTTGCCAAGTGAAACGGGTGATTCAGGGACGCGGACGGACAAGCCGTGATGCTAAATTTGACTATCGGAAATAATTAAGGTAAATAGTAAGCAGCAAGACTCGCAATTCACAAGGCACCCCAGCGATCATCCACTTGTCGGAGATGTTCAAACTCGTCGGCCCACCCATCATGCATAGCGTCAATTGTGATACCACGATCCTTTGCAACGGCATACAGCCGGTCGCAAGCAGCTCGAGCTTCCCGGAGAACCGCTTCTGGCGCCTGGACCTCTTTCTTCCCATCCTTGTCACCCTCATAATGCAAGTCGAGCACAAATCCCAGCTTCTTCAGCTCGGGGAGATACTCCTTCGAGGCAAAAGACTCTATCCATTTCTCCCACTTCTTCGACTGACACAGGGATGCAGGACCCCGAAAGTAGAGGGCCGACAAGTTCGGCGGGAACTTTGTATACAGGTTTGGCAGATACTCCCTATCCTCGAAAATATCCCCCACGCTCAACCGCAGCGTCCGCAGGTTCAGCAGATGCGGGAGCACACTCACAAACATACTCTCCTTCGCAAACTGGAAATCCAGCCCATGCGTCGAGCGCAGCGTCAGCGTCTGCAGATTATCAACCACATGAGGCAGCGCCACCGCCATCCGGCAGAACGCATCCAGTGCGTCGTTCTCCACGATTTCCAGCGTGTCCGTGGTGACCTGCGCAGGGGGTCGGTTCGCCGACTCCACCTGCGGATTGGGCTTCGAGTACTTGTCCGTCATCCACTGCGCCACCAGTTCAGGGATATACGTCACCTCGATCTTTCGCTCCGCCGGTGTCCCCTCATCTACTGTGATGTATCGCGGCGTTGCGTCACCGCGATCGATGGCTTCGCGATTTGTGCGCTGCAGTTCTGTGTTTGTTGGACCCTCGAATCGTAGACCGGAGGTGAAGATTAAAGCGAGGTGTTTTACTCGGCCTTGCAGGACGAAGGGCGTTTGGATGACCTCGCCCGCGGCGGAGCTGATCTCCAGTCGTTCGAGGGGCCAGTGCAGAGGCATTTCTTTATCGTTGAGGCCCTCGTCGTACCCGCTGTTCATTTCCAGGTCGCGGATGTTGGTGAAGTGCTCGCTGAGGATAGACCATTCCTTGTCCGAGGGGGTGTTTTCCTCGATCCGCAGGGAACTGGTGTCCTGGGGGATGCTCTTGAGTTGGGAGATAAGGTTGGCTTTGTGGCTGTCCTGGTCCTCGCTATTCGGCCCTTGTACCCGCACTGTGGGTGTTGAGGATCCGCTAAGATTTGGACCGTTCTGAGTAGCATCTACCGTAGCGGCGCGTAGTTGAGTGAAAGCGGGCCATTGTCTAGGCTGGCCACTGGGTTTGCTAGTCCTAAATGATGCTCCAATTCGCTGAGTTGTCCTTCTGGAAGGAAGCGACCAAAATCGCCCCTTGAGGCAGGTGGATAGATAATGACTGCGCTACTCTGGTCAGCTCCAATTCTGATTACGACGGGCGGTAGTCAACTCACCATGTTGATTCTGTAGTAAGCAAGGGATGAGTAGATGACGAAGTGTTGGAGTGTTGTCCAAATTGAATATCATCTTATCGGGTTATCCTTATCGCTTATCTTATCATTGGGTTGTTTGCTCTGTTTGTTATCCATGTATGCTCGCTGCCTGAGGCGGCCAGAGAGGATTTGCTGTTGATCATTTGATATCACTCAATCAACTCCATTCCCTTTTGCCAAGCCTTGAACATGACGATCATATCCTTAGTGGACGACTTTCTATGCCAGTTGCCAACTCAGAACGACTGAGCCCTACAGATGACGACATTGACTTAAGATTAGCAGACAGGGCTCCATGGAAGACTATTCACTTCTTTGACCAGAAGCTGCGCTTAATCTACTAGACAAGACTTAATGAGAATAGTACAGTGCTTGGGATCTAAACAATCTATACAGCTATTTGGTGCATTCACAAAGTAGGAAGTATCATTCTTTGATAAGCCGCTGACATTGACCATATAAACTACTTGTCTGTTGTTGATATAGGATATAAACCTGCCATTTGCACCCAACCTTTGCTTCAGTATTCAAATCAAAATATCGTCTTCAGCCGAGACAGCTGCCTCAACGCCAGAGTGGCTCCATAGTGCAACTACATTACCCATCGAGGTGAACTCATCAACATTTTTCTAATACTATTTAAATTTGGACCGTTCTGAAGAGATTGTGTACAAGCAGGACCCCAAACTCCGACGAGAGTCTTTCTCCCCTCCTTCTGGGCCCCGGGGCATCCAGCTCGTACTCCTCGAGTTGTTACATTATCGTTCCTCTTCTTTCTTTTTCTTTGCTTTCCTCAAGAGCACAATCATTGAGGACGTTTGCTTTCTTTGCTAGATACTTACAGTATCGCTTTGAAGAAATCGTACTACCGGCGGATTGACATCCCTTCATCGATTTCCAGGTCAAGGGCAGGCAAATTCTTCCTCAGCGAGCCCCAACAAATGTCATGTGTAGAGACCATCTGGTGAAGCGAGAAGCCGTATAGAACCATCTCAATAAGAGCTGGAATCTCTGGAATCTGTAAGCCGGGCCGTTTCGTTGCTCGTTCTCGGCTGATCTTTCAGGAGGAACTACGACAATACCACAACACATTGTGGCTGCGAATGACGGCAACTGGGCAACCATTCTAATGACATTTCCGTTTTCAACAGAATCTGGGACATTGCCCTGACGATCTTCTGGACCATGCTTGAGGAGACATTGTATATCTGAAGACTGACCCTTACCGTGGCATGGACATCCGAGAAGCGATGACGCAGGTCGGCCTCACTCAGCAGAACGGCCTGCCAAATGAGGATAAGTGACAGAATCTTTTGTTTGATACCTCCTAGATCGGGGTCTCGAGTAGGGCAGAATGCAGAAAAGAGCTGCCCTCCCCATGGCATCCGAACCACGTTGTGTTTCCTTGACACCAAAGAAAGGTCCACGATGAATTTCATAAGCAGGACTCTGGGAGGCTCTATGCCCCGTCCGATCACGACGCGTAGCCAACCAACTACCGTTTCTACTATTCATCACCCCTATTTTGAAATTTTAACTACGGCAAGCCTTACGCTTACGTCAATCTCTACAAACTCGCTGTGGACACCTTGGAATGCGTCGAATGCCGACGCATTCCACCATTCATTCACCCTTAACTAGCGCTGTGCAGAGACAGACGACAACCCACTCACCGTATCCATCTAAGGAGGACGACTCGAGTAGTTCAAACAGGAAACCGCTCATTTTCGTTTTCGGGACACAGCGATGGTCACCTCGTCCCATGCAGCTAGCGACAAACATAGTCGGGGAAGTCGCCAAAGAAGGATTTAGAGGTTCAATCCCGGTCTGGAGGATTAGGATAAAATCATGGCATTGGTGACGAATGTGGGAGTAACCCCAACCTGTTTTCATGGAGAGACATGTTTCTAGTCTTCTTTCTCATACATCACCAAGAATTGCGTAGTGTGGAAAGAGAAGATGCTTCAATAATTTCATCACTTGAAGTCAACAACAGGACAACCCCCCGGACGCCATTTGACAAACTCCAATACTTAGTATAACAAACCTCACTCATAATACAATACAACCAGACCTAAGATCAAGGAATCGCAGCCAGCGCCGCAACCCCCGCTCCAACCAAAGGGAACACCCCCTCACAGCATTCAGCACCCCCATCTCTCCAAAAGCGACTCAACCTCCGTCCTCGTCGCCTCAATCTCATCCTTAGAACCCACCTTCGCCTCCAGCGACCGATTCGTCCCCATCATAAACGCAAGCGTAAACGGAACAATCCCCACGGTCAACATTCCCGAAACAGCATACAGGAAACTACTATTCGGCGCTGCGACCAGCGACAACGCCGTTCCATCACGGACCGACCAGGCCAGGTAGAAGAAGACTGCGGCGGTGGCGGCCGCGATGGGCGGGTTCTGCATCTTGCCGGCGTTGTAGATGTCGGCCCAGATTTTGGCGGTGGCGGAGGGGTGACTTGTTTTTCGTGGAGGGATTGGAGGAGGGCGGGAGTGGATATCAGGCTTAGGGAGAATATGTTGCCTGTTTATGTCAGTGTCAGTGTTTGCTATGTTATGTTGAGGGTGGTGGATGGAAGGACCTGAGAGCCAGGCGGCGCCTGTCAAGCCTAGGACTTGAGCTGCGCGGAATGTGGTTGGAAATTCGCTCATTGTGACTTGTTGTAGTTGTAGCTTTTCAGTATAGAGGATGGGGAGTTGTGATAATGGGTTGATGTCGATGGATGGATATAGGAGCTGTCTTATAAGAAGACGGGGCTATGACGACATTTATGGATTTGACTTTGGATGGGTCATGAGACTGGTCCATTTGAAACCACTAACTGAGGATCTTTTTAGAAGTATTGCAGGCTCCTGCAATATTAAGCTTGCTAATAGTTGGATCATGCCATTCCTTATTCTATGGTACTTCGGATTCTGCACTGTCGGCTTTTGCGGGCTTTGGAGTCCGAGTGTGGATCCAAAGGCCAACAATAAGCACATGCGTATCATGATTCACGATAACTAGATATAGAAGTGATCTAGAGGTATAAAGACTAGCAGATTAGCTACCGCTAGAATACTGACTTTATCAGATTACCTAGATTTATCAGACTGCGTGGAAAGTCTCAGCTTCCGCAATTCATCCCTGTTGCTGTCGTAGAGCAAATTCGAGGCTTTTCCTGATCATTGGTGACCGTGAGCAGCTTCCCTATCACTCTGAGAGAGTCTTCTGCGTCTTCATAATGTGTCAATTCCCTCTCATAATGCCTAAAGGCCAGGCTTGGCATTGAAAACCTTGATGTAACAGGCCAGGCACGCCGCGCTTAGAAGATATGACCTAGGTCCCTTTGAATAATAACCAGGCTTGTGGAAGGGAAATACACCTTAATTTCAATGGATGGAACAAGCCAGATTGGCCACACTTGGCAAAGCTTGTTTTCATTAAAGGCTGGCTAGCATTAGTACAACGTCATCTCATCCTCTGCTTTTCGGACGGAGCCAGAGCCCGAAATGATCAGGGCCGGGGACATGAAAGATGGGCGGAGCAGCTGTGCTTTTCTAAGGTTTGCCTTTGGTCTTCTTGCCTCCGTGACCTGTTTCCAAAAGAATGCTAGGAGCTTCCATCCGTGCAGCACGTCGTACGGGTTCAGTTGCACCGGCTCTGCCTCTAGACTGGAGCGCCAGAATAGGGATGTTTACATGCATAAGCTTCACAATGTACCACAACACAGCAAGTTCAGGAAGCTGACCAGGCTTGACCCTAAGAACTCCAACCTGGGGCATGGCTGCAGCCATGATGGCCGTCGTTCTTTCGGTGATTGGTGCATCTGGTTGTAATGTCTTTGGTGGCAGCATCACGGTTAGAAATCCCACACAGCGAGACCGAAGCAACCCGCAAGCCAAGGGTCCTCAAAGATGTCCTAGGCAACTGCTTTTGTCGGTTCTGCGCGTTGTTGCTTCCTAGAGAGAGAGTTGGCCGTCCTCCTGCTCTCTGCTCACCACTTCTGCTTTGCCTTGTCTACTGCCTTCTGGTCCTTTGCGATGTTCTGATGGCTTTATTTAGTTTTCGACCATATGTTCCAATATTTCCCAGTTCGCGTAAATTTGATGAATTCTGTTATCTTCTCACGGCCACTTCGTATAGGCGGAGGAGAATCTGTTTCCCGGTCCTTTCGACCTTTTATATCACCTGTGTGACTTCTAACACTGCGTCCCCTGCTATCCACGTAGACAAGGCTGCCGAGCTCATGTCCACACGGCCGAAATCAGTAGTAATATACACTTAGTATAGAGAGGAAAGTTCCTCGTCACTCCAGAGTCAGCAGGTTTGCTGTTAACACGGTATCCATTATCGCCACCGGTACCAGGGGTAGGAGTACTAGTACTACTAGTAGTAGAACTAGTAGTAGGAGTAGTAGTAGGCTTGTGCAACAGTTCATCTTCGTCAGCCTTTACGGGCTCAAAGACGTTGACGGACTCCTTGCCACCGCAGACCTCGTTCTTGTCACCGCTGCAGGGCAGGTTACAGTCAGATTGATCACGAGCGTGCTCACCAGCGACGAATGGGCTGCACCAGCACTCGTTACCGGCCTTGACGCCTGCAAACGTGAGCGCCGCGAGATAGCAGGCATTCTGGCACTTGGCGATCGTCAACGCGGGGTCACCACCCTCCTTGCTCACGCGCGTCTGGAGAAGCGGCAGCAGATTGGGGTCGTCGAAGTAGCAGCCCAAAGAAGTCCACGCAGTCGGAAAAGGTCCCAGGGTGGTTTGGGTGGTGGTAGGAGTGCTTGCTGGCGTGGATGTTGTGGTTGTCTTGGTTGAATTGCTGAGTCTCTCCTGGGTCACGATGCAGTAGGATTGGTATTCCCACGGCTCGCAGTCGAGACTGACTGACGGGTTCCATTGGGTGAATTGCTCAGGCGTGATACCCCAGTAGTTTCTGGCTTCCTCGCATGTAAGCCCTTCATCATTGTCGTACCACTCAACACAGGAGGCAATTGTGTCAGGGTCCCATTGTAGTGCTGGAGTCTGGCTGCTGGCGCAGAAGCGCAGGCTGACAAGTAACCCAAGTGAGAATAAGACGGACTTCATTGCAGAATGAGAGAACAGATGAGTGGAAGAAGGCTGACATAAAAAGCACTGAGCTGTAGAAGGGGAAAGACAAGGCGAGTCAGTGTCTAGGGAAGAGAGAAGATTGCTTTTGGGAAAGCTTAACCCGTCATGAATTTAATAACAAAGCAATAAAAAGGAATCAACCCATTAATGAACTGTTCCGCTCTTGGTCGACTCTGTCCGAGCCCAGGGTCTTTGGCTTAAACTAGTGGGCTTGTCAGGGTACTCCATTCTCTAGTAGGACCTGGAAGCCTTCATTTTGACTACTACAGCACATGCAGTTGGATACATCCCGAGGATATAAAAAGGGGCGCTAAAAGGCACTACTACCCCTGTTCTGTCCGCGTCTAAATCCTTTTCTTCCACCAACCTGCTCAACCTTTTTAAGACTAACCATTGCTCCCTATCTGTTAAAGTGCATTTCTCTGCCTCCTAAGACGCCAAGAGGCACACTATCAGCTAAACCGCCCCCACTGAAAAAATTCCGTCGCCCAGCATGGCCGCGTTCCACCTTTTTCCCCACCTCCCCTTCGAGCTTCGTGCTCAAATCTGGGAGTTAACAGTTGAGCCGCGCACTGTTGAAGTCCGCGTTAAGAAAGAAAACGGATCTTGGGGCAAGATTCTGCATGTAACCTCGTCAACACCAGTGCCTGCAGTCCTTCAGGCCTGCCATGAAGCCCGAAGCCAGGGGCTGTACCAACAGGCCTTCAAGTTCCCCTTAAGGGGGTTGAGTTGCGGTATGTCTGGGTGAACTTTGAGATTGACATGATCTCAATCGGACGAACTGATTTTGATACAATTGAACCTACTGAAAGTCTGCTGATTCGCCGGCTTACCTTTGAGCGTGAGATTAATGAATCCTTTTTCCACTTTCAGTCCTACGAGCTAAGAAAATTGTATCCTAATGTGGAGGAAATCCATGTCATCTGCGAAGATGGCTTAATGGCATGGCAGGACGCCTGGGAATATGCTCCCTGGCCATGTCCAAAAAAAAAATCTGAGGTTCATTGACAAGGAGACGGGGCAGATTGCGGTTGGCGAGGATCTGGATACGATGGTGGATGAATGGATCGCGTCTCTGCCTGATGGTCCTGAATGATTATTTAACCGCCTGTCTTATAGTTCGTAGAACTTGCTATATTCTATGGCTCAATATTTGACAGATCTGTCAGGAAGATACTGAATCTCAGAGCTCGCTCACCCCCGTTTTTCCACGATAGATTTTGCTCACCAAATAAGGTACATAGTGCAACCTCAATACATAGCTTTCTCTCCAACTCGGAAGGGGTCATAAATAGTAAGGTTCATAGTGACAAGTCGACAGCGTTTTCTTCGTCCTGACCCTGGTCCAGAATTAGAATCACCAAAAGGGCCAGGGTCGTGGATCGAATGCAATATGTGACAGTGTGCAGTGTCATTGTCGACTGCTCTGAGACGCCAATGCAAATCTACCTCATTAGAAATCGCGTCCATATTTAAGGGCGTTGATATGGCTCACTACTCTCAACGCCTGGAAGGCGGGAGTAGACCTTAAATCTGGCATCTGCGATTGCTGCCTCTGCAAAGTGGAATGGAGTATGTTCTGCATCACCTTCCTTTTGAGTTTCGACTTTCTTTCACATTCCCTTGTCGGCGATGGTCTTTCTGGCATCAATTTGCTCGAGTACCACAATGTCCGAGGCCCGCTGAACTGAGGTTGGACGGATGGACTTGAATTCAGGCATAGTCGTTTCTAGGAAAGCGGGTCTCAAAGTCGAGGAAAAGTACTTGGACTCTATTGTAGAAACATATCGTGTGTATGGAGGAAGGATCAAGGCCAGCGACATGTGCAAGCCATATTGACAGTGGTAGTAGACCACGTTTCAATGTCGTCATATCGCATAGGAGATTCTTGAGTGAAGTCTTTGTCGAAGCTTGATGCGAAATGGATTGGCCTAGTAAGTACGGGCCGCTTCCTGAATGACTTTAAAAGCACCTTATTACCCTTTCGTGGCATGTTGTTCTTTGCGCTCTTGGGTATATCTTTGACGAACCCACGTCGAGGTTCAAATTTTCTTGTTCCCTCGGCCACCGCAAGGTTCTTGATGGCGGCCCCCAGTTGGATATTCACTGCCCATAGCTGCCAATATACTGGAAGGTATGAAAGTCTGAAACCCCCTTTTGTCCACTATAGGCTGTATGCATCTCCTGGGGTGCGTGATTCACCCATCCACAGGGCTAAATTCCCAGTGCAAAATGCCATTCCAAATGCCGTTTATATGGCCCTCAGTGGTCGTGCTGCCCTTTTTACAGTTCGTCAGGGGGCGTCGTGAGGAAGGCAGCAGCCCAGTGCCGCATTGGAAGGGGACACATGAGTGCAGTCCTTCTTCAAGCAGCCAGCGCTTGCACTCCTGGTTCTCTACACAACAAAAAACCCCTTGCTTTTGCTTTGCGCAGAAGAACCGCTCGCACTATTAATGAGGCGTTTGAACGACAGCTTTAGCTCTGTCACTACGCCGGTGTCGTCCCACCGCAGTTGGCCGAGGAGGGCCCCGGCGATGCGCGTCCTGGGACGTCAAGAAGACGGACGGCCCCCAAGGGCTGGTTATCGAGAACATCATGAATTCGCGGTAGAAATCGCCGTTGGCTTGCGTCGGGATCCCATAGCATTCCTCGGGATTGGTAAGGCTGGATGACCTCGGCCTCCGCGCGGTCAGCTGCCTCACCTGCCGTGTGGTCATGACCTGGGATATTTGTCGAACGGGCTGCGAGGACCATGGGCTCTAGGAGATCATGAAGCTGCGCGGTAACTGGGGGAGCGTCTTCACTGTATTATTGCATTCAGTCCAGCGGGAGATGCTGTGCTCCTGGAACAATGACCACACTTTCTGGCGTTCGCGCTGTCCAAGGTGGAGTGGACCCGCCTGACACAGTGAGTTGATATCGAGTGGTGGCTCGATCAGGGCGACCCTGCTGCACTCTGTATGCAAATTCAGACCATGAGCCCCCGCAGTGGTACAAGGTAAGCAGAATATCGCACTTCAAATCGGGCCATCTGAAGTTTTGCATTTGGCACAGTACAAATGAGAGTAACTCCACCATTTGTACATACATCATAGCATATCACTCCTTAGTGTTCGAGTTCCTCAATTACTCCACGAGAGAGCGAAGCCAAGTAACGATAGTCACTTTGGCCGCTAAGTGAGGTCGTAGCGATGTTGGGGGGACTGCTTGAGAAGTGGTATGATTAGGTAGAAGAGAGCTGGCACATATTTCTCCTGATGGTTGTGTGCGTACGAGCATCGGCTGCTGAAAAAAGACAGTCTGGGTATTATCCAGGCATGGAACAGGGTGAATGACGCCATGGGAGGCAATGAGGATATCATTCACCTAAATTAGATGTCCCATATGGAGCTAGTAACTGATCCAAGGTTGCGTCAGAATCTTCACAATTATTTTTGGAAGATAGTGAATGCCTATAATTAATCCATATGTACCTTATTCTTTCTGAGATAGACATGACTGAAGATATAGCTTCAAAGGTGAGTTGTCTTGGGTCTTTCAGATAGGTGATGAAGCAGGAGAGAACTAGCCAGTCATATTATATATATGTTTGGAGAAAATGAGCAATGCTACTATCTGTACTTACTCTGGACATGGCCCAAAACTGTTGAAGGCATTTCTATGTGCTTCCTACGCCAATTTTCTTCCAAGAGAAGCCAAAGCTCAGCAAGGGAGCCACAGCAGCAGTGGCTGTGGGGAGAAACTATGACAGTAGGTCAGTGAGCTTTGAATACTTCAGACTACAGGTAACTCACAAAGATCTTGACCAATGCTTCATTATACGCGCATCGAACTCCGGGAAGCTGGTCAGTAGGCAAAACATCGGCCTATCCTGTGCGCCGGCATCCAGGATGAATGCTGCATCAACATTTGGCGCGTACTTTTCCAGAGCTGGGGTCAAGCCATTCTGGAAGATGGCCTGCGCCACGGAGATGGCAACGGACCCAGTCAGATATTGACACAGCGCAATAGCAGAACTGGCAATAGCAATGGCGTCGCTGCTTAAATATTCTTGGCTTGCGACGATGGGATAGAAAATGCTGTCAGGCCTTGCATTGTGCTCGGTTCCCATCCAGGCACCCACTACTAACCATGTTTAATGCTGCACCCTGTCCGAACCCTGTAATAACCTGATAACCGATAGTCTTTCCCTTGCTCGTATCTGCTGTGAATGCGGTCATGGGTCCAGATCCGACTGCTGTCGTCACACTGCCAATGATTGCCCAAGGTGGAACGTAATGGACCTTGCGAACTGCAGAAACTAGTTAGCCATTCAAAGTCCATGTTTCAAAGAGAGATTGGACTCACTTTACCAAGTGCGCCCGACGTCGGTAAACCTAGGATCTGACTTATCATTGTCGGCAGCATCATGAGGCCGCTATCGGTTGGCGAGGCTCCCTTGACAGCCTGAAACCACAAAGGTAGGTAGTAACCCACCATGATGGTGGCACCACCTTGCAGACCGGAGATCCAGCGGCCAAAGAAAAGATTTCGCTCGCGAAGAATATGAGGTGGAATTAAGGCCTCATCACCCTGATGGATAGCCCATGTGATGAAGAGTGCCAGTATACCACCACTTCCACAGAGAAGACCAATCACTTTTGCCGAGCTCCAGGGGTAGGTTGCTCCACCCGTTGCTCCAACCCAGTTGATGGCAGTCAGAAACATGGTAGAGGCAATGGCGAAGAGCGCAAAGCCCAAGGGATCGAGCTTTCTGGGAAGTTGGACGAGAACAGAGCTCATTGGGGACTCCCAACCAGTGGGCCAACAATACCCCTATTGCGATCATAGAGATTCCACAAGCAGTTACAAGAGGTCGAGTCTTGGGAGGGGAGCACGCCGTCAGAATAACGACTGCTCCATTGAAAAGGCCCGAAGCCCCGAACCCTGCAACAGTCCGACCAGCGATGACCATGCTGCTTGATGTTGAGAGCGCACAGATGAGTTTTCCGAGCTCAAAGAGGGCCATAAAACTGACATACAGGTACTTTTGAAGGAGATAGATGAGTTAGCTGTGGTACCTGTGCTCATATAGGGCATAACTGAGGGAGCATGCTTTCAAGGGGAATACAGTATACATCTTGCCTGCAAGCGGTTGCGTTGCACATCTGACCAGTCAGTGTCTGAACACAAAATCGACATGTACACGGAACATCGGAGGGCCACCTTACGAGCCAGAAGGAAGGCTGAACCATACCAATTCACATCCTTAAAACTGTCAAAGTAGTCCGAGATTGTGGGAACGGCCTAGCATTATTGCATCAGTGTTTAGTAACCCTACCACAGCAAAGACACTTCTATGGAGACTCACTGTTGCGACCACATTCATATCCAGGCCAAGGAGAAGCATTCCCACAATCAGAGCTGTGATGAGATTATACAAAGGAATCCCTCTGAGATAGGTATATCGAGAACCCAATTCATCATGACCACTGACCGATGCTGGTCCATGGTTTTGAGCATCAGGCACCTTCTCCGTGTCCAGTGGGCGTCCAGCTTCAGCTTTTCGAGGGCACAGGCTGACGTGACTGACTTAACTGTGTATGTTTGATTGAAGCAGTTTGCGGGAGGCACGCAAAAGGATTGAGGGACTTGGGGAGAAATGAAGAGATGGGGGTGGTGAGGTGAGGCTGTTGGGAAAGGGGGAGGCTCCAAGGACATTTTCATAACAGGACAGGCAGGCAGCATAACCAGAATATTAATACCACCACAGCTGATAACTCATTATCCTGAAAGTGATCATTAAGTGTGTGTCACAGATCCCACCATCCCTGGTTGTGTTCCTCTAGCAAATCAGAGAACAGACTCACACACAGTGACCATTTGCAGCAGCATTTGAGGTCAATGAACTGCGCACGTTCGTTAAAGCTGGAGATTCTATGTGTAAATCAGCTATCTTTCCCATTCTGAAAACCCCCAGGCCAGTGGGATTCATGTTTATGTTCCCATAGAGGATGTTCCCCGATCAGGCTAAGCGCCGCATAAATCCAATTTTGGTATCTATGATCACTCCAAGTGTGTCGAATTTTTCCAACGAACTCATGCCCAGTTCAGATACCAGCTAGGTGATTCTTTCCCTTGTGAAAGTAGTGAGGTTGCAGTAAAACACTTTGGATAGCTGAGATTCGGAATACCTCCTCGTTTTCAATAATGGCGGCGTCAAAGGGTTATTTTGCCAGAGCAATGCACTTTAGCTTAAGCATGGCTAATGTAGGTATCAGGCCATTGCATTGGATCAAGCTTTAGTCATGTAATTAGTGGACACATCAGCAATCATAAAAGGCTACTCCCCCGCAGAACCACAATATTTATTGCCTTGTTTCCTCATGAATCAAAGCTTCACTATCAACTAGACTAATACAGCCCACATAAACCAACCTCCCCCACTGCGAGCTCTTTATCAGTATATGCATTGCATCTTGAAAATCCTCAAACTAATAGCCGTTCTCCTTCCTGATCGGGAACATCATGGCGTCTGCTGATAATGAAAGGCCTGCTCGAGGGCGCAAAGGGCGCACAATCATTGTGGTATGCACTATCAGTAATATTGTGATTTTACATCCTTCTGCCTGTCTTCCTGATGCTTAGAAATTTTTCTAGACTGAACCTCCCATATTTCCAGAAGTGAACCTATCAACCTTCCTCCACACTATCCTGATCACCACCACAACCTCAGGCCAGCAACAACCTACTGAGAACTGCACGATACACCACTGGGAACATCCTGTCTCAGCTACATTGAAGGGTTCCGCGAGCTGAGCCGTCTAAAACTGCCTCAGTCTCGATCCTCTCCGCAGGAGATACATGACTATCTATCTTTGTTAATCCGGGAAATATCTGTTGCACTTTGCCCGACTGGTGATGATATTGAGAGTCATCAAGAAGCGATTCTCCAACTAGTGAGAAGGTTAGAAAAGACGTCTCTTCTGATACGGACAGGGAAGTGCCGCTGTTCTGTGCGCACGTAATTGGAAGCACTGCAGACACGCTGTTTGCAGACGAAGACAGTGTTTGGAGATGGGAAAAGCCCACGAGTGTGTATTACACGCCCTGGAGGAAGGGGTGGGTAAGTACTATTGATGATGCTGTAGAGGCAGCAGTTTGGCAAGCAGGGCGGAACTGTTCACTTCGAGTTGAAGGGGTGGATAGAAGACAGAAGGATTTCATGTTTAATAGGGAAGGCCGTACCTCGTTGATTATTCCTCCAAAGTCCTTCAGAGAATGAGCGTGGGGAAATGCTATGTACCTGTTATTCTACCTGCCCTCATGATTATAATTTACACCACATATGTTGGCCCATGCTTGAGTTAGTGTGGATGCAGTGTCTGTCAATCGGGGACAGATTCGTCGCAAGAAGTCGACGGATTCGGTCGGTTGCACACCGATGAGATTGTGGTCGACTGGTCCATGCGATTCAGTGAGGGATAGTCCTCGTGATTCAGTGAAGGGTCGCTGGGAGGTGGTGGTCGTGTTACATCCGATCTCGACTTGCTGCTGCTTCCCGTGCTCATGTAGTTGGTCGAAGAAGTCTATGATTACTTCTAGCTCTTCTGGGAGCAATGGGAGCTGATTGTAAACGCAGCGGTGTCACGGAGGAAGCTAACAATCTGCCAGGTGATATTGACACTGCTAGCAGCGGATTCGACGGACCACAATGAAGACATGAGCGCGGTTTATCAACATTTTCTCAGTCTGTGTGTCAACAAGGGTAGATCGGGCAGCTCAGACAGGGCTCTAACGATTGCTAAAGTTCCCTCTCATCTATGGTGTAGTTCTTTAAAAGCAGCATCTGCAGCCTCGAGCTGCTCCTGAAGGCCTTTCAGCGACTCCTCCAACTCTCATTTGCGCTGGAGTTGCTAATCCTTGACTATCTTGAGCGCACCAAGATGGCCGAGGAGTTCCTCCTTACAAAAGTCCGCTGGCCAGGCATGACTCACTACTCGTGCTTTTTATCCATTTCTTGATAAAATCAACCCTTGAAGGATTTTTGGAGGCCAGGTCTGCCTGAGATATTGCAATCAGCACTTGAAGATGGCATGACTCATGTTGTTCAAGGATATCTTGATAGTGAAATTAACCCAACCTCTATGACAGGAACATAGTGCAAAAGGGAACGCCATTATTATTATTTTCTGCTATGCATGGCTGTACATAGTTTATTACCCTACTTATTAAATATGGCGCTAGAGTCAATAAGCTAGGTTTCCATGGCTAAACTCTATCATCCTAGGCAGCTATATATAGTTAACTTGATGCTGTAAAGCTTCTGATTAATTATGATGCAAATGTTAATACAAAGATAAAGATCGGGGAACTCCTCTTAGTTAGGTGGTCTATATAGGCATCAGAGATGAGATATAAGAAGTGAACAACATGAAAAATCAACTTTATTAAAGTACTACCATCTTATTATCCAGGGCGCTAAGGCCAGAATTAACCATTCCTTCTTTTTTAAACATCATTTAGCTTATAAGATTAGGGGAAAGCGGAACATGCTTTGGTTTAGAGCTAAAAATAAGAGTACTAAAGTTGAGACTATACTTATACTAATTTAAGGTTGGAAGATATCTGAGTAATTTAATTAAGCACTGAATGGAAATTTAAGGAAAGGCTATACTTAAAGGGCGTTCCACAGAATACTCTCTATTGTACTATACTAACTTAAAAGGGACTAATAGATCTTGAATGTCTAGTACCATAAGCCTGGTCTGGTTGGGATACAGCCAACAGGTGAAATTTGTCACTGTTCCTGAGCCTGAGCGTACTATGCTATTCAACCACTTTTATATTTATAGGAAACAGAAGAAAATGGAGATGGGTCTAAGTAATTAAGGCTAGACATATAGTTCTTTATAGTATAACCTATGATGTTATACTTCCCAATAGATATGGGGAGAAGAGGGAGATTATTGCTTAAGGAGACTGGGTTTTAAGACAAGCCTCACTAGGAACCTTGAGTGGCTTGTGGAGCCTTTGCCACATAAGTCTGTCAAACGACAAGTTGTCTAAGAATGAGGTAAGAAAAGGAGACTGCATAACCTTCGGTGTAGTATGGGTGCTTCCTCTACTTAATGCAGGTAAAGCCAGAAAAGATGCTGTGGTTTCATTGGCCTCTTAAGGGTAATTACTAGATCAAATATTCAAAGCAGACGATGGGGACGGCATAGATAAGACAAAAAAGACTACGCATTCAGTCATCTGTCACTTCCTGGTAAATATTGGCCCTTTGATTCCACGCCTCATGCCTTCTCTACCACAAAACGTGTGGCATCTTCGATCGCTCCAGTGCTCGCATAAAGCCTAGTATAGCGATTCTCATCTTCGCCTGCCTTCCAGTACATATGCCAGAGTGTGCGAAGGACAATAGTACTACCGTCACGAATCCTGTTGCTGCTTCGGGGGTTGGCAGGATCGTATGGAAGGAACGTCTCCCAGTCGTCTGCTGGGCCCCAGCCCACACCCCAGTACATAAAGCCTCCGGAGTTCTTCGCGCAGGACACCACAGTATCGTCACCAAACCTGCTGTCGACATGAACAAGCCGGACATTCCCGTTGGCGCCACAGGAGTCGGCGTCCAGATTGCCACTGAACGCCCATTCCCAAGATGAGTCCTTATGATACTGCCGGATCAGAAAACAAGTATTATCCGCTGGCGCGTTCACCAGGGTCAGTAGGCTGAGATTTGTATTACCGGGGGAATTGGTGTCCACGGCGACGTAACGCCCGTCCAGTGTCCTGAGTCGAATAGTGCTCAAATAGTTGACTGTCCCACCAAGAGGGATTTCAGGGTTCTGAGCAAATTTATTCAAACAAATGACGTGGGAGATACCAGGCTCATTCCAGCCTTCATTGACAAAGTCACGCTTGACGATACCTAACTTATCACCAGGTTTGAACTTGGTGAGCCATTCGTTGAAGACCGGCGCTGCTCTGCTGTCGCAGTCACTGGGGTGATGACCAGGCATGAAGGACCGCTTTGGTGTGTCGATGAGCTGGGTTATCCAAAGCCTCTCCTTCTTCCACAGACCCAGGGCTTCGTCTAACCAATTCACAATCTCCTTGGGTGATTTGTTCTCGTAGTCATCCGCCCAATTATCACGGATATTGACGGCTTGCGGAGCCCAGGGCTTGCCACTGTCATAATGTTTTGTCACACCGTTGACTTCCTCATCTTCGCCCCAGATGATGATGTATTGCTTCCCGTCCTGCCGCAGCTTAGCCCAGGTAAGGTCAGTGTTGTACATTTTGCCATCAGGGCCGACGTGGGCGGTTGCAAATGCATCTTCTCTGCCGTCTCCTACGACTTTGATCAACATGGCCAAAACGTCGCCTGCGAGACCACCTCCATGGGCGAGATCGAGATCGAGGAAAAGAAATTCGGATTTATGATAGTCGGCAAAACTTTTGATTTGATAAAGGACAGTCTCAAAGGGTTGGAACGTGATGATACTGTGTTTCATCACCAAAGTATTCCCCTCGCGGGTGACCCGCATATCAAACCACCGGGACCCTGCAAGGAGCTGGCCGGTGTAATCCGCAATCTGGCAGATACTGCCGACAAACTCATGCATTCCATTGTCGCCTCCATCGTATTTATAGGCAGACGCATCGTGACTGCAGGATATGTACGAGTCGATAACGCGTACGCTGGGATCCAGGTACTTCATCCAGTTGGCTAGATCAATGGCCGTCATAGTTCGGAGCAGAAAGTGTCCAATATTATCCAAACTTGATTAAAGCAAGAAAGATAACAGTCCAGAGGTGAGGTTTGGATTGTCCTCGGAGCGAAGTGTCTCCCTGGAATTTGGACAAGTAGAGGTTCTGGAGGGGAAGTTTGAGGGTCTTTTTATATTATGAAAGTAAGTGATCCTCATACCTTGTCGTGGTATGCCGAGAATCCTCATAATGAGCCACCTCTGGGTAAGAAGAAGGAATGAAAGACAATCCCCCACAGATGGCTGGCTGAGAATTGCAATAGCCGGCCATGTCAGGACATGTTAAAGTTCAGCCAGAGACCTATATCCAAGTGCGCAGCTGCAAACTTCTCAAAAAGTTGAACTCTTTAATCTGATTTAGCACCGCTGACGCGCATTATCACATCGTCACAAGTAAGTCGATATCCTAGAGTATCCGAGAACCCAATTGCGCTGGTCGGGTTATATTTCCTCGAGTAACTGGGGGCATATTTCTTTTGTTCATCGCTCAGCCCTGCGGATCACTCTGCAACTGAGGCCGAAACTCTTGTTCTGATTTGGAGATCCAACCAACAGGTCCAGACTGTTCGTATCGATCAAACCTTAATACCTTCCCACCAGGTTGCAAGAACCCTCAGGATTGGACAGCTACTACTCCGTACAAGGCGACTGACACGCCGAGCTGAATAGGAGACAGCCACCTAAGGCAACCGCGCCAGTGTCTGCCTCTCAGCACTACTACATCATGGCTCAGAGGGCAGGATATGACAGTCAGAGAAGTCGTGATTCTCTGGGCCGCCGAGAACACAGGGCCATCAGTCAGATGGTCAACTACGGTTATAATTAACGATAGGCCCCGGCTTAACGATGCCGAAGAAGTAAGGTAGTTGGTACTGATTATATTCTTGAGCGCCCGTAGACGTGTCCATGCGAGCACTGCTTTGAAAGCAAGCAAGCATTTTTCCCTGCGGCTGTGCACTACTGAGACCAAAAGCAAGCGGATAGATGGTAAAAGATAGTGCTGGTTTTGACAAAGATGACCGCCTTGGGGCCTGTATTCCTGCAGGCTATACAAGGGGTCCATGAGAAGCTCGGCTCACGCTTTGATATTGAACCGGACTTGGATGTTTTTCGTTAAAAGCAGCATCTGCAGCCTCAAACTGCTCCTGAAGGCCTTTCAGCGTTTCCTCCAGCTCTCGTTTGCGCTGGAGTTGCTGGGCTTTGACTATCTTGAGCACACCAAGATCGCCGTGGAGTTCCTCCTTACAAAGGTCAGTCCGCTGGTCAGGCCCTTCAAGTTCCCCATCGTCCTCCGGCACGACCCAATGCCCTTCTCGCAGCTAATAATAACCCTGTAGTTAGCACCATATTAATATATATGCTGCATATATGCATTGATACTTAGAGGGGAACTTACCTGGTGCATGGCTTTACAATAATAAGCAATAGGGTGCCATTCTGAGAATGCACCAACCGCACCCCCTCCCCCGAGGAGTTATTGCCCTCAGGCCCGAACCCATGATACATCCCTGTACTTTTCACCAGCGGATTCCATGTCTCAAGCACATACGACCATAGGGTGTGGAAAACAGGGCTTCCCGTCCGCTCAGCCGTACTTAAGCCAGTATTATCAACGCGGCCAGAAGTTATATGCGCCTTTGAAGGCCTGCTGCTTTACGGGTGAGAGACGCTAAACCACAGGGTGAGTGCAGGTGAGTGAAGGTGAGCTGAGCAATGGTATCTAACAGCATGGGTAAGCATGGGTGATCAGTGGGTGACAGAGTGATTCTGTGGTGACCAGACTCCCTGTCACCCATTATGTACCTCCATCACTAGCTTAAATATGAGGGGCCCCTCTGCCCAACCATTATCTCCTTTTCTATCTACAAGCAGTTTTTTGTGATTTATTTTCTTTCAGTTTTTCCTTCTATCCTTCACAGCATGTCACGTGACATATTTTTAAGCGATTTTGATCTGAGGAGAAAAGTGGAGGAGTGTCATCGGCTGCCCCCCATGACATGCACTGCCTAGTGCACGCGGCTGTGTGATCACCTAACTAGCAACTAGTGTCCAGCCTAGACACCACCTAATTAGTCATATAATGATGACTAGTTATTACATTAATTAGCATATTAGTAGCCCTTCTGAGGCCGCAGGTCACGTGTGCCACGTGATCCGCCGAGTGACGTTAAATAGTAATCAAATCAAAACAAAAAATATCCGTTAGTTATCTGAGATGACATACTGAGTTACTCTGAAGGGGGTATTGACACAAATGGTGTTTCGAGGAGCCGCAAAGAGATCTGGCTGGCAATCTAAATCTCTTCATCCGCAAATATCAAAACCTTTCTACGAAAATTTTCAGAATTTGGTTGCCTGGAGCCATTATTTCGGCCACATACTAGTATGAGTTGCGGTGCTTGCCTCGCTCACCTGCTGCTTCGGTATGGAGTATTTCTATTGCACTAACATGTGTAAAGACAAGCTTCTTGAAATGAATGAGTGGATCCATGACTATCAATAAATGACGCATGTGGATACAGTGAGGCCTAAGTCCATTCACAGTGCAACAAGGCGATCGTTGAAGGGCAATTGCTCCATGGAAGGTCTCTGCGTGGACCTCGAATTGACTGATGGAGCACTACTCGGGTTGCAGCAATAATAACAACAACACCTCTACCTAGTCAGAACCGCACCCTCTCCTTCCCATGGCCTAAACATACAGCGCGCTCAAGATGTTCGCTACTAAAAGGGTTGATGACGACCGAAATGTAGATTAAGCAGAACACACTGGTCTTGACCGATGTCAACCGGCTTTGCTCGTTAATACCGAGTCTTACCTCGATACATTAGCAGAGCGCGAATTCAAATCCCTGCTACACTTGAAATTAGTTTTTCTCTAAGGTTACATCGCATGAGACCCTAGAAGTGGGACGCATAGCTGGACAGATTTGCCCATTTCACATTTGTATATTGCACATTTTTGTTCTTTTCTGGACGGTATACTTCTTAATGGGATCGTGAGGGAAAGTAGTTCATCTAGAAGGTTGTAAATAGGTGATACTTGAGAATACGTATCTTATGATATTCATTCCCCTATCTCGCATTAAACATCTAAAGAGGTTTATGACTCCTATTATGGTCTCGTGCCCTCGGTGCATGCTTAATTGGCGCCATGGCCATCCATTGGTCGATACTAGGTTAGATGTCATCAAACATTGTATGACTGTTGATATTCCCTGTCAATTAAGAGGTAGACTTCAGGTAGTAATTGCTAAAGTGGAACAAGCGCCGCAATAGCGCCGGGGAAACCCCCTTTGACTGAGACATCCTGGTGGGCGTCCAGTCGGATCTTAACATACTGAAATCTAGTCAGTTCCTTTACTTGATAGGAATTGGTAAACTGTTGACATAGTAAATATAACATAAAAAGAGGTTCTTGAACCAACAATGAACTCTTTGTCTATAAAAGGAGAGTTCTCACATCCTTTCAGCTTAAGGAACAACACCACAAATCCTCAAGCAATGCCAGACTGGTACGGTCGTCTACTTGAATTGACTCGTCTCTGTTGCTTATTTGGTCTTGTGATTTTCAACGGATACAATTACTATGTTCTTCCTGCGGAGTACAGTGATCGCGACTCTGTGTTGCTTTGGAACTTCCGTGCTGGCCTCTTCCTGGCCTTCATCTATCCAGGGGCAACCGCTGCCAGACAAATGGTTTCAAATGAACCTCGATCAACTGGAGACCAACCTAAGCGAAACTGAGTCCAATTCCAGCCTAGTGGAACGCACTCCGGTTAATTCATGTTTAGCTGTGCTTGGAGGAGTTTCGTCTTGCATTACAATTGGAGGTTTTATTATTCAAATGTGCCAGAACCTTGCTGGTGGCATTAAAGCTCTGTCGGACCAGCACAGTTGCAACACCATGAGCGGCACTATCGAGGGCGTGAGATATACTTATCACTCCACTGGCCAACACTGTGATACAACAGCTCAGCGAGACACCATTGCAGGCGCTATCAAAAAATTCCTTTCGAATGTGGAGCATAACCAGATCTGTGGAACCCTTTGCCTACGTCTCGACCATGGCGGCACCTGGAACGGATGGCTGAAGCTGGGTCCGGTAGGCTCATTCAATGAAAATGCATACTGCGGCGCGGGACTGCCCTTCAACAGCTGTGTCTCTGGTGGCAACAATGACATCTAGCTTGTCCACGGATGGGGTTTCCTCAGGACTGATATCACAATCGAGGCGCATTGGATCTGTTGCGCGCTAGATCTTTTGCCTTCTTCTCTCTGGAGACCTGTCTGTGGACAACTTGCAACATGCACAAATGCCCGCTAATTTCTCTTATGCGCGCGACTTTCATTCTTTTATATATCACCTTATACGCTGCTGCTCCTCGGCATTGTGGGACTGGTAGGTCATGACTTACCTGCTATATAACTAGATAGCTAATACCTTGAGTTCTTTAGATCCTTTGACTGCCACTCGCCGCATTGCTCCTCATTGCCCTTCTGAGTATTGGGAAGGAGGGGACGGGGATTTCTATTGCCATATGTACTTTATCCGTGGTAGCATTCATCATCTATTCTTTGATAGATCACCGCACCATGACCAAGACAACAATGTACCCAGTTTCGTCTATCCTAATTTAGAAAGTAAAGGGTTCAAGACCACTCTTGTTCAGAGAAGCTCTTTATTCAGGACAGATTCCTATGCATAAGTACCCTTCTTACCTGCTTACTTAGCGATGCTCGTCCAAGCATCGCGTTTCCTCTTCAGTGGCCGCATATCGTTTAATATGGAGTTAATTTCCATGTTAGAGCCTTCTAATGCACTGTGATATCTTCTCTGAAAGGCTGTGTTTGCTTTTGGGGAGCCTTCTGGCTCGAAGAGATGTCATAGTCCTTAAACCGATTCAGTAATCCCATCCTGCCCCCACACCTCTCTGGGTCTCTCGCGGAGGCTTCCTCAGGGACAATCACTCAAACCTACAGTGTCAGACTCACTCACAGTTCCCGTGATCCTCAGTTCACTCTTCACCAAACCTGTGGCTTTATGGCTTTGTACCGTTACCCCGATTCGAGGGTTTAACTCCGACCCGAGTCCCCGAAGAAACGCCTGCAAAGCCCACCTCTGGTCAATCCTGCCAAGTGTACGGAACAAAATTCCCAGCTTAGCCAAAACATGACTGGCGGATACGTTGTCCTTGTTTTTTGGCCAGAGGTAAACACTGCCAGCAAACGGCCATCAATGACATAAGTGTAAAGTTTGGCTTGCATTACCCTTTTACTGCCACATTCGTCGTCAAGCGTACCTTACACCTCTGCACACTAACGGTGTAGTCTACTGCAAATGATGACAGGACCATATCGCTAGTCGCCACTGTAGGCTCAGCCTCCATCACATTCTTTGCAGGTTGCTGCCTATTACCACGGCAGTATTCTTCCTCTGCCCGAGTTTGTTCTAATAGTCTTTAGGCCTGTGCTTAAGCAAATGCTAATATTAATACGTACTTCAGTCGTACTATGGATCCTAGTCTATAATAGGAATGGGAAAGAAACTACGTACATCAATTTGGTTAGTTGCTCTGTAAATACTTTGAGAACAAACTTGAGAGATATACTCTATGTACTCTATGAAGATCAAAAAAAAAAAAAAAAAAAAAAAACAAAAAAAAGGACACAATCATATTCTAGGCTGAGACGTAAGTACGACTGCGGCACTTATGACAGGAAGGACTTCTGATAAATTTCCCTGGGAAGGTCTTGTGATTACTCCATTCCAGAGCGTCTACCTTAGCCTGGCGCTTGACGACAGCAAGGTACGGTGATGGTCACTTCACTGCATCACCGGCCCAAGAAGTATCATTGAGCTGTGGGCCTCAGCAGTGCTACTCCAGCTTAGACCCAAAAGGGAATTAAGTGTCTGGGTTCGGTATGCTCGCCTCGAGAACAGTGCCGTTATTAAAAACAGTTCCTTTCTTCAGGATCTCGACTCTTCCGGGATGCAAGCTCGGCGGTGGATTCTCGAGGACGGTTCCATTCGCAAAGATGATGCCATTCCAGGGCTTCGTCATACTTGTCAACCTGGTCAAGCTGTTTATGTTGGCCATTCGGGACGATGATGGGTGTGGGAGGAGTGGTGATCTGTGCTTGCTAATACCACAATTTTCACTGATCATGTACAAATTGAGACCAATGGCCAAGGTGTAGAGCTCTGCGCCGAGAGAAGCCCAGTTGAACTGGTCCTTGAGAATGACGCCAATGTAGTCAACCATCAACACATTCGGCCAGTTCTCGGGGCTCATACTGTTGACGCCAGCCCAATACAAGGCCGGGTTTGTCGGGAAGATTGCGATACTCTGGATGCCATATTGTTGTGTTACCAAGGGCGCAGCGGACACAAGCCACTGACCAATGAGGAATTGATCCTTCTCATCACTTGCATCTCCAGTCCGACTGACAGATTTCCAGGCAGCTATTTCGGCATTGGCCATCGATTCGGTTTCTTGCTTTTCCGACCAATAGTCCCAGAAGGCCATACGTGAGGCACTATAGATACCATCATCCGTACGCTCAATGTTACGTTTCAAATCTCCATCAAGGAGGAAGATAACACAGCCATTGCCATTGTTCTGGTCCATGAAGAAAGAGGCCGTTCGTTTTTCAAAGCTCACGTCGACGTTCAAGTTCCCACAACGGTTATTGACCTTCTTCAGCTGGGAGAAGAAGTCATCAATAATATCCTGACCCCAGTGGATGGGACCCAGGCTGGGTACTTTACGGATGCCGACAAGATATTTGAGGCGGAAGAAGATGACTTCCCCGGGGTTCTCTGCAGTGAAATGGTTGATTTCCTGGATGATGTCAGAAAGCCCCTCGCCTGTATTACCAATGGGCACTTCGGCCAGCTCATTATTGACGTGCGTCGTCCAGAAACCGTAGTCTCCCTCATTAGGTGTGGTCTGATGTATACTGGCGATGCGCAAGTCAAACCAACGCGCTCCCGCTCGGAGCTGGTCGTATATGTTGAGGCCTTGCGTCTGCGTGTTGGTTGGTGAGCCCCCTGAAAGGAGATGACCGCTAATGGTACTCATGCCAGAATCATGGGTGCCTGGCATGATAATATGCTGAATGTGTCTGTCCTTGATGACATCGTATAGGTGTCTCATCCAGTTTCCGGGGCCGTGTGTGAGTGACGTGATGAAGCCATATTTCTCGCTGCCAGTAATTACCAGCGTCACGGGCGTCTCATCCAGTTTCCGGGGCCGTGTGTGAGTGACGTGATGAAGCCATATTTCTCGCTGCCAGTAATTACCAGCGTCACGGGCGTCTCTTGCTCGGGGTCCATGTACTCTCGCTGTCCCAAGTCCATGCCGCTGAGGTCAACGACGGTTCGTTGCGGGTAAAGATCCGGGATGTGAGTCGTCGCGCGAATAATGAATTTCTTATCTGTGCCCTCAATATTATAGTATGCCTCTCCGTTATCGTCGACTGGGTTGGTCCCGCCTTTCTCGGTGTAATGCGCAATGTTTTGGCGTGCACGGCCTGGTGGAATGTCGTCAAAGTTAAATTCAGACATCTGGTATGAGTGTGTGTGGTCGAGTTTGAATCGGTGAGGGGTCAGATTGACGATGGTAATATACTGCTTCCCTGTCGAGGCTGCGTACTCAGGATTCATTAGAATCCATTCCATGTGACTTCCAGCTGCAACAGTCTCTGTGCTGTAGGTGCGATCGTCTGCTCTACAAACATCATCAGGATCAGAAGGTTCAGGGGGCTCTATGCTTGTAGCAGAGCAAGTATCCGGGCAGTAACCATGCTGACATGCAAAATTGCAGAGACCTGCATCGTCCGTGTTCTTATCAGTGTAGTGCCCCTCGATGCTAGTGTTTCTCGGGGGTGCATCCACTAATGCACCGGTCCCCGTACAAGTGCATCGATGGATAGGGCAGAATCCATAGTTGCAGCTAAATGAGCAGAGACCCATAAAGCTACCTTCACCCGAGCCGGATCGACAGGCTGGAGGGAGAAATGGGGAGACGGTTGGCTCAGTCAGTGGCACTGACACTGTCCCGCAAGCGTTCGAAGGGCAATAGCCGTAATTGCAAGCAAAACTGCAGAGTCCAATATAACTAGAGCCTTCGCCTGTGATAGGATAGCCTTTTACTCCTGTAGGCTTAGGGAGCTCGCGCGGAGGGCCCAGTGCAAGGCAAACACAGGCCCCAACTGGGCAATATCCATATGCACATGTAAATTCACAGAGACCCTTAAAGTTGCCCTTGGCTGTGCCTTGAATGCACTTTTGCTCATCAATAGAAAGTATTGGTGATACTCCTGCAATGCTGGGGCCACTGGCACTACCCACCCATGCATTCCAGTTTGAGAAACCACCATCACAAACTGAGCTGATTGCTGGCCCTTTAATCTCAGCAATAGTCGCACCTCTTGCCAAGCTGATCACAACCTCACCCCGGTGAGATGAGTAACTGGCACTTCCATGCCAAACTCCGATGCCACCATTCGGGATATTATCCCAGGCGATAGAAACCGGGACACCCCCTACTGTGACTTGGACAGACGCAGAGCCAGTTAATAGCGCGGAAAAGAAGATCTTATCCTGTGCAACATCTACAGGATCGAATTCAATCTGGAGTTGGCTGGCAGTATTCGCTGTGGTTTCGCCCCTATTACATAACAAGGCAGGATTCTTGCGGTACCATCCCATAATGCCTTCCTTAGTAATAGAGGGCTTACCATGCTTGTACATGTCAATCCAGTAAGGAAGGAACAGCCGCCACCCATCATGGGGCATGTTGGATATGTAGTCAAATGGCGCCTTGCCAATAGCCAAGGCGTGGTAATTCTCTATGTCGCGCAGAGGACCGATATAATGGGATTCACCATAGTCATTCCAGCTGATGATCTCCACAAGGTCTGGTTGAATAATCATCACCTGCTCCCAGCGATCTCTCCACAGATCATCTCCTATTAAATATGTTTGTGTGAGAAACTGCCGAAAGTAGATGCAATCAGATATACGAGGCACTTACCACGCCAAAGCCAGTTCTTATCGAAACCAGGGAGATTGGTGTAAAACCACGGCGAAACGGGCATCATATATGGTTTACCGCCTGCTTGCTCAAGGAAGTCCAAATACGACGCATCAACATATGTATCCATGTCCGTGTCGCCCCAGGGCCAGGCCGCCCAATTGAACAGCCCATCGGCAACACCAGGCTCCAAGGCTGCCTTTGCACCGAGGGAAGACCAATCAGGGATAAAAAAGCAGTTTGTTTCTTCCTTGATGCTGACCCAGTCTTTTGCATTTTCAGGACCCTCGAAAGTGGAAACCAGAGGTTGCCCTTTGTAATGATAGTAGGCTGAGGAATCCTTGTGGCTAGTGAGTAATTCGATAACTGCGCTTTGAGGAAATGGACCTTTGCCAGCGTAGTCGAACGAGAAGAAAACCTGGAAACCACGAGTCTCTGCCGCCTTGAAAGCCGTAGGAAGCGCTGACAAAGAGCTAGCATCATTTGCAAAGTTCAGCGCAAACGCATCAATATGGGCTTCTTGTGCTAGGCGCATATCATCTTCCCATTGACTCTGTGTCCATTTTTGGGCAACTTCAACCTGCACAGTACCGCGTTAGAACGGGGCCCAATATGGGATATGGCTGAATAGAACTGGATGGACTAACCATGAAGTGAGCGAACACTCCCTTTACTTTGGATGACGCCTCGGCAAGCGTTATTTTGGGATCCACGGTGAACGAAGAGTCTGTTCCAGGATGAATCCATGTCGAATTGGAATGAGTTGAGTCCCAGGAGCTCCGCCTATGTCCGCCATAGCCATGGCCGTGGTCAGAATACCGGGACTGCGGATGAAGATGAGAAGGATGAGCAGCAGATGAGGCAGCTAAGAAGACAAGGAGGAATAGCTGCCACATTGTGGCAAATTTTGCTATGGACTTCATATAAGCAGTACCAAGAGTGACTCGCAGCGAAATGAAAATGGAGAAATATCAAGTTGGTAGATGATATAGAGAGCACAAGAGGAACGCAATAATGGACAGACAAGGAACGAATAGGTTACCAACGGTTACACCGTACTTTTTCAACAGCTTTGTATTCCAAATTCCCAGGACAGTGCTGGAATGGCCTTTTATAGATGACTCAATGACCAAGCTTCAAAAAAAGAAAATGGCTTCGGCAGGCTGAAGGGAAGGGATACATCTGCCCTCCAGGTATTGCCTCCGTTGAGGCATATATTCCAGGGTACTCCTTAAGTCGCAGACCATGACTGGCTGACAATTTCATTTAGTTTGGAAGCGAACATCGCATGGAGTACTAAAGGGTAAGCAAAGAATCAACGTCAGGAGCTTTCTCCGAATGTAGAACTTTATCCCAAGCTACAACATATTCTCATACGCAGAGACCATCATCAGTGGTAATGAGAGTCTCCACTCGCACTCTATTCACTGTGTAGCCGGTGTCATGATGCTTGTAGGGCCAAGAATGAGGTGTAAGATGATATATTGTATCTTGGACAGTTAATTTCCCTGAGATTACGAGTTATCCCATCGGTTCCGATTCCTAGCTGTCTGTTCTGTTTTACAGCTGAAATCACCCACAATTATTGATTAATTTGTGGCAAAGACAACTTCCTTTCCACCAAGAGGTCCGACTGGCTGGGTGCCGTAGCCCGTAGTGTTAGAACGCCGCGCACAGAGACTGCTAGAATGATCTATACTAGACAAACCAGGCTAAAGGAGTACCGTCGTTAACTAGTAGGATGGTCCCTAATCCAAGTGGCTGTGGGAGTACGGGTTCGCTTTTTGCGTTGGCTCATATTCGCCTGTCTGTTATGGAGTGCCTGTCTAGCTATCGAGCCTAGTGCGAGCATGCTAATTTGGTAGGTGACATGGTAGGGGATCTATCAGGCTCACTGACCTAAGCCTGTAGTAGCATATGATCCTGTGCCTGGTTTGGAGAATTAAGCTTAAACGGTGGTTGTGATAGGCAAAGTTGTGCACAGACATGGTTTTATGATGCCACGAAGCTATGACTATTAATCATACCTTTGTGAAGCAGTCATTTTGATCATTAGGGGAGTATCCCATATGTGACTGGAATCTATATTTGTAGACTACGCTAATTTAGGCCTAAGAACTGTAGCTTCAAAGTCGTCTATTATAATAGTCGCGTGGCCCTAACCTAGGCTAACCTATTCCCACTTAGCCATTAGGACTGACACGTGCATGATTAAAAGCCATTCTACACCATAATAGGAAGGTCACATTGTGCTCTATTTGCTAAAAGAGTAGATTGGCTATAAGGTTAGTGGCAAGCCACTAGGCTTTGGAACAGTCATGGGCATGGCGTTGACGCGCCAGGCCATCACACAGTTCACACTACAGTGGGCTCAGCTCAACAGGCTGAGTCACTAGAGGAATCTGAATTCTATACTCATGCTACCATTCTTGCAATTCTGCTAGCCATTCAAAAGATGGACGCAAGAACGTTATTTGGAAAAGAGAAGATGAGGGCATAACATAAGAGTCGTAAGCAGGTCTTTTATGAATGTTATGGAGAGAGGCAGGCACAAGGATAATAACAAGTCACTACTGGTGAGATATAGTGTTTCACTAATATGCAACCAATATAGTGGCGTAGGCATGGTGTTATATTGCCAAGATGGGGCACATACCCTTCTGTATAGATAGACATTGTTGGAATAGGATACCACTATGATTTCGGATATGAAGCCCTGCCAAGACTGAGGAGTACATCATCCGGACACCTTGTATTATACTACAGATGCCCTTATTATGGGTTACAGCATCGACCACCCCTAACCTATCAGAACTCCATGACAGATAGAGATGAAGTGAAACTTAGCCAATTGACTCTGCCGATTAATCCAGGGTCTTAAAGATCTTAGAGGATTGCCTTAAAGCCCTTACAATAATATACTGGCATACGTGACTAGAGGTCATTTTGACTTAAATTACCCAAGGTAACAAAGGTGGCCGTGTCCGTGCGCGGCTAGGTTAGGGAATTCTATGTTAGCACTGCCAAGTTAATATATAGACCTAGTTTCTCGCTTCCTCCTCTCTAGCATTCCCACTTCAGTCCCTTATGGCTATAGTCTAGCTTGTGATAATATGCATTTATTTACTTATTACGTTATGCATTCCTCTGTTATTATCAAGCCTGCATACCCTGGTCGATTACACGACTTATCAGGACCCTTTACTCTTTTCTAATTAGCCTTGTTACCAGTATGGATCTTAAAACAAAAGAACTACCCCTCTTCTCCCCCAGTATGGTTCATGCACATCTTCGACTTCTCCCATCTACACCATATCCATTTGTACCGCCTCGATGATAATAAGGTTCTCAGTCTTAGCCTTAATGGCAAGTGTTGGCGCAGCCGACCTAATTGCCAGTGAGACAAGCTTTTCAAGTACAAATATTGCAACTGCAACCTCACTTCTAGCTATCACAACACCCTTTGTACAGCTCCCTGAATGCACCTCTATTTGGGATATAACCAGTACCTCAATAATGATCAATGACACCATCATACATACCACTGTTCTGGTGTCAGACCGTGCAGATGAGCGATTCACAACTTGCCAACCGCCAGGATGGGACAGCAATGAGAATGCTAGTCGCTTTTCATTTAGCCCAGCCGTGTGCCCCAGCGAATGGACGTACCATCAGATGGCAACAGAAAGATATCCTGGTGATGGTAAACACGTCTATACGCACTCAACTGCATACTGCTGCTCCAGGTCTGGTTTTTCAACTCCTGTTTACTTGACTTGACTTCGCCGGCTTACCATGCCTCTTATCCTTATCTTACAACTGAGCAAGATAGCCAAGGCTGACTTTCTTGGATACAGTGGCTTCACTCTATCAAGGAACCTCTCCAATCTCATGGACATCAAAGCATCATGCTACCGTACAGTCACCCCCGGTAAGACAACAATCACTGGGACACTTTCACACGGTGAGGGCACGCGAGTCCTGTTCACCGATGGAATCCAGGTACACCAGGCATGGGCAATCTCATGGGCGGCATCTGACACCAAAACAATGTCTCCATCGCTACCCCTACTAACCAATTCAATGGTCATCCCTACATGGGTGCCGGGGGAGATCATCCCACCAGGCAAGTACGACAGGGGCAGTGAGGGGTCGGATATGCCAGGCTGGGAACCTATTATGAGGTTTATAATGATAGGCGTTCCTATTATTGGTGTAGTGCTTATTGCATCGTGTGTTTGGGCCTGTATCTGGTGCCGGCGAGTGAGACGGAAGGAACGGCAAGAAACAGAAGAATTAGTCAAGCAGCAGGAAATACACACTACATCATTGTAGCCTACAGCAAATGATGATACGGTGGGATTACTAGTCACTACCTACGGTAGGTACTATAAAGTCAGCCTCTATCATACTCTTTGCAGTTTACTGCTTATTACTACGGTAATATTCTTCCTCCACCCTATTTAGTTCCTAATAGTCTTTAAGTCTATGCTTTAGCAGATGCTAGCAGTAATAACACTTTAGGATTTCAGCCTTAATATAAATCCTGGTTAAGATAGACGTACGGAAGCAATCTAACAGTCCCCATACAGATTCAGTCAATTACTCTATAGGTAGTCTGAGGATATACTCAAGAGAGTATCCTCCATTTGAGAAATAGAAAAAGACAACATTCAACGTCATATTCTATCGAGACACACATGGTCAACACAGTGCGTATGAATATACTAGTCTCAAGTTCATGTACAGCTGTGCTATGTTACCCCGATAAGGTTGAAAATTTTCCTTTTCAATGTTCTGGCAGTGGTCGGAGCGTCCATGCCTCTGCGTACTGTATAAAGTGTCATGAGGCAGGTTCTGGTGGGAAGACTGATTATTATTGATACAGTTGATATACAAAGTGAAATTCTATATGAATGTCCGTAGCATAGGTTTTTTCCCTATTTTGGTTGGGTTTTCCCTATGCTGTTATGTGAATGCAAAGGCATATATGTTATTTAACTTGCGAGCGGCTTTTCATAACAAATGTCAACTTAATAAGCTCTTATGTTTTCACAAAGTCAGTTATCCTCAGAAGGCTAGTTTCCTAATGAAAAGGTAGTCTATTATAACTTAATGCTAGGTATTCAGGAGGGTAAGCATTTCCAAGACCCCTTAGATGCGAGTCATGCAACGGACGCAACGCACTGGTAGCGCCCTATACTAGCGCAGCCAACACTATTGGTGCTTATCCCCAAAGGCTTCCGGGCTCTGAGCCTCTGTCAGGTTGGGCCGTCCCGCCGGTCAGATATATCACATATCGCCCTGTAACCTCCCCTCCCCCCCAACCCCCCAAACATTAATATCGACTCTCACAGAGCATCTTGGTCAAGCAATTCGGGCATTTCCCCCCCCCCCCCCCCCAAAAAAAACACGGCCAAGGCAATTTCCGCACAAGTCACCGCCAGCAGTGCCTTGGTTACAAGTACGGAGTATATTCCAAGCTTTGCCCGTAGCCACTCATTTTACCCACCTACCTCACCCGTCCGTCTCCCATACTATCTCACGTCATGAACATATTTCGCAAGCTCCGCGGTAAGGCCAGCCGCAGCAGCCGTGGCAGTAAGCCCGCGCCATCAGCGCCGGCCACGATAGCAGAGAGCGAAAGTGTTAACCCTTCCCCTCCCCCTCGCGCCATGCATATCAGCGAGGTGAAGCGGGAACCCACCTGGCTATCATCTATCTACAGTCCCGGTTCCAAGATCCAGTCTATTACCATTATGGTCGCGAATGCCAAAGGCGCCGCCGACTACTTGCGTCTTTACAGGGTATGTTATCTATCCATCTATCTACATGTCCACCCAGCGCATTGCAACATGCCTACATGCACGCATGCTCCTAGTCGATTCAAGTACTATATATACTATACGACACACCCCCAACCCGGCGCTAGCCAAGCTGAGCTCACCCACACCCGCGCGTGCGGTTTTCATCTATATAGCTACTCCAGCGAGAAACGGATTACGGAAGCGAGTTCGACCCGACGACGGGCGGCTACGATACAGACTACCTTTGCGACGGGTACATGTATAATGTCTGCTTTGATTCTGTGCCGGACCCCACAGGGCTTTGGGCTGCTAAGTCGGCTCTCCTCACCATCATGCAGCATGTCTGCCTTGTTTTGACGTATGACGCCTCGTCAAGGGAATCGTGGGATGAATTGGCCGCTGTCTGTGAGGGGATGCGAAGCCGCAGTGAAGATGGGGTCCTCTCTCCTTATCCTTTTCTTGCGACAGTGATTGTCACCATGGGTGAAGGTGAAGGTGAAGGTGAAGAATGCCCCATGTCCGTGTTGCAAGGAGAAGCTGAGACGTTTGCAACTCAGCGGAACTATCTCTTTGTCAAGGTTTCGCGCAGAACTGGGCGCGGTGTTTGCGATGCAGTTGGCTCACTAGTTGAGAGGGCGCACGGCGCTCGTGGGCAATATGCTATGGATCAGGAGGGTGAGCCCCAGAGGTATAAGAGGGCGCAGGTATTAAAGGCATTATTTTCACCATAGCTAGGGATGGGATCATAGCTAGGGATGGGATGCCCAGCTTGATCAGGACTAACATCATCAAATCATGGATATCATGGATGGATGTGATATGTATCGCCGCCGTAGTCTAGTCACTAGGATTGCATCTCGATGCAAGATGAGCCCCTATCTGCCCACTGGATATTGTTCTGGCATCTCCAACAATAGCCTAAATTAACCCTAAATAGGGCAACTATGTACTTAGAATATAATAACTAAAGCCTTGTGACCACTGCCATACTTTTACTATTGTATGTTTTTCCCCTTTTCCTTTTCAAGCTTTTGCTGTTCTTTCCGGGAAGTTTTTCCTCGCGTGCATTGTGGCTTCCTGCAGGTGGTCGTGCTGCGTATAGGGCAACAGGTGTGGGACTGCAGGAGCATTTTCTCGACCTTGGGCAACAACTGGCTGAGCTCGAATGGATGCGACGTGGAAGGCAGTCAGAAAGACATGGCCTGTTGTGAGCACGCCGTCTTCCTGTGAGGACACCCAGAAACGCACGGCAAAACGGAGCTCGAGGTAGGAGTGGCAACCTGCTTGCACCGGTGGTGCAAGTCAGGGCTTGACACCCAGTTTCTCTCCTTTCCAACTGCAAGGAACTGGGGTCCATCTTCGGTATCACGCGTTATTATGGCTGGATAGCTGACGCTTCCAGCGCTCGAGCATGGTACTATCGTCTCATCCCACTTGAAGATGTCAGTATCGTCACGGGCTTGTTAGGGATGGGTAAGGGCTCCTCAGTTTCTGCTCCAGAAGATGCCAAAGTTACCTGGTCCCTGACTGCTGATGGCTGGACTTCTGCGCCGCGGTTCTACGTCCTAATGTCAGCAGATTGTCTCCGATTTTGACAAAGCAGTTCAACTTACTTGGCGGGCGAGCCAGCCAGCTCCGACTAGACTAGGACAGGGCATTCAGGGAGTCAAGCCGCAGACATAGTGCCTAGGGTAGGAACTAGGCAAAAGTATGAGACGTGCAATGAAAGGTTCATAGATCGAAAGTCTTGATATCGGAAAGGACACAGGTTAACAGGCTATTCCTAAGCATTATAACATACACCACTAATACTGGTTGAGATCCCGAGGTCCTGAAAAAGTCCCATTTTATATGCTATACATGAGGTGGCCGCTGGCTTACAATGGCCTCGCTTACCATTATGTTAGAACTTAACTAGCTAGTTAGATCACTCTCTGCAGCCATACACGCCAAGCGCGCCCTAGCCACCAAAGATCCATCCAGAGGATCACGATGATCATTAGTTTGACTCCAACGAGAACACAAAATGATTACCTTATCCGACACGGTTAAAAGGAGCAAGCCGCTAATTCTCCACTGCCTCGATCGCTGAGACAGGCAAAGACGACTGCAATGTGGTTGTGGGGGTATCTATGGAATCTCGCCTACCAAATCAGACTGACTGTTGTCATTCGTGATAAGTCAATAATAACAGCCATTAAATGGGAGTAGTTACCTCTCTAGACGTTTAATGATGGGTCAAATCGATTCCAAGGATGATGTCACTTTGCTGCCGGAAAGCTCTTGGCATACGTAAACAAATTTGCGACCCCATATCTAAAGCTACGAACACGCCACATTTAGATAGCCTTGGACCAGGTTTCAAGAGTGATCCATTTGTTGCTACTGTGAGTCAATGCCGATAGTCAATACCATTTCTAATGATTAACGTGCTTTAGCTGCCCGCTGAAGATATTTCATCCTACGATTGCATTCATCTCATCAATCCGGTAAGGTTGTTCTTTATATACTGTAAAAAAGGAAACAGGGAAGGAGGGGGCCGGCAGAAACGTACACTAACGCAACTTTTATCCCAGGCAATAGCTGTTGAAGTGACAGGATTCAGCGCTTGGGACCTCAGTCAAAGGATGAGCCACAGCAAGAACAGATGCCCTACTTTTGTGTTTTGCTCTGATAAAACGCCTTATAAGCTACCCTCATCTCAGCCGTAGGTAGCCATCAAATGAATCATTCTTGAGACCTGAGCTCGTCATACTATGGTAGAAAATGGCGAGGCCGTTCTACGTGTCGCCAGTGTGTAGCTGGATCAGGATGGCCGAAAAGCTCATGCCAGGAGTCGGTTTTGTCCTCCGGCCAGATTTGATAGTGAAACTCCTCAGCCCCGGTGATAGTTGGATGTAGCATCTCAATCCTTGAAACTTTGGGCCCTAGGTTTCCCATCAGGATTGGCTCCTCAATAGTTTGATAGTTTGATCCACCGTATGGATTGTATCGCTCGGGAGGAGGCGGTGATAGCACAGTGACTATTCCCTTGTCTTGCGCAATATGATAGGCGTACATAGCAGATGCGCCCTTCATATACTTGGACCAGCCTTTGATTGATTTCTTGGACCGTAAGCACTGCGGATGATCATGAGCCATTAGAGGCCCCATCACTGTTGTTAATGTCTGCATTCCATGTCTATCCGCCCAAATCTGGGCCAATTGACGGGGTATTCCACTCCACATAACCTGACGTCCGGGTTGCCATATATCATCGTGGAACTGATCGCAGATTTGTCTTGCCTCCTCGGCGGTAAGAAAGTCAAGGAAAATTTCAAGTGTCTTTGGTGAGCACATATGGACATAGTCAAGATCTTAAATTCAGAGCCATCTCAATAATCCCATGTGTGAGAACGTATAGAGCTGACAATATTTATATATTGGAAATGTACATCATGATGTCACTATTCATTTTGAAGGTAGGAAAAAACTCATTACCTCACACCTTCTACTTCTTGATTACATCTAGGTAATCAGGAGATCGATGCTCAAGCTCTAGAATCTCCGAGTAGACCAAGGATAAATATGGCAGAACAGACAGTGGCCTGAATGACTGCCGAGCCAAGCATAGAACATCATGATTCATCAGAGTTTGGGCTACCAAAGTACCATCCACGCGTTCATTGCACACCAAGGTTGTAACCCCTCATCCAGAGTTGGGAGTAGATTGGTTGTACTCGTTAGAGCAACGATCAAGAAAAGATCCCAGGTCGGAATCAATGGTTCAGACCCTCGACCTTACCTTGAAGGTCCATGTAGAACTGGAGTTGGTGTTGGAACTGGGGTTGACCCTGACGCAGTCAACGGAGTTCTATGGCCATGAGGCGTAATCTATGTGCTTCGCGCACCAGGATAAACAGGCTTACCACCAGTGATGGCACATTGCAAATTTACATTGTCGCTTCAGGCGCTGAAGCGATGGCCCATTTCGCCTGCCCTGTTGTAGCTTTGACTTGCGTATGCGACAGAAACTCTTTATTCTTGCTAAATCCCAGTTCCGACACAACATGATCCAATATTCAGCCCGTTACTATTAGTGATACACATGAAACAGTGAACCCTAAAATGGCATCTAAGGGTAAATCATCGGAGCTCCGTGGATCCAATATATTTGGGCGTTGTCAGCTACATGCGGTGTTTGCCAGGGGTAACAAACCTACGCCAGTAGACCAAAAATCATTGAGACATTGTGCATGGCCCAAGAGCAGCAGGTATCCTTATGGAACTGCAATTCCGGTGGCATTGAACAGATTCATTATTCTCTGCGGGAGGCCACCGCAGACAAGAGAAGACAAAAAGTGAAAAGATAATACCAGTTCTCTGGATTCAGAAATTATTTTTGCAGTCATTACTCGGGATATTATCACTCAGACTCTGGAGACTTTTCCCTCTTAATCTTAGGAGAAGCAGGAACATGTCCAGTTGGCTAGGTTTGCGGATCAAGCTTTCGGGTACAACTTAGCAACAGGCATACCCAGGAACGCCAGAGCACTTTGTAGACTATCTAGATACGAAGAGGGAAAAAAAAATTTCAGGCGTCCAACACGCCAAGGACCGTTCGTATTTCTAATGGAATTATCACCATGAACTAGTTAACACTAAAATCGGCTACACGCGGATGACTCATAGCATCTTCAGTAAGCACACAATCAGCAGCCAAATCGTCGCCTAGAATAGATCCCTGACGCGCAGTGATAATCCTACTCACAAGGGAAATCAAATCAAGCCAAGGAGTAAGGACCACGATGGCCTGCACCCTGGTCCCCATCAACCTCCACAATCCAGCCGAGTACGCCGAGCTGCAGGCCCAGCGCGTTCGATGCGGCTGGGACGCAGAAGACACCAAGATCCTCGCCTGGCGCGAGAAGCAAGACCGGAACCTGAAATCGTTCTTTTGGATCACACTTCCCGCCCAATCTCCTCCCGGGGAACATGCAGGAAACCAGGCAGACGAGAAACGCACGATCCGCGCAGGCCACATATCCCTGGACGCCTACGCCGACCCTCCAGACCCTGAACTCGCTTGCGCCGATAAATCCATACTGACGATCCAGAGTTTTTTCATTCTGCCAGAGTACCGGGGTAACGGTCTCGGGGAAAAGTCATGGATCTGGTCGAGGGGATGGCGAGCCAGGAGCCGTGGGGGAGTCCGGCGTGCCGCTTTGTGACGGTCAATGCGATTAGCAGGCGGTATTTCTACGAGGATTGGCCTGAGAAACTTGCGCTGTGGGAGACGTGGGCGGACAATCTGCCGGTGATGTGCAATGTGGATTGGTATTCGCGGCGGGGGTACGTGCACTGGAAGACGGAGCCGCGGTATCGAGAGCAGTCGAAGAGCGGGGAGGAGATTATCATCTTGGCAGATTTTTTGAGGAAGCCTATTACTCGATAGGATGTGAAGCAGGTTTGGGATCATCTCATGGTTGATGCAAGAGTATGGTTGGGATGTATCTAAATTGATGAGGATTGACGATGACGATGCGAGGAGATGTACATAGAGTTGGTTGTCCTTGCATTTTCAAGGAAAGCATCAGCAATAATTTATTCCGTGCAGGGAACCAGTATCAGAGTGCTGATAGCTCGAAGTAAGCTTTGACGAGGGTTGGGCTGAAATGAAGCCAGTACCCGGATGTGATATCACAATGCGATACCCCTTGCTTCTGCGCCACTATCGGGCCATGCATGATCTGCATAGATCTGTCGATCATGCATAGTCCGTTGAGAACGCCTTGCTGTATACGTGCATGAGGATCAGGTCATAGAGCTTCATCTCGTCTAAGCAGAAGATCAACAACCCGCTCATTTGCCGACCAAGATATAAAAGGCCTGAACAATCGAGCCTTCTCCCATCATCACCAACACATTCTTTCACCTCAACGAGCCTTCTTCCATCATCACCAACACATTCTTTCACCTCAACAAGCCTTCTCATCTCTCAAACTCCAATCAAACTCCAAAATGCAGTTCTCTACCATCCTCTCCCTCCTCGCCGTTGCCGGCATGACCGTGGCTGCCCCTTCTGTCGCCCGTATGTCTCCCAAACCCAACAGAGTAAACCACCAACTAACGAACCAGGTCGCCAATCCAATAACAACGTTGCGAACGGCGTCGCCAACGATGTGCTCGAGGACGGCGTGACCGTCGACGACACCGCCAAGGACATCAATGCTCCGGTGGGTGCCGGTGTGCTGGGCAGCGTAAACCAGGTTGCTCCCAAGGGCGGATTGCCTCCTTTCTAGATAAGGTCGTGTAGGAACGGTATGCATCCGTGGTTAGTGGGTGGTCACGGCTAATGCTAATGGTGTTGATAGATCGAGATGATTGGATATAGTCGAGATGATGGTTCTATGTGTATTTAAGTCGTGATGCAGTGGATGGTGAATGTGAGATAGTCTTCTGGCCTTCATGGTGGATGTAGTCTAGTAATAAGAGAATGACTTTATTGTCAATAGATGGAGTTGATTCGGCAACGCTGACTATCATCAATAATTCGTATAAACTTCATTAAAAGCAATTTTCAATGGATTTGCACAATATCAACAAGAATGCAAAACTTGAAGCAGACCTTTGAATCATGCAATATCCAGACAATCCTCATTCCAACCCGGAAGTTCAATAATCTATCCTTCGGCAGGCTATTTGTGCCTTACTTTGTAATATGTCAAATCTATGAGAGAGCACAAATAGACCTTCCAGTTAATAAATGTATGTATAGATACTGTAGAATGATGATGATCCTACACAGACCAATTCGGTATAGATAGAATGTGAGATATACCCAATTGCTCCGCAGGATTTAGGAAATTGCCGAGTAAGACATACCAAAGGACCAAATAACGATAATAACAATGCAGACCAATCAACAACGATGTTTTGCTTGTCAATTCCTTGTTCCTCGTCTGCGCAGTCTTGGGTTACAGCGCTAAGAGCCTACTCCGCTGATAGCCAGCCTCGGTCTACAATTGTTTGCTTGGCAGGCGAAAACAGACGATTTGAATGGTAGATTATCGAGATCAAGAGCTATCTCCTGCGTATTCTCCGTCGGGGTTAGAATGATACAATCATCTTGGCTCTGGTATGCGGGGGTCATTCCCCCATATTTAAGGTCGGGGTAGCCATGCAAGTAGCTCACTGTGTTGCCAGCCGCAATCAACATGAAGGTATGTACTTTATCATACAAATCTAGAGAATGCATATGACTGACAATGCAATAGTGGTCAATTCTCCTTCTGGTCGGCTGCGCTGCCGCCATTGACGTCCCTCGTCATCCATATGCCCCCACTGGAAGCGGCAAGAAACGATTGAGCTTCAATGAGACGGTCGTCAAGCGAGCCATTTCCCCCTCGGCCATCTCGGTCGAGTGGATTTCTACCTCCGAGGATGGGGATTATGTCTACCAAGACCAGGACGGCAGTCTGAAAATCCAGAGCATCATCACCAACCACACGCAAACCCTCGTCCCTGCGGACAAAGTGCCCGAGGATGCCTACAGCTACTGGATCCATCCTAATCTCTCCTCGGTGCTCTGGGCCACCAACTACACCAAGCAATACCGCCACTCGTACTTTGCCGACTACTTTATCCAGGACGTGCAGTCGATGAATCTGAGGCCCCTGGCCCCGGACCAGTCCGGCGACGTCCAGTACGCTCAGTGGAGTCCAACCGGCGACGCCATCGCGTTTGTCCGCGGCAACGACGTCTTCGTCTGGACCAATGCCTCAACTAGCCAGATTACGAATGATGGCGGACCGGATCTCTTCAACGGCGTCCCGGACTGGATCTACGAGGAGGAGATCCTAGGCGATCGCTTTGCGCTGTGGTTCTCGCCGGACGGCGCGTACCTGGCCTTCCTGCGGTTCAACGAGACGGGAGTCCCGACCTTCACCGTGCCGTACTACATGGACAATGAGGAGATCGCGCCGCCGTACCCGCGCGAGCTGGAGCTGCGGTATCCCAAGGTGTCGCAGACGAATCCCACCGTCGAGCTGAACCTGCTGGAGCTGCGCACCGGCGAGCGGACGCCTGTGCCGATCGATGCGTTTGATGCAAAGGAGCTGATCATCGGCGAGGTCGCGTGGTTGACGGAGAAGCATGACGTCGTGGCTGTCAAGGCGTTCAACCGCGTGCAGGACCGGCAAAAGGTCGTCGCTGTGGATGTGGCCACGCTCAGGACCGAGACCATCAACGAACGCGACGGTACGGACGGATGGCTCGATAATCTGCTGTCCATGGCGTACATCGGGCCCATTGGCGAGCCCAAGAAGGAGTACTACATCGACATTTCCGACCAGTCCGGCTGGGCGCATCTCTGGCTCTTCCCTGTCGCCGGGGGTGAGCCCATCGCCCTGACCAAAGGCGAGTGGGAAGTGACCGCCATCGTCAGCATCGATAAGTCGCGCCAGCTGGTCTACTTCCTCTCCACGAAGCACCACAGCACCGAGCGCCATCTCTACTCCGTCTCTTGGAAGACGATGGAAATTACCCCCTTGGTCGACGACACCGTCCCCGCCGTCTGGGCCGCCTCCTTCTCCTCGCAGGGCGGATACTACATCCTCTCCTACCGCGGGCCCGACGTGCCCTACCAGGACCTCTACGCCATCAACTCCACCACGCCCCTGCGCATCATCACCAGCAACGCGGCCGTGCTCGACGCCCTGAAAGAATACACCCTGCCTAACATCACCTACTTCGAGCTGGCCCTCCCCAGCGGCGAAACCCTCAACGTCATGCAGCGCCTCCCCGTCAAGTTCTCCCCCAAGAAGAAGTACCCCGTTCTATTCACCCCTTACGGCGGTCCCGGTGCACAAGAAGTCTCCAAGGCCTGGCAATCCCTCGACTTCAAGGCCTACATCGCCTCAGACCCGGAGCTCGAGTACATCACCTGGACAGTCGACAACCGCGGGACGGGGTACAAGGGTCGCGCATTCCGGTGCCAAGTCACCAGCCGGCTGGGCGAGCTCGAAGCCGCGGACCAGGTCTTCGCCGCGCAGCAGGCCGCCAAGCTCCCCTATGTCGACGCAGACCACATCGCCATCTGGGGGTGGAGTTACGGCGGCTATCTAACGGGCAAAGTCATCGAGACCGACAGCGGGGCGTTCTCGCTTGGTGTGCAGACGGCTCCAGTCTCGGACTGGCGGTTCTATGACTCGATGTACACGGAGCGGTATATGAAGACGCTGGAGAGCAACGCGGCAGGGTACAATGCCAGTGCGATCCGGAAGGTAGCGGGGTACAAGAATGTGCGTGGCGGGGTGCTGATCCAGCATGGGACGGGCGATGATAATGTGCATTTCCAGAATGCCGCGGCGCTGGTAGACACGCTTGTTGGGGCGGGAGTGACGCCGGACAAGTTGCAGGTGCAATGGTTTACGGATTCGGATCATGGGATTCGGTACCATGGGGGGAGTGTGTTCTTGTACCGGCAATTGTCGAAGAAGCTGTATGAGGAGAAGAACCGAAAGGACAAGGGGAAGACGCATCAGTGGAGTAAGAAGTCGGTTCTGTAGATAGACTCATGTATGCACATGGCAGCAATACGTCTTCCGTCTCCTTTCTGCATCTTCTAGAGCCCCAGATATGTCTAATTCTCTGTTCCTGCAGCAAGACTCGGCGGATACACTCAGGCTCAGGAGTGGCGTTTCCACTCAAATTCTATCATGAGGTAATCAGAACGGCTTGACGACAGAAATCATCCCTCAGGGCTGCAAGCCACCAGCATGGTTCTCGTGCCTGTGACAATCGAGTTATCATGATGATCATTTCTAGAGATACCCCTGGTCTCGGACGCGTACCATCGCCGTCTTCCAGTATGACTCTCATTGACTTGTTTGCTCTCGCCAGCTTATATTCTAAGAGGTTACTGACATTGTCAGAAGAAAGCAAATGTCACAGTAGGGGGTATCATTCCCAAAAGGGCAATATGTCCACAGAGACTAACCTCAATGAAGTTAGACCGGAATTGTTATCCCAAAGAGGTAATCAGCTCAACATAATCTCTGGAAACAAAAGACACTTCCAGTTTTCATTGACACCTTCAAAGGAGTTCTAGAGAGGTATAGGAAGGCGATTGCTTGGCTGTTGACCGCGATTCTTCTCATCCGAGGAGGTTCGCAGGCTGATGCGACCATGAAGTATTCCGAGAGGTCAGCTCACAGCGTCTTCGCTATGTAGCGTGCCAGCGACGCGTCTGATCATTATCAGCAGCTTAAGCTTATCCCATTCATCAATAATGATAACCGAATCTTCATCACGATCCAACACTAGGCAGCTACTAATGGATCGATTTGCCCCGTAAAACTTTGTCTACAGCTCGTTTGATAGGCAGAGGAGACAAGGCAGCATTCAAAGTGGCTATGAGGGGGCGCTGCGGACGAGGCTCCCCCGCCCAGGTGGCCTAACTCGTCTTTAAATTCCACGAAGTCCCTCGAGCGACTTGAAATGCGTATCTAGTAATAAGCTATCGTGAAAATGTCTCTGTCTGTGTCGACGGCTGAGATTCTGGTGTCTGACCTTCCAACCAAATCGGTCACTCTGACTCCGCTCAGAGCGACTGTCGTTCGCGAAATCCAAACTACTATCCAGGTAAGTGTCGCCTACAAAGAATTCTAAGATATATGCTAATTTGTACAGCCCGGTCAGAATGAAATTACCATCCTTGGGCTCGATCCTCAGGTCGACCCCGATTCCATCCGTGTCGACGGCTCCGGTTCAGCAACCATCACCGACATCCAGACCGACATAGTTCCTCGCCGGGAGAATTTCGAGGATGTCTACCCCGAAGAGTCGGACAATGAGCTGAGCGACGCGTTAGAAACCGACTCGGATGAAGATTTCGGCATCGATGATTCGGAACTTCAGGCGGTACGGAAAGAAATCGCAGAGGTTGAGGCTGCTCTCGCCAAAGCGCGCGGCAATCAAGCCATGTCGCTCGCTGTTTCGACTTTCATGGATGGCTACGGGAAGAAATTGAGCATGGAGAATGCGGACGCGGCAAAGCTGAATGATTTCCTTCAGCTTTACGTCCAGCGCCACTCGGTCGAATGCGACCGTCACCACCAGTCTACAGTGGAAATAAAAGAGGCGGAGAAAAGCCTAGAGCGACTCAATCAAAAGCGAGCACGACTGGAAACCAAGTACAACAAAGCCAAGGAGACTGCTCTGAAGGATGTGCGTAAAGAGCGCAAAAAGCGCCTGCGGGAGCGCGAAGAGAAAAAGAAGAAACAACAACAGTTGCGAAACGAGCGAAAGGTGTTCTGGACCCGTACCGTCAGCCGGGTCGTGGTCCATCTCGACAGTCACTCGATCATGACTCCGGGATCGAGCCGACGCAGCTCGGTTGTGGAAAAGGCTGGAAGTAGCGCCGATGCTGCAGACGTGACACTGCGTCTGACATATGTGGTACCCGGTCCTCGCTGGGTGTCTCGTTATGATCTCAGGATCAGCACTCCTTCTTCGTCAGCCCGTCTGACCTACCGCGCCGAGTTCCACAACTCCTGCTCGGAGACATGGCGGGACACCCAGGTGACTCTGTCCACCTCCCAGGCTTCCTTTTCGGGGCTGGAGGAGCGCATTCCGCAACTGCAAGGCTGGCATATCAAGTTGGATCCTAACAACGCAGGCCTGCCTTCGTGGAACAACATCTTGCGCAGCCTGGACGAACCTGGCCAGCCCCTTCAGGCTCACGCAAAGTTACTTAGACAACAGTTTACGGCAATGCAAAAGGCAAATCAACAGCGGCTTAACAATGTGCCGCAAGCTCAGATGCAGGCACCGCAGGCTGCACCCGTCTCACTGTTCGGAGCTCCACCGCGCGCGGGCGCTCAATCCGGCTTGTTCGGCTCAAACGCACAGCAACAGCAAGCACAAAGTCAGCAACAGCAAGCACAAAGTCAGCAACAGGCTCAGATCGAGCGGGGAGAGAGGTTGGATAGCCTACCTGCGTCTGGGTTCGGGATGGCCATGCGTGCACAAGGACCGGGAGCACCGCCTAGCATCTCATACTTCAACAGCGCTGGCTCGAATACCGCCAACGAGAACGATGACGAGGATGATGACGAGGACGAGGATAGCCAAACCATCGCGGCAGCCAGTCTGGAACATCAGGACTCCGTCAAGCAAGACTACGGCTTGACCACGACATACGATCTTCCAGGGCGCCGTACGCTTGTACCGTCGAGCGTGCATCGGCGACACGTACTGGCCGAGCTAGACCTAAAGTCGATGACTCTTACCCACATCATCGTGCCTAAGATCCGCGCGGCGGCCTTCCTGCGCGCCCGCATCCAGAATACATCCTCGGTAACCATCCTCCGCGGCCGAGCGGGGATGACAGTCGACGGCACCTTCCTGGGTACGACGGCCTTGCCCAACTGCGCGCCAAACGACGCCTTTAATATGTCCTTGGGCGTCGATCCGTCGATTCTAGTCACGTACGCGAAGCCGTCCGTCCGCCGCGTTGGGGGCGGGTTCTTCAGCAAGGAGCACACGGCTGTCTTTCGACGGGCATGCTGGGTGAAGAACACCAAGAGCATTGCCGTTGATCTGATTGTTTCCGAGCAGGTCCCGCTAAGCGAGGACGATAAACTACGTGTGCAGATCCTCGAGCCGAAGGGGTTGGAAAAGGAAGGCGATCAGGTCAAGATGGCGATGGAGGGTAAGGGCAGCGGGAGTGTATCCCTGGGCAAGAACGGCGAGATCAAGTGGATGTTGAGGTTGCAGCCAGGCAAGGATATCAGATTGGCACTGGAATATGAAGCCAGGGTTCCTCCGGGCAGTCAGGTAGAGGTTGTCAAATAGTGATTGCGTTATAGCTAGCCTAGTCTATCAATCTATGCATTATACGTCAAGATATTACAAATCGCCCAGTAGTGCCATTTACCAGTCAAGACTCCCCGGCATTCGCTGTCGACGCTCCTGATCTTTATCCCCTTCCTCCTTCGTCGTAGTCTTCTCTTCACGAGCACCATCCCCCCTCCTGTCTACGACCGCAATTCCCCACCTCTCCCTCCAACACGCCAACTCCTCCCGCCACAGATCATTCACGCACGGATCACACGAACTCCCACAACACTCCCCCAGTCCTGGCGGCGGCGGCGGATCATCATATTCTCGCGCCGCAGCCCGGACAAGCTGTTTCCGGCGGGTGGTGCTCAGCCGTTTTGCGGTTTTGATGCGCGGGACGGACTCGGGGTGTAGAGGGGAGTCGGCTTCGAATCTGCTTGCGCATTAGGGGGTGTGAGGGTTGGTAGGAGGGAGGTGAGCGTCATTGTCTATGTCTTGCTTAGCTTGACGAAGTTCCACAATGTTTCCGACTCGTACCTGATGGAAGAATGATTTCCCGCGGGATGGTTAGTCAGCTGCTTGGTGGTATCGGCAGGGTTTGTGTGTAGTCGGTGAGGGTTGGGATATGTGGAGGTTCATGATATGGACATGATTCTTCAATTGTCTTTTGTCTTCAACTGGTATTGTTGAGTATTGGTGTTGTTGCTGGGCCATCTCATCCCGGGAGTGCCCGTGAGTCGTGACTGTGGCGTGCGGAGTGTGGGGTATCACCATTAGCATCATGTTACGGTGATGATTATGACAAGTATAAGAGGAACTACAGTGTCATGAAGTGATCGGATCGGTTAGGCATCATTGTTTAAGGATATAGGTAGTATGAAGTGCCTAGAGCTTGTAGGTGCTTGACCTCGACGTCAGGCTCGGTGGCCAGTCATGAGCTCCAAGCGAGAGGTCGCAGGGAAGAATATATATTACTCTTCACTACAAGCTTTAGTTCCCTGGAAGAGTGCAATAGCTAGCCTGTAGTTCAGTATTAATCTTAAGTGATATAGCTAACCACAGTCAAGACAATATATATCAACAGCATACAGTGCCGACTCTTGTCCCACCAACACCATTGACTCTATTCCAGCACTCCTTTACGATCTCATCCACAATAATGCTGATTTCTCTTAATTACAGCACTTGATCCTTCATCAGAACCACGTGATACATACCATCCCCATAACAACGCGTGCGTGTAGATTACCCAACCCACCCCTTTCGGGGTTCATAACTAGCTATCTCTGCATAAATATGCACCCATTCTTCAGCTGATTTTCTCTCGCATGACTGGAAGCAAATACCCGGCATTTGCTGCGGAAGAGCCACGATATCCCGATCTCGCATCGAATCGGAAATAGGCCGGAGTCCTACCGTATCCCGTCGTCCGTAAGCCCGTAAGGTAAGGTACTTCCGTTGCAGGCGGTGACTCGGCAACTGGCGAGCTGCAAATCCCCTGTCGGTTCAGCGTAGTCTGAGTACTTGTAGGTGGTGTATCAATTGAGCTGAGCTATCATTTATTTGCATGTGTCCTGCGTCCTGTACGTATGTATCCATTCCCAACAACTTACTTTTCCTGTTAGCAAACAAAATGATGGGCTGTGAGTTCGTTTGTGAGCCGGATTGCCGAGTCGATCAACTGCACAGATTTCAGTCAAACTGAAAGACGGCGACGCACCGCAATTGATGCATTGGATGATTTCTTACGAGAATATATATTTATCATAATGGAGTAGCAACTAGATAGACTGTAATTGTGCAGTAGAGTAGCTGGGATGAAGCCGGGGAAGCGGGAATCCTATATCCACCGTGGCAGTTGACTCCATTCAGATTGTCCACTTTACTGACACTGGCCAAGTGTCAAGCTACCCCAGATTCAGTCGTAGATTGATCAATTCTACTGAAGATGGAATACAAGGGAAAAAGATGAGAGCTCCAGGTGAGTGGCCATTTTAAACTCTATATGTACAGTTTATTTGATTGGGATGATTGCTGGCGGGAAAGTAGTACATGATATATCAAAAAGACCACCACAAATTACCTCTAAAACACACACCCCCCGAGCCAACGCACACAACGCCGGACGGAGAAGTTGAAAGCAAGAAGTTTGGTCTTGTTTCATCAGATATGCAGCGTTGTCTTGAAAAGATTTTTGATTCGTTTCGATTCGTCCCATCCGTTCAAAAAACTAGTCCAACGTGCACATCCTTGACCCAGAGAGGTCAAAAGTCGTTTAGACGTACTTGCACATCATGGCAACCATCAGGTCGAACAGACCGATGGCTTCGACGAAAGCGAAACCCAGAATGGCGTAGGAGAAGAGCTGACCACGCAGAGCAGGGTTGCGGGAGACACCGAGGAGGAGGGCACCGAAGACGAGACCGATACCGATACCGGCACCACCGAGACCGATGGCGGCAGAGCCCATACCCATGTTCTGGGAGACCTGGACCATGGCGTCGGCGATTTCAGAGGAGTACTGGCGGCGGGACTGGACGTTGGCGAAGACCTGGCGAGCGTTGGCCTGGATGAGGCTGGGCTGCTGACGCTTGATGGTCTGGAAGGGGTCATGGGGAGAGCGGTCTTGCGCTGGGTGGTGAAGGTCCGCTTGGGAGCCAGCTGCAGACGAGCGGCAGGACGGGCAACCTTGGTGGTTGCGGCCATCTGGGAGGCCAGGCGAGAGGCAAAGACACGAGAGGAGGCCATTGTGATTTTTGTGGTGGTGTTTTTGAGATTGGAGATGGTCTCAAAGAAGGTAGGTTAGAGTGTGTGGGAGGAAAGGAAAAAAAAAAAGAGGAGAGAAAGGAAAAAGGAGAGCTGGGAGAGCTTTTGGGGGGAGAAAAAGGCGGGAGGGCAGGATGACCCAGAGACCCATCTAGGACATAAATACTTCCATGCCGAATTTTCACCAGTCGGTGTTAGTGCGTTGGGAGCAAGCCCTAGCAGTTGTCCTCTATCCGTATCTCCAAGGTATCTGTCTGTTTCATTCCCTCATTGACCAGACAACCTACCTGGCCTTCCCACTCCGGATGGACTTATCGGGTTCGTCCGGGTTATGGCCAAGGTGGCATTTGTCCTGGTACAGCCAATTGTTCAGGGTCCTTGCAGGCCGCGCAGCTCCGTAGAGTCCACAGACTAACCATCGATCCTCCCACTTTTCTACTGTTCTTGACACGAGTTTACTTCTGTGTTGCTATCTACTACACTATTTAGTGTCAATTGAGTCACTAACAATAAATCAAAGCAATTGACAAAAGAACGGCAGAAACTAAAGGGAGAGGGAGCTGGAGCTGGCAAGAGCAGGATGGATGACGAATTTTTTTCTCGTGCGGTGGATCGAATTATGGGTCCGATAATTTGGTTCGACCCGCCCGATCCAAAGCTCTCCGCCAATCATAAACGCCAAAAAGCAGGCCGCCGTGTCGGAGTCAATAAAACCGGGCCGATTCGGGCTGCGGCTCCACCAGAACCGGAGGTTGAGCGCCAGAAACGACCAGAACAGGAAGAGACCAGCCACTGGTTTCGGCTGGAGGGAAAAATAGTCTTCTTGTTCCGAGGGAAACTGCCAAATGTCTCGCCGACTGGGTTGGCCTCATCGTTCCGTCAGGTTCTCTCTGAGCTGTGGGAAGGCACTTGTCCTCAGCTCAGCTGTCCTTAAAAGAGGCCCTCTGTCGTGGTCAAATTGAGAGGTCGAATGCGACTCATCCGACTCATTCGAGGGAGCTGCACAGGTTATATATGCTTGGATACATCTGAGGGTTCGCCCTGGTTTGGCTTTCTCCGAAGCAGGCTAGAATCCTCCGGGTTTTAGCCTGAAATTTCTGCGGATAGATCATCCTGAGGTCACCGACAGTACACACCATAGAGGACACGTACTCATAGTAGTCTACGTGTTGTTTGCTACCTTAGCATAATTGACATTGATCTCTTGCCTTAAAATTCATCTACACAGTGTGTGAATATCAGACATCTATCTATCAATCGATGCTCTGTTGCTGTAAAAGGAGGAAATTAGCAGTACGTCCTGCAGGTAGCCTCACCACTCAGCCTCATTTTTCGGCAGCTGATCATCATGACTTGGTGATTGCATATGCACTGTTACGTAATCTCCCTCTGTAATTATTCCCTGCCAGTGCTTGGAGCATGCACCCATGCTGCTCACAGGGACTTACAGGGATGGCATTCCTTATTGCTCTTAAGCTACGGAGTACCACTCTGCCGATTTCCTCCGATGCTCACTCAACGCTTTTCAGGAGAGCACCTCCCTAATGAGTACATGTAGATTGATATTCACAGATTGTGATGTATCAATTGTAGGTTTTACAGCTGTAATATGTCACCAGATATTTCTGACAACAGTGTTATGGTATTAGCGACCCCTGATCGGAATGAATCGGACTCTTTGTTTGTGCCTGAGGCAGCTAGCAGCTTATTACCTGTTTTGGATTGCTGCGGAAGCTTCAGCCGAGGTCACCAATTTAGACAGCTTTCAGCAGCAGATATTACTGATAGACAATGAGCCTCACAGTAGTCTGTTTGTTGTACTACGCAGGGGTAGATGATGCTAATGGGCTTCCTTACGATTATAATCAAGTACCGATCGCAGCGTCTCAGGCCCTGGTTATATCACGTCTCAACGGCTGATTTGCATCCGGGTAATTAATGTCAGAGAATTCGACTTACCAGTAACGTAACAGGCCCAAGACTGTTCTGGTTAGAGCATATAGGAATGGTGGTTAGTGTTGTTCTTGGGGTTGTGCTTCTACGCAGTATGGAGTCGGTTATATATTTCGGCTGGATTTACCTCTCTAGACTAACATACTAGTAAAATAAGATCATTGGGACCACAATGACACCTCCTACAACAGATGTTTAATTTAACCGTCTGTCTATTCACATGGCTCCAGCAACCTTCATGTTAGTTAAACTACGTGTTCTGCAGAAACAGATAATTATGTGTCTGGTCGATGCCATACTCCGACCATATCAACACGACTGACACCAGATGGTGCGGACGTCAATAGAAGCCAAAGATCATGATGCAACCAACTTGTGGAGATCAATCATCAAAGTCATCGCCTCTAGGCCTCACTCTTCGACTCCTATATAATCACACTGGCTTCAGACACATTTTCCAGGATGAGGTAGTCCTGAGCTAACTCAGTGGCACATAGGAGATTCAATTTGCCGTGTACGCTTGCAAATACTCTGTGATAAACAACGTGAATTCGTAACAACTAACATTATTCTACACTGCGATAAGTTGCGCATGGCTGCCATCGGTTTCTACTGCTTTGGTTTATTCAACCAAGGGTGAATGCCTCATGTCTGACTATGATGCCACTGGAATGCCAGTCTGAAACAACTCATTCCATGACAAATCAAACAATCTCATCGACATTACCACTTCCTTGTTCTTGCCTACTATCCTTCTGCTCCCCGGGCCACCCTGCCAGATTGACCATCAGAAGCTGCTTCCCCAAGCTCGTCCGCCATACTCAGCGAGTCAAACTCACAGCCCGATGGCCTCAGCCGACTGGACACGTACCACTGCTTTAGCTAGAGTTGCTTTCTCTTACAGCACATCTGCATGTACAATACATAATGATGGCTTAGCACGTACAATACCCCATGGAGGTCCCAGTTGCGTGGGTTGGCCCTGCCGCGCCGGACGTTAAGTAATATGCCAACTGCAACAACAACAACAACAACAGCGACCCTCCATCAGACCGCAAAACATCTTCACGATACATAGTCCTCTTCTTTTTGCGGGGTCTCGGGAAACTTGATTAAAGGTTCTTCGAAACTCGGAATTAACTAGCGTGCTACAGCTGCAGAGGTTCTCTTTGCCAATGGAACATCCAGAGATGAGTCTCTGGTATGCTTCACAGATTCTGCTCCGGTGCTATCCATGCAGAGCGAGGATGGCCAAAGCCAGTTCCTCCCTGAGACATGGTCTAATTGAAGGGACTTTTTCCTTGGTTGACAGATACAATGATCTCCATGCCTTCTGCCGACTACGAGTCAGTAGCCATGTTGATTGCTTTCATCCACAAACTCTACCACCACTACATCGACGATTGGCATTCCACCGATCGACCATTTGACGCAACATGTCCCTCTACATCACTGTCCGACTCGATTCTCGGTGTAACCTTCCAGTAACAGACAATGGGTTTTTGACTTTATGAAAAGCTGACATCCCGATCCAGGGGCGTCATTCCAGCTTTCCACAACATTCTTGGCGCGTAGCTCGAGGTCATCAGCCAAAGCATCAGAGCAGCAACACTATTAATAGGACGTCCTAAAAGAGCAGGTCTCAACATCAAAATAAACAAACAAAATCGTTCCATCGTATAATAAATGCTTGTGCGACCAAGCTGGCTTCTAAGTTATCTGGACTCTTTATCCCCAACATTCTTGCATCACCCGCCATCAACATGACATCTGTCACTGCGAGTCTCCCTGTAGAAGCTCAGGGCTCAAAATATTTATCACAAAAAGCTCCAGGGCGCTCGCACGATGATGGGATGTACCATCCTGGTAATGCTCGACTGGCAGTCGCTGCAGATCCTTCCCATGAATACGGTAACACGGAGACGAAGCCAATTGCGACAACAGACGCAATGCTTGACGGACACGGCTCGAGCGAGTCTGGAATGCTTCGTGGAACAATAACAGACACACTGCCCGACCCCAAGGCCGCTGCTGTAAAACCCCGGGCTCTGCCGTCAGAAGTGCCCCTGGATCTGCGTCAAGGACATTTCGACCATCCACTTCAACTTATCGCCACAATGACTACCTCGACAAACGCCTCTTCATCAACGACATCCTCGACCACCTCTTACAACTCTACGATCCGTACCACCCTTCATACCGTCTCGATGCCGACCTCCACTCGGGCTAGTTCTACCACGAGCGCATCCCATGCCACCTCCACCTCAGCCGCCGCCGCCCTTCGCTGGGAAACGATGACCCCTGCCGCGCAAGCGGGGATTGTCATTTCGGCTGTGAGCCTCGCCATCATCTTGATTGGGATGATCTTCTGGTGGCTGCATCGCAAGAAGCGGGCTCTGCTGAGGGCCGTCCGAGGGGAAGAGGCCCCGCCACCGACGGAGAAGCAAAATCCGGCATACAGATTCGCATCAAATTTGTATACAAGCAGTACCTCCACGCTGGTCAATGTAACGGAGATCTTCAAGGCTTCCAGGGAGAAATCACCGTCCATCAATGACAGAAGCAGCAGCATTTACTCCAACCACCAGCCACGAAGCAATCTGTTCACCCTCGCAGCGGACAAGGTCAGACCATTACGAGGCAGGAAACAGCCCCCAGACAGGCGCAGCCGCTATTCCCACGGTTATGTCTTTGCACAGGAGTTTGAGCACGTTCCCCCACCGCCGCCGACGCGTCTGCAAAAGATTGTCGCCGGTTTATACGCCAACGGTTCGTCCACAGTCAAAACAGTAACAGCACCGTTCAAAGCGCAGCCTCCACCGCAGAAAGACAACGCATCCTCAACGTGGAGCTCCATGAGCAGTCGCACTCCGTACTCGCGCGCCTACGACAGCTACCCGCAAGCGCATCAGTTTCAGCCTCCCTGCGACATCAGCAATAGTCTCGACCTGGTCAAAGTGCGGAGTGTTTCCTCGGGCACTGTCGCCATGAGCGACCCCGCGGAGATCAGCGTCGACGCAATGGCGGGACGTATCTCGGGAGAGGGCAAGCGACACCAGGAGGCTGTTCGGGAGTCAAGCCCCTCGCCGTCGCAGTCCACCACGGCTCCATGCCAGCGGCAGTCACCACCACCACCACGGACCTCGCGGGAGGGAAGCCCCGCGTATTCTGGGCCAGCGCCCTCACAGACACAGCTGGAGGTGCCGTCGGTGAAATTGTGGACCAAGCAGGTGTACCGTGTTGATATGGACTTTACGTCCCGTAGCGACGGCCAGCTGCAGGTTGGCGAGGGACAGATGGTCCGCTTGGAGCAGATTTTCGACGATGGATGGGTAAGTCTAACCCAGTCCCTGTGTTCCTCCAGTTTGATTAAACTGACTCCCCCAGGCACTATGTACACTGACCGACACCGAAAAGCAAGGGCTCCTCCCCCGCGCCTGTCTCTCTACCTGGCCCATCAAGGAACGCCGACACTATGCCTCCAGTAGCAACACCTCGGAGCGTGCCCTGGGCGTCTCTCCCACAGACTCTCAGTCCTTCCGGTTCTACCGGCAACACTCTCGACCAGGAACGCCCAAACCGGGCACCGAGTCCAAACCGGCTACCGAGTCCAAACCGCCGAGCGTGAAGAAGCAGTCGATCTCGCCTACGCTGTCGACATTCTTCCGTCTGTAGTCTGCTTCTTTCAGTCCTCTTCTTGTAGATATTAGCGTACATGTTTCATCGGCTGTACGGTTGCTGTTACAAACTGATACAATCATAATCAAGTCATGTACATAATTAAGAAGCCAGTTCGAAGCGGCTCCGCGCCGGCTTCGCAGACAGTTCGCTCGGTTGTGCGTAAGCGCACGCCTCGAGTTCCGCTCGTCTGGCTTTGGCTCTGGCTCCACTTGCCCAGAATGTATTCTTTTCAGTTTGACTTTGCCCTCGGTTGTTAGCTGCAAGTGTGCGTGACCTGAGTAGCAGCGCAACCAGCACGATGATGATGATCCCGGCTCCGGCCGCACCAACCCCAATGCCTGCCTTTGCGCCTGTGGACAGGCTAGTTGTCGCTACTGCTGCTGTTGCCGTCGCGGCTGAGGACGTAACAGACCCCGACGGCGCTCCAGCCAACGTCGAACTCGCGCTCGAACTCGCAGATGCAGAGGCAGACGCAGAGGCAGAAGGCAAAGCCGAACTCTCCGGCGCCGCCAACTCAAACGTCCCACCATCGCAACAATCCCTCTGACTCAAACTCGCCTCATCATCATGACAACAGTACCTCGTCAGCGCGGCATTACACGCCCAGATATACTGCCCACGATAGGAATCATCTATCATCATCAGCACAGCCAATCTTGTCAGTAGGCTTGAGGGGAAGTAACGTACATGTCGTACAAGCTACAGAACACCCCTTGTAGCTCTTATCCTGGCAGGAGGGTGTATAGTACAGCCCGGTGTAATTGTATGAGTGTCCGTCCGGGAAGTCAGTCAGCGAGCCGTCGGCGTGGTTGTTCTTGTCGCGGCAGAGGAGGTTATCCGTGCATGTTGCGCTGGACGGGCAGCAGGTGTTGGCGTTCGGGCAGGGGGCGTCGTCTGCGGCGTGGGTGCCGTTGCGGTACTAACATGTCATGTTGCTTTTGGTTTGGGCCTGTCAGCTTGGAATCTAACTTCTGTATCGTCATTGTACAGTAAGAGAGGATATCTCACACCTCAATTGATAAGAAGCCTCGGAGTTCGAGCATGGTTGGAAAGTGATTATAGCCGGAAGGACGAGAAATACTCCAAGCTTGAAGATAATTTGTCTTATTTGTCCAAGCGTGCAATCAATCGCATCATTATTGAATATACAAGTCTCTTCATAACGCATTGGCCAGCTTATATTGGCAACACGTCCTGTGCAACATGACCCCTTCAATCAGATCACGTCGTAGTTCCGCTCTCCTCTGTTATACAAAGCCTTGATGGCAACATTCATTAAATCCATGAACTTGTCATGCTCGAGATAAACGTCACTGTTATGCCAGTCGTCGCGCTTCAAAGTTTTAGCCGGCTTCGTTGCGTGAGCGCTGAAATACAAATGTCCAAGTAGCGAAGCAAGGTTGCGAAAGCCCTTGTGATTCAAACCCGGCGGGAGAATCTCGACCATCACAGAGCCGGATGGAAGAAAGATACCGTGCGTGAGACCGGCGCCGTGCACGCCCACCAATATGTCCGATCCCTGGGCAATCCTCAGCTGCTCCTGGAATGGAATGCTGGCAAAGTCAATCATCTGGACGGTTATATGGGGAAATTGCTCTTTGACTGTTTTGAAGTAGTCCTCCTGATTGATCAGCTTTCGGCTTCCCGTCCGGTCGATAAAAGTCAACACGATCTGCGGGCCCTGTCGGGGTCGGCGAAGTTCCACATGGAAGTGAGAGAGGACCCGTCTGGAAAAGGTACGGATCAGTGCAGAGTCTTCGCATGAATGGATCTCCCAATCACCCTGCCAGAGGGGGTTCGATCCGCCCGCCAGGGGCACGATCAGGTTCTCGAACTCGTTGGTCGGACGCAGATCGCTGATTCGGAGTGGTGGCCGCTGAGCGAAAATCTTCCACAGGTCAAAGTAGGGCCCATCTTCGACCTCGTCCAGGATGACGACCTGTGCGTTTTCGATGTCGTCAATACTGAAAAGCGGCCTGTGCGGGTTGGGGCCCGCAGTCATGCGCAGAACATCGATGGTCATGGTCATGGAAAAGATCTCCATGAGAGAATGCCAGACATTCCGCGCCCTTCTCGCTGAACCAGGATCGTGTGATTTGAAACTACGGGAGGAACGGTATGGTCGAGCTTGCCCTGGAGGGAGACTGCCTTTTGGAACACGACCCCAGGGCCTGTCTCGTACCAATAATTGTGAAATTTTCCGAAAGTGGGTACGTTCTCGCCATCCAAATCTCGCAGTTGACAGTCCATAATAAAAAGTCGCTGAGCGGGATCGTATACAGCTCCGCGCCCGAAGCAGAACGTGTCGATTCGGGAGCCCGACTCTGTTTGACTGTGGAAGCAGGTCAAGCCTGAAGGCGAGTTTGGAGTGCAGTACTCGGTTCTCGAGTCGCGCAGCTTCTCCAGATATGTGATACCGAATCGATCTGCGCAGTAGGATGGCACCTCGGCCACCGCCGAATACTCAGCGGGCAGAGTAGGCGCCTGTTCTGCGTTTGGGAGATGGCCCTTTGTATCGGAATCATTTCGGTGAGGGCCAGATGTGGAAGATGGCAGCGGAGAATATTGAAACCGCGTCCTTGTAACTGTTACATGTAAGAGGAAAAGAACAAAAAGCACGCCAATTACAGTGGCAGAGAGCCGTACGACCCGACGTTGGGAACTGAGGCTTAACCAGGACATGAGACTCTGGTAGTAATAAGTTCAAAGGGAAACATCAGCCAAAGGAACAGGTAAACCCTGAGAGTAGGCCAACATGAGAGGAAGCTGAAAGTGGCGGCGGACTCGATTCGAATGACCAAGCTGTCTAGTGCGCCAAGAAGATATGGCGAGAGAGGGGGTGCTGAATTGCAGTTCAGACTCTAGACTGTGGATGGGAGTGTGGAGCCTGTCTATCACGGAAAAGTAAGCATGCAGAGGTCCGTCAATCCCGTTGCGGCCTAGCTAGTCTTGATACGGAGGATAGATAGGCGATCACCCTGCTCAGCAAGGCCCTAATTCCTGATGCCAACATAGCTAACTCAGAGAGATTCATGATTGGGCTTGTTCCAGCTTTCGTGGCGGCTGCTAAGTCTGCTAGTGGATTGGTATCAGAACACATCCTGGTTCTTCAAGGCGAATCATCATGAGCGATTATCCGCCAGGCATCATTGTGGGACTTTGCTCAGCGCCAGGGTGTGATATGGCCTGGTGGGTGTAGATTTGAAACATTGAGACAGGCATGCTGCTTCAAACAAGGAGTGGGATTGGATCATGATTCCAAGGTCGCAAGGAGAAATCGAAGGAGAGGGTGGAAGAAGCTGTTTTCATCAGTGTGCGGAGGCACGCGCCCATAATTTTGAAGTGTAGATTCCTCGGCAAGCTGGGTTAATACGCTTACTAACGCTATTCCATACATAGTTAGGTATTGTCACACATCTCCCACTCAGCCAAGAAGGTGTCCAGACAACCATCTCTTGCTAGTAGGGATGATAGTACAGTAGCGTCAACATAGAGTAGATGGCACGACAGGCATGATCAAAGGAATGCTCAATACAATGTTGTAATGTTGTATAATCTTTACCCTCACAAAGCTCTCCTAGTATAGAGTATGGTAATATATGTACTCAAAGGGTTTAAGAATAGCCAATCAGACGCTATCTACGCGGGTAGCATTTTTTTATAATCATGCTCCAGATAGGGCTGTCTGATCTTTATGTGCTGAAATTCCCTCCTCACACCCCCTTTTTCTTTTTCTCTACAAGCAGCTACACATAGTCATAGCACAGACTTAGATTGACAAGAGAATATCACTGAGAACTCACTCCACTTCAGCACCTAGCTAGGCACAAATTATCATTCATGGCCTTACAAGCGTCATGCGATCTTAGGTAGGGTCACATACAGTCTACTGAGTAAGTGAGACCTAACCACCAAAGTAAGGCCCCACTTCCTACTTGTCATTGACTCGTTTGGCCCCATTATTGTCCCATTATTAATATTATCATCGCGGCCCGCTCCCAGTGCAATCCTAAAAAGTACAAGCACCATGGCGCCAGCCATCGAAACCCATGGCAGCTTGGGCCAATCATGGAGTATGCGTAGAGCGGCGCAGTCAACTTGCGTCGTGGCGTTATTTCTGAAAAAGGAAAGTTGTTGGGCAGTGTGAAATTATTGATGGACACAAAGTACGTTTTACTCCTTAATCAAACACTGGCTGAGTGGATTGGCTAAAAGTTGTGATAACGCAACATAACCAGGCGATATTGGTCCTTAGGCGCTTTGCCTGGCGCATAATCCGCCTGGGCATCTTCCTCGAACAGAAGTTCGGCGACGTTGGATCTAGACACTAGTAAGACAGCCTCGTGGCAGTGTTCAAAATCTTCCTTCCTTATGCCCCGTGCCTTCTTGTGTTATGTGTAACTATTCGAAACTAATCTGAGGATGATCGAGATGCCGGAAGATCGAATATTGTTTTCTGTTGCTCCCTCGAGCTCCTGTTTGCTCTCGTTTCTTCTATTCCTGCTTCCCATGGTCTCCTCAGCTGGTGCGGATTGCGTCCCATCCCCATTCAGTGTGCGGGTTGGCAATGTGTCTCTCACCAACGATCAAGTTGCCCGCGGGGTCGACATCTCCGTAGGGACACCCGCTCAACCGTTTGCCTTCCTTCCACAGTGGTAATTCTCTCCATAACAGAATGGCACTCGTGAAATTACAACGCATATGTCTAACATGTTCCAGGCCATTGAACAACACATTCGTCTATCCCACAGGCTGGAGCTGTGGCACGGACTGGGCCGAAGCGGGCTGCATGACCTTCCGCGGAGGGTTGTTCGATAAATCAAAGTCGACTTCTGTGGGAGCGACCTCTACAGACTCTTACCCGACAGACAGTTCGCCATATCCATCTCTAGAAATATTCAGTGACACCATAACCCTCACACCGAGCATCAATGTAACCAAATTTCCCGTTGGAATGCCGAAGTCAGGCTGGGGAGAGGAAGGATACCATCCGCAGGCGGCTATAGGACTCGGCCGCAACTCCACCTTGTTGAATGCTCTCGTCAGCACCGGCAAAATCGCCTCAAGGTCATGGGCCATGTTCTGGGGCCGTCAAGGAGTGACAGCAGACGCGCAGATGGACGGCAACTTTGTGTTTGGTGGTTACGACCGCGCCAAGGCGTCTGGGGCCAACTTCACCCAGGGACTGGTCTATTCTAACCCTGCGTGCAGCACTGGCATGTTGGTAACCATTACAGACATTTCATTGAACTGGGATAATGGTACGACTACGAGTCTTTATGATGGGAGCCAGTCGGCTGCCATGTCCGCATGCATCGTTCCGGATTACCCTGTCCTGATGACCATCCCTTACGAGCCATATTTCAAACGATTCTCGGGTATCACGGGGGACAGCATTGTATCATTTGGCCGCTCATTTGGCATCAATTATTATGGGATGCTGTATCCTTCGGGTAAAAGCCCGTGAGTTCACCTGGCCATGAGTTCGAGTGCGGATGAGGAGCATATGCTTACAGAAAAAATACAGATACTCTGGCGACCTGTCCATCACCCTTAGCTCAGGGTTGAGAGTGCGCATTGCCAACGATCAGCTCGTCGTCCCTAACCTCACAATCGACAAGACTACTGGGGCGATCTTGGCTAACGCGTCCGCTCCCGAGCTTGTACTCAACTCCATGCAACAAGTAAACGCCGACGATTTGCCCCAGCTAGGCCGCCAATTCCTCAGTGGTGCCTACGTGATGGTCAATCAAGACGCCGGCCAGTTCTCCCTGTGGGCAGCCAAGCCCACAACCGAGGAGGATCTTGTTGCTGTCAATCCGGACAATCGCGTGTACGGGTCCTTTTGCGCGCCAGGAGTGTCCAATCTCGTCGATGCCACCCAATCCACCGGCACCTCGGATCCCACGCAATCGGCCGCGTCTAATAGCAACGTTGGACAGTCTCAGAGAATGGAGGGGGCAAGCACCGGACTATCCTCCGGAGCGATCGCAGGCATTGTAGTGGGGGGCGTGGCTGGTGTAGCCTTGGTCGCCGCCGGTGTATTCTTCGCAATCATTAAAAGAAGAAGAAGAAGGCAGACGACACCGACACCTGAGATTGCGGAGGCCTTCGCCCCAAAGGTGGTTGACCAGACGCCGCGTGCCCCGCAGGAGCTCCCCGGACACTTGCCAAATAGAAGTACTGAGAGATGGGAGCTGGAATGAGTCCTGCCACGACCGCGGGGAAACGGAAGTAAATATTGCATTGGCTATACGTTTACGATTCTTTCTGCATATAATCTCTTGTATAATAAGATACTGTTTATACCCCCTGCAAGGTTTTGCTATTTGCCCAAAGTTAAAGGTGTTAGCTGGTGTATCTGATGGCTTGTCCGGATTGTATCTCGCGAAGTCTATCTTCCACTGTAGCAACACCGCATACTGGACAGTAGAGCGTTTCAGTTCTTTCACAGCTACAGGCGATACCGGTGAGTATATATACCCATCGACGATGTCGAGAATCTCGAGATGATATCATCCAGGAGGATACCATCCAATAACCATCGGAGCGCGGCTGAACAATCAATACCGCATCGTCCATAAACTTGGCTCCGGTACATACTCGACCGTCTGGTTAGCAAGGAACCAAGAGACCAGAAAATACGTTGCCATCAAGATCACAATCGCAGCAGGAGACCTAGTTGACTCCCAAGAAAGCAACATCCTCCGTCAACTAGGCGACGCAGGATTAAAGGCCGAGTCACACGCCGGGGCTGCATACATCGCAGTACCGATCATCCGTAGGTTGACTACGAAGACCATTCAGCCGTCAGTGAATCATCGAGGAGGTACCGTGCAAAAGTCAAACCATCAGGAAAAGTCCAGCAACTTGTCAATGGCTGCGGGCCATAGATTTCAAAGTTCTCGCTCTGTCTGACGTCAATCATAGCTTTAAATTAAATAAATTTCCTCAGCCACCATAAGGCATCATTTTGAAAATCCCCCGCCAACTCCAAAAAGCAACACCTCGCCAACGCACACGAATCGGAGGGATGGCTCGGACTGCAGACTGGACTGTGCAAGAGCTATTTCACGCATATTCTACCCTTCGTGCTCCCTAGGCCGCATGTTTTGTCGTCTTGCCGGGGTGTATAAAACGGGGGCGAAAAACCACTCTTCGGTTTCGTGTTTTACAAAGTGTCTTTGAGCGATAGCTATAAAACACTCAGCAATGAGCCGGCGTGGACAACAGATACCATCTTTGCAGAAACCAGGTAAGTGAACGCGTTTAAGTGTGAGACACTAGGCATTCAATTGCGCTAATTGATACTGTATTTGTCTTGGAAGCTGCATGCTTTTATATCCGGTTTTCCGGCAGCGATTTCGATCGCGCTATATATGTGGCAGCTGCCATGACAGGGGCTCAGTCAGCGTGCTCTGATCGCACGAGGTGTACCTATCGCTGCCGGCAGTGTAATACTTGCAGGAGGCGCTCGTGCTTTTGTCCGACGTGCCGAGATCGGCCATCACCAGGCTCTTGCCCTCCACCACATAGTAGTCACCAGTACAATTTACCTCGCTGTAGATGCTCATAGTCCAAGTGCGGTTGCGGCCGCCGTTGCCGCTGTGGCTGTGGTTGTAGGCGTCAGGCCAGCCCACGATGACCAACTGGATAGATAGTCTGAAGGGTAGTCTGTCTCAACAGGCCAGGTGGTCATAGTTGTCATCACAGCACTGGCAGCCTCAGCGCCATCCTCATCATCAGCAGCAGCACAGACCCCCTTAGACTCCACTCCAACTCATTGCCAAGGGTGGTGTTCGAGGCCCGTTCACCAGTGCCGTTATTATAGAGTGTGAAAAGGTCGTTAATCTTGAAAGGAATTAAGGCGCTTTTTGGGGCTGGTGGCGCCAGGGGGAGGTGTAGGTAGATGTTGCCAAACATGTTCTAGACGTACTTAGCGAAGGCATATAAGGTCAGACTGTCAGCATTTTGAATGGTCCACAGGCCTGTGCTCCATCCCAAGCGCGCCAGTGCTTTGCACATCCACGGCCTGTAGGCAGTGTAGTATGTCATGATGCAGTCTTCCCCTTCCTCATATCCCACCTTGATGTCAGTGACATGGTGAATATTACTACTGCTTAAGGCTATTAACACCCAGTTAAGGTGTAGCAGTTCATGAATCCACACCAGGGCCTGATTGTTATAGTGGTTGTTCAGGTCAGCATATTCCCTGGGAGTGTGCATGGTGTCTGCCCAGTACATCGCGTCCTTTAGTATTTGCAACGAGAAGTACTGCGGGCAAAAGTTTATGGCTGCAACCTAATGTTTGGGGTCCTTCTGCACTGTGTAGGCAATGGTGTTGACATCTCTCCTGCATGAGCATTATAACTTCAGGTCATCGCACCGGACCGCAATCTTCCAGGCAAACCACTTGAGTAGGTCGAGAATCTTCCAGCTGGGCTGGATGGTGGCAAGGTTCAGATATATAGCCTTGTAGTTGCTCCACTGGTCCTGATTCATCGATGGTGGCCCCAGGTACTCAACAGCAGCGGCCTCGTTGAAGTTGATGCCAGCCTTGGCCACCTTATACATGTAATTCATGATATTCCAGGACTCCACCCAGCCCAATCTGATCTGCTTTTTCTGGAGAACAGTGCACCCATCCTCGCTAATCAGCGCCGTCGCTAGGATGGTAAGATTAAAGTCGGCGAAGTCAGAAATATTATAACCACTTGTGGCAATCACCTCTGTGATCTCCTGCTCCGCCTCCAATATGCAGGTTCCAGGTGGACAGTAGCCCTCGGCTGCAGGCAAGGTCACAGAGGTTGTCAAAGGTGTCGGGATAGCCGGGGCCTGCCATACCAGGACCCTCTGTCTGGGCGGGCAGCTGCACAAGAGCCCCTGTTTGTGTACCGGAGCATAGATTGATGGGACAATACCCATAGATGCAAGCATACAAACATAATCCGGAGACTGGACCAGGTCCAGTACCAGCAACACAGGCCAGCGGCAGGAAGTCCAAGACTATTAGCACTGGCATGGGATGTTCTGTTGTATCACACATCCCAGATGGATAATAGCTATAGTTATAGGCAAAGCTGCATAGGCCCTTGTAGTTAGCATCTTTCCCTTCTGCTAGGTAGCCTATCATTCCTATTATATTAGGCTTAGTAAGGGCAATAGGAGCAAGTAAAGGTGTAAAAGGGATTAAAGTTGTAGGTGCCCTTCCCTTTAAAACATACCTGATCTTTTAAGTTGACTAAAGTAGAGTATAGACCATAGGGAGCACCCCCTTAAATACTTCCTACCTATATATTAAAGTTGTTGAAGCCCCCATTACATGATGTGGTGATGTTAATGGTTATAAGGGCACTCATTAATAAATTATAAATAAATAAATAAATGGTAACCATGCCAGGTGGTGCAGTGATGCTACTAAACTAGATATGAGCACTAATATTACTATCACCTTTAATATTAGTCTGCAGCCTAGAGTCCTACTCCATCTATGACTATTGACATACACTGCAGCATTGGGGTGAACATATTAATATAGGCATCCTGGGCTAATCCAACATCTGACTGCCAGTCAGAAGCAGTGTAATTCTCAGAGTTTGTGACCTTGAATAGTATTAGTGTCCTTCTCACTTATTTTAATAGGAAAGCTCAGAATGGACAGAGGTACCATGAAATGTGCAAATACAGCTTTCCTATTTGCCTGGTGGATGACCTGAAAGGCCACCACCATGGCAAGCACTGTAAATCAATTCATTGTCACAAATGTGAGCGAGGGAAAAGGTGTGGAAACAGACAACTATGAGATAACTGCTCTTTTATATCTCTTTCCTAAAGGCCCAGTCGCCTCCATGGCTGAGGTGTGTATCAACTATCAGGGCTTGTTTCTAGCTCTACCTCAACCACAAGCAAGTAGGATTCTCAGCTACACCATTGTGCTCTTCGGTAAAGGGTCACATCTTCGCCAACATTCCGACGCTAGGTAGATAGAAAAGAAATTGCAGCCTTTGAGGTAGCATTTGTGGCGGTCTTAAAAGGGGACTAAATGACCAGTCTAGCGTTAAGCAGTTTCGGAGAGCCCTAAGACAAGTATACACTAAATCTAAGTACTTCATCTTGTTCTTCATTGCAGGTGCCAATACAGTCACTTTGTCTGGCTTCGTATGAGTCTGCAACAAACAGCATAACAGCACATATATATACATAGTTCGATTTCTTGTTTAGATGCTTCTGCAAACGCCTGGTATCTCAACAGCTCTGTGAGCATTGGAGGGGTAAACTATAAGCGACATTGTGATACCTCTCAAGACTAAATGATACTACCTTACTTAGTTGCCCCCGGTGGTTTTGTCGATTTAGCTAACTGTTTGGTTTGGTGGGTGATTGGTTGGCTAGATCCCACGGTTCTCGGATAAAAGTTACAGTCATGCACCACCTACACTAGTCAAGTCAAGGAAGGTCAAGATAGGGGCAGTCCTTGGGGTCAGCGTAGAAGACACCTCCCAGCTTTTCGATCCACCTGCACCGTTCCTCCATATCATGCGCGTTGTGAATCCGTGCTGCCCCTATATCGCTTGCGTTACCCCGTGTCGTGTGTAACACCCATACACCACCTGCAGCCGGCCAGCCCACTCGGAGATAGCCATCCGTAGACTTTGGGGGCTCCAGTCCACGCTCCCAAAATTCACTGGATTCGCTTCGCCACCAGGTAGCGCCGAGGCGACGCACTTTTAGACATTAGACATGCAATAAAAAAATAAGAAAAGGAAAGTCAGGGAAAGGAGAATGGTAACTGACTCCTGTCGCAGTGTGCGTCCTCTTTCGCTTGCCAATCGGGATCTAACTTGGATGGGCGTTCGGTGTCATTGAACCGGTCAAGCCCAAGAAAGTCCAGCTCTACGCCGAAACAGTTACGCAGGACATAGACACCACCCTTGGAGGGGTACCCGGAGACCTTCACCCCAGGGCCGGAGCCATAGGCTACCCAGAAGCGACCTTCAGGATCATGTTGCACACAATCAATCCTCTCCATTTCTGGTTGTTGCTCTTGTGCTTGTGTTTGAGTTCGTGCTTGTATTGTTTGGAGTTGATGAGGGAGAAGCTGCCAACACGCGAGGACTATAACTGAAGTAACTAGACAGGGGAATAGGATCTTTGCAATGGTCTGCATTATTGTGATTATTGTCAATATCATTATTATTAACTGAAATGGAAGAGGGAACGTCAGGTTCTTGAATCTTGACTTAAAGCTTGCCGGAGATAGGCACCAGGGGCTAGTAATATGGTAGCCTTGGTAGGTCGGTGCACATTCGCCAAGTTTCAGAGTAATAGTTATGGATAATACCACTGAGGTAGGCTAAACAGGTGTGCAGCAGCCCCAGCCGACGTGCTCGCCAGCCTAGGGTTACATCTCCATGATCATTGCGATTAAAATATTTCAACACCACTTCAATAAGCAATCCTTTTCCTTTGATCATCCTCATCTTCTCATCTCAAAAAGTCTGAAATATTTATGCCCCTCAATACCAGAAGCAAGCTTAAGGATAAAGGCCGAAGTGTTGTCTCTGAACTGAGAACTGTGGGGCCTTAGGCGCTAATCTGATAGAGCTCTAGCCCGGGGGCATATGTACAATTTCTCAACCCTCCCTCTAATATCAAATGGATGTTGCCAATTCTCCTCGCATGCTAAACTTGAGATCTTAATGCTGGTAACATGTTACTACGTCTTCCCGAGAGCATGAACACTCTCTCGCCAGAGCAGTTGTACGAACAATGTGGACAGCCTCATACCGAGCCTGTGGAACGTCTCGATCAGCGTCCACTCGCAGACGGCGTTCCAAGCCATGCTGTCGTGCAGGTCTGGTTAGGAAAAGAAAGCGGTCGGGTTTCTCTATCCGAAGCACAAATCATCGTAAGTGACTAGGGAGAGTCCTTTACACCGGCTACGACAACGCGGCTTTCCTCCCATGCTCCAGCCCTTTGGTTCCTCCAGAGGTTCATTTCGAACCCCAAGAGCCGCTTTCGTCTCCTGCTGATATATGGACGCTTGCGTGCACGATCTGGGAAATTATAGGCCAGCGGCCGCTGTTTGAGGGATTCAATCCCTCAGCCGACTGGGTAATCAGAGGACAGGTTGATGCGCTTGGGAGGCTGCCTCTGGAGTGGTGGGTGAAATGGGATTCCCGCAAGAGATGGTTCAACGAGGACGGAACCCGAGACAATGGCAATCCAAGGACTTGGGACAACGATTTAGCGATTCGGTGCAGGAACCAAGGCAGGAGGCCAAGATGCAAGAGGTAGGAGAGGAGGAGAAAGTTGCCTTGTTGGCTATGTTGAGGGCTATTCTTGCCTTTCAGCCTGAGGAGAGGCCAACTGCCACTGAGGTTATGGAGGGTGAATGGATGCAAAGATGGGCTTTCCCTAGCTTGACAAGTACATGAATTTTTCGTAGTGAAGCATTTCTCTTCCCGGAGACTTGGCCTACCAAAGGATGTTTCATGAGATCTCACTCCCTCGACTCGAACCCTTGATCCTTTCCAGGTGTTCTGTTCGGATTTAGCTCTATACCCTGTGACCCCTGTGGATCCAGATGGCCATGGCTGCACGCCTACTCCGTATTCTCTAGCCGACCAAGTCCACTAGAGACAACCCACTCTTCTAGGGTTGTGATTTGCCTGGTCTTGGACGACAGTCCATGATCGAGTCAAGTTTAAATCGATGCTTTGACGCTTATTGGACAGAGAATCTAGCCAAGAGTTGTTTGATTAATTCCATCGAGTGCAGCATCGCAGCCAGCCCCACCAGGATTCCGAACATCTGGTGGGGTATCATTATTAAAGAGAAGGGAACCCACTATAAGTTGTAACCATCTTGTCCTTTATCCCTTCTGCATCTTGATACATGAGGTGCACACTATACAATGGCCAGCGTCGAAGAAAAAGTGAAGAATCTTTATTAGAAATGTCTGAACAAGAGGTATCTATCAAGCTTGATTTCTGTAATTCCTTCAACTCCACTGACAATCTATTTCTGTAGGTGACGATGGATACCCGTATTTATAGATGCCTGCGCTGTGATTCCTTTGACCTGGTTGACCTACAGACAAAAGTACAAGGAGGTATGTATACATAATACTGCTGGAGACACTATGTGCTTAGCAGCATATTAATTGGCTATCTAGTCACAGGTAAGATGTCCTGTTGAGATGACTCTATACATGGTAATCATCTATCTGTCTGAGCAGTCCGGATGTTGTTGATTACATCAATCAGCATCTAGATAATTAATCAATATATCTATCTATGAAGCTATTCTGTGGATAATCCTGGAAATAAGCTTTGTTGATGTGGGGAATGATGTTGGTGATGTCATCCAGACATTCTCCGTTTTGCCCTTTCTCTATAAATGATAAAGACAGTTCGACTCCTCTTAACATACTTTACATGTCTAATCAACAAATAGGTCGATATTATGCCAGATCATCCAGCTTACCCACCAGCCCGCGCGCTGTTCAACTTCTCCCCACAATGGTTCCTCATGCCCCAAGGCACCGGCATCATCTCGGTCATCCTGCACCAACTGCACTACCAGTTCGGTGCATTGCGTATCCTAGCCAAGATCGTCTGGATATATACCATTGTGCTCCTTGCCATCACCCTCTTCCTGTACATTCTGCGCCTCATCCGCTACCCCAGAGAAGTCGGCTACGAACTCCGCCATAACCTCATCGAGACTTCCTGCCTCGCCAGCATCGTCATCACCTACACAACCATCATCCAGATGGTCGCCCTGCAGTACGGCAGCACCCACGGCGTCGCAGTAGGCGTCTACGTCCTCTGGTGGATCGCCGCCTTCCTCTCCACCCTCGCCGTCATCGCCATCCCCTACGTCCAACTCAAACTCCAACCCAGCGGCTTCGAGCGCGTCCCCCCGGCCATTCTCCTTCCGGTCATCGCCGCCCTCACCTGCGCCGCAGGCGGCGGCGCAATCTGCACCTCCACCGCGCTCAGTCCCCGCCTCCAAGTCCCCCTCATTATCGTCGCATACCTCCTCGTCGGCGCGGGTATATCCCTATCCCTCGGCTTCGACGCCGTCATCCTCTTCCAGCACTTCTCCGATCAGCAGCCCCCTCCGCAAAAAGTATGGCAGGATATGATCCTCTGCGGGCCATTCGGGCAGGGCGGCTTCGCGCTGCAGATTCTGGGAGGTGCGGTGCAGAAGAGCTTCCCGGCGTATGCGCGAGGGACGTTGCTGCGCGCGCAGGCGGCTGGCCCGATTGCCGCGGTGAGTCAGTTTGCGGGGGTTCTGTCCTGGGGTTTGCGACGTTTTGGTGGTGTTTTGCGATTATTAGTATTTTGCATACGTTGGCGGCGCAGCCGGGGGGTTCAAGAGTACGACGTTTAGTCTGGGGCTTGGTCGTTGGTTTTTCCTTGGGTATGTCCTTTTCCTCTGCTCTGCTGTGCTCTGGATGGGTTATTGACAAATGCAGGGCGTGTATACGAACTGCGCGGTGCAGCTGGGGAAGATTATGGATTCGCCTGCGTTTTATGTGTGGTCGACGGCGCTACTGCTGATGCTGGTGATTATTGCGATTGTCAATACGCTGTTTACTGTCAAGGGGATCATTACGGGGGAGGTGTTAGGATTGGAGCATGGGTGGAGGAAGGAAGCATACCAAGATGACAAGGAGGCTTAGTATATCATCTGTCTATTGAGTTGTCTATATTAATGTATATCAAACGCAACCTGTCACCATTTGCGGGGTAAATTGCGATATCACCTTGGCTTAAAACATATACAAGCCCTCAACACCATCTCCAGTCATACTATAGACACAGTGTCGCCGTCAAAATGACCAAAATAGCAGACATTGAAGCCGCCAACGCGCAGTACGCCGCCTCTTTTACCAAAGGCCATCTCCCTCTCCCGCCAAAACGGTACGTAGCCTACTTCTCCCCAACTGTTATCAAACTAACAAACCTAGTAAACTGGCCGTCGTCACCTGCATGGACGCTCGCATCGGTACCTCACCCGTCACTTGTACATTGGTTTCATGCTAAAAGGGCAGACGTCTTCTCCGCCCTCGGCCTCACGGAAGGCGACGCACACATCATCCGCAACGCAGGCGGACGAGCCAGCGAAGCCCTCCGCAGTTTGGTAATCTCGCAGCGGTTACTTGGGACGGATGAAGTGGTTGTCATTCATCATGTAGGCCCTACCCATTCCTTGTCTTGACTACTCTTACTGATAGGCATAGACGGACTGCGGGATGCTCACGTTCAGCGACGAGGATATCAGAGCGAAGATACGGGAAGAGCTTGGCGAGGATGCGTCGGATATTAAGTTCCTGCCGTTCAGGGATCTGGAGGAGAGTGTGAGGGAGGATGTGAGGTTTCTGCGCGGGAGTAGGCTTGTGCAGGGGGATGTGACGGGGTATGTGTATGAGGTGGAGAGTGGGAGGTTAGTTCGGTTGGAGGTTAGTGATATATGAGGGATTTAAGATGGCCAGTAGATACAAGCTAAAGGATGAAGGATGGGGACGTGGCTGTCAATCAATAGAACTTTTCTACCGCTGTCTACCTATCTATCTACCTACCTAGTCCTGTCTATATTACTACCTATCTACCTACCTCCAGATGAACCCCCGGCCTGTTAAGCAAGACTCTTATCCATCTTTCCCCGCTGACGGCGGAAATACACCCTCTTGGCAAACTTCCACAGTTCCACCCCCAGGAAGAACAGCACCGCCTCCACAAACACAATCCCCCATTCCCACGAGATCCCCGTATGCTTAAACACCACATGATTCAAAACAGGGATATACAGAATGGGGAACGTCGTGACGAACCCCGCAACAATCGACCAGAACAGGAACTGGTTCCGCCAGATATCATACATCCACTGCGTAAGATACTTCTTGGAGCCGGGCTGCATGCGGAAGAACGACCGCCGCATGTCGACCATCTCCCACGCCAGGAAGAGCGCGAACCATGTCAGGCAGACGAATGTTGTTGCGCGCGCGCGGAAGACGAGGTCGCACTCAGCGGAGTACTCGCGGTTACAGCCGCGGGCGAGATCGCCGTCGCCGAAGCCCCAGACTACGACTGAGAAGGAGGCAAGGCATAGCGCGGCGGTCCATACGCCATAGACCAAGATATCGACGATGACTTCCCAGGTGAAGATGCCCTGTTTTGTCTGCGGGGGGCGGTCCATGATGTCCGGCGCGGCGACTTCCATGCCCAGTCCCATGTCCGGCATGCCGGAGGTGATCATGATGATCCAGAGGATCTCGACGGGGGCGAGCGGGAAGACGGACTGCCCGTCCAGGTCCTTGAAGGCTAGTCCGATGAGGAGGGTACATGCCTGCGCGATGTTCTCAGACAGCAAATGGAGTACGAATTTCTGGATATTATCGAAGATGCGTCGGCCTTCTTCGACGGCGTTGAGGATCGAGGCGAAGTTGTCATCTGTCAGGATAATGTCCGACGCGTCCTTGGCTACGTCCGAGCCGGCCTGGCCCATCGCGATGCCGACGTCCGCGTGCTTGAGTGAGGGAGAGTCATTCACCCCGTCGCCAGTCATCGCGGCGAACTTGCCCCGGCGGTGCAGCGCGTCGATCATCCGCACTTTTGTCTGCGGGGCACACCGCGCAATCACCAGCGGGAGGGTCGGCAGCGCATCTACCTCGCTGTCGCTGAGCTTATCAAACTGCCCCGCTGTCATGACCATCGCGTCGGCCACATCCGCAGCCACACTGCCCAGATCCGACGGGAGGATCCCCACCTGCTGCGCGATGGCCTTGGCCGTGCCCGGGTGATCGCCCGTCACCATATGCACAGCGATGCCGGCCTGGGCGCAGGCGCGGATGGCGCCAGCGGTCTCCGGGCGGGGCGGATCATACAATCCAATCAAGCCGAGGAAACACAGGTCGCGTTCGATCTCCTCGCGCTGCAGGTCCGCGCCTTCGAGTAGCTGAGTTGACTGCGTGTAGGGTTTATGAGCTAGTGCCAGCACGCGCAGGCCTAGCTGCGCCAGCTCCTCCATGTTCTGCAGGATAGTGGCGCGGTGGTCGTCTGTGAGATCAATCGAGGTGGAGCCGTCCTCCCAGATGACGGTCGTGCAGGCGTCGAGGATGCGCTCGACGGCGCCCTTGGTGAAGACCATGCTGCGTTCGGTGTTGCCGTCGAACCGGCTGAAGAGGACGGACATCTTCTTGACGGTCGAGTCGAAGGGGAACTCGGCCATTTGGTGCCAGACTGGACTCTCTCCCTTGGTCCACCGGTCGCGGTTCCAGTTAAACCGCGCGGCGAAGACTTGGATGGCGATCTCGGTGGGCTCACCGCGCGCGCGCCACTCGCCTTCTTCGGAGCGGTAGACGTGCGACAGGTTGGCCATGGCGGCGACGTTGAGGAATTCCTCGAGCCGGGGTCGCTGCTCGCCGTCTCTTCCAGGTCGACGATCGCAGAGCCCTCCTTCTCCTCGTCGAAGCGCACCGGCGGCACAGGGGTGAAGGTGACCTCCCCGACAGTCGGGTTAAACGGCTCATTGTTGGTGCCAACAGAGTACGTCCCCTTGGCCGGGATCCACGCCTTCTTGACCACCATCTTGCCCTGCGTCAGGGTGCCCGTCTTATCGGAGCAGATATCTGTCACAGCGCCCAAGGCCTCAAGCGAATCAAGCTTGCGCACGATAACATGCCGCTCGACCATGCGTTTAGTCCCGACAGCCATGGTAATGGTCAACACGACGACCAGACACGCCGGGATCATACTCAGCCCTGTACCGACCGCATACAGAATGACCTCATTGCTACTGGCAAATTTGTTCGACGCCATCACAATAATGGCAAACAGCACCGCGACCCCAAACAGCAGGATCGCCAGCTTGGACAGCTTGCGCTGCAGCGGCGTCCCGACATTAACGCCCAGGAACCGGCCGACGGCGTCGGTCCCCGTCAGCGTCCACGCCTGCACATACCACCGTTTCTTGGTCTCGCCGTTGGGGCCCTTCTTGACAGGTCGGCGGTGGCTGTCCCCCGCACGCAGGGCTGCAGCAATCGAGCCAATCTCCGTGGCCATGCCGGTTGCGATGACGACGCCGCGGGCCCGGCCGCGCGTGACAGTGCTGGAGCTGTAGGCCAGGTTGAGCCGGTCGCCGGGGCCGGTGTCTTCCTTGAAGACGGCGTCGCAGTCTTTTTGCACAGGGAGGGATTCACCGGTAAGGAGGGCTTCGTCTGTCTCGAAGTTGACTGCTTCGACCAGACTGCACCTCATCAGCTCACCAATTCTAAGAAACAGGGCGGGGTTGGGTAGGGGAGGCATACCGAATATCAGCCGGAACAGTATCACCCGTACGCAACTCAACCATATCCCCCGGGACGATCTCCGCGCTGGGTACGGAAAAGGTCTGTCCGCCACGGGAGACCGTGCCCGTGGGCGAGCTAAGCGAATGCAACGACTCCATGGTCTTCTCAGCAGCATACTCCTGGAAGAATCCCACAACGATATTAAGCAAGATGACGGCGCAGATGACGCCGCCTTCGATCCACGACTGGATGCCAAAGCTGACCGCCATGGCCAATATCAGGACCTAGAATTGGATCAGACAAGTTCGTTTAACGCTCAAAAGCAAAGTGGGTCCCTTAACTAGCATCATTGCGTTGGCCACCTGCCGGACGAGGATCTTGACCACGGACACGCCCTCGCCTTCGTCGAGTTTATTGGGGCCGTACGTCTGCAGCCGATGGGCTGCCTCGTCCGGTGTGAGACCCTCATTGAGTCTGGTGGAGAGTTCTTTGAGGACGGCCTCATAGGGAAGAGTGTGAGCTGGGTGGGAGAGGGGCTTAGAGCCCGGGATATCGCCTTTCTCCATCTTACTCAACTCGACTCAATTCCTTGGGATTCGATTGAAAAGAGAAACCGACTGGACAGAAGGGGATCACCAAGTTTATAAACCCCCAGGAAGAGCAGGAACCCCACCACAGCGAAAACTCATCACCGCGGTGCCCCCTTGGCGCCGAGAATCGGGCATTGGCACTGGCATGGGCAGACCGCTTGGCACCGTCATAGATGGCCTGCGTCATCGTATCTGACAAACCCCCCACGAGGAGATTCCCCATAGTGCGCTCAGCCGCGAGACACGTGCGTCTGGGGGCCAATCAGGGGATGTTGCCAAGAGGATTCCTCTGGGTGCCAAGAAGGCGGAACCGGCGGGGCGAATTGGAGTCCCCTTATCATTCGCCGAGTCGCACCTTATAAACACCGTTATCTGAGTCACTGTGCTGGAGTGCGTTGGCCAGTGTATGCATCCTTACTCGATAGACAGATATGTAGAGATTCAAAGAAACAGGTATCTGGTTCATATTCGTTCATATCCTATCATATCATCAATCTATCATCATAACGCCATAGCCATAGCCCATAGGTAGATATCAATCAATCAATATCATCCATCATCTATCAAGCAATCAAACCAAATCATAGCTAGATGGCTATTCATCCCCTCGAACTCGTCTCCTCAACAGTATCTACTCATCATCAGCAACCACAAACTCTAGAAAAGGGAGACAGGGAAAGAACATACATCGACTCTCCAAATCCTTGCCCATCCCCACAGACGCGGACGAAAAAAGACTCTCGCGACGAAAAATCCCCAGATTCCTCATCCGCACCGACCGCATATACATCTCCTGAGAATGCGAGGGCTGGAACCGGCGCTCGTAGGACTCGGCGGGGTACAGTTGGCGGGTGAGCGCGGCGCCTAGCGAGACGGCGGCTAGACAGGCGACGATGACGATGACGATGATGGCGGCGGTGGTTAGGCCCATTCCTTCTTGCCTTGGTCTAGTAGCTAGTATAGTAGTTTGCTGGGTGCCAACTATGACTGGCTATGGATAGATCGAGTAGATTGATATGATATTGATATTGATATTGTGGAATCTAGTCTACATGATAGAGAAAGGATGAAAGATGGACGAGGGGAAATTTCTTTCTGTTTCTTTCCAAAGCGCATCCTTGTCTTCGGAAGTGCTAGGAAGAGCTGGATACTATTTATGGCATCTTATGTCTATGGTCTTATTGTCTCTGCCTGATCACTGTCCACTAAGATTTATTGTGAGGCAGAGTAATCCATTGCTATTGGCTGGTCTTGTGTGAGTGGGTCAAACCTGCCAATGATCGGCCAATGGAAGATTCTGGAGACACTGTCTTATTGGTTGATTATTCATATGTCCATCATTATGCAGATATACAGCGCACAACTTATGCTGTTGAACATAGGAAGATCCGTGGTATATTACTATAATCTTAACTGGTCTCCTCTAGAGAGATTCATGAAGTCGATTATTGAGTGGGCAGCATGACTATTTGTGCGGAGGCAGTATATCATGAAGAGACTGGAAAGGCTTGTTGGGTCTATAGAGTGAATGGCCTATGCATTGATAGACATGGGCAGACTATGACACTGGAAAACAGCACAGAAAGATGAGACACCGTGTCCAGCCTACTCTCCAACAGTGGAAGTTACCTGAAAAATGTTGCCCACCGAGATCTCTGTGGCTCCGGCAATACTCGCATACACCAGGCCGACAGTCCTCCCTCAAAGGCAAAGTCCGCCGTCTCCCACTTCTCCGACAGCTGATCCTTCCATTCTTCGATCCATGCTGTCCGCCTCTTCCCATCAAGACCGTCAAGGACCATCATCCCCTCAGGCACACGTTCAAAAGCCTGCAGCGGACCGCCGGTATAATAAAACTCGTGCTGAGGGTCGCAGATGCCCGGGGGATGGGACGCACCGTCCTCGGATAGGGCTGACTTGATATCGCGGTAGCACCATTGACACAGCATCATGAACGGGCAACAACAACAAAAGTACCAATGGCAGATCGATCTCATCTCACACTTGCAGTTCGAACACTCGGCGAAATAGTTGATTGTGTACGAGATCCGGCGTTCAAAGACCTCATCATCCGGTACCTGTGTCTCGTCATCGGCAAGATGCACTTGGTTCAGAGATTCGGCGACGCCAGCTTCTGATACGGGGTTGTCTCTCTTCGTTTCCCGCAGATAGTCCCTGTACCAGGCCTTGGTCAAATACAAGGCCCCACTCAGATCTTCATCGCTGTCTGCAGCCGTCAGAAACGTCTGAAAGAGGCTCAGGAAGGCGTCATCATCGTTGAAAGGAACGTCATCCGACAACAGCTCGATACTTTTCTTCACACGTCCGCGGAGAGCTGTCCGGGCGTTTGCGAGATCACCGTGATACCGCAGCCAACTCGAGATGACCAGACAGATATCACTATACTCCGCCTTTTCATCTAATCTCAGAGGGGGCTCGTCGCAGAATGGGATCTCGGGATGGCATAGACACACGGCTGCTAAGCGACTCCGTGACCGCGCCTGAGCCCTTTCCATATCCCAACCAGGGTTGTCGTGTGCGGCAAGCTGGTACCAAGTTTGGATTCCGGCGCTGATCCGGCTGTTTTCGACCATCAGTGACGCGATGGAGTATTTAGCCGCCGCTAGGTCACCTGTTATTTTCCCCTCTGAGGCCTCGAGTCTATCCACAGCCGAGGCAACAAGATCAATAAGCTTCCCATCGTCCCACGTCCGCGCATGGTGGAGGACCCTATATATTATATGGCGTGTCCAAGTCATTGTTGAAGCGAGGAACTCAACCAAACCCTCTTTTTCGGTCCATTGGAACTCCCGAGAATGAGAAGCGGCAAAATCCAACACATCTTGGACACGGTGTGGCTGGTGCAGCTCCAGGAAGACCGACCAGAACGAAGTCAGCGTATACCTGTCTCGATGATCCTCCGTTTGTCCCAGGAATGTTTCCCAGGCCTCATTTGCGGTGACAACAGCTTTGTCGGTCATTTTGGCAAAGTGCTTCATTTGCGCAGTGTTCAGCAGTCTGCCGATAGGATCCTGCCAGGCACGGTCCCAGGAGGCGTCGTGCAACGACTCAGCCAGATCAGAATGTTCTAATGCCTCCTTATACCTTCCGGTCTCGGTACACGCGCGAGCCATGTCTCTGTGAATTGCAGATAGCGCTTGTTTGCTCAGGATAGGGTTTTGGTGATTTTTATCAAGAGAGATCTGGAATTGTTCGAGGGCTGTCTTGAAGTTATTATGCAGGAGGAGCGCCTGAGCCACTCGAGCATGCCAGACGGGCGTCTTCTCGAAACGCTGCATCTCGGCGACCTGCATGATCTCGACTGTCCTCAAGGCTATGCGTACTACCCCTGCTAACTTCCCCTCGGAGGTCGGGAATTCGGTGCCTGCCATCTGAGCGTACACAAATATCATGACGGAGATACCTTCCGGTAATCCGTCTTCCTCTTCGATATCTTTCGGAGCCAGCCAAAGTCGAGAGAAAGACTCTGCCAAACGAGAGAAAAGAACCGTAAAAGGACAGGCATCGCTTGCCACCGTCGAAGATCGAGCGCAATCCTGCAGAATCTGTCTCGTATCTGGGGAGAGCCAATTCAGGACCAGCTCCGCCCTCTGGTTCGCCGTATCACGTTTCTGGGTATTCCACCAGTAACAAGCGATCTCTGTTGCGCGAGAGGACATATATTGGTTGTATGTGGCAACATAGGTTACGCGGTATTGTTCAATGAGCCAGTGCTGGGGGTTGAGTACCGGCTCGTCGGTGAGGAGAGCGGCAAGAAGAGTTGCTATTTCTTCTCGATTTGCTGCCTTTTCTGGATTTGCACGCTCCAGATGCAGCGGTAGGAATTTCTGAGCATAACTGCTGACTTGTTCTAGCAACCTCTCTGATTTGGGTGCATTTCTTCTTTGGAGAGCATAGAGTAGGACAAATACAAAGGACGCCTCCGCTTGTCCAGGGTCGACCTGGATGGGTCCAGCCTCCACGGATGTGCTGAAGAATTCATAAAAAGAACTATGGCGCAGAGTTACAATGACTGCGTCTTTCTCTACTTCATCTCCATCATCGTCTACTTCTTCCACCGCGGAACGGAGCGAAAACAGGGATGAGTATACCGTGCGAAGATCATCCTCAAGATTCAGGACCTCCTCTTCAAGGATGACTTCTAAGATAAGGTCGAGTTGGTCCACCGTCAGCGGCTTCTGAGCCATCGTCACAAATGAGAGTAAAAGGTTGAGCTGTTGAATCTGCGTCGTTGCTTCCCCGGATGATCCTTCATCATCGGAAAACTCGGTCGACATTGCATCCGAGGCCGACAACTCTCTAGCCAAACGCTGCAGCTCTGCATGCAGCATTGCGCTGATTCCTCGGGGCATCGTCCGGACCACCTTCCGAATCTGCTCCTTGGACCGGCAGCGCAGAACAGATTTGATGACAAGGTTAGCCCATTCCCAGAGGCCTTCCGCTTGCCCGCATATATCCTGGACAACCTCGTCTAGGAAGTCTGGATAGCCGCGAAACAACTTCGTCTTCTGCAGCTTCTGAGAGACATATCCGTGAAGGTCGTCCTTGTTCTGGTTATTGGTGATTTCAATCTCCGGTATCCATCCGAGGGAGTGTTCGTCGAGAATGCCGCGCACTGAATCCCTGCCCAGAAGTACGACTCGGATTGGTGCGGTCGGGTTCGTCTGGTCCTCTGTCGCATACGTGCTCTCGAGCAGACTGAAAAGGATTTCTTGCTCCTCTGGATCGGCCTCGTCGATACCGTCAATGATAAAGCACGTTCCGGCGTCCGGTGCAGACTTGACGAAGTAGTCAAGCAAGAGTTTCCTCCAGACAACGTAGCTGTTGGCTGGGTCTTCTTTCAGACAGAAATCCTCTGCATGCGCCGCAAACCTCGATTGCTGGACGACCACTTGCCATGCCAGGGTCCGCAGCGCTTTGTTGAAGGAGCGTAGGTCGACATCGTTATTCTTGAAGAAGAAAGAGGCGACGTTGGAAGCAGATGGAGCGGATGGGTCTGCCGCCGCGAGATCACTGATGATCTTCGACGCCAGGTAGGATTTGCCCACACCAGGACCCCGTGAATCCAGAGTAAAGGCTCGGCACTCTGCCACCAGGACCGGATTCTGTCTTCAATCCAGCTGCCCGATCCAGGTATGCGATTCTCGTTGATCGAGGAGAAGACGCGGCCGGATGCAGAGACGGGATCTAATGCTTTCTTCACTGTATCCAGTCTCTCGCGCTCGTTCCTGTTATCATCTCGCTCGAGTAACTCCGCGGTGTTTCTGAGCGCCTGGTGAGTGAGATCGAGCCCATGAGCAGAGACCATCTTGTGTTCCTGGCTCGTCAACTCCTCCAGCTCGCCCAGGAGCGAACTAATCGACGTATCCTCAACCAGGACATTCTTTGTCCATTTTGTAAGTCTTGCTCTGAGCGACCCCCGACTTAGCAATTTCTGCGACGCCGCGCAGACACGAAGGAAATTGACCAAAACTTTGACAATAATGGTCTTCATCCCTTCACTGAGAGGAACTCCCTTGTACGAGTCCAGCCGGAGAGCAAAATGACCAAGTTTGTGAAACAAGTCAGTGAGCATGTCGAACGATTCACTGACTCTGCGAGCCCCCGAATCAGAAGCATCATGGCGCCCATGATAGAAGACGCTGGAGGAAAAGCCGCGGAGGCTGCACCCGCGAGCAGGTCGCCCCAGTTCTCAAAGGGCGCCAGGATCATCTGCATAGCATGCAAGAGCGGTCGTTTCTTCATTCGAAAGTCCTCGAAATGGTCCTTCTCTGCGTCTAGCTGACGCGACAGATCCTCGGGACCGTGGATCTTGGGGAAGTCGCCATCGCTAGGCGAGATCCCCGTTGCTTTAGCATAGTCGTCACAGGCAGATCGCCAGAGTGTGGACAGCCTGTCATCCAAAGAATCACTTGTCGTTCGAGTCATTATAGTTAGGCGCGCAGTCAGGAGGGGCAGTGAGGTTGTAAGCTCGTGTTTTGACGGAGTCTGACATGATGCCCCTCTTTCATGCAGTAAGCTTCCTTTTCTGGATTAGCTCGTATACATGGTAGTATACCCGTTTATAGCAGCTTCAATATTGCCATTTTGGTCATCTGTGCCTCTATCTAAATGGAAACCTGTTCTCCTACACCCGCGTTTTCCACTGTAGTTGCAAAAATCACCGGTCGGGTACTACCACAGCACCGTTTTTCTGTGTTCTGCACAGTAGCATTGAACTATAATGATCGATCTACACCTTAGCTCTACTTCCTCCGGGTAAAAGTCAAATGCAACGGCCCCATATACAGTACAAAGTTATCCTGTGCCTGCTGCTCAAATGCGCGCCCATCCTCCCACGGGGCAAATCCCACATCAAATGTCGTTATCAGTTTGGCGATTGTAGTACGCATGTTTAGCAACGCCAGTGGTCGGCCGACACAACTATACGGACCTACTGCAGTCAGCACTCAGTATAAGAATTACAGGCAGATACATACCCAGGCTAAACGGCGCAAAGGCCGAGCGATCCTTGATTAGATCGGGGTACTTGTACCATCGCTCGGGGATAAACTCGTCCGGCCGCGCATAGCATAGTTCAGCTGCGAATGTGATATACAATTAGCAATTAGCATCTCCTCCTATATCCCACAGCAGACAAGTCTTACATCTTCCCATGGCATACTGCGGACAATATACTGTCATCTCCCCGGGGATATGCACCCCCTCCACCTGGATTCCCTTGGGGGGAGTCTTCCGCTGCAACCCCGACGGCACAGCCGGATACATCCTCATGGCCTCATTAATCACGCCGTTCAGATGCTCCAACTGCGCAATATCAGCCCCACGCACCTCCCCCTTGTCGTCGACAAACGGCTCAACCTCCTCCTGCAGTTTGCGCAGCTGCTCCGGATGCCGCGCAAGCTCGTACAGAACCCCACAAAGCGATACAGCAGACGTATCGCTGCCCCCAACGACGATCAGCCGCGAGTCGCCGTCGAGCATCAGTTTCTCCTCTGGAGTGGGCTCCCGCCCCTTTAGCGGGGCGAGCAGCGAGGCGCTGATGTCGGGTATCTGCAGGTCCATGTGCATGCGGGCTTCGAGCCTCTCGCTGCAAAACGACAGAAAACGCCACCAGTCGCGCGTCAGCCAGGGGATTTTGAGCAGGATGAGGTGCAGCCACGGCGGGATGAAGAGGCCGATGTTGCTCAGGGCGGCGTTTAGGAGGGTGATGCCCGGGTGTTCGTGGCCAGTGGTGAGGCAGTCGAAGCTGCGGCTGAAGGAGAGGTCGCCCATGACGTCGAATGTGTATAGGTAGATCCACTTGCGGATGTCGACGGCCTGGAGGGTGGTGAGTTGGGCAATGAGCTGCTGCTGGTAGGTTTTGACGCGCTGCTCGTAGCCGCGGACTATCTTGTCGCTGAAGGCGGGGGTCCAGGTTCGGCGGCGGGCGTGGTGCTCTTTGGCGTCGCGGCAGTTTTGCAGGGGGCGGGAAGGGTGGGTCAGGTCGTACCAGGGGGCTTTTGTGCAGGAGGATTGGGAGCCGTAGATGGCGGGGATGGCGGATGGGTAGATGATGGAGAGGTCTGAGGGGCCGGTGCGCACGATTGGGCCATATTGGCTGTGTAGCGCCTGGAGGGTAAGATATGCTTTGTGCTTTGGGTTGATGTACCAGAGACCTGAGACGCGGGCGAGGAGAGGACCGGGGAAAGAGCGCAGGGGGTGGAGGAAGAGACGGTATACTAGGATGCTGCTATAAAGGCTGGCGAGATACACCAGGATATAGCTGTAGTGGAAGATTACCGTGACAGCGGTGGTGGAAATAACAAAGAGAACGAGGTAGATATGGCTGTAGAGCTGATGCTCGCCACGTCGAAAGTAAAGGACATGGCTGAGGATGCCGGCAATAGCGATGAGAACGTATGGATCCATTGTCTGTTGCTACAGCTGGAATCTGGAGTGAGCACGAATCGATATTTATAACCAGCGATACAGCTGACGTTAACATGCCGATCCAGACTGAGTGTCTGTTACAGCCAATGCGCTTGCATACTGCTGACAGCGCTTAGATACTGATTGGAATTGGCCCGTCACAGTGCATCCGTTTATGCAAGGGATGATTCAATTGTCACACAGCGCATCATATGTACAACCTCCCCACATAATGCCAGATCATAGAGCACACAATGCCAGATTATAGAGCAGCAAGGATGGCATTGTACGCCGCCTTGGGCTGGTAGTTGCTATTGAACAACAGCGGAGACGAGCTGGAGCGCCACGAGTCCTTGTCCGACACCCCCCAGACGGTAATTCCCACACACTTCGGGACACCCAAGCATGCATTGACAACCTGTTGTTTTATTAGTGTCGGTTACCCTGCAAATAGCGATCAAGCGACATACATTGACGTAATCCTGGGAGCTAGCACCCGCGATATCCAGCTCAGTAATCGCGACCTCAGAGACACCGGAGGAGGCAAGGGCAGTCAATGCTGTACACGGGGGTCAGCGTTACATAGACAAACCAAGGAAGGAGACTTATCCTTTGACGCTAGAGGAACCACCCGCACCAAGGTGGGTTTGAGAGCCTTCAGGGAGAGTCAGCATACATCATCACACACAGCTCACGACATAAACTCACCGATTCCATCGATAGGAATGCCCGCAGCCAACCACTTCTTGACATGGCTCACCATCCCCTGTGTTTTGGCATAGCTAGCTGAGTCGAGGCTTTGACGGTCAGATACAGCACACGTCCAGCAAAACCAAAAGCTTACTTGTAATCGTTGATGTACAGCTTCGCAGAGGGATCCACAGAGCGCGCCGTCTGGAAGGCAATCCGCACAAAGTCCTCGCCCAGCACCCGGGAGAAAACGCTGTCGCGGAGGGAGCCGTCCTCGTTGAAGATTTCGTTGACGACGTCCTTTACATTATTAGCTGGGCTGAGCCAATGTTGGATAGATGGCAACTTACCCAGGCGTAGATCTGCCCCTTGTACCGGGTCATGATGGTGGTGATGTGGTTCTTCAGCACCGAGGTCAGGGTGTTTTTGTCGCTGATAGCCGACACCCAGGACGGGAGTTGGGAGTGCCAGACTACGCTGTCAGCTTAACTGTATCCTTGAGATGCCGTTAGGTCGAATGAATACCTAAGGTGTGTCCGCGGACCTTTTTCCCATTCTGCTTGGCATAGTTCACCTATTGTCCTTTAGTATATACTCGACACAGATGAGCAAATTGCATACCAAGGAATCAGCACCAGCGAAGTTGAAACTTCCTCGCGATGCTAACCGAACAGTTATGTCAATAAGTTATGCCAACCAGGGTGACAGAGACCTACGCTCAGTAGCATCCCACTTCATGCTATTCTCCGGCGTCAACTGGCCAAAGTCTTTGCGCACAATGGCCTCATTCTGCGAGTTTTGGAGCAGACGTTGGTCACTGGCGGTGCCAAAGTACTTCTTGCCATGGGATGTAAAACCCTGGTTGAGGCTGGTTGCCTGGCGTTCGATCACGGCCGCCGAGACCAGGGAGGCAAAGAGAATGCTGCTGATGAGCTTGCTGAGGACGACCATTTTGGATTTGATAGAGTTGAATCAGATTATTGTTTGAGGAGGTATCGCTGAGTGAAGTCTCCTGAGAGCAGTATTTATAGTTGAAAGTCCTGCCAGAAGTCCAGATACTCCTCAGGGTCCAGGCTATGTCGTTTAGGCTATATTCAGTTCCACCATTCAGTCCAATCACTATATCCGAGGGCATGTTGCAGAATGTTGTCACTCTGCGACTGGGCTAGTTTCAGCCAAGTTTTGCTTTAATATCCGCTTGCCGATCCCCCGCCGGTACTAGGGTCCTATATGACACGCCGATGGCAATTGATGGCCAGTCATTTCGCTGCTTGAAGAGTTCAGCCGGAGACTAATATTCCTCCGCCTATACAGATGAAGCCGTTGCCCCTTTTGTCACGGCTATTCTCCTAATGACCATCATGCCAGCTACTGGTAATCCATCCCGGATCCACCACGGCCGCCATCTGCACTCCTACAGACACCATCACAACCATCAGTATCAGAAGAGAGCCTGGAAGGTGACAGGATGCAACTAACCAGTCCTCTGACTCGCATCCTTGCCGAACCATATCACTCAACCCCAACACTCATTCGGACTGGAAAGCAACGACCCCAGATCACCCACAGGAAATTATCCACCGTCGTCTGCAGAAACAAACAAGCATATCGTTTGCATCCGCATATAGCCTATACCCCGTATTTACAAGGGGCTACTCCGGATATGCCCATGGTCTGCAGGCCCGTGCATCGCCACATGCCCGTCGGGCTTGCACGACAGGCATATCCGAATAGCCTGTATGAACCCTGCCAGCTGTTCCGTATCCGCTACTCTGCGCGAATGAGACACAGATGTGGACGGTTTGCCTTCCTTGCGGGGGTGGAGGGATCCCGTACAGCCTGTTCAACACACCACCGCGCCGTCGTAGCCACTGTTGCTGATGTAGGGAGGTCACCTTGCTGCAGGCGCTATTGCCTGAGATGTTGCGGTCTGTCGGAATGTATGCGTGCGCCATGGGTGGTGATGAAGGTGATGTTGCCGTGGCTAGCGAATTGGGTAAGCTGATTATGCAGCTACCATGACGTTTGAACCGACGCTTGTATCCGTCTTGCCGACTGTGGGGTACATCTTGCAATTGGCGCGGCTGGAACCAAGCAGACCAGTGCAGAAGAGCTCATGCTGCATTGCAAGCTCTGTATACTTGTTGTCGTTGATGCGGTCAAACGGCCCGACGGACGGATCTCCTGACCGGATGAGCGTCGTCAGATCCGCGGCTGAGGGACATTGATGAACTGCCTCCACTTTGGATGAGATAATCGATTTGCAATCCCACATTGGGAAGGCCATGTACATGAGTTCCCTCGTGGCTATCGATCTATATCCACATCATATCGTGGTCAAAGTGCAACAGCTATGGAAGGGAATCGAGCGGGATACATGCAAGGAACTTCAGTCTGTTCTGATGCAGACACTGGAACTGCTTCTGAGACACCCAACTCCGTTCAGATAAGAACAAAGGAGGCAATAGATTTACTCATGCTTTAGCTGTGAATACATTCTACCTTCTCAGTCCTCAATCTTGTTGGGAAGAAGACCCATTCACGGAAGAGTTAAATGATCATTCACTTCCTGCCCTTAAACCCAGCACTAGAATTCAGGTATGCGGGCAGTGATATAAGAGTAAATTCACTAAAGATATTTCAACTGCTTCTCTCCTGGGCCCTTCGCAGATTCTCTCTCCTCCCATCTTCTATCAACCTCTTCAACATGCACTTTTATCTTCCTTCTTATAAGGACCTTTAAGTAAATACCGATCAAACGGCTAGCGGACTTCGACATACTCCGGAGATTGAAAACATATGAAAATGCCAGTCATTACCTAGTCTTTATGTTAAAAGACCTTACCCAGCGTGTGGCAGGCTCCTACAGACAAAGGTCAGTATACGTCAACCATGTCCTCTTCAACTTATTCTTCGCCCTAAACAACGCAAACAATTCCTGTTTGCTTAGAGTTTATCAGAAGCAAACTTGGCCCTTTGTCTTACTCTGATTTAAAAGCGTCTTATGGTCCACCCAGTCTGACTTACCTTATAAGCCAGGCCGTTGCAGAAAAATCTACCCTCCATATTGAGTACGACAGACGGTTTGAGAAGCTCCTAGCTGAGAAGCCAAAGGCCGCAGGCAGGCCGGATGCGTTTCCTATGTCATCTGTCATTCAGCCTGCCTCTCAACAACAACAACAACTACTACTACCGTGCGGCGGACGAAGAGGCAGACACGATCGCTGCTGCTATCGCAAAAAGTGACAACCGTAGCGACGGGGCGGGCATTTCCGCGGCGGCCCTGCCATCTTCTCCCACTCTCTCTGTGAGTCTTCCTTTCTTGTCTCTGGCGTGTCGCCGTCGTGTCTGCCGTGTTAACCAGGTAAGTCGTCGTCTGAGGATCCAATTGCTCCCATTTCGCGCCGTCATCGCGTGGCTGCGTCTGAGTTGTCTTCCGCCAAGGGCGAGGGCCCTGCGTTGGGGTCTCTCAACAGTCTGCCGTTCGCCACCATGTCTTGTGAGACTAGTCCGTCTGCCGCTGCTAGTTCGCCCAGCGCCGCCAGCCCCCATCCCGCCAGCTAGCCGGTGGCGAGACTCCTGCGTGAGGGTGGCTCGCTGAGTCCTGTTCCGCCCCTTGGGGTGCTTCCTCCGTTGTCCTCCCCGCTCGCCGGCGCTGAGCCCGTGCCCTCCGCCCCCTGCTAACGGTGTTTGAAGGATGCCCTCCGTCAGGGTCAGGTGTGCGCCTGCGTTCGGGACGCGGTGTATCGCAAGTGCAAGCGCTGTCAGCGACTGAAGAAGAAGTGCCTCCAGGTCCCTCTGCAGGTTCGCCGTCGGGCCGCCACTTGGGCCGCGACGGAACCTGCAGACCGGGACTCGGAGGGGTCGAGGGGTTCATTGCCGAGCTGGAAGCCATCGCCTCCTATCTGGAGGAGAACGAGGTCGTGCACGTCATGCGGTCCCTCAACCGCAACGTTCAGAATGGCCCTGCTTATCAGGGACCATCTCAACATCCTGACGTTCAGGATGATAGGCCCGACTCTGAAGACAATCGTTTGCAAACTACAGTGCCCAGTGGTGTCTCCACTCAGGTCAATTATGTCACTCCTAATCCCATTGACCAAGGAACTACTTCTCTTGCTGGACAAGAGATCAGATCAGTAAGTGGCACCAAATGGTGCTCTTCAGCCTCGGATGATACTGAGGACATCAATTCAAAAAGAGGATTAAGCGCCTCATCTCTGAATCCTCTAACAAAGAGGACCAAGGTTCAGGAAGCCGGCAAGCGCACAAATATTGTCCCACCAAAAAGACGTGGCTCGGTCCTAAGTGTCAAGGATACTGAGGATGATGATGAGGACAACAAGTCCATAGGTTCAGGTACAGTAACCCCACCAAGAGGACGGTTACCAGCCTCGAATGGTATAAAAGCAACTTTGCAAAAGATACAGTGATACCGAGTACCCCTTCTCCCAGGATCGACATGAAATCGGGAAATCTGGCTTACCTGGCCATCATGTGGTGCATCCTATGTCGACTACCTGGAAAGCCCGCCTCTGGAAATGTTTCTCTGAGGATGAAAGAGTTTGGCACCACTATTTATCATCGCATCAAGCCTGGATATCACGACCGTTTTTCCATCGGTTCCGTGTCGCTCAGAGTATGCGGGCATTTGGAGGATACCCTCCTTCAACACTCTAGGATGACAAAACCATCCAGAGATCCCATGAGCGATGGGCTTTATCGGTGATAGGGACCAACCGAATGTCACTCTCAGCCGGGCGTAAGCACACAGCGTTTTCTGGGCGTGTTCCTCGATGGCGCATCCATTGTCGAAGCTCCTTCTAATTCAAATCGATAATCAACTTCTTGCCCTCTCCCCCGACGACCGCATTTCGGTTTTGCGGACACTCCTTCGTATTTACTCCCCGATCTTTCGTTATGCCCAATATTCCGGAGCGTGCCGGCACCCTCAAGGCTGCGGAAGGTGAGGTCGATCATGAACTGACAGCCTCTCAGAAGTCTTGCGCAATGCTTTTGGATCCGGTTCGGGAAATTGATTGGACTGTCAAGAACGTAAAGGTCCTAGAGAAGCCATTGAAATCGCAAGTTAATCGAGATGCATATATTTTGCAGCGTCGCGGAGTCGAACAGGAAGACGCGTGTACCTTTTTGCGAAAGTGGTCGAGGGTCTTCGGTTCTTGCGTTGCAGCTCCGGACGTGACTACCGATCAGACTGGGAACAGCGTCCTCTCTTCGCGGGTTCCTGTGCCAATTGCGTTTGGCACGGGAAGGCTGCGAAATGTTCTTTTTACCTCGGTCGAAACGGTACTTGGAAGGCAGACCTTGATCTGTAACATCCCCGTTCCCCTTTTCGTTCTTTTTGTATTCTTCTCTAACTGGTGTTTTGGTCGTTATTGGGAACTTGGAGGTCTGGAATTCCGAGGATACCAAGGCCATTCATGATAACACTGTCAATCGGAACAAGTTTCTCTTGGATCTGCTCAGGGACGTCACTCAAAAGGCTCATACCGTGACCCGGCACGACGCAACTACAGTGGAAGAACTCAATCCGTCCAGCCAGACGCTCTACTTGTCGCATATTGGCGATACCCTGATCCGATGCCCCAGATTACCGGGCCCGATCCCCAACCAGTGAAGGTTGGAATGACGATCCACTGTAGCTTAGTCGAAGAGACTGGCTGCTCTATCGTTTACGGTTTTAAGCCAGTGTACATCCGCAGATTAACAACCAAGCTCTACAAGATAGCCGCTGTTAAAGGAAGGACACTAAAGATTGAAAATGGAGATTTGACTCCAACTATTCTACCGATAAGCAACCGTTGCAACGCAATGCCACACAGGTACTAGTGAGTCTCCACCTCTCTTTATAAAAGATCTATTCTTGAAACACGCGCCCATCCTTCAAGTCAGCATGTTATGCCTGGTTGGTGCAGAGATACAAAGAATGGCTAAGGATATCAGCAGTTGTGAGGTCAAAGGCTGCCCGGACAGCTGGAAACAAAGCATTTCGTGATTTAGGCCAGGTACCGCCACTCTTGGTCCCAGGTGAGTCGTTCTCTTTATTCTAATCTGGTCAACTGCTTGGGTTCCTCTGAAATATGCTCTATAAAGCCTCGATGGATTCAACTGATTCTAACTACTTCCTTCATTAGGAACTGCTTTGGACCAGGCAGACAAATACAGTGCAGTACACGAATTCGACACAAGAACCACCATGAGGGTATCAGACATCCGGAACCTTTTCAAGGCAAAGTCCAAAGATCAGGCAATATTTAGGGACCTGCTAAAGGAAATCCTTCAATCAAAGCCGATCTACACTGAGCAGATAATAACCCCGACTGTTAAGCAGGAAATTCAAGACGACATCAACCATTATGTCCACCGCATGCCACAATGCATCAAGGCTAAGTATGACGACGATGTTAATGAGATGGTTTTTATGCTCTAGGAACTTGCTATCAGTGTCAAGAATGCCATGAAGAAGGACAGGAGGACACCCACCCCAGGCAGGAGTCAAACTCCCCAGACTGGAGGGCATTCATCAGAGCCAGCAGTGACGCCAGGTCCTTTGCAAGCAACCCAACCACAGATGCTCACACAATTCGCCTTAGATACATATGACCAAGCACATGTCCAATGGCAAGAAGCTATTGAAGACTATACGGCATACCTCGACAAAGGACGCTGAAGACCTTCGGACTCGTTCAGAAATGGAACGAACGGCCTAACCAATGCAGGTGCCTGTCAGCCTGCCAGACGATCCTCCGAATATCGGATTGCAGGGCATGACAAACGAGGAGACCAGGGAGGTCCTGGCTTAGTCCGACAGTGCGTTGAATCCAGTGGTATTTACTATCGATGTACTTGAGGAGGTGCTCTTTACGCAAACCGGTCTGAGGATAAACTTATCGACATCGGTGTAAGAACAATGTTTTCTTTTGCTCTGTGGCTTAATGTTAGTGTGCTAATATTCTATCGCAGCTTTTCATGGGTTCACGGGTCAATATACCCATTCTTCCAAGGAGCCGGACCTGTATTTGCATCCAGGCGCACGCCCCTTGCCTCTACCCATAGTCGAAAGTGGCTGGTGCGAGTTATTCGACCTGAGTGCCACGGACCGTTCAGCACTCTCGTCAAAGATTTCGAGTTGAGTATGACCCAGACTATGAGGTGCCAAGCCATGTCTTCTCCGCTCCATAGCGCTCTGGACGAATGCATATGGCGATCTTTGATGGAGGCCACTCTTACCGTCCTGACTCCTACTGAGGCCAGGTGCATTGAGGCAGTCCAAAAATGCCGTCATCTGTCTCGAACAAATGCTATAGTGCTCCAAGTCCGTGGAGAAGAGGGTAGCGAGCCTTGCTCGCACTGTGCGAATCACACCGAAATATATCCCAATGTTAATTATGCTTTTCACCAGATATGCGTTCCAAGGCTCTCATGGTCTCACCTATCATGAGTGGGCGCAGGACAGCAGCCGAGAGTACTGCCAATGGTAACTCTAACAATTCTACCAGCTTAAGTATCTTACAGCATATATTTATAAGCATTCTAGAAACTACAGCTATAGCCAGGCTATAAGTTGTGGCGAGCTGATTCTATTAAGGTCCAGGGGCTTAGGGTTTACTTCTTAGATGAGAAGTCAGGTGACCGAGTTACGCCAAATCTTGTCATTGTCCTCATGTGATCGCGACACACTTCTAGTTCTGGATGATCGTAAGGCGAATACAATTCTGTCAATAATCCTGAAATCTCAATCGTTGATAAGAACAGACTAGATACCTACTTTCATAAAAGTGGTGCTTAATATGTGATTGATCGCAACTTCAATCATGAACACATCCAGCATCACCTTCACAAGCCTCGGCTTGGTGGTCCTCGACGAGATCCGCTTCCCCAACCAGGAGCCATTACTCGATATTCTGGGCGGTTCCGGTGCCTATGGTTGGTCTTATTCTGGCGTTCAGCCGATCGCGATGTACAACGTGTCGATGGGCTGATCCGTGGTGCAGCCACGCTCGGCGCTCGATTATTCCTCCCCCATCCGCTGAGCCATACCTTGGGCTGGATGATCCATACAGGAAATGATTTTCCGGAGCTCATGATGGACAGCCTGAGAAGCTGGGATGCAACGTTGATTATACAACGGGAAGCGGATAAGCCGTCAACTAGGGGTTTACTGGAGTATGAGGATACTACGTTTGGACGTGCGAATATTCCGTCCTGATTCATTCATCAGAAGAACAAGAACTAATTAACCCAGCGAAACACTTCACATACACCACACCCATCCTTCCAGTCCACGACCACAACTTAAGCAACAACCCCCTCCTAACCGCAAAAGCATACCACTACCTCGAAACCCCGCAAGACATGCAAACCCGTCTCTCAACCCTCCTATCTCTCAGAAAAGAAGCAGGCGCACCAGATCGCCCTTTCATAATCTGGGAACCAGCCCCCTACGCCTGCAAACCCGAGAACCTGCAGCCCTGCCTAGCCGCCGCACAGCACGTCGACGTGCTCTCCCCAAACCACCTCGAGCTCGCCGCGCTCTTCGGCGAATCGCCCGCAAAAGCTCACGACAAAGCCACGATTGAGGCCTTGGCGCATAGGATCCTAGGCTCCGGCGTCGGGCTAGACGGGAAAGGCACCGTCGTCGTCCGTGCAGGCGAGAACGGGAGCGTCGTTGTATCTCGCGATCTGCCTGCCACGTGGCTGCCACCGTTCTATACCACTGGACCAGACGGGGAACAGCATGCAAAGGTTGTTGATCCGACCGGGGCGGGGAATGCGTTTTTGGGGGCGTATGCGGTTGGGTATCTACGTACTGGGAGTGCAGTTGAGGCCGCTTGCTATGGGACTGTGGGGGGTTCGTTTGCGCTGGAGCAGGTGGGGATGCCGGAGCTGGTTTCCGGTGAGGATGGGGAGGTGTGGAATGGTGAGGATGTTTTCGAGAGGTTGCGTGAGTATAGGGAGGCGGTTGGACTTTGAGCCTAGGTTTTGAGGCTGTGGCATTTGCATTTCGCGTAGTTCTGGCTGCGACGGAGGCCTCGGTATAAGGCTCTGCAAGCCATTTGAGATATCAGACGTATAACGAACTACTGTGCCTCTGCAGGTTGAAGCCTGATGTCCTATGATTAATGTGTTAAGTGTAAAACTACTATATCTTCATTATCGGGTTATTGTTCAAGTTAACATATGAAACTCTATTCAAGGTCTAGCTAGCCTGAACGCCTGGGTATATGACAGTCAAAGATCGTCGTACTGGACCCCGCTATCGACTCGTCTACTGAATGTGGGGTCCCGCAGTTTGCCTTGGAAGCATCGAAGAGCACAACAGGTGACATATACTCGGAGTATGTCGAAGGAACCTGGTATATGCATACAAGCCTGGTGAATAAATGGTCATTGGCTCGTTGGTGTGGTTCGAGTTGAATCCTTCCTTCAGCGTGTATAGCACCCGGTCATGGCATGCCGGTTTCGCTCGAGACTGTTTTCCCGAAAACCAATCTCAGAGAGCTGCCGGATGAGATGAGATGCGCGATTACTTCCCTCACAGGATTCGGCCGGCCCGGTGATATGCGGCGGTGGAGCCCGCCCAATACAGGTCCGCGGTCCGCTAGGGTTAGGGTTGCCCGCCCCATATATCATGTGACTTGACCACTGATATTCTTGATGAACATTTATCTGAAATGAACAATGCATGGCATAATTCATGATTCAGCCGGTAGTCGGTCGAGCTGTCCGTGTAAAAAGGCTCTGCCTTCTGTGTTTGCGAAGCCTCCAATCCCAAATGCCGGAATAATCCGGCACATGCGCGTCAACGACGCCCCAATCCAGTCCCGACTGACGCGTGTGAACCGCTCCTTGGCGGGTAATTGCGTCGGCCGGTTGTACAGGTCCAGCCCGAGTAGATGGATCGGGGTACTGATCAATTGAATCGACGCGGGGACTGCGAGCTGCGCTATGAGGATTTTGAGATTCTCGTTGGAGGCGACAGAGTCCGGGATTGAGGCGGAGACTAAAGGCGGGAGATTGAAGGAGCCGAAGATGGTGAGCGCGTCGCGGATGAGAAAGGCGGAGTAGGTGGCCAGTTGAAAGGAGCGGGTGACGGTGCGGATTTTGGGCTGTGAGGTGGGTGTTGATGCTGCTCCGGATTGGGGGTTTGTTGTCTTTGTTGCAGATTCAGGTGTGGTAGTGGTCGTCTTGTGACCGAATAGTTGAGCGAACTTGACATCTTTCCAAATGCCTACGGACGAGTTCACCACAAAGGTGGAGAGGAAGGTGGTCGTGCCTGCGATGGCATGGTCGACGGCGGGGTAGACCTTGTTGAGGATGGTTTCCGTAGCATTGGCCGTTGCAAATGTCGCTGTGTATAGAGACCACACCAGCAGACTTGGTCGCGATGTGAGGAAAGTCGCAGGTTGAGTGATAGAAAGCCAGAGATGTCGGCGAAAGGCAGGCAAGAGAGGTTGATTGTAGGATGACTTTTCCACCACCAGCCTGGTGCTGTTAGTATCAACCAGGGGCATGAGCCAGGCTGGAGACTAACCGGTCGAGGATCATGACAGCTGGAGTCACTAATGTCGCTGAGCCTGCAGCAACTAGAACATCCGCCGCCAGGTACTCGGCGAGCCTATTGCGTTGGCCACCAAATGACCAGGAGTGGCGGATGGGAAAGTCTTGGTCCATGGTGCTCAAACCACAGTCATAGAGTCAGGCGGTCTCAAGTCTAAAATAAGGAATAAATATGCAAAGATGGTAAACGCTTCTGGCTATGCAATGCTACAGCGGTTGTTAGACGAGCAGTGGTAGACCCATGTCGACGGACACGCGACACTCACAGTGATCAACGCTAACGAGACGAGACGAGACGAGACAAAAGAATGACGGTGTGACCTTCTCAAGCAGGAGTCAAGAACGAAGACAACCACCGATATAAGAGACAAAAGCCAACCATGCCAACTGTCACCGCACAATTCATACTACCGGATATGGATCATTTCGGCGGTTGCGGCCAATCAAACACCCACCGGGCCGGGAGCCCGGGTACAGTCGGTGATTTTGGTGAATCTCTGCTGATAGGAAAAGGGAGAAGCAATGCCGAGTCCATCGGGGACAAGGATTAAGGACCATCATTGGAAGAGCCATGCTGGAAAGTGGATCGGATTAGCAATAGTTTCATCTGTGAGTGTACCTTAAACCGCCAGGGACCATCCAAATTGCGCGGTTCTAGAAGACTGGATGATCGGCATCCGGGCTTTATCTTAGGTAGAATTCAGGCACGCAATCTATCCAGCCGACGATTGATTACGGTGGAGTTGCCCTAATGAGTGTACCCTGTGCCCTATTGCCTCTTTTGGAAATGTACCCCGCCACCTCAGTCAAGCAAGTTATGAATGAGTATTCTTCTATTGTTCTCATTATTTTCTGGCCTCAGATGCGTTGAACCAATGATGGCATAAGCAACAATTTATTCTCATGTCGGACGAGGCTGAAGGTCTGGCTACTTCTACTGGGAATGGGGGATCAAGGAAGCTCGCGTGGTATTACCAGATGCAGCTCGACATAGTCAAATGCCGCAAACCTCCACAGAGACGTAACCGTGACGAGAATAATAACGATGACAGGCTATCTATCTACTTCGTACTGAGGACACTACAAGCGAAAGGTGGCTTACGTCTTGCGGCTAAAAATAACTACATAGCAGAAGGAGCACGTGATGTGATGCCTCAGGCCACAATGATCAAGGCCGAGATTAAACCGCGCAAGACAGATACCCGACGTAATAATAGTCCAGGGGCGAGACCACTGAAACACTATTGCGGCGAATCCCAGCAGTGGGTCTCAGACAACAAGATAACAGCATTCTGATGGTCATTGATTAAACAAATGGTTTCAGCAGTAGCAACTTGATCCAGCGCTTGAGTGAGTGGCAGCCTAATTTATCAAGTATCGCGAGATCTATCAGACCAGGCTGGTATGCATCCAGCCTCTAGTCTCCCCAACAAAACAATGAGCACATAGCAAATAGGCGAAAATCCAAGCCCATGTCCCCGGATCAAAACGCCGATATCTGCAACAACAGGTCTGCCTGTATGGACTTCCACCCTTGGACACCAACGTGTCGAATATTCACAACCTTCGCTTTCCTTCAACCCGTTTGTGCACCACCCTACATAATCACACAGCATGAGTTCTGCTTCTTCGCGGACGTGTAGAACATCTTGCTCTGAGCGCTCAGCCCCTCGCTCTTGGAGACCAGATCGTCGATCTTCTCTCCTCGTTCCAGAACCTAGCGTGTGTCAGCTCTCGCCTCGCGAGTTTCCAAAAGCCAACTTACACTCTCAATAGTCTTATGTAGCACGATCTTGGTCTCATCCAACTCCTTTTGAATCTTCATGATACTGTCCACCTCCTGGGGGTTCTGGTAGGTCGTAATGTATGTTCGCAGCTGAGGGAAGGGAACGGGGTTCCGCGAGGTCGCGGCGGTGGGATTCTGGGACAGGAACTCATCGAGGATTTTGGAAAGGATCTGATGCGCTGCGAGGGAGGGGTACTCGTTATCGCTGATGATGACACCGGCGATGCCTTGGGTTCGGGCGTAGACGTGGAATGTAAAGTCTGCCTTGATCAATACGAGTTAACCGGCGTTGATGGATCTCTCGTACCCTGCTCCTGAATATCCTGTCTCTGGCCCTGTTTTGTGCGTTCGGCAACGGTCTTGCTGAACATGGTCATGAACTCGCTGATGCTACCCCGAGTGAACCGGGAGTAGCTGCTGAGCTCGCGCTCAGCGCAGAGCTCCACAGCGGGTTGCTGGGCATTTTGTAAGATCTGAGTAAAATAGCAAGTCAGTCGAGTCATAAACCGGGAAGATAAAGGATGAGAGCACGTACTCCGATGTAGACAATCTTCATTTTGACGGACTGGGGTAGCTGTGATGACGGAATGGTGGTCCAGATCAGGTGCGGGGAAAAGGTCGGCTCGGAAAAGGGGTGCTGTTCTGCCACCGCCTGCCTAAAAGCACTCACAAGTGTCTTCAACTGTTTACTCCATACTATCAACGACTACAATCAATGACCATCCTGTATTACTCGATCGCTTGCCATGAAGAGCAATATGTGAATTGATATTAACTGCCAGATTTATTGATTTGAATGTGCAAGCCAGAAATCTTGCACACGAACAGGATTGTTATGCCGCACGACACGGAAACTGGATCCTCAGCAGTTGGACGACCTACCGATATGTCCGCTGCTGCCCCTGCGAGAGGAGAATCTTAGGGGGGGTTGGGGGCGGGGGTGCAAGCGCAAGATATACCTCGCAATCCCGTGCTACTATGGAAACGCAAGCCGATTTGCTCCCTGCCAACCCGCCAGACAAGTTTGAGGGTATTGTGACGCACCTAAAGGGTTTTCAGACCCTCCAGCTATGGGAATTGTACATCCGGAACCGATTGAAAGCCTATGGCCTAGAATGCTTGGTTAGACAGGATATCCCAAAGCCTAGACCTGATCATCAGCTTTACGAGAAGTGGAACAAAGTATCCAAGAGAGTCAGCTTATGGATCTTCAGTCAAATCCAAGAGAGCATTGCTCTTGACTTGATTTCAACAGCAGATGACATGTCCCACGCAGTCATCAAGCTTGTTAGCGGCTACGGAGAGTCTCTTCCGCGTACGACATTTCTACGACTTACTTCCATGAAACGAGAAGACTTTAGAACCGCAGAAGAGTTTGTCTCTGCGTTCACGAGAGATGTACAACTCGCAAATGGACTGGGATGCATCATTACGCCCTTCTGCGCCTGCGTCTGGTTGCTGGACCAACTAAGTAAGGATATACCACGCTGGGTAGCATCCGTTGAGGCATCCATGGATGTTAAATTTGATGATGCTGGGCCGGAAACGATTACCTGGGATTACTTTCAGGAAGTATGCCATAACGCCCTAAATTGTGTTTCTGTTATTGCATACAGATGAAATGCACGCCCTCGGAAGCCCAAAATCAAAGGCAAACGCCTCATAAGTTATTGATCATATGATCAGCAACTTCAACAGCACCGTAACTTACTTGACTTTATGATGAAGGAGAACTCATCCAGTTACGCTAGCACAGGAGAAATATAGGCCAACAATTCCTACTACTGCGGAGAACTCGAACCGGCCCGGACCGAATGCACTCTAAGTTGGCAGCAGGTGCGAGATGTTAAGGACTAAGGTGATGTATGTTGGCCTACACAGCGTCCACCTATCAGGCCATTTCCTCCAAAGGTCCGTCCTAATGCTGCTGCGGCCAAGGCACTGTGAACCTGTTTCCAAAGAATGGATCATCTTTAGCAGACCAAGGCGCTGGCTTGAATACTACGAATTGACGAGCCTGATTCCCACAGTCTCAGAGTGCCTGGTGAAGTCTATTCCCTGGGAAAAACAAGCATAAACAAACTGACCGAGGAATGTCGCTCGACCTAACATGCCTTGACAAGCTGTCTAAATAGTGATTGCTGAGCCGCTGTGATTCCTGCGTTGAACATGATCCCTTGCGTCGTATAGAGAACGTCACTTGGGTCCGTCCAGTTATGAAGTGCCCCTAGATATGACGGCTATCTAATACTTTGATTAATAGCATCCCGGACCGCATGATATTTTGCAAATAACTAATGACTGCTATTTAGTTCAGACCATTTGTGGCACGTATATCACGGAGAATGTGGATCTTTCCTAATTTAGGTTATTGAGGCTATTCACCCTTGACAGTACCTACATTCCCGGGCTCCCGACGAACCGTTATCCCTTTGGCGGAAATATTGATCGACTATACTTTCAAGGATGTAAATATCCAAGACCTACTGTGGAATGTAGAACTCGACCCTTGATGACCGCGTTTCTCTCTTAAGACTTCACTTCCCCATATCTCACACTCTCTCTACCTTCGTCTTTTCACTCTCTTTACACTCTCACCTCTAGTCCTTCTTTTCCATTCCCTATCTCTCTCTCCTTACCGCAAAAAAAAAAATGAAGTTCATCACCGCCATTGCAGCTTTCCTGCTTGCCGTCACCGCGGAAGCCGGTGGAAAGAAGGGTTGGGGCGGCGACTACCCTCCGATCCCGGGCGACATGACCGTGAAAGAGGCAGCAAAGAAGTGCGGTGACCAGGCGCAGCTCTCCTGCTGCAACAGGGCCATCCGCGCCGGCGACAAGACTGATATCGGGGGCACTCTGAAGAACCTTATTGGCGGTGGATCTGGCGACGAAGGCGTGGAGATTTTCGACCAGTGCTCTCATCTCGGTGTTCAAAGTAAGATTACTCGCCTTTTTGTGCATGATGAGATGCTAACGAGACAGTTCCTATTATTGCGATTGCTGTCCAGAATATTCTGAATGACGAATGCCATCAGAATGTGGCCTGTTGCCAGACGAACCCCGGCAGTGCAGTAAGTCAGTCCTTTCTCAAACGTGGCAAGAGTCTAACGTGGTATAGAGCAACGACTTGATTGGTGTCGAGCTGGCCTGTATCGCACTTGGAAATCTGCTGTAGATGCGGTGCGGATGGCGGATGCGGACTGTGTTTCTTTCATACAGATATTTTATGCTCAGTCACGTAATACATTTAATCTTACTATCGAATACCCGCAACTGGCATCAATGCCTTGTGCCTTAAACCTGGCAAGTCAAGTCACGCCTTGATCTCAATCTTCGGATCCCGCACCATGCAATACAACTAAGGCACACTCATCAGCATATGCCAACCCCCAAGTGTCACAAAAGAAAAGGAATAGGGAAAATACCTTGCACGCATCCCACCCATCCACACACTCAATCTCCTTAACCAGCCTAAACCCCAACCTCTCATAGATCCCCAGATTCGGCTCCCCCTTGGAACTCTCCAGGTAACACGGCACGCCCTCCGCATCCGCCCGCCCCGTCACAGCCTCCACCAGCCTCCTCCCCACCCCCATTCCCCTCATCTCCGCACTCACCGCGATCACATTACAGAAGTAGTATCCCGCCGGGTTCGTCCAGAGCTCTGCGTGCGTGCGCGCCTGCAGAGCCTTCCAGATCCAGTACCGCCGCACATTCAACCCCCCGCGGCCGCCGAAGCGGATGTTGTTGAGGAGTTGGCGGAATGATAAAAGCCAGTCTTGTGTCCAGGTTGTCCAGGTCGTCCAGGTTTCTTTCTGCTGCGGGGGGAACCACCAGCAGACGCCGACTACGCCCGAGGACGGAGGAGGGTGCTTGTCTGTGGGTGTGGGGCGGTATTTGGCGATGTAGATGGGGGCGTTGGTGTGGAGGCCGTGGAGGAAGTGCGCTGAGAGGGAGGCGGCGTTGCGGTGGATGTTGAACTAGTCTCTTGTCAGTTTCTTGCAATTGCAGTTTGAAGGTAATACTGAGGAGGTAGGGCGTACTTTGGATGGATCGTTAAAGACCCAGCGGAAGTATGGGTCGTCGGCAAACGCCTTTTGGATGCAGACTACGGCATCGGGGATGTCCGGTTTTGTAAGCGGAAGTATATCGATTGCCATTTTGGGCTGTTATTCAATTTCTACTGGCTCTGCGGATGGGCTGCGATAGGGATATGGTGTATGTGTGGGAATGTCGGCGGAGGGGATAGAGAGAGATCGCCATCTAAGTGATGATTGAATATCTGAATATCAGATTGGATGTGCGCAATACAATGCCGGTAACTGATGGTAAACTCTCTTGTTGGAACTGATGCTGTGTACTACTCGGCGAGATGAAGCTTATATGCTTCAGAGGACAAGGTCACGAGTTATCCCTACAAGGCAGTTCCATGCGGTTCTTTTAGATGATGCTGTGCTGCGTGCACCAAGTACAGGTGTCACATTATTGGGGAGAGCTTGCAGCCCACCTGCAAAGCCAAGTCGGACAGCGTCGTCCACTGTCATCCATAAGTAAAGATCAGACGAATCATAGAGTGGATAGAGTGGACAAGGCAATGATGCCGCCAACTGGGGATCCCGAGCCCCCCGCTGTGGAGGGCCAAGCCTCTAGGCGGAATCAGGCAGGTTCTTGCGGTAGTACATTATCATTGGTGATAATGATAATTCTATGGATAGATACTGTCAGCTGAGTGCCTTGTACAAGTGCTATCTTGGAATTACTTATTCCAGAATGTAGAGCAGATCAATTGCGAGCCGGCTCCCGAATCATAACTACATATGTGGCATCTCCCTCCCCCCCATACACCGAGTAATCAATCACTATATCCTCCACATCCCGCCATCCATACTTGCTATACAGCGGATACCCCTCCGGCGTGGCCTCCAGATAAATCCGCGCATTTTTCTGGTCCGCCATCCGCACTCCCCAGTCCAGCAATGCCTTGCCCACCCCTTTCCCTTGATGCTGCGGATGCGTCACCAGAAGTTCCAGAACTACACCGTCAGCTGCCCGGCATCAACAGATAAGTAGCTGAAAAAGTGGAACACTCACCGATATCACCATCCCTAACGTGCTTCCCCCTCATCTCCTCCAGCGCTTTCAGGACTCCCTCGTAGACCGCTACATTCATCCCTGCCGGCCGCAGCTGCGCCATCTGCGCCGCCTTGGCCCTTGCTTCGTCTGAGAGGATCACCATCTCACTCTCGCTCCGCCATTTAGGACTCGGGTCGGGCATAAGCCAGCGTGCGCATCCCAGGATTTGATCCGAGCTTGGGTCTGTAGCGACTAGTACGTGCATCTTGGGGTTTGAGAGTTTGTCGTAGGTGCGGGAGATTTTCATGGGCGTGGCCGATAGAGGGTCGATGTTCGGCAACATGTTGCGGTACATCGGGGCATCTTGGAAGCAGATGATGTTTAGCTCTGCGATTGCGGGCGTGTCCGCTTCTGTGGCGTAGCGGATGGTGGTCATTTTGTTTGCAATTGAGGATGTATATGTTAAGGAAGTTTGACAGAATGGAGTTAAAAGCAAACGGGTAAGCATTCGGCGGGTGCCTAAATAGTGCTTGGATAGTTCGTATTTCGTGACTGTGTCATAAACGGAGTCCGACTGAGCTGCCGAGGTTGACTCTGACTCAGTCTGACTCAGACGGGGATCGATCTAGATTAGATGATGGAAAGATGGAAACGAGATAAAAATATGGTGGCATTTATTGTCCGTCTAATCATCATCATAGCTTCATAGCCTATAGCCTATAGCCTATAGCCTGTGCCTATAGCTAATCCTATATCCCCACTTTCCTTGAATAGCTTCATCTAAGCGAGACTTAAGCCCACTTCCCCAACAACCCCATCAAGACCATCCCCGCAATCAGCGAGAACCCTCCAACAGCCACACTGCTCATTCTCGCATTCATCATCTCGCCGCCCTCCATCACCCAGTCCCGAGCCCACATATCGACTACTCCAACCCACACCAGAATGCCCGCCGACAGCGCATCCAGCGTCCCCAGCGCCACAATCGTGCTCTGATCATTCCCATTAAACGAATGCAGCACCCCCAGTCCGATCGCCATACCAACCGGCGTGATCACGGCAAACGCACCCGCCATCAGCGCCTTAGACCCCAGCAACCGGCCCGGTAGCATCGCGATCCGCGCCCCGAGTGCCAGACCCTCGAAGAACTGGTGGAATACAATCACCACCAGCAGTGTCTTGTAGAATGAGTCCCCGGCAACCACGAGAGTCAGTCCGATCAGGATGCTGTGGAAGATCACGCCGGCCTCCATGACGAGCACGGAGAGCTTGGTGTTGGGGTTTGTGGGGTCGAGTGGAGGGCCGTGATGATGGCCCAGGGCGGCGAGGGTCGGTTGCTGCGGTTGGTTGGAAGGTGGTTCTTTGCTTGTGGGTGAAGGTGTGGCTTCGCCGGTTTGCTCGGGGCAGGGTGATGCGGACCGCTTCCCACGGGCGAGGATGATGCGGTGACCGATGTACTCGGAGAGAAAGGAGAGGAAGATGCCGGCCATGACGACGGCGGAGGTGGTGGCTTCGTATTCGAGTTCGCCGAGACACTCGTTGGTGAACATGAGGTTGGCGTGCGTGTAGAGCTGTTCGGTTAGTTGCGTTCGTCATCTAGGTGGGAGAGGAGACCTACATGCACAAACGCGGTGGACAGGATGACACCCGTTCCGAACTGCTTGATCACCGTCGAGACGACTCCGCTTATCTTGGCAGAGGGCAGCTTGACCAGGAGCATCGGCAGTAACACGGCGATGGAGCTGGTGACGAGCACGACGAACAGCGTCCCGATGCGCAGAGGGACGTCGTAGTCGCGGCTTCGGAGACCACAGGATTTATGGCTACTACCACTTTCGGATTCTCCCGCGCCCACGCAGTGTCTAGGTAGGTTAGTATTAGAAGCGGGAAACTAAGACAGAGGGAAGATGTACTCAACACCGGCGTGGAAGTGGCAGTTCATGCCCTCCTTTGAACCCGACTGCGATTCCTCACTCGAGCCAGATGAAGAGGAACCTTCTGTCGAACCTCCTTCTCCGACGATCTGGACGTCGTTTCCCTCGGGGTCCATGCAGAACCTTCTACCGTTAGTTATGGTCGATCAAAGTTCAACAGATACTTACGTTTCTCCACCATGAGAATGGCATCCCGTGTACTGGGCCGGCAGTTCCCCCGTCGGCGTCGACGGCAGGATCACCTGCACCTCGTGTCCATCCGCATCGATACAGAATACATCGCTGCCGTGGCTGTGGCATCCCGTCACCGCGGAGACGTCAGCGGAGCTGGTCGTGCTCGCGGCTGCAGTCACAGGAACGGTCTTGGAAGCCGACGGAGTCGGCGTAGGAAACGGGGTTTCCTTGCCATCCGGACCAAAGCAGTACTCGGTGCTGCCGTGGTTGTGGCAGCCCGTATAAGTGACATACTGCGCGTGGGCTAGGCCCAGAAGAGACAGCAGCAGCAGCAGGGCTCTGGCCATGATTGATTGGTTTGAGTTTTTGATCAATCGGGTAGCTACATGTTACGTGGTATGGTATTTATATCTATCTACGCAGCAAATCGATGGCCATCTAAATCGCTCGATGGATCATTCGATGAGGGCTAAGCCATTGGCAGCAAAGAGTTTTCCTCTCGCCTTGAACACACCACACTAACTCCCAAGGTATCTGCGGCCAAGAGCAGAATCTGACTGCCAAGCAGGAAAACTCCGCAACCTCGACGAAGAGCTGTTATATTTTCCGGCAAAATGGTTCGAAAGTCGTGCTTGTTGCTCTCAAGGTCCTCGATCCAAGGCTCTTGGCTCCTCTGCCGGAATCCTTGGCGCCGGCTGGCCCCATGCATCCATATCACGTTTTGACCTCATGGTGCATCGTTGAGGATTTAGCTTGGTGCTTCCCTTCATTATGATATGCATCAAGATTGTAGAGCATGGCTATTAGCTGTTCTAAGTCTGCATACGCAGGTCCCTGTATGCAAGACTACAAGTTGAATAATGTACGAACAGGTTCATATATGGCTGACAGAAGCTCAGAGCATCATAGCTTATCGGAACTGACCGACTCGAGAATCAGCTTGATCACTACCAAGGTGTCCTTGGCGTCTTATGGAACCCACTGGAATACGAACAAAAGAGCATGAATCTCGATGGCTGGAGTCCTTGCCCTACGTCGGGTGGCCCGGTGGCGTGCATACCCTGATGGCCCAAATCCAACAATGAGACAATGAGTACCTCGATATCGCGAGGGATCCATCCTCGAGGTATATAAGGACGGACGCCCTACCTCTGAGCAGCACCAAACCACGCACCATCAATTGCTCATCATACTCTCAAAATGGCTGCCCTCCTCCGCCTTGTCGCTCTCCTCCCCTCGTCGCCCCCTCGTGGCCGCCCTCCCTACCTCCCCGTCCCCATCGCGGCGCGAGCAAACCCCCACGAACCAATCTTCTTCTCCTGGGACGCTGGCGCGGTTACCTCCTACCCCATCCACTCCAGCTGCAATGCCACTCAGCGCCGCCAGATCGAGGCCGGCCTGAACGAGGCGATCGAGCTCTCTCGGCACGCAAAGGCCCACATCCTCCGCTGGGGCAACGAGAGCGAGATCTACCGGAAGTACTTTGGCAACCGGCCCACCATGGAGGCCATCGGCGCCTACGATGTCATCGTGAACGGCGACAAGGCCAACGTCCTCTTCCGGTGTGACAACCCCGACGGCAACTGTGCTTTGGAAGGTAGGTCCCCCTCGGCACCAAATAACCTCTTCTCTACCATGAGCTGCAGCTAATTATGTTTTAAAACAGGCTGGGGCGGCCACTGGCGCGGCGAGAACGCCACCTCCGAAACCGTCATCTGCGACCGCAGCTACACCACCCGCCGCTGGCTGCTTTCCATGTGCTCGCAGGGCTACACCGTCGCCGGCTCCGAGACCAACACCTTCTGGGCTTCGGATCTGATGCACCGTCTGTACCATGTTCCTGCTGTGGGTCAAGGCCGGGTCGACCACTTCGCCGACGGCTACGACGAGGTGATTGCTCTCGCCAAGAGCAACGGGACGGAGTCCACGCATGACTCGGAGGCGTTGCAGTATTTCGCGCTCGAGGCGTATGCGTTTGATATTGCGGTGCCGGGTGTCGGATGTGTGGGTGAGAGTAAGGACCATGACCATGGACATGACACTGGCTCTGCGTCTGCGTCTGCGTCGAGCTCTGGCTCTAGCGCCACGACCACCCCCACAGATACTCCCAGTGCGACTGTTGATGTGCCGCTGGTAAGTGCATTTTGCCCATCTGAGTAAGAGGATGGCTAACTGACGTTGGTAGAACTGCCATACCCATGAAGGTGGACAGCTTCATTGCACTTAGGCGAGGACTCGATGCTTGATGACCGTATGCTTGACGCCGTATGGATGCTTGACGACCGTATACTCCCGGTTAGGACCCGATCCTGAGTGATTGGGATTAATGTCTATTTTTTAAAAAAGAATTGCTATGGACGCGCTTTGGCTTCTTTGCTTTGGCTTAGATCATACACGCTGTATAGCAGTGTAGACCCAATATAGACCCTCTTTATAATCTATTCAGTAGTGCGATTCGAAGGAATAGGTTAATATTATCATCTAAGAAACATACTCTGATATCTGCCCGTCATGAACGAACGCCATCGGCAACATGTACACCGTTGGCGCCTTGCATCCTCCAGCGCTCAGTCGGCCCAGCTGAGCCCCGCAGAACCAAAGACGCTGTCCCTGGAACAGAGAGACCGGTACGTAACGTCTGACCTGTCCGGTTTGTCGTGTTCAATAGCTTAGACGCGTAGAAATCAGAAAATCGGTTCTCTGACACGAATACCTACCAGTACCGTCTCCCTTTCTTTGGAGGAGTCGGAAAATCGTATGCGGGTAGCCGTTGCTGGACTGATGCCCTCAGCCCTTGTAACTTGCTGGAAGTCATCATCGCACTGTTTTAAGCATGTGGCTATTGTTGAGACTTGAATCGGATAGAAGAGACCGTGGCTACCGTAGAGAATTGAGAATCTTAGGGAGTTCCGTGGGCGAGGATGAGGGTGAAGAGGATCGTACATAGGTTGCCTCACCAGCTGGGTTGTATATATATTTACGGAGTGGATGCAGTTATATATTTTTGCAAGGCTAAGTCTACAATGCGTCAATAATGAATCCATCAATGAATAGAAATATATTCCGAGAAACAACAAGTCATTTGCAATAGACTTGACTATCATCTTCTGTAGAGATATCTACTTCCTACATGTATATGTGGTGAAATATGGTTGTAAACTGATGCTGATGGCCATTAACGACCAGTAGAAGTCTACAGTCTATTGAGAACATAGCCAAGATAATGTACATCTGTGTCGCGCAATGATATACTACAAATACAACCACTACACTCCATGCAATGCAATCCACTGCAATTACCCTCATACATCAGTATGAACGAATGCATCTTCAATCGAATTGATCATGTCCCAAAACTCAAGCCGAGCAATACAAAAGCCTCAGTCTAGCCTTCTAGCCAGGGCATTTCAGCGCAGGTACCGTCCTCATTCTCAATGTCGTCCAGTCGACGTCAACAGCCTCTTACATGCAGGAAATGAGGATGTTACATGTTTCCCAGGAAACACATGCTGCGGAGTATTTTAAGCAAACAATGCAGCCAAAGAACGCGATAATTTACGGATGCTCCGCTCGCGCAGCGAGGAGTAGGACAGCGGCGTTGGAATGTCTTGCGGAATGGGGTGAGCGCAGGTACCGCTACGTACTGTGTAGTATCAAGGGGTCTTGGCTTGGAGGACATGTTGCCTTTGGGCGCCGAACGGGGTAATTATTAATTGGTGGGAAAGTCGTAAAGTCATAACCTGGATACCCCTTGATTCCACGGGTGAGGTGATGTAAGAGATGGTTCTCATCATGGACAGATTGACTTGGGTCTTGAGAGTACATGGTTGATTTGATGATCGCTACTACTTTATCTGTAGGATTGAGTTTAGGATGTCGGCAGGATTCTGAACATGACTTTTATCTATGGTAGTGTGTTAGATGATAAGAGCAGTGGAAGTGGCAGGAAGTTGCCCAAACTATGGACTATGCAGCTAGAAACTAGAGGTTAAGACCTGTACACACTTGTGATACTCAATATGCACACAGTCTGTAGGCGAATGGTCTAGTGGAGAAGTAGTGTCCAATGCTGACGTCTACATAGTGATAGTTAAGTTCTACTATAATGATCGAGAGTAACCATCTATAGTAGATAGATCAGTATAGCCAATTAAATCTTGTTACTCAAACCGTTACTCCACGCAGGCGTCTATGCTGTTGGTATCTGCTATAATGTCAAGGATGGTTGTGTACTCCATAGATCTCTAGTCTTGTGTAGAAATAATAAGACAATCAACTGATGTGAAAACTACTTTTAGCAATTTTAAAAGATTCGATATTATTCTAGTAACTAGAATCATCGTAATATGAGTTGATCTACGTGGATATCATGTCTTGTAGCTCTTGGTTGGGTTTCTCTATGTCTCGCCACGTGTGCGGTAGATATATATATATATATCGATTGTTGGGATGAGCTTAGCTCAACATATAGCCACAGAAGTGGCAAATAGTCTCCCCCTATCTAGGCTACAACGTATTGCATGATATTCAGGGAGATCTGCAGAGCAATCCTAATAGTCTCTTTAGTTCGTTGATACTCATAGTTTGATAGTACAGCATAGCATCCTCCATCGTAAAATTGATGCTTATCACCACTGACCATTCCTGCCCCAATGTCAATGCCAAATTGTATGAAAACTTCAAGACAATCTCTCAATCAATTGAGTCTAGTACTCCTTAAAGAAGGTTTGAATCGAACTACCAAATTACGGAAGATTTGTGGGGGATGTAAAGTGTAATAGCTCAGGGGCACCATGTTCCACTATCATCACTAGTTCGACCATGGAGACGTCCTATGGAGACGTCAACACTTAACTCTAAACGAGGTCCTCGTTCAGTTTGCAGTCCAGACTCGGTCTCTGTCTCCTTTTCTTAGGCTTTTCTATCATGCACTTCCACCAAAGCTAGTCCTGAAGAGTGACACTAAACTTGAACTCCGTCTTGGCAATATGGTGGCACCTTTTCTCTCTTGCATCTGTCGCATGCTTCCCATATCACCAGGACAATCAACCGGAGATGTTGGCCAGAAGATGTAGTCCAGGGGAACGGAAGGAATGCCTCCACAATCCCTAAACCTAGTAGTAGCAGAAACACCGAACCTGTTCTTAGCCGAAGTAATTGAACAAACTTTGCCCTGATTCTCTTTTGCACGTTCCCCAAGCTTTTTAGTTCCGTTCCTGATAGGTCATGTTGTCTCGACTGGTTGAGAGGCGACTTGGGGGAAGCCGCAGCGCATGACCCCCTTCCCTGCCCCAAGACATTTGGCTTGGACTTCTTGGAAGCTTTGGAAAGAGGGGTAGAAAAGAAACTCTATATTATTTTGCTTTTCCGATCAGACGTGGCATCCTTATTTATGTTCGTTGTCAATTGAAGATTGTGTCTATTTCCTGGCAGCGTCGATCTACGTTCTGGCGCGTCGCTGTTGAAGGAGGTTTCGAAGCCCATCACTGCCCCGTCCGCGTCGCCCCTTCACTCGCAGCTTTTACCTTGTATATTTTTTCTTTTCGCCACACATCTTCTTCGCCATGAGTCCATCGCTGCAATTAAAAACTCACTCTCAGAGGGATGAGAAACTTCCCTCATGCTCCTCCAAGACTCTTGTCGCAGCTCCGCCCGTGGAATCTCCCAAGTCTCCGGAAGACTATGACCCCTGTGCCAATGCAAAGCCATACTCCCCCTTTTATCGACATGCGACGACCTCGTTCGCCTTGGAACAGTCAAAATCTCAAACGAAGAAACCGAACTGCACTGTGGATGCAATGAATGACTTGGAAAGTGCACCGTCGCAAACACCTTACAAGCCATCAATGGACGTACCGGGCTGCCGCTCCTCGAAGCTGTGGACAAAGAAGCGGAAACGTTGCGGTTGCATGCAGTCCTTGACGAGGAAGCAGAGGATGATAGTCAAGGCCGCCATCGCCATTGTCACGCTGGGGAGCATGGTGGCTATTGCCTTGGGAATCACCGTCGCTGTGGGCGGCGGAGTGTGGAAATCCGATCACCAACAAGGGGCTATCCCTGTATAAGAGTAAGTGCATTTATCACCTGCCATGGACATTGCTGTTGTATTCGGCCACTGACTCGTTAGTTTCCACAGGTAAAGCATTAGAATAGTACACCGTGCTAGTCGTCTACTTGTGCGGACTCGAGCTCTGTCCTTTGATGCCGACTACGCTGGACGTCAAGCGCGCATCTGCTCGAGTCCACTAATCCACAAAGTCACATCGGGTTGACCAGTGCAGACCCCTTTATTATCTCCAGGAAACCCCCGGTCGGAAGCTGCAGCAGGCTGTCCAGGGAACGCCAAAGGGAGTGCCGATGGCAGTATTGGGGCGTTAGACCGGCCACCCTCCCGCGCAGAGGATCCATTGTACAGAAGGATCCAATTTTTTTTTTTTTTCCATTTTTCTTTCCTCGGTGTTTCTTTTCTGGAATACAAGCTGTATAATAATTGGGATCAAACTATGACAAGAATCGATAATAAGGGCCTCTACGCAATCTTCCAGAAGCCGGATTGCAGTTTTCACTGATTATTATTATCATCCCATCAGGGAGATCCACCGAGGATGTGCCTGGCAGCCTTGTCGCCTTGTGGCCTGGCGGCGGAAGAACGGTCGGCCCCTGGCACGTGACCCACAAACCAACTACAAAATCGCCCATTCTGCGCCGATCTCTTTGCTCCCTTTCTTTCTCTTTTCTTCCTCATATCAAAAAGCTTTAACAGAACCTGCCACGACCATCGTCCAGTTTTTCTATCCCACGGCGGTGTGTTGCCTTCGATCTTTCGATCGTTCGGTTCTGGAGAACAATGCTTTCCTTGATAGGAAGTTTGCCTTCCGTTGGGTCCTCTTAAGTGAGGGCGATGGAGGGTGAATGTCGATGACGGGAGACATCTCTTTTTCTTACTTACAGATCATACCGATATAGAATGAATACAAATTTGGTTTTGGACTGTCTGAGTGTGTCTTTCCTTTGCCTTATATATGTTCGTAATCTTGGCGGGCAGGGCAGTCTTGCCGGTTGCCCGACCTTGCATGTTTCAAGCCGTGCTGCAGTCGACGATCGATGCTATGATGTCTTTGTCTCTCGCCGAGGACCTGTGCAACGGCAACATCGTTGTTATTGTGCTGAGTCGGAAAATTTTTTGCGACTGTCATTCGATCAGTGGCTCCTCTTGCAAGACACAAGGCTCTTGCATCGTGTTAAATTACGCAGGGATGATATCTTCCGGTATGCCCTGCAAGGGGGTGACCAAGCTGCCCTGAGGATGAAATCCGTGAACACCGTGAGCAAGCACTCAGGACTCATACCGATCCTGGACCTTCTCGTGTTGATGTTGCTCTCAGGAATGCCAGAACTGCTGTTCGGAGCGCTCCGTTCGATGCACGAAGCCACAGTGCCCACGGCCACACGCCTGATGGACCGTGTGGTTCATTCCTGGCGACATTCTCCTGACGCCTAAACAAGGCCAGGTTCTTGTTGTTTGTTTAGCTCACCAGGGGATGATCTACATGCCTCGAGTCGAAACAGGTAGGAAAGAGACTCATAAAAGGCATGAACCTTGCCGATGGAAGTAAGTACTTAATATCAAACTTCCAACGACTAACACAGGTACCGGCAATTCGTTCCTTTCTTTTTACTTCTTCATTTGTCTTTCCTTCCGTTGGGCTTGTAGTCCAGATTCACTCGTTAATCTGTTTAATTCTCGATAAAGAGAGATCATGAAGGGTTTGGTCGGAGGAATCCCTCTTGCCCTCCTCGTCGCCGCCGTCGCCAACGGCCATGGCGAGGCGGTGCAGGAGGAGGGCCCGGTAACTTTGATCGGTGGCCCCAGTGGTGACGACGGTGGGAACAGTGCTGCTATCGCGTATGACAGCACCTACGGTTCCGGTGTGAAGGACAACTACAAGGACGACCACTCGGTTGATCTGAAGAACACTGTGGTCGGCGCCGCTCCCCCTCATGCCCCAGTGCCAGGCGTCCACAAGCGAGGCGACGGCAGCCTGACATTCTTTGATGGCCCGGCCGGCGATGACGCGGGCAACAGCGCGGGATTTGAGTTCGACAGTGCCTATGCTTCTGTCGTTGAGGATTGGGTTAAGGATGATCACTCTAAAGACATCAAGAACACCGTGATCACTCCGCCCCGCCCCCGCCTCCCTTTCATCCTCATCCTCCTGCGCCTGGTTTCCGCAAGCGAGGTGATCCCTTAGTGACCTTTGTCAAAGGTCCATCTGGCAACGATGGCGGCAACAGTGCCGAAATTGAATTCGATAGCTCGTACGCCTCCGCCGTTAAGGATTCGTACAGGGACGACCACTCCGTCGACATCGACAACCATATCATCCAGCCTCCCCCAGTTCCAGGTTTCCGCAAGAGAGGTGGCGGTGACACCACTTTCTTTGACGGGCCATCCGGCGATGATGGCGGTAATAGTGCTAGCTTTGAGTTCGATAGCTCATACGGCTCCAGTGTGAAAGACTGGTATAAAGATGATCATTCCGTCGACATCAAGAATCATATCGTCCAGCCTCCGCCAATGCCAGGTTTCCGCAAGAGAGGTGGCGGTGATACCGTATTCTTTGATGGTCCATCCGGCGACGATGGCGGCAACAGTGCTAGCTTTGAGTTTGATAGCTCATATACCTCGAGTGTCGAGGATGCCTATAAGGATGACCACTCTGTTGACGTGAAGAACACTATCATCCACCCGCCTCCCGTCTTCCACCCGCCTCCAGTCTTCCACCCTCCACCAGGTCCGGGTTTCCGCAAGAGAGGGGACGGTGATACCACCTTCTTTGATGGTCCATCTGGCGATGATGGCGGTAACAGTGCTGGCTTTGAGTTTGATAGCTCATACGCCTCAAGTGTCGAGGACTACTACAAGGATGACCACTCTGTTGACGTGAAGAACACTATCATCCACCCGCCTCCTGTCTTCCACCCTCCCCCTGTCTTCCACCCTCCACCAGGTCCGGGTTTCCGCAAGAGAGGGGACGGTGGCACTGTTTTCTTTGGTGGCCCATCTGGCGATGATGGCGGTAACAGTGCTAGTGTTGGGTTTGATAGCTCATACGCCTCAAGTGTCAAGGACGCCTACAAGGATGACCACTCTGTTGATGTCAAAAACACTGTCATCCATCCTCCCCCTGTCTTCCACCCTCCTCCGGTGGCAGGCTTCCGGAAGCGCGATGATGGAGGCTCTCACATTAGCACTCCTAACTACCATGAGCATGCTAAGCCGGCTGTGGTCGAAGATGATTCTGGAGAACCTGCCAAAGACGGCGGAATTACCTTCATTAAAGGCCCCTCCGGTAACGATGGTGGCAACAGCGCCGATGTCAAATTTGACAGTAACTATGCATCTGCGGTCGACGATCATTACAAGGATGACCATTCTGTGGATATCACGAACCACGTGGTCGCGCCCCCAGCTGTGCCAAAGGGCTTCCGCAAGCGCGGTAGCGGCCCGGTCTTTTACGATGGTCCCAGCGGGGATGATGAAGGGAATGATGCCGACTTTGTCTTTGATAACGACTACTCATCGAAGGTCGACAGCCACTATGTAGATGATCATTCCGTGAAGGAAGAGAACTGGATCGTGCAAGCTCCGCCACCGCCGCCGCCCCCTCGTCCTCAGCCCCCTCGTCCTCAGGGACCTCCTGGCCAGGCAGCTCCACCTCCTTTCGCTGGCAACCAAGAGCCGCCTCATCCTCAGGGACCTCCTCACCAGCCCCCTCATCCTCAGGGACCTCCTGCCCAGGCAGCTCCACCTCCTTTCGCTGGCAACCAAGAGCCGGCGCATCCTCAGGGACCTCCTCCCCAGGCCCCTCATCCTCAGGGAGATCCTGCTCAGGCAGCTCCGCCTCCTTTCGCTGGCAACCCAGAGCCACCTCACGGAGTGGCCCCGGTAGCAAGCGAGCCATGCAGCACATCCACCTTCCTTGAGACCGTCATCAAGACCCTTGCAGACGACCCGGTGGCTACTAAGCCCGCTGCCCCGTACAGGCCGCCTGAGCATCCTCAGCCCCATGCGCCTCATCCAAATGCTCCATCCGACCCCGGCCATGGGTTCGAGCCTACGCATCCCGGCGAGGCCGTGCCAACTGGTGTTTCTCCCGCCCACGAGGTTGAGGCTCCCAAGGGCCACGAGAACCCCGGCTACCAGAAGCCAGAGCCCGCCCGCCCCTCTTTCACCACGTCGAAGGTGGAAGCTCATCCCCAGCCGACTGTTCCGTCGTACCCCCCGCAGGGAAACCCTCAAGCACACCCTGAGGGCGGCGCTCCCGCTGACCCTGGTCACGGCCAGCCTCAAGCGGACACTACTCCTTGCCCCACGGGTAGGCCCGGAGGTCACCAACCTGAGCCTACCGCTCCTGCCTATCAACCGCATCAACCCCAGGACGCTGACCCGAAGGAAGCTCCCAAGCACGCGACCACCGCCGCAGAGCCCGTGACCTCCATCACGTCCACCATCACCGTGAGCCACACCTCCTCCTTCGCCGTCGTCCCCGTCTACATGGACTCCAACCACAAGACCACCTGCACGTCAGCAGCCCACCAGCGCCCCACCGACGTCGACGCCCAGGACAATCACCACGCGCCTTCCTCGGCTCACAGCCAGGCCGTCAAGCCCTCGCACCACGCTGCCCCGTCCCCGTCCCCGACGCCTAGCCAGAGCACGTTGTTCACCGGCGCCGCGGGCCGCATCGCTCCCGCCGCTGGTGTCGTGTCTGCCGTGTGTGGCCTCATGGCTGTTCTTGCCTTCGTGCTGTAAGCTGTAATCGAGTCGTGACATCTGAGTGCTGCCACGTTGAATTTCTCATTCACTCTTTTCTTTTTTTCTTTCCATTATCTAATGTCTTTTATATTATTGGGACTTCTGTTGCGCTCGCTCTACTGTCTGTATTCCATTTTTTCGGATAATCTCCAAGCAAAATGCTAGGTGTGATGTCTTCCTATCTCTCTCCTTTGTAGTGTAGATTCGACCTTGTAGATGCTCTCCCTCCCTCAGGGTCCTGCAGTGCGCAAACTGGGCCTGGTCATCTTGATCGAAAATCAAGTCCTTTGCGGTACTTTGCGGCCAGGTCCGAGTTGTGATGTCAGTCTCACGAAGCTAAGGATCTTTTTGAATCCAGTGATACGAGTAAATACTTGTTTCTCCAAGCTGAGAACGAGAATATTTCTGTATACCTTGGTGGTTTGCGATGCTGGTATCCTACAAGGTCCCTATTATGTCACTGTGGCCGAATAGTACTACGTCCATCACAACCACATTTCTCCAGTATTTTGACTTTACGAGCCTTCAAACACCTTAACAGTCTGATATCAATCGATTCACGGTAGTATCAAAGCTATGATTATGACTAAGCGATCCGACTGGGGTTGACATGCTTCTGATATCATAATCCCATCATGCCCCGAATCGAGGATGAACGGTGACATCAATTGCCCGTCTTTCTCCCCTACAGTCAAGAGAGTAGAGTTTATAAACGCTTCAGTTTCAGCTTCGTTTGCTCTTTCATTGTTTCTGACCAGACAATTCAAATCTTGAGAATATCAATAAGCAAGACCCCTTTGTGAAGAAAACTACGAATAAACATGTCTTCCGACGACGCTCACAGAGGAGGCTCCCTCAGCGAGATGGCTGAACACGGCACCACCATGCCCAACGACGCAGGCATCCAAAACACCCTCCCCTCCGTGCCGCGCCCCGACCAGCGCAGCGAAAGCCACCAGTTCGATAACTACGGCCTTGCGGAGCCCTCGCTGGCTTTTGCCGCCGATAACTCCACCGATCTGCCCCGGAGCACCAAGGAGATGGGCGCAAGCGGTGAGGTCGTCACGGGGACTGGCGACGTGTTCCCTGTTTCGGGGGAGTCGAAGAGGATCAACCCTGGCGCGATGGACCCCGGTGCGCGCGGAAATGCGCGAACGATCAAGCATGCGAACCTCAATCGGAGTCAGTTCGATCGGTCGGCGAGGGAGGATGGGAATGCGCCTGAGTTTATTGGGGAGCATGAGTTTCGGAATCGGGATGAGTGAACTGTATCGATTTGGGCCGTGTTTCGTTATGATGTATTGATATACTTGCGGGAAATGATTTGGGTAATCTATTTTTTGTTTTGGTTTGTTTACGCTGGCGTAGAAGGGGCGACAAACCCCCGGTAGATCTCGTCAAGGACATCTCGTTTGCGTTTACGGTCGGCTTGCTCAGCCTCTTCGGCCTCGTCTGGCTCGCCCTCGGGCTCCCGTGAGACCCAGGCGCGGATGGTCCCGTCTCCGTGCGCGGAAAACATCTCCAGTCCTTCGCCTGAGCCGCCATTCCCGCGCCATACTAGAGAATTAATCCGTGCAGCGCTGAGGGCATTGGATCGCCCGCGGATTTGCTGCCGACCGGCCATTAGACCGGGGACCTTGAGACGTTTGATGAACGTCCCCTCTCGAAGTCCGAACATGAAAATCTCGCCGCGGTCGTCGTGTTCGTTGAAATTGGCCCACAGGAGTGTCTCTTGCCCTGGGGCCATTAATCCACGGGGCACAATCAGCGGAGCCCGCTCGGCAAGATGAGAGGACACGCCGTTCCGGACCCTGGGTCCAAAATGGACAAGGGTATTGGCGCCTGTAGAGGCGTCCCAGACTCGGATTCGGGCATCTTGACCGGCTGTAACGAGGTGAGTGCCGGTTGATGTCCAACGGACACCGGTCACAGCACCATTGTGCGCGCGGGCGTGGGGCGAGAACGGGGCGCGGCTTTGGTAGGATGCCGGAGCGCACAGCGGATGAACTAGGCCGACCGCATCATCCATGTCAAGGGTTGCGATGGCGGAATTGTGACCGCCCCTTCGAACGTCAAACAGAATCACGCGGTTGTCTGCTGATGCTGAAGCGAGGATATGTGGTCGGTGAGGGGCCCATGCAACCGAGAGGACCGCAGAGCTATGGCCCGGAAGTCCGTGGGTAGATAGACCGGACCGCAAGTCGAGCAAGCGGACTGCTCTCTCTGATGTACCTACTGCAATAAGAAGTGTGGAACCCGGATGCGACGACATGGAATGAGAGTAAGGCGTGCAGTCAAGCCTGAATGTATGCATAGGTGTGATGGCGCCAGGCGCCAAGGCAGAGAGCTTGAGACTTCCATCATGGGCAGTAGTCAAGATTGTAGATGGAGTCGGATCAAATGGGTATATTGAAACCGACGTGATCGCATGCGTATGGGCGTCTTCGCGGGCTCCCTTGTTGATAGAGGCAACAGGCCGGTGCATACGATCCAACTCGGAGCCTCTGCTTTCCAGATCCCAGAAATGAATTGATGGGTCTGCGCCACCAGAAACCATGCTGTTTTAATCATTAGCATAGAGGTCCGAACTGATTGAAGAAGAGTGCATACAATCGGGAATCATTTTGATCAATGGCGAGTACATTCACGCCAGCCCTATGAGCAACAACAGCATCCCTTTCAGTGCCTGGGCTTGCATCAAACAATGCGGAATCATGATCGGATTGGCCTCCAGATATGTCCCTCTGGCTTGAGAATCGAATGCGAGGAGCTGGCTCAAGGTGGTGAACTAGCCGGGTAGTTTGTGCCACATGAAAGGACTGCGGAGTGATGGACCCCAGGGCCCTGTTTAAGAGATACGAATTCATTCATCAGGGATTGAGCAACATAAAAATCCTTTGATACGTCAAGACGATGCTCATGTTCTCCCTTCAATGTACTCAAATTATGCAGAGTCCAGATCTCTGTTATCGCAACGCGGGGGCGGAGAAAGGTTGCACCGGAGTTTGTAATTTCGGCCCTCGTCGCAAGAAGCAATCGCAAAGCAATCCGCAGACACAGCTCGCATCGGTCTATTTGACTCACTAGGTTGGAGGTTGACTGGAGATTTCCCCCGATGCTCTCCCACGGGTGACCTCAACACGACAGGACTATGTCCTACGGCAAATCCCTTGCGCTGAGCCAGAATTCCTTCGTCCAGCCTCCGGACCAGGACGATGGCGCGCGCGACATTCAAGACGAGCCTTTGCTCAGACGACAAAAACGTCAAGCAACTGTCTACGATGCTGTAGCTGGTTCGTAGGGCTGCTCCGCTTTTCTGAGAGCTTACTGACATGTACAGGTCGTGTGAATGCACATGGTTTTCTCCCATCGGTCTCATATGCCTCGAAACACCGCGACACAGCATCCTCCAGCGCTCGTCCCGTTCGTCCCGAGGAGGTACTCTTCCGCCGCCAGAATGCGCCAATACGATACGAAGAAAATGACTTTTACTTCGCGAACGAGTCCCTCCCTGCTGACCGCCCTCTTCCGAGGTCTGAGCTGCTAGAAGCTATTCACGCCTACACGGCCGATTTCTATGATCATGCAACGATCGATCGTGGTCAAGACGACTACCAAAGCATGGACGAGACAGCTCTGATAGCAATGGGAATACTGGTGGAGGAGATGGCTCGAGAGGCTCTGGGTGAAACCGGAGACTTGGTTCTGGTCGAGGGTGAAGAACTCTCGACGGATGATGATCACCTATCGTCGAGACTCGCAAGTCGCCGCATGGGCCGGAAACGGGCCAATACCAGCCAGAGTATGATTTTGGCAAGCTCTGGCGATGATCTCGATGGCGTTGTTAGAAAGCGACGGTCGAAGAAGCGCAAGTTGACCCGGAGGGCGTCCACTACTGATTTTGACACTGAAGCAGACGAGAGGTTGTGAACTCGCAGTTCATTCTTGCGAGGGCGCCTCGCCGACGCTTTATGGGAGCCGATTCAAGCCCAATGTCGGACTTCCTGGTTAAACCCTGGCTGTTATGGCACATCGGTAACACTATATTCAAAGACAACTGAGAGGCAGAGAAGCTAGTGTGGAGATCAATGCGCAGGAGCAAAGACATTGAACGTATCAATTGACTATGTTAGAGAAACTACCGAGCATATTAGAGCTCCCAACTAAAATGAATGTCGCGGGTGAAGCTTCGGTCCAACAAGTTTCTGAAGATTTTCGAGCATCGGAGGACTGCATTAAGAGTTCATTATCTGTAGTAGCAATATGAATCCTAGCTGCAATATGGCATAGCAATCTGCACTGTAGGCGTGTGACCCAATAACTGTTGTAGGTGACTCGATCTGGCATCGCAGTACTCCGGTGCTCTCTCTCGTGCCATTGACAACAAGTTCTTCACCATCACCACCAGCCAGTTCATCATTCCCTCCATCTAAACCATCTCTGTACGACTCAGACTTTTACGACTCTATCGAACGACTTTCTAGGCCCTTAGAGCAGCTCAACAACTACACATCGCCTCGCTTGACGAAGTCAACATCCGCCATCCAACATGGTTTGCTCCCCGACTTTCACTTTCCTTTGTCATCCAAAACCGATGCATACGCAATTAAAGAAAACAAACCACGTATCTACAAGTTTCTTGATGCTAATGATCGTGTCTCAGCCACCAAAACTCTCTAAAAGCGCTAAAGAAGACTTGATAGTTTCGCATCTCCGGTCCACCCGCACGTGCCACACGCTCAAAGACCTCGAGAAGATGCTTCCCTCGGTGGCTTCGATCAATGGCATGCAGGTCAAGGATTATATCCAGAACCTGACGGACGAGGGAAAGGTCCGGGTGGAGAAGATTGGAAGCGGGAACTGGTACTGGTGTTTTGGCGGGGACGAGAAAAGAGAGAAACAAGCACGATTGAGCCAACTGGAGAAAGAGGTGAAGATACTGCAAGCGAGCTATGACGAAGCAGAGGCTAGTCTGGCGGCCAAAAGGGCCAAATGGGAAGAAGAGGGAGAGGATGAGCAATCAAACCTGGCAGAGAGGGAGGAGTTGACGCGTCGAAAGGGCGAGCTAGAAAAGGAGAGGAACCGGCTGCAAGCTCAGTGGATAGCAGCTACTACGACGGAGGAAGGCAAAGGGGTGCAGCAAATGAGAGAGGAGATTGAGGAGTTCCAGAAAGAGGCGCTTATGTGGACGGATAATATCTACGTGCTGGAGGGCTACTTGAGTAAGCTGGCAGGAGGGGATCGGGAAGTTATTGCGGCGGTGCAGAGAGAATGCTATGGGGATGAGTATGTGGAGGGTGAGGGCTTGAGTGAGCTGATTCTTTAGACACACAAGAATCCATGAATTCATACTTGACGAGGGAGAAAGTGCTCTGTATGTACGGAGTAGTCTAGATAAACTGCAGGCCCTGAAATGGAGCACAATCGGAGATTAAAACCGACAAATGTGAGGTATCACCACCAGCAGGAGCATGTGGAGGCATGAATAATAACAGTGACACACGAGAGCAGTCTCAAACTAAGGCCAAATAGTCCAGCCCCCAAGAGAAGCTTGACTGTCAGACTGCGCAAACCCGTTGGTCTTTTCCATTCTCCGCCTGGTCGGGCTTGTTGCTTATCGCGAACTTGTCCTTGTCCCCTCCCCCCTTCTCAATCCTGCTGCTGTCACTCGGCCACTACCACTACTACAGTTCTTTGTTCAACCTCCTCCTACTACTATATTAATTCTATATCTATCTACCACTTACAAGCTTACTTTACAGTCACTAGCGATCGGATATCCCCACCCACTGCCTCCGGTCACCCCATAACTTCCCTTCTGCCCAATCTGCGTCTCTCAATCAACTACAACCGAGTCCGCATCCTCCGACCGACGGTTCTCCCCTCTTCCCTTTGGCCTCGACCGACTCGCATCCTCTACCTATCTATCCCTTGCCGACCGTGGGGGAACACCCACGCATCAACACGCTTGTCTCACCTTTGCCATTTCTGGTCATTCTGCGTAGTGCTTACTCGATCATACCTCGCAAAGAAGCATTCTCTGGACCCTTGTCCTGTTGTTCCTGGTCGACACGCGAGAAATAACGATGCGGCCCTCTCCGTCATTCATGATCATCAGCTCCTGACATCCCCACAACCCAAGCACTCTGTCCCTCCGGTCTGGTTGCGCTCGGAAACGGATCTTCCCCTCCCCGCGAGGAGTTCGGACTGGAAGCAGGCCTGGATCTTTACCTCGTGTCAAGGTGGTGCATTTGCGCCCAACGGTGACATCGGGGCTGGTGGCATTTCTTACCTGAACTTCCCGGCGCCTGGACGTGTGATCGGTGGATTCAATTCAATTCACGGAGAGTTTTCAGGTCTCTTGTCATACCGACTTGCTTCTGTGTCTGACTGCACCTTCATCTATTTTCGTCACCCTGAATCGGGGCTATTCTATCCCGAGACGATCGGAGCTGGCTTCTGATAGTCTCGAACTTGGCAATTCGTCTCAATTTGTCTTTCTCTTTTTTGCCCCTTCACTTCCCTAATCGTTGCCAACATCATATCACTTCATATCTCCCTCTTGTATGGCTTGAGCACAGCGTGATTGTGTGTCATGTCCGTCAAGTCCTTTACCTCCCCATCCGCACCCTCGCCGCTCGGTCGGAATCGAAGCTCGCTATTGTCCAAGTTCCGCGCGCCGTTCGGTCACCGGAATCGCAGCATTGCCGACTATTATATCGAGCCTGACGATCCCTGGCGCTCGTACTTTCCCGGTGATGTGGTCAAGGGCACTGTGGCCCTGACCGTGGTTAGACCCGTACGGATTACACACTTGGTGGTCTGTCTACATGGATACGTCAAAGTGTTCAAGAACACGGTGCCGTCGGGCGAGACGGATCCCGATCTGGGTTTCCTCGGCCCAGGGCGCGGGCGTCGAGGACCAGAATATTTGGGCAACGGCCTGGCCACCCTTTTCGAGGATGAGGTAGTTCTCTGCGGCGAGGGGCGTCTGAAGGAGGGCATTTACAAATTTCGCTTCGAAATGTGCTTCCCGCCTTATGCGCTGCCCAGTAGTATCAGCGTGCGTGACTTATTTCCTGTTTTGGAATTCATCTCCTTCCTCCCGAGCTTCCAGTTTCGCTGACTATTCCTATTGACTTCAGTTTGAACGAGGTACTATCTCGTATATGCTTACATCCACCCTGACCAAACCTACTACGATGAACCCGACCGTTTCCTGCCGGAGACGCGTCAATTTCCTAGAGAACATCGATATCGCACCCTTTCCGGCCCCTAAGGCTCGCATCGTGACCCTCGAACCCGTTACCAAACGCTCAAAACCTAAGGGCAAGGCCAAGTCAGTAGAATCTGACGCGGCTGCTGATGTCCAGTCTCGAGAGCCGTCTCTCAACGGTGGTGGAGCGGTCGGAGATAATCGCCCGCCCCTTAGTCCGGCCCCCAGTAATGTCAGCTCATCGAGTCGGCTCAGCAACAGCAGCCAAAGCTTTCAATTGGCTAGTGACCCTAGTTCGTCTGCTGGCACCGGGGTACGCAATGGCAGCATCACTCCTTCGATCGCGGATAAGACCATCACAGCGAAAACCGAACTTTTACGGGCTGGTGTTCTGCCGGGTGAGACGCTACCGATCGTCATCACCATCAATCATTGTAAACAAGTGCGCAGCGCGCACGGGATTATCGTCACGTTATACCGTCAAGGGCGCATCGACCTTCATCCTGCCATTCCGATCGGCACTACGGCGAATGGCAAAAAGCCCGTTTACGAGGACTACTATCCGCGATCACGGACAGGACTGGGAGGCCTTACGCTAGGCACTAGTCGTACCAGCAGCGTCTTCCGGAAAGACCTGGCTCAGACATTTGCGCCCTTGGTGGTCGACCCCACGAACATGACCGCCGTGGTGAAGACTTCAATCCGCATTCCGGAGGATGTTTTTCCTACTATTACGCGCACTCCAGGGAGTATGATTAATTTTCGATATTATGTGGAGGTGGTTGTCGACCTGCGCGGCAAGCTCACGTCTCCCGAGCGCTTTTTACCACGATTCAACATGGTATCGTCGGGGAGTAATTTCTCGCCGAGTGGCCAGGTCCTGAACCCAAGTGACGCCAACGGCAACTCAATTACCACGAACTGGGCTGGCAACATCCTAGACACGGCACAGATACGCCGTGAAAAAGGAGTTGTAGCTGTGGCGTTTGAGGTTGTGATCGGGACCCGTGACTCGCAACGGCGCAAAGAGAAAACCGAACGCACGCCCTCAGTGGCTGCGGTGTCGGACATATATCCACCCCAGGCACATCCCGCTGCGGAAAGTGACCATTGGCAGAACGGTTATAGCCCGATGCCGACCACGAACTCGGAGTATCTGCCTCAGACCGACTACGGCTTTCCTGATGAGTCGCAGTGGCCAATGTATGAGGACGAAACCGCTCAGCACTACCAATCGTTAGGCGGAATGGTTGCAACACCGCAGTGTGAAGAGCCGATGGATGAGAAAGCGCGTTTGCGGCACGCTGAGCAGACTCTCCTACCCAGTCGGCCGCCGGACGATTCTGAACCAGGACCTTCGACCGGTCACTTGGCGATACCAACTGCACCCGTGCTTCCTGAAGATGACCACATTAATGGCTACCATCATCTACCGTCGCCGGTGGAGAACGGCCTGCCTCACACATTGGGATCAGCGGAATCCGTGCAGACTGTAGTTGCCAGCAGCAGTGTAGCCGAACCGAATGGAAGCACAGCACCTCCCGGCGAGGATAAGCAGGAATTGGAACGACGGCGACTCATGACGGAAGCAAGTGCTCCAGGAGACATGGATGCCCACAACGACCACTCCACCGTGCATGGACCCAGTGCTCCGGTTTTCCATGATGACCACGACGAGCAACTGGTGGGAGGAGCGGCACACGGGGACGAGTCATTACCGCGTTACCAGCGATAAGAAGTGAAGCTGTTAGGCGATTCATGACGATGTACGATTTTCATAGCTTGTATTTGTGTTCATCCGCCACTTGAGCATGGGCGTGGGATATACCTTTTTATCTTGCATTTTCGGTCCGAAGAGATACCAACTACGTTATTGATTGATTTTGTCTGCTATGAAGCAGCTGTAGCACTGTCACTACTTGCAGATAGCAACAATTGTGCACTATTTGGCGGGCCAGACCCGTATAAAATAGACTTTTATAATTGACTTTTATCACCGATAAAAGACTCACCCGAGCTGATAGGCAGATAGATAACCGTCACATTAACCTAGGTTACTTGCAATTCCAATAGGTGTGCGTTCCAAGCGGGCTGGCTTGGCAACCGTCTCTAAGCGGCCACGCGACGACACCTATCTTCATCTCATCTCACCAGCCATTCGCCCTCGTTCTTCTCCTTTTCCTCCCTCATCTTTTCTGCCGTGTCCTCTTCCCCCAATCATCCTTTTCAGTGCTTCTCAATCGCAAGCAACCATGGCCTTCAGGAACGGGTCCTTCGCGACCTTCCTGATCGTGTGTCGTAAGCACAACCCCCTCCCCCCCCAAATCGCTTCCCAGACCACACTCCTCCCAGAATAACCATTCTAACAAGACTTCAAAAACAGCCGTCAGCTTCTTCCTGGGCATCATCTTCTCCCTCTTCCCCTATGACTACCCCATCCTGTGGTCCACAGCCCCCACACCCCCTGCTCACTACGACTACCTCGAAGCGCACCTGCGCTTCCTCCACGACTCCCCGCCCCTAATCCCTCGCATACTCCACATCGTCATCTTCTTGGGTCTGGCCGGCCTCGTCTCGAAACTCTATCGCCCGTCGGAGAGCAACATGCTCTTCGACGGCGCCTCCCTCGTCCTCTACATGTGCGGCATCACCATCTACATTGCCAACATCGTCAAGGGGCTGCGTCTGGCCTCGGCGGGCAAGTACGGTGAGGAGCTGGCGGCCAGTCCGGAGGAGAAGGAGCAGATCCTTAACCGCGAGGATTCGCTTAAGGTGTTGTCTGCGAGTAATACGATCCTGGCGTTGGTGTTGGTGGGGTGTTGGTGCTGCAGGCGGGCAGTGGTATGCGGAGCGGAAGGATGCGCAGGAGTATGAGTCGTTGAGAAAGGGGCATAAGGAGGGTAGTGGTGCTTCTGCCTCGTCGGCGTCGGGGGCTGCTGCGGCGGCGAAGCCTGGGAGGCAGGGGAGTGTGAAGAAGAAGAGTAACTAGGTTTACGGTTTACTTTTCTGTCTCTCGGGTTCGAGTTGGTATGACTCGGTGTATTGCAGTATGATGTCTATGTAGGGTGGTATGTTGCTTAACCGGAGGGCTGATGGGGCGATGGATGAGGTATGGTATCAAAAGTATGCGGGTCATGGCTATATCTACTTGGGCTAGTTCTATGTACATGATAAAAAGCCAAAAAAAAAAAAAAACCAAGCACCAAAGCCTTGACAATGTTTTCGTGATGATCATATATAAACATTATGGCAATGCAAAAGGGGAATCATACGATGAAGCACCCAGCAGACCTTGGTGGCGCTTGGGCTTGCAGAACGAACGTGAGCATCATGACAAAGTGAGTGAGGATGTGATCATGTCACATCACCGTCTCGGGAGCAAACGAGAACGGACTCCGTGGCAGATCGGGCGACCTGGGACTCAGCGCTTTCGCGAACAGGTCCTCGCCAGAGTCCGCGCTTGATGTGTGCGTAATTGCAGTCATGGATGCAAACCCACTGTTGTGATCGCTGTTGTTTTGTTGTGCTTGGATGGATTCCGGCGGATAGTGCACCACAGTCCGAAGGCTGGTATCTGGCGCAGGAGAGGGATGCAAAGCGGCATTGGACATGGGTTGCATTGTGTGGAAGGAGTTGAACGAAGAGACGGCCACGTCGGGCGACTGAGGAGAAAGGAGATGGCGCGCGTCCGAGGATGCTACTACCCCATTAGTTGGCGTCGAACTGGAGGAACGCGACGAGCCCATACCATCCGCCTTGGGGGACAGCTCCCGCTGACTGGTCTGCAACTTGAGTCCCTTGAGCTTCTCGCCCAGCTTACCTCCGCTGGTGGGGGACACCGGCGTCGCGGGACCCATTGGATATTGGGAATCTTGCATGGCCTGTGTCTGTGCCTCCGACTTGGATCCCACTCCGAAATTGCTCTCGATCCATTCCTTCTCCTGCAGCGCCATGTGCAGCGCGACCCCTTCCGCGTTGTTCATGCATTCCTCCCGAATCTCCTTGTCCAGGACCTGCAGCCGCTTCTTTGCCCAGATCGTATGCAAGACACCCTTCTTCCCAGCCGAGCGACCAGTTGCACCTAACTCTGGAGGAAATATAGCAGGTAGCGGATTCAGCTGAAGCGAATTGGTCTTCTGGGTCGGTGTCGACAAGGCCGAAGATGTAGCGGGAGGTTCGTAGGAGAGCGTCACCACGGGAGGAATGGTGGCATGGGGCGGTAAAAGGAAGTAGAAGCGGCGAGTGTTTTCGCTTGTTCGTTCATCGGCAGGGAGGACCGTCGTCTTGCCCTCCCATGAAACATGCCACGAGCCTCCAGGGCAATTCGAGGAGCGGCCCAGGTCGTCGTCATCCCATTCGATCATGAGAATCTTAGTGCCATCATTTCCTTTCCCAGCCTCGAACTCGAAGCGGGCCAGCGCCGTGATGCTCAAGCTCTGAGATGGCACGCGGGGGTCTCTAGACCAGCGAACTCGCTGTCCGGAGTGAAGGGAGGGGAGAGGGCGCGAGACATGGCTAGACAATACTTTTGTGGGATGGAGATAGCAGGGCGCTAAGCAAAGGGGGGCAGGAGTGCTGGAGACGGAAAATCGTGTTTGCTTATTTTTTTTCGTCCCCTGTCCTTCACAGGATGGATGGCCGGCGCGTAGGGAGAGATCACACAGAGACCGATAGACAGTCAGGCTGAGAAGCTGAAAGGTACGTCTAAAGACAGGAAGTAAAGTGCGAGAGTGCAAAGGACAACAGACAAACCGACGGACAGAGAAAGTGGTCGATCACGGGATGGCGGAGGGGCTGCAGATCCCAGCCTAGTTGATGGCCATGCTTCTTTATCCGTTCGTATTGTCCATTCGAAAGCCTTGATACGATTCGATGGCTAATGTCAAATGGCCCAGATGTCTTCGTACTACGACGTTGATAGGAGTCGTCCGAACGCGAAAGGCCGCATATCTTTTGAGGGGTCTTCTTGGCCGCGCTTCTAAATATAGAATTGTAGCCTGCAAGGCAACAACAACGGCTTGGCGCCTGATGATGTCGTACTACGGCACACATCGCCCCTCGTGCTACTCTTTACGGCTGGTTTGACCTGATCCGGTCTTCTGTGGGTATGCAATGGTATACTTGGGTAGCTCACTTACCTGAATAGCATTGACGAATTTGTCCGCAAATAGTTGTTCGCCAAGGTGTGTATACACATAGTCCGCCGGTGATCGCTGTCGTCGAGCTGGAGATCTAGGCAAGGACGACAAGAGAGATGCAGAACAATCTCGTGCCTGGTCAGATCTGTGCATTTCACGTTCTGCCAGCATAATGAGCATAATTGCATGTCTGAATTGGCTTTATTAAACATTGCCATGGGGAACCAGCGTCTTGTACGGTACAATACCAGACAAAGGCCCTATAGAACAGTTAGAAAGACGAATCAAGCGGAGGAGACAGGGGAATGATCACTATAGAAGTGACAAGATGGTCGTCACGTACAGCAGGGGCATGGATAACTGGCTGTTGCAGATGGATGATGGTGAAGAAATCATCATGCCGGGGAAAGTTATTGACCAATTGAACAACAACCCCTCTCATTAAGCAGGGGACATTCTAATCTGGGTGCCGCTGTCATGGATATCTGGGATCCCAGCTGAGAGGCACCTCGTTTATCTCAGAGCCAGAAGAAGTGGGAGTTTGGTGTACGCAGCATGCTAGAGCTGAAGATGTGCATCAGCATCATGAATGGCGTCCTGAGATAACCGCCTTAACAATTGATATCGACTGTTGAGAGGAAAGCAGGAACTCTTGACGTGACGAGTATGCATAGGGATCAAACGAAATATCTCAAAGGCCATCTATTAATAGAATCAGCGCTACACTCTGACCATTGGGAGAGCAGATACAGAACCCAAGCCTTGAGATCCCAGGAAGACCAGAAGATCCAAGAAGACCAGACAATCTTTCTGTTCTGTGATGGACAGGGGATGTCTTCTATGTGATCCAATAGTTCAAGACAAGGCAAGATCTTCAGGTGAGCTGCTCAGGCGTATCAAGAGGTTTGTATTGATCAACCATGTCGCCTGCCTCGACATGAACACCTGAGACAATTCAACTGTAGCAAGTAACAGCAAAGGTCTGAGATTGAGTACATGAAGAGAGAATCATCATCCAGCATGAACAGTTAAGCATATTCTCAAGTAATATATACACCAACTCATAGCGTTTAAGCCGATATGATATTGTTCTCGCTAAAAATATCACACCCTGTAACTAAGACTGCCTAGCTCCTGCAGGTAGTGTACCAGAATAGTAACAATAACCAGGCCCAAGAATAGGACGTAGTACGTACAGTCAGCAGACAGGATCGACTATCAACCCCTCCCTAGGTCCATCATACACACCCATCTACCTAATGGAGGGAATCCCACAATCGAAACCAAAGCGCTAACCGAATGAACAGACCCATTCCTCGACTAACAGAACAGATGCAATAAGACCTCTACCCCGGTCAAAATTCGTCACAAACTTCAAGCTTAGGCAGTAGTAACAGAGCTGCGAGTCTTTGCTTTTCTTGTCATTCAGTAGTCGCTGTCAGAGCGGTTAGCTGAGGGGTTGTTGACTCTCATGATCTTGATCCGGGCAGATGATTCGTTTCGAGTCCTTCAGATCACGGCGCCAAAACCGCCGCATTGTGTGATATCATGCATAGCGCATATACTTTTCCACCACCTTGGAGTCTGATTCTGCTAGAATTCTCGGTCAAATATGGAGTATGGACTGTCTTCTGCGTGATCTGCTTCATTCAAGCACAGTCGAGACTCAAGATTCAGGCAACAATCAAAAACACACAAACCTCGACAAAGAAGGCTTGCAACCAGGAAAGTCCCCGGTAGATGTAGCTGTATCCAAGAATAGCATTCCTGGCGCTTACCTGGCCTTCCCTATGGAATACTACAGAAACGATGGAGCATCCAAAGGCAGAACCACCAGACCCGCACGTCATCCCGGTTTCTCCACACAGATGGTGTATCTTTGACAATTGAACCATTCATATTAGAGATCAGTCCCCAAACATCCAGCGGGGAGCCACCGGAAGGATCCACTACAATCCATTTGGGCATAGCGCCGGCGCTTAATTGCATCTGCCACGATGCCCCAGTGCTTTGGAACAATATTGCTCGGCTCGCTCATTGGCTCGTCGCTGCCACCGATGCAGGGTGATAAAACACCTGGTGATGTAAAACATGGTGGGTTACAGGGAGAGTTCGAGGAAGTCGCTGGTATGGGGGTGGGAAGTAATATGAGGGGCATGAGGCGAGTGACAGAGAAAGTGTGCTACGAAACTCAAACTGTACTGGAGTATGAAATATGGTTGTAGAACTGTTGGCGGGTTTGTGTATTAAGCAATACGGGCATCTTCGCTTTCTGGATTAGTGTAGTGGCTTTACCAAACCTGCGGGACTGTCACATCTACTATCAACTCATGAAGTCAAAGGCATTCCGGTGTAGATTGACCGAGGGGCAACGATCAGATTGAATCGGCTTGTCCGGACGGTAAGCCTGCATTCGTCACGATGAGTTGAAACTTCCAGCGCGTCTTGTCTTCCAATGAGAGCCAATAGCTCATTGTCAGTGTGGTCACAGTCTGCTTGACGATGTGATATTGCCAGACAAACCACACCACAACGAAACTCGCACTAATCCTTTTTTGCGGGCCCGGACAAGGATCGTAGAAGATACTCTGAATGAAACCATCTACTAGTCTAGTTTCCAAGCGTCAACTATTGAAATGAAAAGGGGCGCGAGGTCAATCAATGTGATCGCCTGGTGTGTCGTATGTATCCAGTTCGTAACGGTGTCGTAATACACCATCTCAATTTCATACTGTATTTCCAACGTCAACAGCAACGACGCCCCAGTGGCCCACCAGGTTGATCGCAACTCTTTTTCGCTTCCAACACCACGCAGCCGCAACTAGTCGACGGTTCGAACGCACTGATCCCTTGGGCTGCTATGCCGTACACTAAAGGGAGAGTGAGCGCCTTGCTACCAACTTGATTGCTGCGACAGACCTCAAGAACAAGCATGGGTATCCGATCTAAGTGTAGCGGGCATCAGAAGCATCCTCGATTCACCATTGAGATTGTGTCTAGCCTGTTGGGCATACAGGCCCTGACTCAGGCATCTCCCGCGTGGCAGCGCGTCTGTTTGACCGCCGTCTTCTCTTTGCGCCGGGAAGCAGTCCGGGAGCCTCAACCCAGAGCAGGTGCGACTGGTACATCCAATCACCGCTGCTACCATGCCGTTGGGACGTTGGTCGCGACGTTCCGTGCGCTGTTGTTCTTTGTTTGACCTGTCCCTCCGAGGGATTTGCCATGCCAGTGATATTCACCGAAACCAGTAATGAGCCTCAACACTGTTGGTTCATATTGACTTCCCCAAAACCAACATTGCTGTCGCTTGGACTGACACGTGGAACGACTTGGATGCGATGACGCAGAATGGGAGAATGCGATAGGCTTCGTTGAGCCAAAATAACCCGAGATGTGGTCTTGTTCTGGATCAGGCTGGTGGCCCGTTCATTTTCTTGTAGGACTGAGCTGCCATGATCTCAATGCCGGCTCCGGGATTTGAACTAGAGTTCATTCCTTAAGCGGTGGACACCAGATGTTGGAAACGTGCTTCTTTGTGATGACTTTCAATGTATCCGGCGAATCGGAACGTTCCCAAATGAGAGTTGAGTTGAGTCATGCGCGGTCAGTTGATTGTTAGAGTTTCCAAAGACTGGTACCGTAAAGAAGCCATATTGGGCGAAGCTTAGTATTCACCAATGTTAATACGCCGTTGTGCTGCGCAACAGCGCAACAGCTGACAGGCGTGGTATTGGATCAGACTTCACAAGGTAGAGTCGAACTGCCTGTAGGACTGCAGAACAATATTGTACCCAGGCTAGGAAAATGACGGAATAGACCGTAAGATTGAGCTCAGCTCCCAGGGCATAACTGACGTATCTTGAATTACTATGTATGCAAAAGTGAATGAAGCCCACACCATGTCAATTAAAAATGAACGTGATGGATCTGCGGCGTACGAATTCGGATGCTATTTGTTTCGCCAGACTCCCCAACACCAAGCCCTGCGCTAATTGACCCGACCATATCCTAAACAAAACTGACAGACCGAAAGCCGTGTATAACAAAGACCCTAAGTCTCCTTGTCTTCTTGGCACTTCCTTCGCTTGCCTTTGGGCGGAGCCTCGAGCTGCGTCCTCTTGTAGGTCACCGTTCGAGTCACAACGTGTCTCACACTAACTCGACCGCTTGCACTCCGCGGCGCCTCAAAATAGCGCAGCTTCCAATCTGACGGAGAAAACGGCGAGCGAATTGTAGTCGCACTCTGAGGAGACTCTGTTGTCGGTGAATACCGCAATGTCTGTGGTATCCGCAAGCGCCGCAAGGACGTAGGGTCTTTTCTAGGCTGAGATGCCGGTGCTGTGAAGGGAGTGGGCGGTGGAAGTGAAGCGGTAGCAGATCGGACGGGGTCATTGAAGACGAAAGAGCCGCTGACCGCACTGGTAGGCTGTGATGTCGGAGAGTGGGCAGGTCTGTCGAAAGGGAACTTTGGGAAGCTCACTCCAGCGCTGGTAGGGCTGGAGAATACGGGCGTAAACGCCTTGAGGAACTCTGTATAAGCCGCAGGAGGCGTGATGGGTGTGGAAATGCCGTCCTCTTGCTTCACTCCGTCCGATAGACTCGACGAGGATCCATTGTGAAGCTCGGAAGGGAACTTTGTAGTAGTTTTGGGCGTCTTTAACGGATGCAGAATTGGTTTTGCGGAAGGCATCCTGAATTTCACCCAGAGGAAACGAACTGAACGGTAGCCTTCTCAGAACAGTCGTCAACACCGTCGACCGAAGATGCCAGTCTGCGACGGTTGAGATGTTGTGCGTGGCAGTAGATATACAAGATGATATAGACGGCGCTTAGGACTGGACGGTACAAAACGCCAGGAGGCTTTGTGGTAGCAATGGCTACAAGAGGTCTGATAGAAAAAAGAAAGGAAAATAAAAGAGAGAGTCAAGATATGAGCAGCTCTTAGGAAGGCAATGCGCTCCTTTTGATCCCTGACTGCCCGCAACGATAGAGATAGAAGGACGTGGAGTGAGATTTATCTGCAGCCTGGAAACCTAGGCACTCGCATGCCCTGTAAAATACGTCGTAATGTTGCGCGAAACCGTAACAGTACGATACAGATACAGCCTTCTGTAAAGTTTCCTGTCAGCTATCACACGCTAAACCCAATCCAGCATTCTCAGCCCGAAGTGAGCGGCTGCACTGCTGGACAACACAACACCGCCCCTGCAAATCAGAAGACAATGCTGGGATTGGAAAGTTCTCACTCACTTGTTTGCAGGAGGCAGTGGCGATCTTTCCGAGGAGAGGTCTTCAGACCAAAGTGTGAACGTTTCAATGAGGAGAATGAGGATGAAGAAAGAGGGGTTCTTTTCACGAGCTGGCAATCGAGCTTCAAGCACCTTCTCGTGGACAATTAGAAGACAACGACCATCGTGAGACCAGTAAACGATCCTACTGCTCTTATATATTCCTCTTGTTGTAATGTTTACGCCATGGGCATCTGTTGTTCAACCCTTCCCAGCGGAACGAATCCTCCGCATTGTCGCGCGCTACCAGAATCAATCCTCTAAAACCTCCTCGCGCTGTCCACCCCCTGCGAACATAAGCATACTACTAACCTAGAGACGCTTAACTCATCTACTCAAAAAGCCACTTTGGGTTTGCCCTCCTATTGCCATCCCTGGTTCGCTCGGCGTCAACGCACGCAGGGTCTGCTGGCGGCTCGCCCACGGAGATTGCCCCTCCTTGAATCAGCAAAGTCGCTTAGTTAACTCACATTTGGCTAACAGGCCGGCTTGAAACCCCGAGTTGGATCCTTCTTTCCCATCGTCTTCTCTCCGATGATTCCGTAGCTAGCAGTCTGCTCCGGGACTTGCGACCCTTGTCGTTCTACCCCTACGCAGGAGGATAAAAGCGGCTGCAAGTATGGCTGGCGCTTCCGAGATTCTTCAACAACCCCTCATTCTCATAAGCATGCAGAATTGAAGACAGCTTCGCTCGTTGCCATGGAGAAGTCTGCAAAAGACGCCCGTTTGCGACGAATCGTCGTCGGTTCTTCTGCGCTGATACGTCTTGGCGGACTGACGAGGGTCTCGCACTAATTCTTGCAGAATCGCATCGATTCGACAGCCTGCTTCTGACATCCTGGTCCTCTTCATCTCCCGGCTGATACTGCAGACTGGACGTTGACGCTTGAGTATTAGGTCTCCGCGTTGCGACGACATGGTTGGGTCACGGTTGATGGTCTCGTCTACGCCCACTGCAGTCACTATAGTTACAGATGTGGACGAACAAGCCCTGAAGAAGACAATCTTCCTGCGATGAATCTTGAACATGATAGGCATCAAGCCAGCCCGCTTGGGAACGCACCCAAGTAACCTAGGTTAATTCGACGCGGTTATCTACCTGCCTGTTTATCTAGTTCGGCTCTTCATGTATCATGAGCTTCTCAAAAGCAGCTTCCTCCCTTCGAGGATCGAATCTCTTTTGCTCACTAATCAGTTTTGGGGTACTAGCTAGGCTAGGAATTATAGTCTGAGCATGTCAGTCAGGGTAATTAGAGAAAAGAATAATAAGGTAGACTCCTACGAACTTGCAGTTGGTGATACTCGTAGTGTTGGTGTCCTATTCTTTAGCTCCCGCATGTCCAGTGTGAAAGTACTCAACCAGATCCAGTCATCTGCAATAATGCTGTCTTTAATCGTCGGGTACGTTTATCATCGGGATTTCGTATCCATACAGGTAACATTTCCTTTCTTGGTCAGTCTGGGGGCAAAGCCAAATGACTCGGTAACTGCTCTCACCAACTCCAGAGATAAGTTCAGTGAAATAGACCAACTGGTGCTTTCTAGCACCCGGGGCCATATCAGGACTGAATCGGACAACTGACCACACTGTCCTTCAAATCTGAGGCTCTCAGCTGGACGGACCAGGAAATCATTGGAGGTCTTAATCCGAAGGCAACAGGTAAACCTGGAGCTTACATTATCGAGCTTTGAAGTGTGGAGGTACTACAGCGGTGCAAGGACGCGGTGGGAAAGCTCCTGAGTAGTCAAAATGCAGTGGATATCAGCCCGGATCTTTGCACGCAGACCTGTCCTTGTTGCCGCAGTCAGTTCAAAAGCCATTCAAGCAAAGGTCGAATGGATGGAGGCGTCAGTCACGGTGAAGAAATCGAATACCCTTCCATGACGGGACAGCGTACAATTAAAACAGGTCGCTCGAAAGGAAAACTCATGAACTCTTTGGGTATCTCTTAGCGTTAATCGATCGCTATCAACCAAGAGGCCCAATCTGTTATGCCAAAACAGAATGCTAAGATCATGGGAAAAGTCGCTGCTCCTTTATATTAACCAAGACTTTACCGATGGCCAGAAAACCTCGAGGTGATTGTCTTCCAAACCGGTTCCCCAGAATAAATGATGCGCAACATGTTCACAACGGAAGCGCAGACAATAAGGATAATGGCAACAAGTTTCTTATTGAACAGCAAACCCAACGTACGAAAGGTAGCTACCTATATGTAGGTGGAAATCGGCGTTCTATATCATGATGCGTTTTAATCCTAATTTGTGTGCCTAAAGAGAAGACTTCGAATCAAGTCGAAAACCATATCAACAGCAACGGATTCTTTTCTGATAAGTTGGATAACAACAGAGTGAAACCTCTGCCTGGCAAGGTTGTCGAAGAAAAGGATGCGATGCAGGGTCTCCAGTATGATGACACTGACAGCAACGCTGTGAGGCAAGCAAGCATCAGATTTAGACTGGGATTCGGTCAATTTTGGCATCTCGCAGACACCTTTCGCAAGAAAATACAAGATCTTTTTGATCTCAAAACACTGAATTCAGAAACCGACGCAACTTGGCTAAGAGGGTCCCGGTTCTTCCTCGAGACCCCAGCGCAAGCAAGCGAAAGAGCTTCCGAGACTTTTATGTCGAGCGCCGTCCAGAAGAGGCGCATAGTGATGAGCTTCAAAAGATCAGAGGTCGCCTCTTAGCTGTTCATCCGGCTAATACAAAAGATATTGTGTAGCTCGTGATTGTATCAACTTAAGGCATGCATGATTGTAATGTTTATCAAAAATGGTTGGAAGGGCTGCGAGTCTACAGTATTGGGAACCATTTGTTACTCTACTCTGTAGTGACATGATACGGTCTTTAAGGGTGGCGACTTCACGCTGTATTCTTGAACCTTCTGGCTATGTATTATACACTGCTTGTAGAACACAAGCATTGCAGCTGAGGGAGGCAGGTGCGGATGGTGACATTTGAGCTTTCTCCAAACTGCTCTTTCCATAACTATTTATCCCAGAGGTCAATAACATCCGTTTCTGAAGTTTTCTAACCTTTTTACCATCACCATCACCATCACCATCACCATCACCATCACCATCACCATCACCATCACCATCATCATCATCATCCTCATCATCATCCTCATCACCATCACCATCACCAACAACGCCACCAAAGCTCGTGGAAGAACATACAGTCTTCGCACAACTACTACTACTATACCATGCCTTGGGAGGGGGCCCAGAACACCGTGGTGGTCTGCCAGCTGGCGTTTTTTGCGGTCGTCGGCCTGCACTTCGGGTACAAGGGGGGAGGGGCAGCGAAGAGGGCCTGGGCAGCTGAGCGGGGCACCAAGATGGAGCGACTGAGGTCCGCGGCGTGGACGTTCGTCCGGACAGTCGCCATCCTCGAAGAGGCCCGGGAGGGGTGAGAGACTTGGAGACGGCGCAGGGGCAGGGCAAGGTGGGGGAGATGGGGCGGGGTCAGGGGCATCGGGAGCAGCGGAGGCATCGGGAGGTGAGGAGGGGAGGTAGACGGGGTTGTTAGAGGAAGGGAAGGGGGGTCGGGGTCGGACCAGTCCACCGGTGCTTGGGGCGGCACCGGTGCCTCGACTGGGGGGCCCACAGCAGCGTCGAGTTCACACTTCTGCGCAGTGCTGCTGACTAGTACCTGTTCTCTCGGGAACAGGGAAGCCAAGATGAACTCACAAACAACAAGCATCGATTCAACTTCATGGATAAAGCAATCACTGGAACCGCCACATACAACAGACACATGAATTGCTTCTCAACCGGACCCGGTTTTTCTCGCTGCAGAACAGTCACCGAAATGGAGAATGCGAGCTTCGACTCCTCTGAACATACGACGTTCTGCTGTGGCTCTATTGAGCTGCCATTCGAATTTCCCACCTGAACTGTGGATTCAACTGAAACGAGTTGCCGCCAGTTTCTACCCTTGCAAAGCTGTTTGAGGAATCATCAGCCTTTGTTCGAACTCTGAGAATAGAACAACCGTCCATGCCTTCACGAACCCGTGGACAAATCAATCGAGCCCTTGCCACCATCCAAGTCAGGAACCTCCAGGTGCTGTTGAAGAAATCAAATCTGCTATGGAGCTTTGGCGATACCTCACCGTTCGACCACCACAATCCGTACACCTAGGATGTCATTGACCCAGACCGGCGGTCCCTACTTTTCGGACTGCGATGTTGGCGCCCCAAAAGCATGCGCCGTTCCTGTCGTGGTTGACGGGGGTGGTTTAACTTCGTTGGACAGGTGGGAACTATCCTAGTTATGGCCTGTAACCGATGATAGCCGGGTAGCAGTTCGCAGTTACCACATGCATCAGTGTCGGCTGGGCAAGCCTCATCGCCACCTCCACTTCGATCGAATCATCCACCTCCGGTTTCTCGTCGACCGCAGGCCATAGATCCTCCCATTCTCTTCTCAGCACTCGACTCTCTCCACTCAAATTTCAGTGAATTACTTGTTCACTGGCGGATGATCTCATCACCACTCAAAGTCCATCGCATCCCATCATCCCCATCCAGCATTTATGGCTTTAACAGCATCGAAATCGTCTCCCCCGATGCCTAGCTCCCAAGACTTCTCTATCTTTTGCGACCGATATCTTCCCACGGTCCTCCTACACCATGTTATTGGTCTCACTGCCATCCAGTATTATGTTATTCGCGAAGACTGTGCTCCTAATGGACTGCTTCGTACCATCTCAACTTTTGCGTCATGCTTGCTATGGACTGGCATAAAAAGCGATCCCTTGATAGGCGGCCCCCCGTCAAGGTGTGTCAGGCTATACTCATCGCGCCACTCGTCGCGCTAGCATGTCTGAATCTTCTGAGTATTCTGAGCCTTCTGCGGGATTTTATGCTCCGATCCTCCTCAGCCACGGTCTTATCAACACCTTCGGCGTGTAAGTCTTGTGACATCTGAATCATACGTCGATTATCTTGCATAGTCGGGGTGATCAGTCCGATATATTTCCGAAGCGAAGCCACTGTCCAATATATCGATACGTCTTGTTCCCTTCATAGTGAAATGGGGATTCTTCTGCATTGAGCCTCTCTGGCAATGCAACCTACTCAACACGATGATGGGGTATTGGAAAACATGTAACCACAATTATGTACCTAAGCAGAATTAGGTATTGTTTGTTTTGTTTTCAAGACAGGAAAGTCGATCATCCTATTTGATAAAATGTGTCGATGGTTGAACCCGCCGGTTGATTGCTCGTAGAATACTAGGTATGAGTTATAACGCATGTCGTTGCCAATAAGAAGTAGGAAGCTGCGGGAGGCTTCTTGGCACGCAGGTGATCCGTGCACTGCGAGACCTCCGAGGCTCCGACACGGCGGCAACACCCTTGAATAACGCACTGAGAACGTTCGAAGGCTGGACTTAAGAACTAGAAGACATACATACTAATACAAGAATAAGGTAAGGAAGTTTATGACTATGAAGCTTGATCAAAGTATCTAGATGATGGGAGCCATTTATGCCTCAGCTCACCCATAGTAAATGCTATGGCTATTCTCGTATAACTGTCTAAAAAAGTGGGTATCTATGGCTTCCTGAGGCTATCTAAATGTTGTTTGGATTACTCAAGTAGTTTCCTAAGGCCTCGGGCTGATTCTGTGAAACTTGAGATACCCAGCACTCCTTAAGGTTTTCCTAGGAAAACTGTTTTTCTGGAAAGTTTTCTACTTGAAAAACCTCCTAATACCTACGTAACCAGACACTGAGCAGATCATGATATATTACGTCCAGAGCTGGTAATATAGCTGATGACCATGGAACGGAATGGGTTTAGGTACTTAAGGTCAGCGCACCTCACATTGCGTTGACCAGTTCTCAACCTGTTCTTGTTACTCTGCTTACCCTGCAAAATGCCTCTGATCAGTTACAAGAGACAGCACTTCAAAACATTAATGGAGATTGCCAATGCAGTACAAGTGGACACAGTACGAACCCTTAATGCACAAAGTCCGGCATCTCTCTACTGTCTCCCTGTTGAGCTGATCTGCCACATCTGTCAATATCTTCCTATCGCTGAGACCTTTTGTCTGATGATAAGCTGTGCTCGCTTCTGGTATGCAAGAACCGGTATTCAAGCTTTTGTCCGTGTGCAGCAGAAGTTGGATGCAACAGCCTGCAATAGCTGGTGGGTTATCGAAGCACGTTTCCATATCCTCCGCCTGATGGAATTTGATAAACTTTATGGGAAAGGCATCACGTCTTTTTGTTGCTGGGCGTGTATGAGTACTCACCCGAAAGCATGGTTTCGCACCCCGCAATTGCGAACACCTGTCAATTTAAAGTTCTCAATTGAAGAGCAGAGGGTAAACTGCTCAGCTGCTGTTACCCGCATCTGCAGAGCTCTACACAGGAGTACCTGGGTTGGCATGTGCCATGAAATGACATGTGTCGAGCTCCGGAACCTAGTGCGTGTAAGGGAGACTTGCAAAGAGAAAGTTGGCTCATCTGTTACGCTCTCTGCTGGCGGCTGCTTTTCAGAGCATGTGGAGTTCAATCTAAACACCATGCATATCTTATCCCGGTTCTACCTTGGCAGACTCTCAGATCTTGGTCTGGTCGGTTTTGATCGTCTATGTCGGAATGCAAGGCTTCCAATATGTCCACACAAGAGAATTGATGTGCTTGCAAAGTATTTCCTCCGATATATGAATCCAGGTGATGTCCGCCGTTGCCTTCACTGTGGGGCAGAATTCTATCTCACAATCACCTCTGATGATCTGATTGAGCTCCATATCTCTCGCCATGTTGGCAACGTTACAGCAGGGTACTCTCCCAAATGGCGTGCAGCATCATATGCATCTGTCAACCCTGCCTTCCTTGATCATTGCCGGGCATTTGCGGATTGGTTGCATAGCATGTATAATCCAGAAACCGGTGCTGTGTATAACGGAGGCCAATTTGAGATATTCGCGCCCGCTCGAAAACCAAGGTGCAGATTCCATTGGACTGAATCATGGCCATGATGAATACAACAGAGGATGCAGGGACTGGTCTGGATGACGACAGGTGAGCTGAGCTGATACTCAACATAGGGATCAGAAGATTCTTTGGTTTTTAACCGTATTGGTATTTGCTGTTCTTCATTTTCGACTCTGTACAAGGCCTGGCCTCAAAACAAGGAATCGTCAAGGCAAGCTAGCGAGAAAACAATAGTTCTGAATATTAACTTGGCTGAGCAAGATCAAATAGCCAGCCTGCCTACCATTGACCTCGTAACCTCGTTCTTCTAGCCTGGGGAATTTGTTGAGTGCACTCAAACGCACTGAGCTAAAAGGTGTCAAGAGTCGACTCAAGACAGCCATTTCTAGATGGTGGAAATGATAGTGCAGCAGATGTTCACCAGAATTCTGGGCCACTTCTCTATTATTTAGCTTATCTTGGTTCGTTGGGGTAAATAAGCACCAGGTGTTCTAGATCATTCAAGTTACTCTATGAGATGAACAGATGCTCTACCTTTTGAGTGACAACCATATTCCTATCAATCTGATAGATAGCGTCTGACAGACGAAGGCGTAAACTGCAGTGGTCTTTTGAGTATGGGAAGTGGTCGGGGATATAGTGGCATTGCATACAACATAACATCAATCAATCATAAAGCAAAGCAGCAAAAACAGAATCATATCTCCACTGGATATCATTCACAAAGCAGAAAATCAACAACACCAATGACTCCACAACCATGTCCATTTGAGTGGAAATGACTGCATGTGAGTTTGCGCCTTGAGAATTACCCCCGCAAGTCCTTTGCCAGCCTCGCCAGAAAAATGTGCTTGCCATGTCCTCACTGTCCTGCAGGATATAACTCGACAGCACCAGGAAAGAGTGGAATAGGAGACTCTGTCGTGCCCGAATGGAACACGGACTGTTGTTTCGGATTTTGTCAGATTCGTGAGCACGACCGGCTGCCCGAGTGGAACGTCGATGTCGGAGTCAACGTATCGCGCGTGGTCCGCAGAATCTCCAAGTTGGTAGCCAAGTGGCACGAGTCCCGTCAAGGGATTTTCGGCCGTCATGAGACTCAATCTCGTGTGAGAACGGAAAAGAAACGCAAGGAAACACACATCTTCCAATTCAAATCAGCAGATAGTGCCAGCCATTCCGCTGCATCACGTCCCGCCAGTGGACCTGTTGTTTCTTGATCTCTCTCATGCCCGACCCTGTACCGTTGCTCTCTGGAGATGCGGACCTCTCGATCTTGGGCACGGGACTGCCCGACGATGCTGAAGATGACGACGTTTCCTCTGGCGTGTAGTGGCTGTCCGTCGGGTCGTCGGTAAGTCGCCAGACCTCCTGCAGTAATCGATACATGCGCCCGAAGCTGCCCAGGTCGGCGTGATCGCCTAGCAGTGAGGCGCGCTCGGCCAACACGGCCCGGAAATGGCTCGTCGGCGCAGAGAAGGCACCCGTGATCAACAGGGGCCAGACGAGGGACCGGTCAAAACCATTGGGGCCGGAGGGAATATAGTCCAAGGTGTTTGCGACTGCTGCCACCAGATTGAGGTTACTTGGCTGGTTGCGGTCAAAGCCGGGGACTAGGCTGCAGAGATAGATTCTGGCCGCAATGCGGAAGACCGTCGTCATGTTCTTCGTCAGAACCTCCGGGCGAATGGCTCCTGTAGCGGGTGAGAACGGGTGCTCCAGGGTTTGATCCACCGGTTCGGTAAACTCCAGTTGTCGTCCGAGAGCGGACACATGCGAACACACGGCCATTGCGTCTACGCGGCCTTCGGTCTTCAACGCGTCCAGACAGGTGATCTCCGAGATGAGGTACATGACACGGTCGTCGCAGCCCATGAGCTCCCTCAGACCTGATGACGAGCCGCTAAGGTGCTTAGCACGATAGGTGTGGGCGAATTGGGGTGTCCTCCCTTGCATAGTGGAACCCAGGATGTCGATCCACGATGTTAGTGTCATGCTGAAAGGAGGCAGTAAGTACGGGTTTCCATCAGGGACTGCCGTCGGGAGACCGAGCCTGTTGACCAGATTCGACGCGGCTTGAAAGTGGTCGAACCAAGGGATGTCGGGAAGATAGTCGTCCGCGGGACCGACGGAACAGTGGAAGAAGATCATAGCAAGGGTGGCATCCAGGATCTCTTCATGGTTGACGTCCTCACCGAGAGCCTGACATAGTTGAGAGACAGCCTCAAACCGGTGGCGCATGATATCATGATCAATCTGTTCTCCGACGAATCCTTCGGTGGTCTTGAGGTGGATGGCGGCAACGCTGAGACAGCAGTGAAGGTAGCACTTGTTGGTCTCCAATGCCTGCAGGATTGCCTGGGCCCGCGTGTGGCCCCGTTGATGCGCCTCTAGAACCGGAAAGATGATGCGCAAGACATTGTGGATAAAGTGGTCGAGTAGCGGACGATCATGGTCACTGACCGGAATATTTGACTGCAATGTAGTATATGTCTGCCCAATACTCTGCTCACAAATCGCCGGGTCAATACCTGATAGATTCGGTGCTTGAGAGAAATATTCATCTTGTAACCACTCCTCGCCGGGGAATGTGGGAAGGGGCGCGCTTAACTGCGGAGCGGTAAAGGTGCTAAAGGTTGAGATCGAGGAATCATGGCGCAAGGGGACATCATTGATAAAAGTCTGTCGTTCTGTCTTGACATCAATCTCGTATGGAGCGTAAGGTGCATACATCGTCTGGTTCAGACCGGGCGTCGGCAGATGTGATGAAAAGAGGTCGTATGTCTCGGTGTAACCCGGGCGATTGAATTCGAATACGGGTGACAGCGGCGATGTAGCAGCCATATTGCGACTGCGAGCTAATGGGTCTATCGTAGCCCTACTGTTAGAGCAAAGACAAGTAAGGTGAGTGAAGGGTGCAGTAGTCCTACCAGTCGCGGACCCATTGCGCTCATTCATCTTCGTCTGCTTGATCTTATTCTTGATACGCTCCTTTTGAATCCTTCGCTGTTCGGCATTCCCCCACCAGATCGGACGCTTATATTCACATTTCACGCAGAGATTGCTGCAAGCACCGCAGGCTGGGTGCTTTTCATCACACTTCTTCCTGCGCAGTCGACATGTGAAACAGCCTAGACTAGTTAATAAGACGATTCGACCAGATATAAACTGGAAGGATGATGCCAATGGAGTAACCAACCAGATCGAGAGCGCTTGTGCAGCTTGGGGGTCTTCTCCGGTGTTCCTACGGACACTTCTTCACCGGGCGAGGGCGATTGGGTGGAATCAACCCTCTTGACGGCGTTCGAGGCCGAGGACTTCTTCCTTGAAGCAACAGGCATTATGCTAGCAGAGTTGTAGAAACACGTCTCTATCGGTATCGGTTCAAGTCGTCTGATGCGGGTGAATGACGACGGGAATGACAGGACACAGGTCGCCTGGAGCTGTTGCTTGTCACACCGAGTATTAAGTTGCAAAGCTGAACCAGCAGCCTTTGCTATATCTATATTAGAGATAAGAAAAGAAAGGCGCGGCTATGCAAAGGACAAGGCGATGGTATAACTCTGACAAGGCAATAAGTAAACATCGGCGGTGACTCTGTGGGATTGATGAACCTTTAAAAGCAAGGTTCACACCCGACAGGCACGCCATGATGTTTCTATTTTGGAACCAGATAGCCGAGAGAGAGAACGGACTTGCAGTGGTGAACGCCTCGAGCGGGGGATGGCAGGGGAGATCATCTCAGGCGTAGTACACTAGCAGGGGTATAAGCAAAACTAGCGGCAGAATTCCCTGCGCTGCTAGTAAAGAGTTGGTCTGCGAAGTTAGCCGGAGCTAATTTTGGATAATTGTGATCATTCTGGACATTTGCTGCCTCCAAATTGGCGCCCATGCACTGGATGATGCGGAGATGATTGGACTCTTCGTCCATGGCTGGGAAATTGATTGGATTTAGACTCTTCTCGAGGTCTGTGCCCAACAAATCCATGCTGATATTGAGGGAAATTGGTGCAACCAATATGCATGTTAATGTGATCGTTTGTCTTGATTCTTTGTTCATGATACAATATCATTTTTGCATGAGAGACAACTTCGTATAGCGAAGGATGGCAGAATCAAAGCAGACTGTATGCCGACATTCTACTGTAGGCTCCTCCTGGTTGACACCAGCAACCGGGAAGTACTTCGCTAGCTATGACCAGCAAAAAGCAGAGTTGCCTATCATCATGTAGAGAGGTATGACAAATTGCTCGTGACCATGCCGATAATAAAACTCTATAGCCAATGAGAGTCATAGCTCATCTCTTCTCGAGAACTGGAATTAGGTCTAATTTTCAGTTGCTTACCGGTATTGGAAAGTGTATAACGGATCATGGCCATTCATCCTCGCGGCGTAGCATGAAAAAGGAGACCAACCCATATTGAGTGCAATCACAGCATCCAGTGACTTCTTCCTGAATCCTGAGTACCTCCAGAGTTCAGAGGGGAAAGGCAGAGAGAGTTGGCAGAGCCAACAGTCCAAATTGATAAGCACCAATCGATGTCTCTTGGACAAGAAAGCCTAGAGCACTAACAATGCACCATGAGACCAGGATGATTGCCTAGTCCCACCAATCAGATACTCAACCGAGCGGACGAAATCAACAGGAAGTCGGAAACACAGAATGACCAGAAAGGCTTTGCGGGGCTAACCTTAGCGGGATGAGCCAAGCTTCCTTGTACAACAGGTGATTGGCTAGAGGCCTCTATATTGGTGGACGCCATAGAGGGTTCAGCAGGATCGTGTTGTGCAGAGCGGGAAACCCGCAGCCAACCGTGCTGGGTGGATCGGGTCAGTGCTACCCCAACAGACTTTGGCCAAGAGGATTAATTTGTGATGAATCTGATGGTCGACATGTTGGCTCCTTGGGTTTAGACTGCAGTACACATCTAAAGTTGCCTTAATTAGCAACATTTAACCGCCAAGTAGAAAGCCAAATGCCTGTTAATCTGTCAGCCATTTGCGAATTTGTCCCAGATCAAGCTACCTTCCCAGAGTTTACTATTAATAATCTTCTGCTCTGGTCCTTGTTAATCACAGTAATTAGTCGGAATTTCCTACACCTCATGATCTTAGTTGGGAATGATAGTTGGCTAATCCCTGTCTCTCCACTGTGCACATCTGTCAGGCAAGGAACTTTAGCTTTGGCTGGTCTGCGCACTAGATCCCGAGTCACACCGTCACTCTTCGAGTCTTCGGGGTACTCCACAAACAATGCGCTTGTTTGTCAGAGCACGGTGTATGTGTGTCAACCACTCTTCCCACTTCAACATCCTCATCGCTTGAAATTAGGTACTCTTAGTATTCGGTGTATTCCATTATCTTGCTTCTCCTTTTCTCCGCCTCCAGGAAGTCAAGTTAGTCAAGATTCGAATATCATCCTTCTCACTGGACCTCCCTCGTCACCTGCCCGCAGAGTTTCTTATCACCTTCCTGCAGCTGCAGATCCAATTGGACTGATTTGGTGCAATAATTATCGGCGATATTCAGTGATTAGGCCAATCGTAGATCGGAGTGGCCGATCACAGTCCTGCAGGATTCCCTGTCAGAAGCACATGCCAAGTTGTGACAAATGCCTTAGAAAGTTACATCTGGGAAATGCACTACCTACCTATGCCGCTATAGCCCGCCAAAAAGGACTGCCGTCTTATCTCTGGTACTACGAACGATCGTCGCGGCTTGCCCCGTCTAACACAAATCAATATGACAGTATCTTATTCATGAGCATTTGGCTGCCTTCGCAACCAGCTGTTAACCCAACGTAGTTGAGTCCAACAACGGGTTTACTAATCGAAGAGGTGACAAAGTGACAATATCACCTCGATGGAACATCAGCACTAACCACTCTCGGCTGCTTAGGTTTTGAAGGCTGGGAGTAGACGCTTAGTTACTCTTGGCCTGCTCCTTCCCCGTGTTGAAATCGGAGCCCATGTTCTCTTCTCAATGCAGCTAATTAATCAGGCTCCCCGTTATTTATAGCCAGATTATAGCTGGATGAGGAATTTACTGCTCAACCCTTCCTTCTTCCGATTCTGGTATGCACGCTCAGATTGTTCCCCTCATTGTGGGCGAATACCACCTGGTGATGTACGCAACCGATATCAAATGAATTCTTCCAGTCCTGGGTTCAATGCAGAGGATAGAGCCAAAGTTCTCATCTCCTTCACTTGTCTTCCAAATGGTCTAAGAAGCACAATGTGTACTCTTTTTGCATTGAAAGTGTCGCAGCGTACAAAACATCTTGAGATATCTCTGTATATACTTTCATATTCTTACCTCCTGAGTCAACGTATTTTGCATCATAATCACCACCATACACTAGAGAACGATCATAGCTCGAAACCTTAAGCGGCATGAACTCATGCTACGGTTACGACCTTGCATTGATAGTCTGCCATGTGCTCTCAACGTCCTTCGCCATCCACTATACTCTTAGAGGACCCTTCTAGAAATTTGGATCTTCGTCTTTGCCTTCATCGCTAAGCGCCAGATGTAAACTTAGCGCTCGCTCGTTGATCTCGTTTTAGGCCACGAGCAATTCCCCACGAATCCTTAAGCGCCCACAATATCTGTGAGTTTCAGCCGCGACTTAACCAAAATAGAAGTAAATACTGCTTTTCTTGTCTCAAGAGCCGAGACTCACATTTGAGTCATTGGCCATGCATCCCTATCGCTGGAGCATGATCTAGCCTGGGTGTATGCAATGACGTGGTACTAAACATATCTCAAGGCAGACTTGCCTCAGCCTGCTATCATGTTGTATCGGGATGGGGAAGATCAGATTAGTGTCAAGTGCGGTTGCGTGCCAATCATCTCAGGCACTTTCTCGACTCAGTCATACGTTAATTGCCCTGGGCTTTGGTATGAAGCCCTTTTGTTCTTTTCCAATTCTGCACGAAGGTGACATGGGGGAGTCGAGGACAAAGAGACCTTCAGGCCCAATCACACGTATTGTCGAAGAGTAAGAGTCTCCATAGATACTAGAGGCATTGTCCTGTCAGTGCTTAAGCTTTTGGCATTCCTGGCTGGTTTGTGTTTCCGGATGTCAAAGTGATCAGATCAGTATGCTAGTAGATACATGGCTGTCATTGAAATAAATAGATGTGGATCGGGCAAAATATATAATGACGTAAGACCGGCGGGATCTCAGCTGTAGTCGATACTCAAGAATACGAAAATGCATTGTTTCGAATTTCGGTGTACTTTCTAGAGAGGTTAGTAGTACTCTGAAGGTGATGTAAAACCATGTTTGATGTAGAAGGGCATGTTGATAGCAACATGGTGCGAGCTTGGGGCTGTCACATGCAGCAGCATGTTTAAGCTTACCGTCATCGCGGCTGATCTCCGCTTCTCGATGATTCCTCCTTCCAGCAAACCAGCAGTATCTTCCGCTAGACTCCTGCCATCGCTCCTTTCATCCTAGCCCGGGATCTGCGATAGCATGTATCTGTGGTCGCCATGTTACGTTCACCGATAGCCCGCGCTATATTCCGCAGCGCTACAGCGCGATCAACAATCCCGTCTTCGTCGCAGTCGGCCTCGCGCATCGCGGCTCCTAGCCTCGATTCTGCCTACTTCTCCGGCCAAACATTCCGATACCCACGTTTTCCTTCTGCAACACTTGGACTCGCCTCAAGGGCCTTCAAGCCTTCCTCGCAGGCTTCATTTCGCTTTCCCAACAGATACTTCTCCTCCTCGACCAGGCTATTCTACGGATACGGCGGTGGTAGATATCGGCGATTTGATGGCCCCAGTCGCGGAACGCTTTTTCAGCGATTGTTGACAAATGCGAGACCATACCACTTTGTGATAATTGGCGTCGTAATCGGCGGTATCTACACCAGCAATGTCGAGACGGTGGAGGTGAGCTTGCTCTTGTCTTCGATAACCAGTCCAATGTAATTTCCGAGGATCCTTGGAGGATGGAAACTGGATGGTGCTCAATCATTCCTTGTTTAGTACTTCAATTCTGACGCCTTTTCTCCCAGATGACCGGCCGCCGACGGTTCAACTGTGTCTCCTCTCACCAGGAACTAAAAATGGGTCAACAGAGCTATGATGAGGTTTTGAGATCAACACGTGGGAAGATTCTCCCCGAGGATCATCCGCTGACCATCATGGTGAACCGCGTGCTCCGCAGGTTGATACCGCAAGCGCCAATTGAAGGCGCAGATTGGAGAGTTCATGTCATCAAGGATGACGGAATGGTCAATGCTTTTGTTCTGCCTGGGTATGCATATCCTTCAACATCACGGTCTGTTGTCGTGTGCCACTGACCCTACACACAGTGGGAAAGTGTTTGTCTACACAGGCATCCTGCCAATTTGTAAAGACGAGGACGGGCTTGCAGCTGTATTGGGCCACGAAATTTCTCACGTTATCGCGCATCATCCAGCAGAACGCATGAGCAACAACATCCTGACAGTTGGAGCGGTATTCCTTATCTCCATGCTATTTGACATTTCAGGCCAGATTCCTTCGCTACTGCTCAACCTAATGTACAGCTTGCCTAATTCGAGAACTCAAGAGGTAAGACTTGCTTCCTTGCCCCGCAGATGACCCCTACGCTGACTACTTTCTAGGCTGAGGCAGACAACATTGGCTTGAGTATGGTCATCAACCATGAATGATTATGTCTTTGGTGCTAATCCGGACTAGTGATGATGTCAAAAGCTTGCTTCAATCCTGAGGCTGCTGTCGGACTGTAAGTCATGACCTGACCCGCTGCATTTATGACCGAAGTATCGTCGACTCTGATGTGCGTGGCTCACATATCTTCACAGTTGGGCGCGTATGCAGAAAGCAGAGCAGGAGACACCGCCTCAATTTCTGTCAACACACCCTTCAGTAAGTCTCAACCCGCCCTGAGACTTGCAGTGCTGTGACCTGACTTTTCTACCAGAGCTACAACCGCATGGAAGCAATCCGTGGATGGTAAGACCTCCGACTTCACCATCTGCTGAGGTGTACTGATGAGGTTCCAGGCTGGGGAAGGCCGAGGCAATCTATGAAGATAGTGGATGTAGTACCCTGGGCAACTACAGTAAGTGCTCCCAACCAACCAGTCGCTCATCCTGGGGCTTGACTAAACAATAATCTGCAGTGCCGGGATTTCGCCAAGCTTCAAACGACTACTACAGGTGGTGAGCGATAGTTACTGGGATGACCTGGCTTGTATTATAGGATACAATCTTACGTATAATTATGAAATCACGACTCATGTAAATCAGATATAATTGCAAGGATAAGTCCTCTGTATGAGTCCAAGTATTATTGTATGTCCCAAAAAGGAAATGCCCTAGCCCCTCCAGATGCAAACCAGCCAAACACCCGCCGCCGCCTGACCGTCTCGAAAGCTCCATCAAAAATTCCCGGAGCAGCACGTAGCTTGTGTGATAACACTGTCTTGCTTTCTTCTTCCTCTTCCAGTTTTCTGTCTGCTTCGAGGGGAAGCTTTCTTCAAAATGTCGTTGTCTATGCCTGGTCCCAGCCAGGCAGGTCTTTTCAAGCCTGGATACCAGAGGTAAGCGAGTCCTATTTGTGGAATGTCCCGCTCAGCGTACTCCGCGTCGCGTTGAGGGGATGAGATTCAGCAACGTATTCAAGCTCTCAGAGATAGTCAACGTAACTGACACCGCGGTTACTACAGTCACGATGCTGAAGACGGTGCCGTCATTCGCAATATCGAGGCCTGCCAGGCGATCTCGAAGACCGTCCAAACATCGCTCGGTCCCTACGGCCGCAATAAGATCGTCATCAACCACCTGCAGAAGATGGTGCTTACGTCGGACGCCGCTACGATTCTTCGCGAGTTGGATATCGTGCACCCGGCTGCCAAGCTGCTTGTCATGGCGAGTCAACAGCAGGATGCGGAGATGGGTGATGGTACTAACATGGTCATTGTTCTGGCGGGAGAGCTGTTGAAGAAGGCCGAGGAACTGCTACGGATGGGCTTGAAGACGAGCGATATTACTCAGGGATACGAGAAGGCACAGAATTACGCTCTGAAAGTACTAGAGGGTGAGTTGTTTGGTCATTCACTTTCTCACCGAGTTTTTCAGGGGCTATCCAATATGCCTCATTTCCGAGCGCATTTTGTTCATCTACTGACCGATGTTGTGTTGATAGACCTCGAAGTCGATCGCTTGAAGGAACTACGCTCTCAGGAAGAACTCTGCAAGGCTCTTCGTACGGTCGTCGCCAGCAAGCAGTCCGGAACAGAGGATCTTTTGGCATCGTTAGTTGCGGAGGCGGTCCTCGCTGTTCTGCCCAAGAATCCTGTCAATTTCAATGTCGACAATGTTCGCGTCGTCAAGATCATGGGTGGCAGCTTGGAACAGTCCCGTGTGATCAAGGGTATGGTCTTCGGGCGGGAGCCTGAGGGAACCATCAAGAAGGCCCGCAAGGCAAAGGTTGGAGTTTTCAGCTGTCCTATCGATATTTCTCAGACCGAAACCAAGGGCACCGTGCTCTTGAAGAATGCCCAAGAAATGCTCAACTTCTCAAAGGGAGAGGAGGAGCGCCTGGAGGCGACCATCAAGGAGCTTTACGACTCCGGACTCCGTGTTGTCGTTGCTGGCTCCTCCGTCGGTGACTTGGCTCTGCACTATCTCAACCGATTCAACATTCTTGTCATCAAGATCCTTTCCAAATTCGAGCTTCGCCGTCTCTGCCGTGTCGTTGGCGCTACGCCCCTGGCTCGTCTTGGCGCTCCCATGCCCGACGAGATGGGCAGCGTTGACGTTGTCGAGACCACTGAGATTGGTGGTGACCGTGTGACCGTTTTCCGTCAGGAAGAAGCCAACGCTGTAACGCGTACTGCCACCATTGTCCTGCGTGGAGCGACTCAGAACCACCTAGACGATGTCGAGCGTGCCATTGATGATGGCGTCAATGCCGTCAAGGCTATCACGAAAGATCCTCGTTTTGTTCCTGGCGCTGGCGCTACTGAGATTCAGCTTGTGGAGAAGATCTCGGCTTTCGCTGACAAGACCCCCGGTTTGCCCCAGTATGCCATTCGCAAATACGCCGAGGCTTTCGAGGTCATTCCTCGTACTCTCGCGGAGTCCGCTGGCTTAGACGCCACGGAGGTACTCTCACGGCTCTATACAGCACACCACCGCACGACCAAGGCCTCCGAGTCGGAGGAGTCCGAAGAGGGCAGCTCTGAGGAGGAAGAGCCCTACTGGACTACAGGTGTTGATCTGGAGGCTGGTTCTTCGACCGGTACCTTGGATGCAGTTGATGAAGGTATTTTGGACCTCCTGGCATCAAAGAGCTCGGCCATCCGTCTGGCCAGTGAGTCCGCTCGGACAGTCCTCAGTGTTGATCAGATTATTGTCGCCCGACAGGCGGGTGGTCCAAAGCCTCCGGGCCCTAACCCCAACTGGGATGAAGATTAAATGTTTTTAGCTATGACGAAATCTTTATAGTATGGGCCACAATGCAGGATGCTATTAGAGGCATGATCTTACGAAAAGTCGATCGACTGGAAATTGGAGACAATATGTATAAGACATGTGACTATAGGGGTAATACTATCTATGACTCTCAACCCAGTGCGACTGGTAGTAATAACAATCAATCCTTGTTCCGAATCGCTATATTTTGTCGATGAATGAAACTGGCACGCCGGAAGTATAGTGACCTTGACTGGGGGTGGTAGAATCACGTGACTATTTGGATTTTCCGGGCCGATGCTGGACTTTCTTTTTCATGAGTATCGGTTGATCGCGTTGTCGAGGCTCATCATCGTTCCTGTCCCACACCCTCCCTTTCGTCTTTCCAGTTACGACCGTCAATTCCACCGTTCAACATGTCGCTCACTTCGCAGGCCGCAGCTCGCTGCTGCAGACAGCTCGTCCGTCCCTCCGTTCGCATCTCTTCCACCACATATCTGAGCCAGCGGACACCCAGCCGGAGGTGGAACTCGACAGAGGCGCAGGCTGCTGCTCCTGCCAATCCTAAGATCACCCAGATTGTTGATCAGATTAGCCAATTGACGCTTCTGGAGACGGCGGATCTCGTTGCCAGCTTGAAGGTCGGTTTTCTTCGTGTCCTGGGTGGTATCGCAATTCGGTCCACCATTTGGCATTCGGTGTATCTCATCAACCCTTGATGAGGGTTGGTTATTCTGCTGTGTCGTTTCCGTACTGACATTAGTCTCTTGTACAGTCCCGCCTCAATATCCCTGACCTCCCCGTTGGTGGCTTCGCCGTTGCTGCCGCTCCTGGTGGTGGTGCTGCTCCCGCCGCTGCTGAGGAAGAGGAGGCTGCTCCCGCCGCGCAGGAGAAGACTCTTTTCAACCTGAAGCTTGAGACAGTGGATGCTGCCTCCAAGGCTAAGGTCATCAAGGAGATCAAGGGTCTGCTCGGCCTTTCCCTCGTCGACAGCAAGAAGTTTGTTGAGTCGGTACCCAAGATGATGAAGGAGTCTGTGCCCAAGGAGGAGGCGGAGAAGATCATTGAGACCCTGAAGGCCGTGGGTGCCAAGGTTGTCATGGAGTAAAAAGAGGGCGCGATGATTTTCATCAATTGGTCATCCTCTTTTTCTGTCTGCTGAATGAGCGATGGGGGCTTGTATGGATCTGTACGCTGTGGGTTGGACTGCATCATCCTGCCGGAGTTTTATGTCTTGCACCGCCTCTTCTTTATGTGTTTTACTTCTCCGTCATATATCTCTACACGGTTCCTGATATAACTGGAAAGCGGGAAACAGGCGGCAAATGTACATTATCAACTTTTGTTTGGACAATCTGGATACAAGCTGGAACGACAGTTCTTTTTGGTCGATTCTTGTCGATCCTTATGGTGTTCGTAATTCTGAAGCATGCTTGCATCGCTAATGCAACGAAGTCAATTGTAGATTATACATATGGCCGAAGGAAGATTGTAGCATCACCTTCTGCGATGCGAGTAGAGTGCGGTACGGTACAGCTCCGAATTTCTCTCCGCCGCACCTCCGAATCAACGAATCTTCCGCGGCTCATTTACGGAGCAGACCCTTCCACCCCGAGCTTCTTCAGCTACGATGTCCCTCGCACGAACATCCAACGCCCTTCGAAGACGGCCATGTCTCTACGATAATCCACTCTCCCTGTCTACCAGCTATATCCGAAACAACAGCCGTTTCCCGGACAATCGCACCCCTCGCACTATCAGACAAAAAACCGCATCTCCACAAACAACCAGGCCATTTCACTGTACAGCCTCCTGCTACGCAGTTCGATCTCCGGCCGCCCGTCGGGCTCAGGCTCAGACTCAACGGCTCCGGCCAGTCTACTCGAGCGATGGACTGTTCAACCTCCCCGCGCACGGTGACCTGACAGCGCGGCTCAAGTACCTCGACGAGAAAGGACCGCTGCTATGGATGTCCGCGTTGGCCGAGGGGCTCCTCGACGACAAAGTCACAAAGAACACGTTCCTGGATGTCGCAAAAAGATTACTGGAAACCGCTCATAGAGAACTGCCATCCGCAGACGCCATCCGGAGGATATCCTCAGGTGCGAGCGACCACCACCCACCCTCTACAATCCCTCCCAAGACGCATCCCTAACTCTCCAGCACCCACATAGATCCAGACCTCATCTTCCAAATCGGCTACATCATCTCCGGCGGTAACCCATCCTTCCGAGAATGGCTCCTCGCCTCCACCACCCACGCAGGCGCCCGCGTCCCCCTCCTCATGTCCGCTGCCAGGTACCTGAACTCCCTGGGCAACTCCGCCCCAGTGCGCACCCCGACCCTCGAGAAAATCGAGCATCTCGCCCTCCACGACCGCGACCCCGAGCCATGACCCTCCACGCTAAGATCCTCGGCCTCCGGAAACGCTACGCTGATGCCCTCCGCCTCATCGAGCAGGTCATGGCCCTCATCTACCCGTCCAAGGTACCCGTCGCGAAAGACGGGGGGTTCGGGATGGCGCGCATCGAGCCGCCCTGGCGGGTGTACGCGTGGCTGAAGGAGAAAGCGAACGCGAACGCAAACGCAAACACGAAAACGGGCGAGGCTGGAACCCAGACAGATGACCTCCTACGCTCCGCAGCGCTGGACTACCAAGACCCCGAGTCGCTGGTCCAGTATGCCACGGCACGGATGCAAGCGGGCGATCTGGCCATGTACGAGGATTGCATGAGCCGGGCCGCGACGGCAGGGAACGCCGAGGCGTGCCGCCGACTCGCCAACTTCTACTATCTCACGTCGCTGGGACGGTACCCGGGGCGAGGGGTGCGCGAGGACACGGCCCCCGTGGAAGCTGCCACAAAGCCAACCTCCAGCGCGTCCTCGCAAACAAGTGAACCGCGAGATCGGGGGAAATTCTTTGCTTTGCTGTCAAGTGTATTCGGGCCGCAGCCTCGTGCGGAGTACCGCAAGCTAGCGACGGAATGGTACGAGTTGGCTTTCAGCCATGGGAGTGAGCAGGCGGCGGTGGTTCTTGCGGTGCTGCTGCGGGAAGATGGCTCCGCGGCTCGGGGGTTGCAATTGCTGGAGCAGATTGAGGGATCGTCTTCCCTTGGGCCCCTCGTTAGGCGGATCAAGTCGCAGTGGGATGAGCGGGATCAGGTGATTGATATTCCCGCTGAGCTGTTGGATGTTTGATCCGCCGTATGCCTCTACATGCGCGTGACCTGGGATATTTCAATATATTCAAAAGATGTCATCCGACCATGTAGAACGCATTCTGGCCAACGCTATAAATCATAAATGAATCGTCAAGCTCATCTGCTTTGGACTTTCAAAAACAAGAAAAGAAAAACGAAGATGGTATCGACCGTTTCTTCTCATATCATCCCGTCGTGAATGCACGCTCTCTGTGCATAAAATGATTAGTAACAGAGTCCAAGAATGAGCATCCAACGCCTGTCGAGCTCCCTGTATGACCGACCAAAAATAACCCCACCCCCACCCCCCGAAAAAAAAGGATATATAATGCAAGTCATGATCTCGTTGCAGGAAATCGACCTTGTATCGCACGTCATCTCCGCCGCCCCTTGCCCTTCCCCTTGCCGCGGGTTTTGAGCTCCACGAACCCGAGCTCCTTCAAAGCCTCGGTGAGAGGCGATGAGTCCCGCATTCCAGGAAAGTCTTTTGCGGGATACACGCGGAAAGGATCGGACCAGACCTCGGCCAGGACCGGCATGGATTGGCCCGTATCTTCCACAAGGCCCCAGTTCATTAGCCGGAACTGGAGCCGATAGACGCCAGCGGACCGGATCGAGAGGTCGGGGAAGACGAAGAAGGTCGCAGGGACTCGCACTTTGGCCAGATCCAAGCCGTTGGTAGAATTGGCCGCCCCAGGCTTCGTCTCTACCTTGTAATCCGCGCTTGTGAAATGAGGCGGGGCTGTCTGGGGATCTGGATCCATTTCGACATGGAAAGGCGAAACAAAAGCTTTCCCTGAAAGCAGCGGCGTGCCCTGGCCGGGGCCGTTCTCTTCGGCCCTTTGAGAGGTGGTGCGGTCCTCTCGGACTGCGCACAACCCATCGGCTTCGGGCGAGCCGGGCCACGAATTCGCTGCTGATACTGGGAGAAGCAGACAGCCGACGGTAAGCCGAGGATCTTGAAGGGTGTCCAGATCGGTCTGTGATTGCGGGTCGAAGTCGGTGAGCAGCATCTGGATGATCGGCGGCGGATCTACTGGTCGCCGGTCTCTATCGCCAGCACCGCAAGCCCGAGCAGCTATGGGTTGTTGTCGAATGTGCAGGTGGTAACGGTGGGACGCCGAGACTCGTCTTGGGGCGGCGAAGGCTCTGGAGAATGATTGAGTAACCGATCGAATCCCATCGGGATGCCTGATGAGACTTGTCTCGGCGGTTGCGGGGGTAGGGCTTGTAACATATTTAAGCGGCCATTAAGCGCTGCTGAGCTGCGATCAGAATGAACAGGACTGGGGATTGTCGTGGAGTTACTATACGGAAAGGAGTTGGTTAGCACTGTGGTTGATGGATGATTGAAACAGGAGCCGTCCGGGAGATATCTCCATGCACTTTGAGTTATCCGTCTTTCTCTCCCCCTTCCTCTCTTTTGGTGTTGAGTGAGCGGATGACTTACGAAGAATCGACGTCCCTTGTATGCTCTGTGGGGCTAACGGAAATCTGTCGATGATGGTGATTTAAGACCCCCTGGTGAGGAAACTGGGAGTAATCGGCATCCGTTGGTGAGCCGCTCCATCGCATTTTCGTTTGGCCTATAGAATCCGCACTGGCAGGCGCGATACTATCCCAATAATCCGCTCCCCTTGGCTGGCCGCTCCGCAGTACTTTTAATTGTGGTAAGGAACCAGCACTGGCAGAGGTGCCATTATACCTCTGCTCGGCACCGCCGACCCAAGAGTGAACAGAAGAAGAGAATCGGGACTCGGTCGCAGGGGAGACGACCGGGGGATCGTAGCCTTGGGTGCCTTGAAAGATAAACGGCGGAGGCGGTTCATGCTTGGAGTAGGAAGAAGCTGGATTCGGCGTCACCTCGCCCTGTTCGCTGAGGGATGCGGAACTTTTCGACTTGAGATATCGGCCGATGGAAGTGGAATAATTCCATTGTGGTAACGGCGTGTCCGACATCTATGCAGAACCGCAACGGTGCTCGAGAGGACTATCCTCCTTTGCCTCCGCGTAACCGTTCACTGCGTGTTAGAAGAAGGCAGAGGGCGAGGTCCCGCGATATGCAAGGAAACGAGGCATCCGTGAATGAGACTGAGTGCGGTTGGAGAATAGGCTTGACTGTGCGAGGGGCCTGAGTGATATCCTGATTGGTGCAGAGAAGCCAACTGATGATGTCGTTCTGCGAAGACCAGGGAACATTTATTGCTTATAGCTGGATGCTGTGCGTTGAGGATAACAAGATCGGGACGCAAGACACTTATAGACAGTCGATCTTGGTTCTGTTGGGACAATAAACGATGACAAGTTAAAGAAGATCATTCGTTGTGGATCAATAATGTCGATTTTATCTGAGTATGCTGGTTAGCATGAATAATTGCATATACGTTGGTGTTCGACGACGACGACGTGCGGGCCACCCTCGTAAGGCGCAGCTGCTCTCCACCCTTTAGATTATTATTGGAGGGGTTTTGAAAGACACATGCTCAAGAAAACAGAATACAAGGGCCTGAAACGAAAGAGTCGAATCAGCAAACTACAAGCATCTGCTTGCCGAATGAGAGAGGCTGATGATGCTCCGAAGGATGGGTGGGTGTAGAGTGCTACGTAGTACTAGGTACTGACCCTGGGATGAACAACACCGTAGAGCAACTTCAGATCAGCCAATCCCAGCTCAAGTAGAGGATCAAATGGAGCCAACGCAGCCAGGACGCCAGCGGACCTTCCCGACGGTTTTGTCGGTAAGTAAATAATAACCACTAGTAGTTGCCACGAGTCCTTGTGTGTCGATGAGCAGAGAAAAAAAGTAAAGACAAGCACAGCCGGCCATGCAACGGCAACAACAGTGTGTCCCTGGCAGATGAATTACAAAGTAAGTCTCCTGTGTCTGAGTGCGGCTTGGGAAGCGCAGAGAATAGAAATCATAATCAAAATTAAAATTACATACGAGCCCGATGGAGGGAAAAGTGCATTCGCTGTTTTCCAATAGTAGACGAAGAAAGGGTGGGACAGGGCTAATAATAAATATCGATACTATGATGGTTCAGATAGATGCATAGTTTCCAACTAAGAACAAAGAACAACAAAAGAAGGCTGGGACTGGAACCGTGGATTGAAAGTGGATATCCTGGAAGGCTAATTATTAGAGTGCGGCGAAACGCTCCAGGTTCCAGGATTCATTATTTCGAGAGTCTGAGAGTCTGAGAGTCTACCTTACCAGGCAACTGATCAGATATACTAGGTTATACAGCAGGCAATGAGCATGATTAATGTGTGAGGGCAGAAAAGGGGTTGCAACTGTTGATACCTGATCCCTGATCCCTGACTGTATGCCGGAGGTCCCGTAACAATAATACTATTAAGCTACCTAATGACTTCCTGGTTTTGTTGGATGGACGAGTTGTGTGTATTGTTTTGTAGGAATCCGCAATCGGACAGCAAACAGAGCAGGGATCAGGGAGTCTAGGATTCTAGGGACTCACTATGGTGCGAGTTGAGATTACCGGTGGACTGTGATGGTACTTTAAGGTATCTAGTAGAACTTATGCAAGCCATCGGGACCAGTCAGTGCCCATTTAAACCCGGAATATAAAACCCACAGCGAACCATACGGATGATCAGTATCTGCTCCGTAATAGTACTGTGGAGGCCGGGAGTAACATGCGATCACCAGGACGCTGGACGCCACACACGGGATATTGATTGATTGGTCGCAATTCAGAGCCGTCTTTTCGCGATGGAATCCCACTTCGATGGTGGTCTTTAGAGTGGACCTACCTTAACTAGGTAGCCGAGTTGCTGATCCAAAAAGGGCATTCCTTTTCTAATGAATACCTCTCTACTCCGGATGTGGAGAGGTATTTAATGTCGGAACTTATCTGTGTGCTCAGTACCGAGTAGATACTCCGTGATGCAGCACACATGAATGATAATATCTCTTTCTTCCTGATCTGCATCGGTATGAAAAGCTTCGTCGGTGGATGCAAAATCAGATCCACGAAGGACCCCCAAAGGATCTTCAGAGGTGGTGATGGACTGATGGTGTTGCTATACTAGGTCATTGGACCCATGCGATATAAGACTAAGAAATGAGTGTCGCTTATTGGAGACCTATCAAGTCTCCAGATGTTCTCTCAGAACGGGCCGTGGAGGGTTTCGGTTCTAAATGACCGAACCCTGATGGCAGGGAACGGGTGAAGTGATCGATCTCCCCGCATTTCACACAACCCAGGAAACGATAGATAGTACTAGAGAGTTAATGGTAGGGACAAAGTCACAAAAGAGCTACTCGGCGCTTCATTTGCTTGCGGCCCTACCTCAATTAACAGCCAGGCACAATCCCCATACCTGCATCACATCGTTTCAACATTCCAGCTGGAGAGAATGAGGCGCAGTTCGACCAAGGCGGGCACACTCGACTTCATGTTTTCGACGGCGATCATGTGTTCCTTTTGCCTTCAATTTCGCATTCGCTCTTCCCAGGGCAGGAATATGCACACAAAGAGAGCTAACGCAATGCGAGGTTGCCTTTTTCCTTAGGATGGTTGATACGTCACACACCTTGATTCAATCCTTCTGCCAAGGATTCTAGGCATTCTGTACACCAAGGATTATGTGATCCGTCCTCGATATCAGTAATAGTTGACTGGTCACATTGGGATGGTGGAAATCTTGCCAGCAGCGAGGATATGACTCAAAATTCGGAGTCAATATTTGTCCGAAGTCCTCCATACCATTGTGGTATCTGGAACGAATCAATCTCATGTAACTCCCCCAGCCAATCTTCCTCGATCGAGCTTGCAGAGAGTCTCTCGTTCCGTTGGCTATCGCAGGGGCGTGAGGATTATTCCCCGTGCTTCCTGCAATGCCATGTTATTCCTGCACAGTGATTCCTGGTCGTGAAAATGCAAGGGTCCGAATAAGGGAGTAGCTCACCATCGTCAGCCTGCAGCAAAATCGTCAAGCATGGTCGGCAAAATCACAGAATGCTTGAATGCTACCGGGGACGGCCGCGGCCTCATCCTGATAATGCTGCCATACTTGAGCGGACCAGAGCAAGGTGATTCTGTTGAACAGCAGCTGACAATCCGCACAAGACCCTCGTTTGATCAGTACATTATCCCAAAAAGTTTGAGTCTTTCAAGGCAGTCAATCTGACCAGCAGTTCCGGGATTCGGGAGGAAATGATGAGATAATGTCGTGTTGCATAAGCCAATAAAGCCCGGAATTCTGAGATATCTTGCATGCACACTAATTGAAGTCGATTTGCTTGAGGAGACCACCTAGTAGCGATAGAACTTGCTCGTAGGATCTGCCCATTGCCATCAAGGGGTCTAAGAAAAGAAAGTCGTTTCGCAATGCACGCCCCGCTTGCCAGATACGGAAATAGGTACACATGCCCACTGGGGTCGAGTTTGTAAACCAAACCCAGTGTCCAGATATACTAAACTTGAGGATACGTCTTTTTTTTTTTTTTTCCCCCTGCCTTCATAAATCGGCTCAGTGCAAGATAACTCACAATCCATTATCGCCATAAGATCTCCAAAGGGTGCCAAAAAACAAAGGGCCGTATATAGTATCATCCGAAATCAGAATCATTAGATACTCCAGATCGCGAAGATGTTAAGGACAAACTCCGGGGGCATGGGGACAGCTAGAATAGCAGCTCAGGCTTTGATGGGCCCCCAGATACTATTTTGACAGACAGGCAGGTGTCCGCGCCCTTGCTCCATCGATGCTTGATCGCTGCCCAAGTCGCCAGGGAAGACTACCTAATCACATCATTACAGCCACGCCGAGATATCCTGCCTTGACGGTCTCAAGCCACACTTGATAATCGGTATTCGTTTGTGCGGCAGATGCAGCTCACTCTGTTGTGATTCGATCCCTCCCGAATTCAGCTCTTTTAGCTAATGCTAACTAGCGGCTGGCATTAAGAAATGCAGCTTTGTGGATCCAATAGAGCCTTACACTTGGCAATCGGGCTGGTTTGGCACCGTGGCTCGCCTTGCTCAAGTACTTTACCGGTGATGAACTGATGTGAGACAGCAACCAAAGAAAGCAAGTGGCACGCGTTCAAATCACCAAATCTTTACATGGATCCACATCAAGATAGCATTTGGTGATATCAAATTCCGGTGACGAATGATTGTCCCCATGACGAATTCCGTTCAAGTCGCTTCGCAGTTCGATTTTCATTATCGAATTGAGATCGAATGGTACTCGTGGGATATGCGACTGGATGCCTGGGCTTATTAGGCCCTGAGCTTTCCCCACAAAGACTGCGAAGAGTTGGCCTGAAGCGCGGTCCAGGGCTACTATATGGCCCGATTCTCTCCATTCGTGCTCCGCACTGGGTGCTTTGGGCTTTATGATCAGATATCCCAGCTGCATCAAGTGCAGCGAGCGAGTATCTGTTGGTGACAACCCGGCATTTTCAGGGTCGAGCCGGATCAATCCCAGGGAGGAAGGCGAGTTCGTCGTGTGTTCCCCAGATCTCACCTCAGAACAGTCTAGGACATCGACGGGGCAGCGTTGAGGTACCCAGGCCAGCTCTAGCGGTGTATTTTCAGCCGATGATTGAACAACCAGAATATGTTCACCTCCATGCTCGTCTAAGCAATTGGCAAGTCTGGTGAGATCTGAAAGCGATCCAGAACAACCTAAAGCGTGCATTTCGGCAATCAAGCGTTCGCTGCTTTCGTATCCAGTACTGTCTCCATCCATTGTAAGAAGAGGCTGTTCGGTCGCATTGTAACTGAGGTCATATATACTAGTGTGAAGAGATTTCTCGGGCAGCCAGTTGATCCCTAGCCTCTTCTCCATTTGTTCGAGTTGGACTTCGAGTATCTTGAGTATTTCATCCTGGCCACAGAGACGATATAGCGACTTGCAAACTTCTTGATTAGCGAGAAGTACACTCAGATCTTTGAACTCTGATATATAAGGAAGGGTATCACCAGCGCGCTCCGAGATTTCTTCCAGATACGTGGTGGCCCTGGCGACATCTCCTTCCACAACCAGAGCCATTATACAGGAATAGGCATTGTGGAAACGGTAATCGGCTGCTTTGGCCCACAAAAGGCTCAGAACATTGCTCCATAGAGTATGGAGCAATTCACGGCTCTTTAGCTTGACGAGCAATCTAAAGTACCGTCCAATTAACGCTTTTCTCGGATCAACCCAGGTCAATATGGAGTGCAAAGTGACTTCTGAGGCATCATCGACATCGGACTCGCCAGTCACTTGTTTGAGCATCGAACCGGTATCTGGGTTATCTCCTTGAAGCTCGAAGGATCGGATGGACATGTAAAGCGCATCTACCAGGGCGACACTCGAGGCCGAACCAAATCGCTTAGGGCTGATAGCAAGTAAATCTCTCAGATGTCGTTCGAGAGCAGCTGCAGAATAAGAAAGGCATGCGTAGTACATCCCCAGTAGGTGTAATTTCCAATGTATATTCATCTGCTTTCTCTGTAGTCTTGAAACGAGTGCATTGATAGCGACAAGGATCTCCGCAGCCGAGTGGTGTCGTTGACAACGTTCCAGCGCCTGCGCCAGAAGTTTACAATGTTCTGCCCGCCGTAATACATAAGCCCCAGGTACATTAATGTGTCTTTCTATGACGATCTGTAGATGACGAAGATTCCGCACATCATGCTTGAGACCTTTGAAAAACACATCCCTATCAATGCTGGCGGCTTTTGGGCGGAGAGAGCTCCACAAAGGTGGAGGTAGAGTAGACTGGGGCCATTCGCCTAAGAACACATCGTTCAAATGGTCGTCCAAGTCCTGCTTTGACACATCTTGTCCCGACGGTTTTGTAGTTCCCGTCAACGCATACCGAAGAATCTGAGACGGAGTAGGTTCATGGTTTGGGGTTTTTGTTTTAGTGATTGCGGATGCCGCACGATACTGTTGTTGCGATCTGTAGCGTTGTGGGAGGCTGAGATGCTTCAATGGATGGCCAACTCGGCGACACAAAAAGTAAGCCATCTGCCACTCTGCATTGCCAGGAGAATCATAATTCGATAATCTCACCCTGAAATATCGATGGTGGGAGGAGATTTGGAGCGTGAGTACAAAATACAAGCTATTCTAAAGGCGGTAAGAGGATTGGTGGTCAAGAATACCTGAGCGCTGTCGTCGATTGAACTTCATCATTGATCCTGCATCCAGCTTCCGTCTATCTCGCCTAGCCTCTATTTACGATTGCCTTGAAGACCTACAATATAATTTCGTACCTGACTCGACGCGTATTTTAAAGAGAACCCCCGAAGGACCTGAGCGACTGCCACGATTATGCCTGCTGAGCGCGTTAACGAAGTGTCTGCGGCCAAGCCTTCCGACGACAACGCCACTTCAAACCAGACTCAGTCTGATGCAGCTCCTGCTGAGCCAGCAGCTTCGGAAGAGTCTCAACAGAAGACCTCATCCGAAAAATCAGAGAGCAAAGAAGATGATGCAGCTGCAAAAGCTCGCCAGCGGCAAGAAAGATTCAAGGCCCTTCAAGCTCGTGCTGTGAGTAACTCGGTCGCAACCGTCAACTGATCCACCATTTCAGCTTCTCGCTTGTCGTCTGAAAGTCGTGTATGTGCTGATGCTCAAACAGAAAAATGCAGCTGAGCGCAACCTGAAAGAAACGGCGGCCGAAACCCAGCGTCTAGCCACCGATCCTGCACTGCTCTCTTCATTGTCGCGCAAGCACGCATTTGCATCTCACAATCTTCTCAAAGCAGATACAGAGGCTGCCGGCGAAGACTTCGAGCGTAAGAGAGCCTGGGATTGGACCGTCGACGAATCCGAGAAATGGGATCGGCGTATGGAGAAGAAGCAGCGTCACCGCGATGATGTTGCGTTTCAGGACTACACACAGGATGCGCGGAAAGTATACAAAAGACAGCTACGCCAAATGCAGCCTGATATGGAGGCCTATGAAAGGGAGAAGCTGGCTGCGATTGAGAAGGCAGCTGCAAATGGTGACTTGGAAATCGTTGAAACCAACGACGGTGAGATGATTGCGGTCGACAAGAACGGTACCTTCTACTCGACGGCAGATACAGTTGGTTTTACGGAGAATAAGCCGGATCGAGCCGGAGTCGACAAATTGGTCGCAGATTTGAGAAAGGCCGAAGAGGTCCGACTTAAGAAGCGCAGGGAGCGCCGCGGCGATGAAGAACCCGACGTCACATATATCAACGAGAAGAACAAACAGTTCAACCAGAAGCTGGCACGATTCTACAATAAGGTATGGCTCTTCACGAAGACTTCGGCTTTACGAACGGAACTAATGCCTTTCAGTACACTACGGAGATTCGTGACAGTTTCGAACGTGGTACAATGATTTGATCCAGTGCTACCTGCTTAGGTTTAATATACAGAGCGGGACTCCTTATTACATCCCAATCGGTGAGGTGCCTAACCTCTTCCACCTCTCGGCAGCGGCCTGCCGAGGCAATCACGAAAACATGAGAGGTTGGATTCAAAGCATGCTTTTTCTCCACGCTTTGGTTGCCAGGTTTTCTATCTGCTTCGTTCCTACCGCGCCCCGAATGGACTCGTCCTCCATCGCTTCCACTACAGCTTCGCCCACAAGATCCACCTGGAAAGGCTTATCGACCATCGCACCGAGGAATCGAAGCCTGTTACCCAAGAGGGCGTTGAATTGAGAGGCAACAAAACCACCCAAGGCTATCGGAAGTGTGATTTTTCTGCTTGAATCATACATGAAGGGCGGTCTGATGAAGATGCTTCGCAACTCTGGCAGTTCGGACGCTATGGTCGTCTCAGCTTCTCGCTTCGTCGTGATATATCGACTGGGTAGCATTGGTGCTCCAGAGGCGGCTGATATGTATACGAATGTTGGAACATGCTCGCTGGATGATTCCTTCGCTAGTGCAATGGCTGTTGTTTCCAGTTCGCAGTCAGCTCCGCGTCTTTAGCAAATTGATAGTCCCAACATATACGGACCAGAATCCCTGTTCATGATCTCATATGTCAACTGTCCGTCTCTCTCCTTAGGCTCCAGCCGCTCTCCATCCCGCCTCGTCAGAGGGTTCTGGCTACCCAGCTTCGACGAGCTGAAAGCTCTCTGTAGGCCACTGACAACGGGTTCCTTCCCTCGTACCACGCCTTTGTAATCTGCTTCAAGTAGGATGCCCATACTATGGACCACGACGTCGGCATCACGCAAGAATGGTTTGTATGTGTCGGGCTTAAGTAAATCTGCCTTAGCCCATTCAACGGAATTGGCCCATGTTGGTCGATCGTGTGAGCTGGTAACAGTATCCCATCGAGGTTCTCCGGACCGACTATGACGTCTAAGCAGGCACCACCAAGATCGACAATCGGATTGTGAAAGTATACCTTAGAGATGTGACAGACCAGCCTCTGTTCACCGCTGATTTACAAATACGCGATCCTAATTGAAAGCCAGCCATTAGCATAACGCTGTTCAAGAGCGGAAAAGTCACCCACCTAAGAAGCCGTTTCCGCCGGCAACCACTACTCGTTTTGAAGCCATTCTGGTAAACGATTGATGAGGAGATTGAGCGTTTTGAAATCGTTAGACATAAGTCAAGTGAACAGTAGAAAATATGTCCTTTATATGTGCCTCATAAGTTCATCAATGAAATTGCTGGAGCTAAGCTAAAGCTACGGAACGCCTGCTTCCGACCATCGTCATCGGCCATCGATCGTTAATTATCGGCACGTCACGTGCCTATCGAAGGAGGCAGTTTACGGTACGGAGTACAGGTCCGAATAATCAAACCCAGAAGCCTACGTGCCAACAGCCTCGTCAAAGCTCAGCAAATCGCCGCATCTTCAGTTATACCTTGAGTTAATATCACGCAGGATGCCTTCAGCGACTGGAACCAAGCGCGTCAGGGTTCGTGCCAAAGTTGATCTCTTCGATCAGTCGCAATATACTGACCAGTGCTCTTCGCAGGGTGTTTCGATTTTCAGACCGTTCGGTATGTTAACTTACCCATTCTCTTGAATTTGTAGGACTTCAGCTTCTAACGCTTTGCAGTTTTTGGCAGCGAAGCGCGGCCATTCGACCCTGAGAAGAAACCCCCTCATGTCCCAGCAGATCACACCCACCAGTGGCGCGTATTTGTGAAAGGAGTCAATGACGAAGACATTTCCTACTGGCTGAAGAAAGTTCAGTTCAAGCTACACGAGACATACGCGCAGAATGTACGCACCATCGAGCAGCCACCGTTTGAGGTGACCGAGACCGGCTGGGGTGAATTCGAAATCCAAATCAAGCTCTACTTCGTGCCGGAGTCCGGCGAGAAACCACAGACACTATGGCATAGTTTGAAACTACACCCATTTGGGCCAGGCGCGGATGTCAAGAAAGAGCGCAGAGAGGTGGTGATCAGCCAGAACTACGAGGAGATTGTATTCAACGAGCCCATGGAACCGTTCTACGACGTCCTCACAGGCGGACCTGCCTCCCAGCAAACGCAGAAGGGCAAGGGAGGGAAGAATACAAAGCAAGCTGCGCAGCAGCGTGGAGGTCGGACCGCCGAAATACCTCAGAATGAAACCCCGGAGAACCCCTACAGCAGGACGACTGAGAATAAGGAGCTGGATCGTTTAGAAGCGGCCAACAAGTCGGTTGAGCAAATGATCAAGGAAGAAAAAGAGCGGCTGATCGAGCGCGAAAAGAAGCTGGCCGAGCTGCGAGAAAGCGAAGGCATCCCTGCCAACACTAAGAAGAGATGATCGTCCTTTGCCCGCCGGATACCTACTAAAAAAGATGCTCGCTTCGACTCTTGGGTCATCACGCGTGCCAATCTATCCACTTGCTACGAGGTCTCAGCGACATGCTCCCTGCATGCTCTACGTGCCCAGGATCACCTCGTTCCTTCTGGCACCGTCTCCTCCGCCTCTATCCACCCAGTGCCCGGGGCCCCCGACAGATGGATACCCTACATGAGTATGCAGTCATAGACCCAATTGAAGGCTCTAACGTCAGCACATGCGCATCAGCCCAATCATCGTCGCATGGTTCGCTACTTTCAGCGCAATTGGGCTTTTCCAACGAGTTGGCATGAGATACTGGGGCAATCACAACAAGTCGTGGGGAGTCAACGCGAGTAAATTACCTTCTAAGCCTTCGGGTGCATAACACCTATGTCAGTCAGGATGTATTCTCATGCTTGCAGAAACACCCTCAAGGAACGTTCCTCGCGTCAAGGTCCTACCATTGATCGTTAGATTGCTGTCTTCCAACGTAGCCAACCCATTGAACGATTGTCCCACTTCACGTTCAGACTCAAAAAGCACACGAGGATCGTAGGGGCGCCTTGAAGCTGGATTTAACTTTCAACTGATCATATTGTTCCCCTTGCATATTATATTATTAAATGGTCGGGTGGGTTAATAGATTGGATTTCCGCTTCCGTATCCGCTTCCGGATACATTGTCCAAGATCCACCCATGGCCGCTTTGAGCCGGCTTGTCTTCGGAGTTCGGATGTCATGGATATGACAGAATGTCATAGAAAGTTATTTGCCATGATATATTTGCGAAGAATGTGTTGTGCCAAGTTTAACTACATGTATGGTTTGCAAGCGGTTGGTATTAAAGCTGAGTTTTTATTCAAATGAATAAAGACGAAGTGATTCATGTACAAACCCTAACGCCGTGCTCCGTGCTCTAGAAAGAAGTAGGAATATCTACTATCTACTCATTATTGCTCAGCCTCTGGTGAAAAATCCCATCTCAATCAGTATATTTGGCCGCAGCTTTTGTCGTATCCCGAGTCTGTTTCAAGAATGGTATTAGGTCGGTTCCGCCTGTACCGCTGTATCCTGCTGGAGCGTCCTTCGAACGTGTGGCTTGATGCGCAGCTGTCACGGTTGCCAGATTGACTTGTGCGGACGAAGTTTGGGTTGCCCTTGTCCTCGAAGGCGTGATAATGTATCGTGAAACCATCTGAATATGCTTATCCCGGAATGCGCCAACAGCCATGACTGCCGTATTGTATGCGTTCCTGACCTCTGTATCTGCTTTGTAGCTCATGGCGAATTGGCGCACGTTCGAGGTTCGAATCATCATCTCCAGGAAGCGTCGGTGAGGGCCAGGCATGTAGTTTCGCATATCCTACGTCGAGGTAGTCAGTTCCTAGCTCGACTTTGAATAAGGAGATCAGTGAGAGTAATGATGCGTACCTGAATGTAGCCAATCTTAGGCTTGGACTGAGATGTGTTGTTCAGTTTTGCTTCCCCCGTGGCTGAATGCTCCACGCCCAAAAAGATATCGAATGTTTGGATTAGTGAGCTCTGTGCATTGCTTCCTCCACTGTACTGATGCCACTCTCCGTGGCCTCCCAGATCATAATAGACACCCTGGGGCAGTCCAGCCGAGGCCATATTCTTGCTACCAGCCAAGTAAGGGCGAAGCTGATAGAAGAAGACGTGTGGGTTGCACTTTTCATACATCCTCTCCAGAATTTCGCCAAGCTCTTTCAGGCCATCGCTCAATTGATAAAGTAGAGTTGTGACTCTTTCATGGTCAGCCAGATTGGCTGCATATGTGGCGTTGAGCATCAGGGTGATCAAATCCGCTCCTTTGGCTTCGATAGCAACAGAGATCATGAAGAACCATTCCTCGTCCTTGGTACCGGTGAGCGTGGTGACAATAGACAAGTTGTCCGGGTCAGTGAGATCAATATCAGGGGAAGAGACTTTGAAGTTCCAGAGGTTCAAAGCGGCATAGGTAGCACATGGTGGCAGCTCTAAATGCTTCGAGACCTCCAGGATGGGACACGACACTGCTGGTGGGAGAACCTAGAGAGCGATGAGAAAGCTGCAATCATACAACGACAAAGGCCACATACGTCTTTTGGCCGTTCGCCTCCCCAGATATAGGCATGAGTGATAAAAGCAAGCACAACATATGCTCGCCGCCATTCTGATTCTTCCTGCAGCCTGGAAGTTGAAAGGATAGGAAGACTGTCAACTGCTTGCCGTACATTTCCCGCTGCGAGCCGAGCTGGTAAATCAGCGACAACTTCCTCCCACGGAGAGTAGTATGAATCGTTCAGTTTCTGCAGAGGAAGGGTGTCTGGTAGGAACCCATTTCGAAGAGAAACGCAGAACTGGTCAAGCACGATTTCCGGTGTGTTAAGCATGGTCGAGGACTTATTCGACAGTATGAGAAGGAGCGGCCAATTGTGCAAGTGACTTTGTAGTCAGAGATCTGGTAATGGGCTTTGGAAATAGGAATATTCACTTTGTTCATGTCGAAGCCGGAATATATGGGAAGGAACTGCTCGGGTGGAAGAGGGCCGGATCCAACCCGGAACGATAACTTGGCGGCATGAGCACAGGAAACAGTAAGGAGGTAATGAGGTAATGTGATATCCAAAGCATGGACATGGACGGCTTGTGAGATCAAATCACCATACCAATAATTGAAAGCCAATATTGCGGGTATCCTTTTGGCAATCATTCCTTCCATGAGCACGGATTCCGAGGCGGAAGCGGATAAGCCTCCCGCTTCCGCCGGGGTCGATGGAATCACCTCGAGACGATGTATAAAGTAAGGAGTGAGTGTCGGACTGGCTGCCACAATCACAATCATTTTGCTTTGATTTCACATCGACAGCACTGGTGTCACATCCTCATCCACCATGTCTACCAACGGCACACTATCCAAGCCTGAGTTCCCTGCCAATGCGGCAGGCAAGGAGTATGCGGCCTCTCTGGACGCTGCAGACCCGCTCGCAGGCTTTCGCGAGAAATTCATCATCCCGTCAAAGGCAAACATTGCCTCTACCAAACTGGCGAAGCCAGGTAAGTAGGATTGTTTCCCAAACGACCGGTCATCGTCGCTGACGAATCTTCCTCAGGTATTTCATTAGAACCATGTATTTACTTCTGTGGCAATTCCCTTGGTATTCAACCCAAAGCCACCCAGAAATATTTGGAGGCGCAACTGGACACATGGTCGTCACTTGGCGTCTGTGGTCACTTCACCAAGATCGAAGACTCCCCATTAAAGGAGTGGCAGAATCTGGCTGAGCAGGCTGCCGAGTCTATGTCGAAGATCGTGGGGGCGGCGCCCGAAGAAGTCGCAGCAATGGGTACATTAACAATGAATCTGCACTTGTTGCTCGCAAGCTTTTATAAGCCAACTGCAACCAAGCGCAAGATCCTGATGGACTGGAAGGCGTTTCCCAGCGATCATGTGAGTGATAACTTCGCAATACCCGCGTGAGTTATGCTAACCTTTCACCAGTATGCAATCGAATCACATGTTGCCTGGCATCATCTAGACCCTCAGGAGACCATGGTGCTCATCGGCCCAGATGAGGGAACATACGAGATCCCAACGGAGAAGATCTTGTCTTACATCGATCAGCATGCAGACGAGGCAGCTCTCATCCTGCTTCCGGGAATCCAGTACTACACTGGGCAATTATTCGACATCCCAAAGATCACCGAATATGCGCACTCACGAGGACTTATTGTCGGATGGGATCTGGCTCATGCCTACGCCAATGTCCAGCTAAAGCTACACGACTGGGACGTCGATTTCGCAGCTTGGTGCACTTACAAATACGGTAACGCCGGCCCCGGGGCAATGGCAGGCCTCTTTGTCCATGAGAAACATGGTCAAGTCGACTATAGCGAAGGAGAGGATGCGCCAAAGTTCCGACACCGTCTGACTGGGTGGTATGGAGGCGATAAATCAGTGCGATTTAAGATGGACAATAGTGAGTTCTAGTCTTCCGAGCAGTCAACTTGACCCTATTCAGTTCTAATGTCAGAGCAGAGTTCAAACCAATCCCTGGGGCGGGTGGTTACCAGATTTCGAACCCTTCGGCGATCGATCTTGCATGCTTGTGCGCTGCTCTGTCGGTGTTTGATGAGACCTCCATGGCTGAGCTGCGCAAGAAATCTGTCTTGATGACGGCGTATCTAGAGTACCTGCTGTTAAAGGACGCCACGGACGAGTCGCGGCAATTCCAAATTATCACACCTTCCGATCCTGCTGCTCGAGGTGCTCAGCTCAGTCTTCTGCTTAAGCCTGGGCTATTGCACAAGGTAGCTCATCGACTGCAGGAAGCAGGGATTATCTGCGACAAGAGAGAACCAGGAGTTGTCCGCGTCGCACCTGTCCCATTGTACAACACTTTCACTGAGATCTGGATGTTCGTTCAGCAACTCAAGGCAGCTCTGGAAGAATGAATTTTGCCGAGTTGTCATGTTCAAGGCTCAACTGTAACGTGATACGCTTTTTGGTTACTGCATCGTTTGATCTGTATTGTATGGCGAGTTTCTATGGCGAATTCCGCAAGAAAAATGAGGATAGAAGAATACCCAAGATGACTATTTAGCTGTCCATTTCAACGCGCCCACTCGTATCAGAAATCTCGTAGGAGCGTGTAGCTCCAATCCCATATTTCTGCCTGGCCTTCCAATGAGGAATTTTTGTTTTCAATTTGCGCCTCAGCCGTTCTAAAACGGAGGCTTCGTTGTTTTCGAGCCTTTTTTGTTGTTGTCTCGAGGGGCGTAAGGTCTTTGAAGCCTGGGGGTTGGGTCGTATTCGTTTCGATGCCCAAATATAGGAAGGTGACCATCAACGACAATACAAAGCATGTCTCTTCTCCAATTTTGGCAGATATTAACCATTTCGAACCGAGATTGCAAATTTAAACTCCTCTTTTGGATATACTCATTGGTATTGTGCCAAATATAATTGACCTGCAATCGTGGACAGACTGCGCATAACACTTGCTATCAAGTTTGCTACCAACAAGTACTCCCGCGCCTTCACCAGCATGATTTCCTGGCACTGCATGGACTAGCCAGGAGGCCTTTGGGAACGGCATTAGTGCTCATCGATCTTGCCCTCCGCTATCGTATGCGAATCCTGATCGGGTTACCCATACGAATGCGAGCCCTGACCATGCAACCTCCTCATATGGCGGCTGGTACAATGTTCCACGGTTTGCAGGAGACAGTCTTATTGCCTGGATAGCGATTATTTCTCAGCTGCCACCAGGTACGCGCAAATCATTGCGTTGTTGGGGCATTCGCCCAGTCCAGGGCCGGCTTCATTCTTTGCCATTAATACTATTTGCGTTGTTAGGCATCAGTCATTAGACTCAATACTTATGAGAGTCAGTTCCTAGAGTATTTGCAATGGCCAAAGCAAGGTTTACTGTTATTCTACCTCCGTTGGACAAGCTTCTGGCATTAAAGATCGAGGACCGCCTACTCTATCAGACCCAACCCTCGCATAAATCACAATGAACTTCGCAATTGAGAACCACCCTAAGATCAAGCTGCGGGCCCATATCATTATCGGCGTTTTACTTTTCCTAAACTTCGTCCTGATAATTGCACGCATAGCGGACAAGGGTACGCCCAAGGCCAGGTCAAACACCTGGGGTATTGTCGTCGTGAGTGTACCCTTATTTTTTATGCGGCTTGATCGAGGTCCGGAACAGCTAGTTGCAGCTCAAAGGCTGACCCGAGACGTCGAGCTCTCCAGTGTCTCAAGGCCGCCATCTTCCTGGCTTATCAAGTTGCCACGGCTCATGTAGAGCGGTTCAAGCGCTGGGCAAGTGCGAAGGCGTACATGATCCTCAACGTTATCGACACCATTTTCTGGTTTGTTCTCTTCATCATCACCATCCTAGGAACAACCGCCGCCCACAGTACGAGCAGCCGTGCGCTTGGTGGCATTGTCGCTACGATAAGTATAATTTTGTGGTACGTGTGTCTCTTTCAGGGAGGTGTCGGGATTATCAATGCTTAACAGAGGCGTATTTTCAAGTAGGGCGCTGATTATTGAACTGTCGCAGTGGAACCGTTGGCTTTCTCACTTTCATCTGTATTCGCGGATGGAGATACTTCAAACAATATGGCGTCCTTCCAGGCACGTTCAAAGGGTCGAACTACGGATCTAATTGATCCATGATGCTAACAACGGCTCCGCCTATGATGTCTATCAAATTGAGGGTGATCTTGCATGCTGCAACGAGATATGAGAATGATTGATTTTGAATATGAAGGGTTCGATGTATTCAGGTGTTTTGAATTCGGTAGAAGTCAGTGTTGGGTCTCGCTTAGAAGACACTTGTATGTAAGTATACAGGCGAGATTTGCCAGCCGGGTGAATTAGAAGTTCCCAATTCCTTCTCTATTATCGCTGCCACGCAAGAACTCTTGTCCCTGGGAAAAGAAGTTTGTGGCCAAGATAGATAGCTCATCGTTGAAGAAATCTGGTTGGCGCGGAGAAATTGTTGAGCCCATGGCATAGTGTGGCCCGACCGGAAGAGCAGGTTGAAAGCCATATTCAGACCCTCGTGACCCTGGATGCGATTGTTCGGAATGTGAATTGAGGCGAGTGGGTTCGGGTAGAGGAGACGTCTGCGATACTTCCATGTCAATGGTAGGGGTTCACTGTACAATGAATCGCCGAACAAGCGATGAGCAGAGCCCGTATCCCTGTTAAACGAGTATTCGAGGATTTCCCAAAATCGTGACAGGTCTATCAGTAGGCTCTTGTTCTGAGCCCGTGGCTCAGGTTGATAAGTAGCTGAAACAGCGCCTTCCAGTCGTTGTAATTTATCCGCCTGTATGATGAATAGCAGTGTTAGTCGACTCATGCCTCGTAGGATAGGTGAGAATCGCTGACCAGTTGCGCCATGTGAGGCCACCTTTGCCCAATATTTTCCACGAACTTGACACATCTATAAAAGCGATCGCGCTTCTCTTGTCGGATGGTTTTATCTTCAGTAAAACTTAACTGTAGTTCGATGGTCGCCACCACAGCAGCGCTGTACCCTAGTAGTGGATCTGACACGATGAAATTTTTCTCTTCAAAGTAGTTTATGAAATGAATGATCCAGGTGGTATGTGAAGAGATAAGGTCCGAAGTGTGCTGCAAGAATATCTCTGGAATAGAGTTCCGGAAGTTCCTCAGGCTCAGAGACAGCAGAAGCGGATGATTGAGGAGACAAAGGTTTGTATGATAGAGAAATTGGTTCAGGAACCACGGACCCCAGTATCCTCGGTTGGCTTGAAGCTCCTCGGCCGTCCTCTCACTGAGATTGGCCGGTTTGAATCGATGGATGTAAGGCATGCGTGTTTCCAGGTCCATTTGCAGCGTGATGATTTTGGAGTACTCTGATTGTGAGGACCACGGTGGGACACTGCTCGGCCGGCCGTGGCGACGAACGTATCTCGTGGTTTTGGCGAAGACCTCGCTTAGAATGATCACATACGCAATGATCCCGTGGTCTTCCATACCGGTAGACCGAGTCTCATCAGTTGCACTGCTCGGCGAAAAGGGCGAATGAGGGCGCTCAGGGCTTTGTGGGAAGGGGGGAAAGCTCCCATCAGGGAACCCCATGCTGTCAAATTCAACACCATGAAAGCGCTTCAAAAGGCAGATGCTCCAAAAGCAGCGTCGCCGCTCTTCGCGGATCACCGCGGACAACGTAGCGTGCGTTTCGGAGCCCAGATTGGCACATTGGGCCAAGTTCATCGCAAGGCTACTGTGAATGCTTGAGCGATGTGTGTTGCCGTCTGAACGGGGTTAGTCTCGAATGCCGTTGACTCAAGGACTAGACTTACTTGTAAAGTCGATCAAACTTAGAAGGCAGAGACACTGTAGGGTAGACAATTCAACCGGGCCCTCTGAAACTCTCCTCATGACCAGTCCTCTAGCTACCTCTGTGTAGCCGCTCACGAGTGTTGCAAGATCATTCGACCCCTGGCAGTCTTCGTCAGAGAATCGTATACTCAATGCGAGTACAGCGTAGAGGATTTCGGGATCTCGAGTGCTGAGGCTGCTAAGGAAACCATCTCTATGGAAAAGAGGAAGGGGCTGGGACTCGCAGTATAGTAGATATAATTCTGCCACAGCGAGCACCTTCTCCCAGGTTGGAAGTGGAGTAATGGCACTGATCATCGACGAGCTGATAGGGCCACTCAAAGTAGTATTCGGCCGAAGAGACGAGTCGTTTGTCCTCTGTTGTTCGGCCCTCGAGCTATTTCGTCTAATTGGGATTATCAGTCACTGATCGGGTCTCACACGAGTGTAGGAATCGCATTACTCTAGAGCATCCAGAACTTTACTCATCTTCGCCTCCAGGCTCCCGAGACGATCCTCCTGAGACACAGTCAACGAAAAAGAACGAGGAGGATTCGAACAGAAGCGAGCTCACCAATGTTCGAGTAATTCGCACTTCAGGGGCATCAGAAGAAGTAAAAGCAGCGGCGGAGGGCGATCCGTCTGGAGTTGCATGCGGCAGTGACCTGCGTCTTTCCCCAGCGTATGCGCATCTCTGGCGCAATCGTGCGCAGAGCGAGCAAACCGGCTGCTCACCAGGACATTTTGCCTTTTTGCGCCTATGGAATGGTGAGCCCGCATGTCGAGTCTCGAAGAAAGATGGTCAGGTTTACCTGCATGGTTCGCATGCTTGCCGTACGCGTTTGCTTGGTCGCTCAAGAGATGGTCGGTTCATCTCAGAGCAGACCGGATTAGACTTGTGGAGTTGACCGGATGTACGTTGTGTTCACCGTGTCAGTAGACAGACCATTATCGAAATCTCGTATGAGCTGCCTACGGAAGCGCTCAGTGGCATTGTCTCCCACGAAAGTGAAACTTCTTCAATTATTTGTGTATAACTGTATCTTGTGTCGCATGTCCCCCTAAGTATTTGATCAGTCGCCCATTTGATCTCATTGAGGTTCAATGCATGTTAATGTTCAGAGCGGATACCTGGGGTTGTATCCCATATCCGCTCGGTTGATTACTAATCCCACCTTGACGAAATCACAGGAACGAGCAACATGGCTGGGAGATATCGGCATGCGGGCTCAATCGTATAGGGCTACAAAGTTGGAATCTCGCGTCTACTAGTAAGCGTACAATACATGAAGGGCATCCAGCAAATGGCATCTCGGAGTATGAAAAACCAGAATGGCGAACATCTGTTTCAAGGACTTCTTCTGTAAGATCGATGAAGCGACATCCGATGGCATTGAGTACATAAGACCGTCTTGTCATAGCTCCCGTTGGAATAATTCGACGAATCATTTGAACAGACTGATCAACTCTTCCATTGATACCCTGGCTGATCTTATATACAACGTCGTGATATTTCCTTTCAAACCAACACGTCTGTCGAAATAGAAATACACCGCTAATGGATCCAGGAGGCGCTAGTCCATGTATTCGATCTGAAATTGCCGAAGATTTATTTAGTTCTTGCCGAACCAAGTCTTGTGGCCCTATTGAATGTCAGTCCATGAATGGGCATAAGCCGCGAGGAATACCGGCTCCAGGGACATCGTAACGGGCGAGGGATACTAACAAGGACCATACGGCACATGGCATAGGTGGTGGCTAAAGCGAGTTAGCTACGAATGACTCCTTCAGGGGCGCGTCAGAACTCACCAATGCCCAAACCGTAAACGGAGATGAGGTAGGGGTACATGATGTACTTGCTACGCTCGGTCTTCAAAGAAAAAGGTACCAGTCAGCGAAATTCACAGTCATTCCAATGTAAATGCGTCAACCCCCGGACCAACTGACCTTCCACCACTGACGCTTGCCATCGTGCTGCTGGAAGAGACGCTGGTAGTATGGAACACGGTTCTCGCGGAACACGAATCTAGGATTCCCAGGCAAAAGGAGTCAGTAAAATCATGAGCGCAATTGGGTATTCTGAGGAGAAAGATGGTAGATTGCCGACAGGAATTGGATGGTCATAGGCGATCATCCCACCCGAGTCGAGACGATGCTACCGGTTGAGTAGGAATTGAATCAGAACGAACGTACCCAGCCATGCGGGGAACAGTGCGGAACATCTTGACGGTATGTAGATGCTATATCGCAGCTTCTAAATGAGGTAGACTAAGTTTGGTCGGAGAAGGAAGACCAGCAACAATGATCAGTCGATGCCGTGAAGTGTGGATCCAGATTTGGAGCTGCAAGTCAAGCCTCATGTGACTTTCCTCGTTCTTCCGCCAATTCGGAGTAAGTGCTTACTAATAATCACATGACTTATATTCCTCTCTGTCACGGTTATTCCAAAAGAAGTATCTGTCCGTGTAAAGTTGAGAGCTCTATGCGAAACGATTAGGGCCTTTCATTTATTCGTTGCTTATTCTCAATGGTCTCTATCTGTCGATTCTTGGCCTACCGATGAGGAGGATGCCCAGAGGCCGCTCTATCACCTTACCTTTCCATTCTCAGGACTCATGCGCCCGGCTCTCCTTCGATTATTGAAGAGACCGTCCGCCGTTTCGGTTCTCGACTCTCTAATATCGAAGTCCGTCGGCATCGAGCAACTAGAGTCCAAAAATGAATGTTTACGATGCAGTTTCCGGAAGGCGCACCAAAATGCGGGCGTTCGGCGATGCGAGGTCGAGGAACCCAGCAGCAACGAAACCCCTACGCGTTTGAATCAATCATCGACCTCGCGCCCCTTCAGCTTTCATGTGTATGACATACAGTCGCCCCGGGATACAAGACACGGCCGTACAATGCGACAAGATAACGCTCCCATATCCTCAATGGCCGACAAAGACGGCTCTTTGCGCTTTGATCTACAGCCCGACAAGCTAGACTTCGAATCGGATATCGGCCACACCCAGGACATCGGTACTCGCCTTGTCGACGATCCGGTCCACCGACAGAGGCTGGATCTCTGGGAGCAGCTGCTTCGCTATCGGCAGCGACACTATGGAGACAGGGGAACACTGGATATCTGGATAGCTTTGACGGACAGAGTGGACGGTGTCGACCTGCCCGTAGTCGGGGAACAAGCCGATTTCTTCTGGCACAGTTTTGTTGATTTGGGGCTCAAGCGGGAAGTTGTCATGGGAGAGGTGTTGGCCTATGCACTGGAGCTTTGGAAGAGAACTGGAAGCCGATGGGACAAATTTTACGAAGTCGTCGTTGGTGGATATCTCGAGCGAGGTATGACGCAGCATGCTGTTCGATGGCACAAGAAACTCGAGCATCCTCATCTATCCTGTCCAAATGATATCATGAGGATCTTTGAAACAGCTCTAACTATGTCCAATGGATCGGCGAAAATCGTCCTGCCAACGACGGCCACACGACGCTCTGCATCTCCTGGCATTAGCGCTTTCAAGAATATATGCCGACTTACGGACGGTCACCAGATATATGGCCGTGCCATCTCACAGCTGTTGGAATTGGGTCGTGTTGAGGATGCATTTTCGCTGCATTCGTTTTTGGTTGAGAGACACGACCATCCGCAAACCTACGAAGAGATCCAGCCTCTGCTCCAATGTGCGAAGGAGCTCAGGCCGAGAAAATTCTACAAACTCCAGGCTTACTGCAAGGGTCGCTTCCCCGGCCGAGTGGCATCGGCTGAGGAGAGTGCCCCTGCTAAAGAAGACGATACGCGAGAGTCCAGCGGAAAAGTTTGGCTTCAAGAAAAGCCTTTCAAGGATGAACTGGGCGCTCGGCTCTTCGCCACCAAAGCCCTTGCCTTCGAGACAACCGTCGCGGGATTACGAATGTTCGGTGTACAGGCTATTGGGCCGCAGTCGCTGCGAGAAATGGCAGTTCGGACTCAAGGGAGCCAGGACATTGTAGCTCGGTTGCGAGAACTTCACAGAGCGGGCATCTCGATTGGCGATTCGGTCTTCGCACGACTAATCCGTAAACTGGCTTCGGAAAATCGCGACATACTTCTGTCGGACCTACTCCATAGCGATCAGCATCCCGATGTGCTGGAAGATGCGGTGATGCAAGAGTCGCTGTTAATATCGTACTATATCGCTCGCGACTGGCGTCCATATAATATGACGCTCGCCATACTTACAGAAATATTTGACGACGGGTCTAAACTGAGCAATATCCACTTTCGCAAATTCATCGCCTCGGGAGAATGGGCTGCTGCGTCCAAGATGGTGGACGAAATGACACTAAGCGGTCAGACACTTGACCAAGCAAGCGTGGACTTCATGGTCAAGCATGCTCTTACTCCGCGTCGACCAGGAGTCGGACCAGTCCAAGGGACAGATGTCTCATCCAGCCAAGAAGTTTCATTTGTTTTCCGTGTTTTGCAGCGTGTCGTTCCAATGGGCACATCCGTGTCTCCTGATCTCTGGATTGAGATGCTGAAACGACTCGGGATGACGAATCACTGGGATGAGCTTCGCAGATGCTGTCTTTGGCTCGCTCGCCAATATTCCGCTGCCCCGAAACCGAGCGATGCACTTTCTCTCCTCATAAATTCTACGGACCGGCCAAGGCGTGAAGCTGACGGTGTAGCTCGGGGTGATGGCGACCGAATGTTGCAAGCTGTCTTTAGCAAAAACATGCAGGCAGCTATTGTCGCGTGGGGATTCAAAATGCGAGTGTCTCCAAATCCCGATCACGAAGGTTATAGTGCCTTAGGACTTGAGAACCTTGTTCCCTGGGTACGAGGTTTAGTGCTTCTACGCGAGCTGGAGCACAACGGCATCCGTCTTTGGCACAGCTGGATTCGTAGGGCCTGCCGACATCGCTTGGCTGTTCTCTTCGGCCACTCAAGGCAATCTAGCCGACACATGAACCGTATGTTACGAAGAGAATGCCCCTATTCTCCAGAGCGTGTGATTGCAGACATCGACCGTGTGTGGGGGAATCCACCCCTTTTCAACGGTCAGCAAGACGGCGATTTGTCCCAGCTGGTCAATCCTCCAAGTTCGAATATGTCTCAACGCAGGACCGGACGAACGCTATGGAGAGAAGCTCGCCTGAAAGGAGCGGCATTCGTCAAAACCAAATGAGATGCTGTATATTAAAGACCACTATGTACATACAACTTTATATCATTAGTACTCCCCCAATGCTGGAGCTCCGCCCACAGTCCATCTAGTTATCAGGAGTTCTACTATGTCTGAAGGTCCAGAACACTGCGTAGACCACACGTGACTGGAGCCCCAGGCAACATCGATAAAGATGCAAAACACTCTGAGCCACGGAAATGGCGAGCCAGCCCCCTTCACTTTGGGCTATATTCCGTTCTAAGAATAGTCCCAAAGGCAACGCGGCCCAGGCTTACTGAATCATTTCTGACTTTCCCTGTGGGACTGGGCCCACCAGCGCAGTCAGCACTGTCAGATCGCCTCCAATCCTCTCTGACGTTCAACTCTAAGTGGATCTCACAACGCAATCACTGTGATGCCGAACTGTCAAGCAGAGCCCGTTAGTGGATAGCGAGTTTGGGTTGTTACTTTCTTCTAGACCGTGTGGATAACATCAAGTGCCTGGCGCAGCCTACAGTCAATAGTCAATAATAAACAGTTATTTCAGATCTTGGTTTTGACAACCATTCTTCATTGCATCAGCCCCCTTTCCAATTCCAACCTGAAACAAGTTTCCTCTGCATTTTTGTACTGCAGAAAATATCTACATTCCGGGAATCTGCATACCGAGGATCTATTCCTTCCCCAGTACTTACATAGTCCAATCTAGATAGCAGTGTCGTGTTCTTCATCACAAGTCACAGCAGAGACAACCAGCATGCTAGGACGATTAGGACTCGGTGTTCTAGCACTTCTCCCTGTGACATATGCAACGGCGTTGCTTCCTCGAGAAACAGCATGCAATAACTCTCCAGGTCTCTGCTCAAAGTCCTATGGGGAAATCACACATCTGGGGGCGCACGATAGTCCGTTTGTACGAGATGCATCGACCGGCTATTCGACCTCAGCGAACCAGTAAGTTGAATGCACGACATATTGTACGGCAGCAAGTCAAACATTTTGCTAATACTTACTATAGATACTACAACACCACTTTACAGCTAGACGCTGGCGTTCGCATGGTAACGGCGCAAGTCCATTTGCAAGGCTCGGAGTGGCACCTATGCCATTCGAGCTGTGAGCTGTTGGACGCAGGGAAATTGAGTACATGGTTAAAAGAGATCAAGAGCTGGTTAGACTCGAATCCGAATGATGGTGTGTTCCTGCCTTTGACTCGGCTATTCATGGCTAGCTGAATGTTGACATTTTTTTCCTCTCCAGTCGTCACAGTTTTGCTGGTCAACTCTGATAACGCCTCTGCCTCCGATCTGAATTCCGAATTCGAAACTGCAGGAATAGTCGACTACGCATATAAACCCTCCTCCTCATCCGCACCAAGCTCGTGGCCGACTTTGCAGACTTTGATCAATAACGGGACTCGGCTGATGGTCTTCGTGGCATCGTTGGACTCCAACACAAATGCCCCTTACCTCATGGATCAATGGACGTTTGTGTGGGAGAATGCTTACGACGTCACGTCGCCTTCCAACTTCTCTTGCAATCCCGACAGGCCGACGAGTGTGAAGAATGATCTCTCCGCTGCCCTCTCATCCAACCGCCTGCCATTGCTGAACCACTTCCTCTATGCCACAACCATCCTGAATATCGAGTATCCTAACTCCACGTACGTGACTACCACAAACGCGCCCTCCGGCGGAGTGGGGAACCTAGGAGACACAGCAACAAAGTGCCAGAGCGCTTACGGCCGTCAGCCGGCCTTCATATTGGTGGATTTCTTTGACAAGGGCCCAGCCATCGATACCGTGGATAAGTTGAATAATGTCACCTCGCCTGTTGGGCGTACCAACCTCACAACGAGCTCCAGCTCGAGCACGACGCAAACAAGCTCTGCCTCAACCTATTCGAACGTCTTCAAGGGGTTGGTTGAGCTAGTACAGCAGGCGAAGTCGGGCTCGAATCCCAGTATGGGCGACTGGGTTTGGGTTGGAGGAGACTGGGGAAGCCTTCTCGGCGGCGGTATAACGCTGTAGCCACAGCGTCGTATTATGCCGCTCATCCATTACTTCAATCTTGCGGTATCCTTGAACCAGGTGTATTTCTGTGTCGCACAGTGCATGGTCGGCGTTTGGGAGTGGAGTCGGGAATCATGCAGCTCAGATATCTGGGTCTTGTTTTGTTATATCTATAAGCGATTTTCAATGTGGATAGTATTCCTAGACCAATATAGAATTAACTGTGTATCCTAGAACCCGCAACGCCTCCGCAATGTCGTACAAACTTCACATTACCAGCACTCGATGGCGTTCACTGATCCTGTGCCAGCAATTGCCGCACCTTGTTCACTTTGTCCTCAAACGATTGCTCCTTGTCAGTCCTGGAACAGAAATCGAGTCAGCTAGCGCCAAACCCAAGTCATAAAGTAGGAAAAGCAGAGTACAAACCTCGAGCCAACCCGGATATCTGTCTGGATCCGGACGATACCCTGTTGGTGCAATAGCATATGCGCCTGACCAATGACCTGGTGGACCTTGTCCCAGGATCCCTCTGTTTGAAAGAATCGGTATCAGTGGACCGCACCGATTGACCAGAATCAGAATGAATGCAGGATTCAAAACGTACCCAGCGTTGTACCAGCCGAGTGCATCACGTATTTGAGTCCGGATTTTTCGATTAGGCGCTGGACGTCTGCGATTTGGGAGGATACGGAGGGAGAGGAGGTCCCGATCTGTGATTTGAGAGTTCAAGGTCAGTATCTGTGTGTATGCGCTGGCCATTTTGAGAGACCGCGCAGATTGATGGGTTCTTGAGTGGTTTGGTGGATGGATGACGCACCGGAATCAAGCAGAAGTCTGCGGTGCAGTGAGGGGGAGTCGGGATGGATGCAATGTCTGCAGATGCCATAATTTCGGTAGATTGAACGGGATTATTTGCACAGTCTATTCGTTGGTGATATCTCAATTTTGCCAATTGTGACTCGAAGCGATGGGACCAGGATCCTGAAGACGAGAGGCTTGACCGGATACAATTTCAAGAACGCGGGGTACAAGCACAGCAGTGGCGGGGCACTATCGGTATAGTATCGCGATTGTTCAAAACTTCAATCTACTGTTTTTTGCAGAGCAAACTTGCGACATTTGTGCTCAAGTTTATGCAGTTAGTCCTTCCCAATGACGACATCTATTTCCAATCTCGCTTCTACACATGATGCTGCAGCTTCTGCTGTCTTGAGCCCTTCTGCAACGCAACTACTCATATACGCTGCAGATGATATCGCTTGATTCCTTCCTCTATTGACAGACTGTCATCTAGCTGTACTCTATCTCAAACTGTACATCTTCACTTTCCAGGCGATGTTACCGATTCAGACAACATGTGACGGGTCACGAACGTTTCGCTGCACCGAACGACTCGACAGATGGACCCATTGGCTGAGTACTTTGAGTTGATACGTCTGTCATCGGTTGTCGATAGCCTTGCTGCCTTTGCATTGTGCTTTTCCTCCCCGGATTTTCTGAAGGGCCCCAGTAGTTCCTCGTGCTGGCGGCCTTGTCAATCCGACAGACCATGAGGCGGTTAACCCGCTTCACTCCAGGAGTCAAGGTGGATGATAAGGTTATGCGAGGCGAAAAGGATGCCTTGGCAAATCCCTTCAATTTGCGTCATCTTTTGAAGATGACTTGAATGAAAGCTTGGTAGTAGAGGCACGTTATCCCAGGATTATTTCGCTATTTGTTGTCATCTTCTCCTTTCCGCCTCTATTTGCTCGCTAGTGAAACCCATTCCACGGTACACAGGGAGCCCCAGGCAGACCACTTTGAAACTGAATCGTGACCCCTTGTCGGTCTGAACGTTCGTCCTATGCAATTTTCCTTGTCAGTTTGTCGTATTACTTGCATGATCCTACTGCCAGTCACTGTTACGCCATCACATCAACTGACCACGCATCATTCTTCCTTCGGTGTGTTGGAGGTCGTCTGAGCGCATTAATAGGCCTCTGATGCGGCGTTGACCGCCTATTTGTTTGAGCCGTGCACCCTTGTCGATTGTTCAGTGACAACGCTGTCGGCGTGCCCGACGCCCGAGGATTGAGCATCTGAGCTGCTGGACGGCTTATCATATTGTTTGAACCGTATTGCGGCCTTTGTGACTCTCGTCTCGTTTCAGACATTGTCTTAAATAACTTACAATACTCCCCGGCAATACTCCACTGTCGGATGCACTCAAGCTACTGACTTATTGAGCCGATCTTCAAATCGTTTGACACTACTCTGGCCGCCACCAATCTGATTGGGTCCAACCTGCCTAAGACTCCCAGGGTCAAGCGCCACAGACACCGCGAAGTTGGCTGCTCCGTGTGCATCGGCTATCAACCAGGCACAGACTCCTTGATCTGATCCCACTCGGTCTAAACGGTATCGGGTTTGGGTTCCTTTTCGGTGGATATCTACCAGTGACACTGTTGATTACACACTTCCTCAGTGTTCGGGATCATAGCAATCATCAGGCTCAGCGAAAGAAGTAATCTGAGACAAATACCAGACAACTTTGACTCTTTTCGATTCCTGTTCGCCAATGCTATAGCTTTGATGTCCTATCGTCAATTTGAAGTCTGCAGAACTCGTTTCGGACTTACGTGCTCGACTTGTTTGAGTATATTAACCGTTATCTAACAGTGCGCAAAAGAGGAAGATCAATTCAGGATACTCGGACAACATTTTGGAGGTTTCCTCCAGAACTATTGATCTTCCAAAAGCACATCCTCGTCAGGAGACAATGGTTCATATACGGAGAGGGAGTACCATACATCGACTGGCCACTTGACGAATGAACAAACCCGCTTTTCTGGAGCTCCCTGCTGGAGCTCAACTCGTATACCTTGCTGAGGGTGGAGCCAATATCATTTATCGTATTGCTTCAGCTCCCTCGCCCTGCCACATCGGCCCCACGGACACTCATAGCGCTTCTGGGTCTCGTTTCATTGTTCCTCCAGAATTCAAGGGGAAATTGCTTCGACTTCGAAAGGAAACAAAGACAGGAATCTCGTACCAGGAGATTGCCCGTAATTTCGACAGAACTATCCGCCCATTGTTCAGTCCTGACGAACTGGTGGACCAGGAGCTTGTGTGCCTTCCGAGCGGACTTGTGCAACGCTGCAATGAGCAATTAAGCGCGGCGGAGTGCAATGGCGAACGTCCCAAGAAGCGTCAAGGTGTGTATCTTTCGGTCACAGAGCCATATGGGCTTCTGGTTACCGATATGACGACTTTTTCTGCCCCGGATACCGTGCTTGCGGAATTGAAACCCAAATGGCTCCTGCAGTCACCATCAGCGCCAGTTAATGCTCGGAGATGTCGCACGTGCGCGTTGCGGGACATGAAGAATCACCAGAGTCGGAGAGCAGGTGGGTCTGAAGAGCTCTCGTTTTGTCCGTTAGACCTGGTGTCCGACAAGTTCGAGAATGTCCTGCGCGCAGCCAAATACGTCAAGGGCTGTGAGGACCAAGCCAGACTGGCAGCCATCCTCTATCGCAACCCTACATTGCAGAAACTCTTGACGCATCAGAAGGCTATGCGTGATGTGGGGCTACATGGGCCTTCGGCGCAGTCTCGAGAGCAGTCTCTTGCGATGACCTTGCGAGACTGCACGATGTTTATAAAGGTAGGCCATTCGACTCCCTCTATGTCTGAGACGATTGACTCACAGTATTAGATTCCGCGTGACGAGATGGGACCAGTGGAAATTCGCCTTGGAGACTTGGACCTCAAAACTGGAGCAGGTGGTAAGGCACAGTACTGGCTCAATTTGGAAAGCCAGTTGATCGCAGGTGGCTGGTATCTGGGCAGCAATAGTGGCTTGTCCCCGAGTCAGTGCTTGCTGCAGCGTCCTTGGCCCTAATGGCATGCCTAGTTGCCTTGCAGTTTCCTGACTACGCTCGCTTCTCTATTCTACTGCGAGCCTCGAAGTTTTACCATGGCACCATGTATCAAACATCTAGATGAGACGGAGATCTCGGACATACTCGGTTTTTTGTTTCGGTTATTAATACAGGTCATCCAATCCTGGCGACACCTTTCGGACATTCTTATGGGTGGCTTTTATTTTGCATTCTATGTATATTAGAACACCTTTAAGATACAGGCACTGCTACACATGGCTGATCATGTAGCTTTTTTCATATGCGTCAAATCCCTCGATAAATAATGCCCTGACTAGTCCGTATTTAGTTAAGCTCGAGTCCGCCCTTATGATGTCATACATCCTTATCTACAGTCTTCCGTGGAAAAGGGGTCTAGACCATTATATCCGAAGGGTCTAGACAACCGCTTTCGATACAATAGAGGCCATTATTCGATGAGGGATCGTCTCAAGTATCAAAATACAGATTTGATATTGTTAGGGCTCACCACAGTCGTCAAACTCAAGATCATCAACACGTCGCGGAATCTACGTAGGCCGTCAGAGCTTGGCATCCAGTCCTCCATACGCAGATCAGAGATCAGATAGAGCTTCAACCGATACAATTGAAACCTGCTCGTTGCAGAGATCATTAGAAATAGGGATTCTATGTCTATAGACTGCTGTATCTGTATATTAGCAAATGCCTTCGATCCGATTAGCTCCGTTGAACTATCGGATGAAAAACATTAATAATCCGTAATTCCGTAATTCCGTGCTTGCTTAGATATTGGTGACTACAGATTATATCAACATTATCCCACGTGGAGTGGCTCTTTCTATAGCATATCCGATCCCTCGATAGATATAATAACGGTCCCTCGACTGTGCGGAATTATCCTCCGTTCACTTTCTCCACAAGCTCAAGTACAAATACAAATACAAATACAAGATCATGGCATCCCCGCGACTCCTCTCTCGTTCACCTTTACTTCATTCCTTCGTCTCCCCATCCAGACGACCAGCAGAGCAACTCTCGTTCCATCCACACTATCAAGAGTACATAGACCCTTCACTTCGTCCCAGACCAAAGCAACGCCGTCCAAGATGTCCAACACCGACACGCTCATCGAGCTAGCCAAAGCCCGCCGCACAATCTACAAACTCGGCAAGAACAGCCCCGTCCCCGACTCCAAGATCGAAGAGGTCGTCAACACAGCCATCCAGCACATCCCCAGCTCCTTCAACACCCAGTCCACGCGGCTTGTGGTCCTCCTGCACGCCGAGCACGAGCGCCTCTGGGAGATCGTCATCGACACCTTCATGCAGCTCGTCCAGAGCGGCGCCGTGCCCGAGACGACATGGAAGAACCAGACCCTGCCTAAGCTGCAGGGCATGAAGAATGGTGTCGGGACGGTATGTCTCTCTGCCACGAATCCCTGAAACAGCATAAAGCTAACGCGTCGCTATAGATCCTCTTCTACGAAGACCCAGCACACATCAAGCCCTTCTCCGAGAAATTCGCAACCTACAAGGCGCACTTCCAGCCCTGGGCGGAGCACTCAAACGCCATGCACCAGTACTTCCGTACGTTTCTCTCCCCGTATCATTTGCACTTGCGCTCGCGCATATTAATACCCAAGGAACAGTCTGGACAGCCCTCGAGTCCCTCGGTTTCGGCGCAAACCTCCAACACTACAATCCCCTCATCGACGCCCCAGTCGCCAAACAATGGGACATCCCCTCGGAGTGGCGCCTCATCGCGCAACTCGTCTTCGGTAGCCCGGAGGGCGAACCAGGCGAGAAGACCCAGAAGCCCATCGAAGAGCGGGTTAAGATCTTTGGCAAACTATAACAAACTGACCTCGTCGTCGAGCCATTACACTAGACGCGATTAAAGAAGATTTAGATTAGAGATTATATATACAACAATACATACAGATACATACCCAGCATGAAGTCATCACTCGTCACTGCACTGGCCACACTTGACGTCAAAAACATCAGGAGGGGCAATATGATTTATCTTTGCTGATACCCCTGTCCCGCCCACCTGGACGGAGGAAAGTTGTAGTTATCATACCCCTGGCCCGCATATCGACTCTGAGGAAAGTCATAAGTATCGTCCAGGTCTTGCTTGGCGGCTAGGACCCATCCCGCATCTGATAATCGTTGACGGAGTGCCTTGAGACTCAGTATTCGCTTGAGTTTGGTGCGGAGGTCGCCCATGTTGGGTTGTATATAATTAGTTTGGCGGTGGCGGCGGAGGCCGTAGAAGTATAGGATGTTCGTTGTTTGATGTGGGATGTCCAATATTCAGTGGAGCAGGTAGAGGACGTTCGAATGGATAACTGGTAGTCCCTGTGGAGCTTTTATCTCTCAAGGCAGAAAAGTAAATCGAGAGTTCGAGACACTGCTAAAATGTCTGGGTAGAGAAGAATGGTTCTCTAGGTACTTCGCCGCTGGTGATGTGATGGCCGAAGGAAAAAAGAGGTGACGTTAACGTGAAATCAGGGGCATTTGGACAACCATTTTGACCAGCTTCGAGCATTCTTTACATTTATACCTCTCTAAACAGCTCGGACCGCGAGTCCAATAAATAAAATAAAATTAACACCGTGCAAAATTTCTCGTGAGTGGCGAGGAAACCGTATCAAAAGGAGAATATGCGAGGGTTTTCCGAGTTTGAGCCGAAGATCATTCGTTGTAATGCATACGTTAAACCTAACTACTACCTAGCCCGTACAATAAGAGATAACTTAGTAACTAAGTTACCGTTCGTGACAAATGGCCGAATCAGACAGTCCAACACAGCAGATCAACTAGTTGCAGGCGAAAGCTCCAAATCAATCATTGATCCCTGAAGAGGGTATAAAACAAGGAACGGCAATCAAAGATACAAGCACAAAGTAACTACAAGGACTCGTGGCTCAACGAGATGTTCGGTACCAAAATGCCTCCGGATCCCCCAAGCAATCTCCAACTGTGACCGCTGTCGCACGGATTAGCATTTGATAAGTGTAAATCACATTGTCAATAGACACATACTCTGCAATCCTCTCTCGCGGATCTCCTCAAGCATTGCCATTGTCAACGTATGTACGGTTTGTGCATGCACATCGTGGGACAGGATGATGCTTCCGCCGGCGTTCAACTCGGCCCGGAACCTTTCAAAGCTGCGGGAGATCAAATTGGGATGGTCATTCTCATAGTCCTTCGTGTCGATACTCGCACTGATGACATGGTACCCCAGGTCACCCATGGCCGACAACACCACCCCATTGAAAGCGAGGAAAGGCGGCCTCATGTATGTCGGATAGAATCCTAGGACTTGCATAAAGGCATCTTCCAATTGGGTCATCTGCGCGACAATGGCGGGATAGTCCAGTGAGGTGAGATAAGGATGGCCCCAGCTAAGCACAACTGTGAGCTCCTGCAATGGATGATTGAACCGGGGGATACGTACGTATGCGAGCCAATCTGATGGCCTTCTTCGAAAATACGCCGCACGACAGCGGCGTCACTATGAAAGCTCCCTTTATTTTGGCCATTGAGGAAAAAGGTCGATCGCGCACTGTATGCACTAAGGAGTTCCAGGAGATCGGAAGTGTAGACGAACGGTCCATCGTCGAAGGTCAAAGCGACCGTACCAGGAATGACGCATCTGTCCAAGATGGCTCCGAAGGGCACAGGGGAGTTTCGCTTTCCGATGGTCTCGTTCAGAGGAGATGCCCAGCTTTCGCGAACAAGGTTTGAGGCAGAGAGGAAAAGAACGGGCATAGCCCAGAAGCGCGAGGGAACCATGATTTACGACCAGCAGCTAAGCGAACGAGTAAGAATGAATAACGAGTGTGAAATATTGATAGTGCTTCAGTAAGTGGTATAGGTAAGAGTCTGAAGGTCTGGATAGGAACAATGAGAGGTAGAAGAGCATCAGCATTGGACACAGTACACTCGGAGCAGAACAATTTATAGCCTTCTGCCTGAGATGGAGAAGGGAAGACGAGGAAGGTGTACTGCGGAATAAGGAAGGCATGTCTGCTGCATCGTTGGGATGATAGTACTTGCAGTTTGAGCGGAAAGAATATGGGAAGGAGGCGATGAAGACTTCTAAGGATGTAGAGACGCATACTCTTTCAAGGGTCTTGAGGGAGACGTTAGAGCATACACTTTATGGAACAACAACTTTCTTTTCGAACTGGAAGATTATGATGACATTAAAAAGGCCAAATGCATGATTTTCATAAATGGGTTTCGAAAGTAAATCTTTGTCAAGTCAGCATCAGAAAGCTTGACATCATCTTCCGAATCCCAGCTACATCGCGCGCCCACACACGACAAATATACTTATGAATACATTGAGATAAAGGGTAAGGAGCACCGAAGAAAGACCGACAATTTCCAATATCGGAACAATATAAGACCGATCATGCTCTCTTGGTGTACTTCTTCATAGAACGTCTCTGGCCCTTTTGCGATTCACGCTCAAGGAACTTGCGCTGCTCTTCGGCAGTCATGCCACGGAGGAGTCGCTCTCGCTCGTCCTTCTTGATCTTCTCAGCTGCCAGCCTGCGTTCCTCTGCCTTTTCTTCCTCGTCAGCGCGGCGAAGCTTCTTGATCTCTTCTTCACGAACGTGCTTGATCTTGCGCATCACCTCCGGACGGAAATGAGCAGACGCAACAAGCTTGTCAGTAAAACGAAGGAACTGGTTGAACAGTGGCATGGTGGCCGAGTAACCAGAAGCAGACGAGGGAAGAGAGACGGAATAATGAATGCGCTTCCGGGGTGTAGTTTCCTCGATCCTGGAAGTAGTATTAGTCTCGATGTTCCCTTTTAACCAAGGAATGACTCACTTCAAGGGCTTGTCGATGGGCTGGTCAGTGACAATGAAATATCTGAAAGAGTCTCCAGCCTTCTCGATAGCCTGGATCAATTCAGGAGTGAGGAGAGTATCGGTGATTTCGGCACTTTCTGTCATAACGGTAACCCAGGATGGTAGCTTGGCATTGTCCTTGGTAAAGGTCATCGACGCATCGTACCGATCCAGGCGGAACTTGCGCATGTGGTTCTTGTGCACAACAGCCCAGATGAAACCGTCATAGGTCGAGTTGTTCACCTTCAGGGATGAAGTATCGTTGGCGGGTACGGGAACAAGATCCTTTTCCCTGCCATCAAAGGTGTAGGCGACTGCCTCGAATGTCTCGGTAGGAGCCTGCCAGCTGTCGAAGAAAAAGCTGAGAGCATAATCGGACCAGTAAATGATGGGGTTGTGCCGCTTGGGCAACTTGATAGACATGTCAACGAAGGCGACGTTCTGTCTACCGGTGGCATAGGAGACGAACTCCTGCGCAGACTTCTCCTTCAGAATGGACTCCGGGGAGATCAATTCCGCAGGAGCAGAATCGGCCTCGCCGGTGGATTTGTGGACGCCATCGAATCCCACGACCGCGAATTCGCTCTGGAGAGCCGGCGCATGAGCCTGAGCCCACTCCCTAGCTCTCCGTCTATTCTTGCGCGTGCCCCAGAGATGAAATACAACAATCAGAAGGATCAATGGCATGACCATTGCTTCTTGCATAAAGTCCTTGGGAGAGGTCCGCTCCCAAACTCGGTACCATTTTGTGTAGGGGACGGCGGTGGCACCCTGGGTGTCGAGGGCGGGGACCGACGACGACCCCGCTACTATGGACGCAGGGGACGGCTCGGGAGCCTTCACAAAGTCGGCGAAATCTATAAAAGCGACAAGAATAGGTCAGGAGAGCATGACAACAGGGAAAAAGGAGCATATGATGCTTTCCCAGAACTAATGGGGCAGCACTCACCATCCTCGACTTTGGCTGGATCTGACGGCTGAGAGCCGCCAAACATATTCTTTAGCATGCCAGCCATTGTGGAAGGAAGACCAGATCAAACGGAACCCTGTCGCAACGTGGCAGAGGAGAGAGAGGGTGATGAAGCGAAGAGGGAGGGAAAGGGTTGGGGTCGATTTGACGTTCGCGATCGGAGCTGCGCTAAGGTGGTTTAGTCTGTGGAGCGGGAGCCGAAGTCTGGGCAGCTCCGTTGACATAACCCCCAGATAAGACTGACACCACTGGAGAGGGCACGAGCTTTCACTAGGTATACAAAGACTTGGCATCAAGGGTGAAGATGGGATGTGCTCGTGAGGTCTACGATTTCAGTAGCAAATTAAGGAATTGTTGCCAGTAATACTGAGGCTTGAGTTAACACAATTTCGATTCCACCATCCTATCCTATGCCGAATACCAACGGCTAGTCGCTACCACGTTAGATATAAAAGGAACAAAGAGAGATATGAACGAAAGAAAGCGAGTGGGTGAGTGAGACAGCAGAGGCAGATATACAGTTCGGACAAATGAGTGAGTGAAGGAGTGGTATCCTGCGCAAAATACAAGAAACACCGCACAGAAGACAAAAAAGAACACCGAAACCTTTTAGAAATACAGTTCATCATACAGAAAGTCTAGGACCCGCTTCAAAAGAGACACCAAGATGAGTAAGATAGTCGAAATAACCAGCAATTAAAGGCATTGTCGTATCGGTCATTAAGTTTCCAGACTCGCTGGATTTTGAGGCACAGGGCCATGGAAGAAAGAAGAGAAGAACAAGGGACTTGAGGATCCAGAACAATATAGATCAATGGCCATAGGCCGGCGGAGGAGACTCTTCTTGACTGTGGCGGTCCCAAAAGGGGCCGCATGCGTTGCTTGCCATGAATTTCTCGTCTCGCATGCGACGAGCAATCTCTCCGGCGAGCCTTTCAACCAAGGCCTGGTCGACAACCCCGCCGGTGGGACTGTCATTGATAAACGGAAGAATCGTGGAGGGTAGTTGTCGCAACGACCCTGCGGACGAACCAGTGGCCTGTTTTCCTTTTTCAAGGACAGACGCACCATGGGCGCGCACAGTGGCACGCGGAGTGGCGCTCAGGTCCTCGTCCTGAATGGCCTGTCCGACCGGATCGGACGATGGTTTAGATTCTGCCGTATCGCGGATCATCTCTGATGCAATGTCACGGCGGAGCGCAGGTCGAGAGATACTCATACGGTGGCGTTCGGGGATTGCAGGAAGGTGTAGATCACTATCCGGGGACAAGGGCGGCGTCACCGGATCATCGGTCTGCTCATCTAGGACTGGCAGAGGGGCTGAGCAGATGGAGGGAGCGCTGGTCGATTCGGTAAACGCGCTCTCATCGCTCACGCTTGGTGCATCATCAGTAGTCTTTGGGCGACGTAGATCCACAACACGCTTCTTTCGTTTTCGAGCATGAGCCTTCGAATGACGGCCAGCCCCTAGACTCAAGCCATATCCGCTAAATGTGTGGGAAGGTGTCGAAGACCGACTCTGGCCCGAAACCATGCTGGCCGAATCTGGGAAGGACGACATACTGCCAACCTGCGACTGCGTTCTGGAAAGGACGGGACTGAAGGGTGACGCCACGCTTCCGGAGGCATCGGTCTGATCTGAAGGTGAGGTCCATGCGCGGTAAACCACCTCTCGAACGGAAGGTGTGAAGAGTGATAATGTTCGTTGAGAATCCGTAAGGGCAGCCAAGCGCAAAAGGTTTTTCTGAGAAAACAGTGAATGAGTTTCGACAGAGGAATCCAAGCAAAGCGATTCGATTTCTGACTCGTTCAAAGCGTTTCCTAGAGCGTCGACGGGATCTTGTGGTGGGCTGGCCAGAGGGTCTTGACCAGGTCCTTCGCCATTTGCGCTTTCCGTCTGAGTCTGCAACTCCTCTCCAGCTCGGTACTCCGGAACCCACAATCGGAGCGACAATCGATGTATGATAGCGGGCAACTCATCCATAAAGAGGATACGAAGCTGCGCTTCGATTTCCTTTTGCAAGAAATCGCGCACAAACGGGATAGAGTCAAAGGTCGAAGAAACCTTGAGTGATTCGAGCGGATCGTTTCGGAAAACCACGGTGATTCCTTTTTGTTTCGAGAAGACCAAGATGACAAAGCCGGATAATTTGAAATCGGAAAGAGTAATTTGGAGAGGTATTGTCAGAGGAGTACTAGAGAAAGGGTCAGCTCGTACAGAGGCGACAGCAAAATCGACGCCACTTACGCTGCAGCCAGAGGTCGGGGCGTTGCAAAGGAGGGTCGTGTGAGGAGATATGTATTCAGTGGATTCGCTTGGACACGCGTTTTGAGAGTCAGAAATGCATCTCCCGAGTAGGACATCTTAAAGATGCCCCGAAACCGGTCCTCCGCCAGGTCTCCAATCTCCAAGATCTCCAGCTCCGGGGGGATGGAGCCAAGGTTGAGTTCCGTTACGATAATATCGTCGACGATGATGGGCGGTTTCGGCGACTTATTGAGCGCAGCCGTTAATAATGCTTGCGCACGAGTGTAGAAACTCGCGTCCGCCATAAGCGGCGACCAGTTGAAGTTGAACGCCATAGCAAAGCATTGAGTGAAGATGGAAGGGTTAGCTGACGGAACCCACGGCGCGCTAAGGAAAAAAATTATGTCCGTCCTTGAATGACGGGTAAGGCGTAAAGGGGGGATAAGAGAAAGTGAGGAAGAGGATGAAACGGGAAAGAAGAGATGGATAGAAGAAGGGATGTGAGGAGGAGTTGATGCGATGAAAGAGCCTTGAGGCTATGGGTTAATGCGAAAGGAAGAAAGAGGAGTGAAAAAAGATGGTTGAAGCGAGGATTCCCGAGGTCGCAAGGGCTCCCGGCGGTACAGTGGGTAAAGTACCCAGATGGCAAGTTGACTCGCGTGATCCACGCGACACCTGATGATGAGGTTCGATTTAATCAATGATCTTGAGGTTGTGGTTTTAGTTTTTACACTTAGCCCAAGTCAATGATTACTGAAAAGCTGTAGATCTACAAAACAAGGACTGATGAAGTTGATATTGTTTTTGGCACTATACTCAGTGGTTGTATTATCCGTATTCGTCTTACAATCCTCAAAGGGGCGGGAAGAAAAAAAGCGAAAATAGGAGAACGAAAACAGAAAAATACGTCACTCTCAGTCAGCTTCTACAAGGCTCCTCATGCAAGTTGCCTCCATTATTACCTACATGGTTAGTGATATTATTTTCCGGTGATAATGATATGCACAATTATGGAGTCGTTCAGGCATACTAAATTAGTTAGAGATCTCGCCGCAAGTAATAATGCCACATTAATAGCAAGATGACTCCATTTATCCCCAGGTCTCCATCAAACCCACCATCTTCTGTTCCGGCCTACCCCGAGTTTTCCGTAGGCATTATTCATAAGATTCTGTGTTTCCCATCCTCTGGCTAGAGTACCTTCGACTAGGTACACTTGCAGTTATGCACCGTCTCCGTTCGACCGTCTTCAGTGACAATAATAATAATACTCTCCCCGCACCTGCGCATCCTTGTTTCAATTAATCCAAGGTAATTTTTCCGTATTGTCAGCACTCGGCAGAGATCTGTGTCAATATTCAATGACTAGTCTCATTTCAGACGGGTTCTGGAACAGTCTTGCGGGCAGCCAACGGGCCATAACCAGTTGCAATAGTGCAGATCTTAAGACCACCACTCCCCTTGCATTGATTTTAGTTAACAAGCCCGTCCCAAGTTATCCCGTCATCAAACCTTCATCACGATGGTTGTTTTGGAAGGTTTCGTGACAGAAAACATCAATGCAATCACGCCGTCGGACAGTTATGCTTCGGCTAAGAGCCGAAGATCATCGGGCGTCAGATTCCGTTTTGCTGCTCTCGGGTCTCGTTTGCCCAAAAAGAGGTCTGCAAGGAAACTGCTTGAGGAGCCAGCCCTACTGCTAATCTTTCTCGCAATGAATGAATGAATGACTAAGGCTCTCTTCTTCTGTTCAATTAGTGAACTAGATTTAGGCGACGGCCATACCACCTTAGGGATGCAGGTATCATGTATCTACGCAGATGGTTAAGGGGAGTAGTCTACATGATCCTAGTAGACTTAAGTCATCTGAACATTTTCACTCGGAGTACGATGTATCTTTCATCCTTGCAAAGTAGATCTGCAATATGGAGGAAAGGCCCTCGAGGTAACAGCGGGAATCGTCTCTTCTCGCAGCTATCACCCAACTTGGCAGGATACAAGAGCATATGAGCCCATCATTCACAAACGGGGTGCATCATGAACCAACAATGAGAAAAGATTGATTATATACATCCGGTCACGTGGTATTGCCGAATGCCAGTTCACCCGGGCAACTCAGCTACTAGTCCGGTTTTGGAAATACATCAATAGCCCTGACGTCCATACCAGAATGAACGGCAAAATAAATCCCAATAAATGGCCGGATTCCCTGAAAGACCAACATACATACAATAAACCGACACTAATAGCACATCACGATGCTGGTGCCGCCCTCACAAACGCCTGCAACCCACGCAACATTATGGGATCTGAAACCAACCTCGAAAGCACGCGGTGCCCAAAGAAGAGTCTATGGAAAACGGAGAGTCGATGCGCCCCGAGCGGTCTTTGAACAGGCCAGCCCAATAAAGACGCTGCAAAAGGCGACAGAAAAATCCGTTCAGGATGCCGTGAACTGTATACAAGCGAAATTGGCTGAAGTCACATTGAGCGAATCTCCTGCAGACTCGGGGAACGAGCATGAACCTGCACAATCCTTGCATGAAGAGAACGAAGTGGAACATACGCCCACACCAGCACTAGAGGCTCTGGAGCCAGTGAACGCCTGTACCCCATCGCCAGTGCTCAATACACCGAAATCAGAGAAACGCTATGAGAGAATGGTAGAGGTCAGAATAACTCCGAGGAAGCTAGAGACAGAGCCTACGAGAGACAGGAAATATGAGAGCGTTACAGGCAGCAAAGCTAGGAAGACGAGGCAGAAGAAGCCCGCACAACGTCTATCCTCGGGCTCCGTCGCCGACGAAAAAATCAACGCGTATGTCCGCGCCGTTCTTGACGAGGCTGTATCACCGATTGCCGCTCAGGGTGTCCAGAATTTCAGC